ATACTTGAGTATCTTCTCTCCCATCGGCTTTTTGGGGTCCTAGTTTCCTCTCCTTACTACAACTCCGTGAATTTCAAGTCGTTATAATGCTATTTCGGGCCTATCACTGAATGTCTGGACTGGGAATATTGACCGGGGTACCTGACTAGGGCACCGGTTATCACGGCAAGGACGGCAAGATCGAGGCTCCAAGGTATTTTTAGCTGCGTCTGTACTGTACATTCTTTCTAGCGTTGCCGCTACGATCCGGGTTTTGTCTGCTGACGCTGATTTATGATAAGGTCATTACAAATGATCTGCGGATTTGGTCCCGCTGTTGGTTGAGCCCCATCTTCGCTTCACTCGATAAGAGATCGATAAGAGATCAAGTATTCAATTGGCCTAGCTATAGGACAAATCCAGCCCTACGAGGCATGCGGATAGACTCATATTTGTCATACACCCTGATTTGTACGACTTTCTGAGTCTCTTATCAGCTGTCTTTCCCAGCTGATCTTGCAGTGTACTGCCTTTCACCAACGGGTCCTTCAGGCAGCAGTGCTACGCGATCGAGATCCACCTGTTGTGTGAGATTTATGCGGTGCACAAGATCATTGCGCAAGCCGTGGAAACTTTTCGCAGTTGAACTTCCTCGTCTTCTGTTCCATGGCAATCACACTGTGTGTCGCATTTATCCCGAATTAAGGAAGGAGCGACCCTCAGTCGCAGACCACCTCGTCCGATAGAATCCCCGTCTCCGCAGTCCACTTTGGTCATGAGACAAAATAGCTATCGCTCACTTGAAGAGGACTGCTGAAAATGACGAAATGCAACCCCCCTTCAGCCCCATCCAGACTTTGAGCTTACCAGTGTACTGTACCTGCTACAACCAAGCATTAAGAGCATCAAAGCAAGAACATCTGATTGACGTCTGCGTAAGACCCGCTAAATTCATCTTGAATACAGAAAGCTAAACAGTCTTAACCCCCGCACCCTGAATCAACACCTTGAACTCTTCCTGCGCCTCCGTCCCCAGCATGTGAAACGGCTTGCGCACGCCCCCGGTGGGGGTGCCCGTCAACTCGAGCCCCGTCTTCACGGCAGCGGCATAGTTATGCGACTCGAGGAAGTTGCAGACCGGCCAGGCCTTGGCCCACAGCTCGCGGCCCTTGGCCAGATCCCCGCGCACGGCGACCGCCTCCCACAGCTCGACCGCCAGCTCGGGGATGATGTTGGCCGCGCCCCAGACCCCGCCGCGCGCGCCCGCCGCCAGCCCGTAGAATGTCAGCGTGTCCCAGCCGTTGAACGCGGTGATCTTATCCGACAACCCAAACAGCATCTCCGTGAGGGCGGGTGCGTCGCCCGACGTGTCCTTCAGGTAGCGTACGCCCACCTCCGACAGACTGGCCAGCTCGGTGGGCGTCAGTTTCAGGCCGGTGGCGGAAGGGATGTTGTAGTAGACGATGGGTAGCTGCGTTGCTTGCGTGATCTCAGTCATCAGGGTTTTGAGCTCGGTTAGGCTGACTGCGTCGTAGAAGGGGGGGACGACCATTAGTGCTGAGGCGCCGGCCTGGGCGGCGTGGATCGAGAGCTCGAGCGTCTCCCTTGTGGTGAGGCCCCCCGTGCCTGCGATGACGGGCACGCGGCCGTCGGTGTATTTGACGACGAGCTCGGTCAGTTGCTTGCGTTCGGGGATGGTCATAGCCGTGAATTCGCCGGTGCTGCCGCCGGGGACGAGGCCGTGCACGCCGGCTTTGATGAGGCGGTCGATCAGGGCTTGCAGGCGCGGGGCGTCGATGGCCGTCTGGTCGTCGGTGAAGGGGGTGATCAGCGCCACCATGATTCCGTGGAGGTCGGCCATTGTGTTGGGTGTGGTGATGTCGGATGGATGCTTTTGATCCAGATTGATGATTAGGGATTCGGGTTTGGAGGAGAGAAGACTGAGCACACTCAAGGATTTAGACTAATAGCTATTGACTGAGATAACACTGAACAAAAGCTCGAACGGGCTATCACTTAAATACCTAGCGCTTCTGGCGACAAATTCGTTGATAGAGGATGTTTCTGAGCTGCCCCTCCAGCTGATCGCCTGAATTGGCAGGTGGTTCCGCGGAACTCCGAATTCGGCAAGTTGGCGGCCATCGGGTCAGCCCTGAAAATTGGGGGTAGATCTGAACACAGACATCTGATCAGGATGTCTTTCCGAAAATGTGAACTACTCCCTCAGGACTGTCATACTTATACCTAGACAGGGTTTATCGTGAAGCGGGTCTCGACGTCATATGTGCACAGTACTGGGTAGGAGTGCGACCGGAGCCTCCGATCGCAAAGAGTGTGTTGATGCCTGCAAGTGAGGGCTCTAACAGATTATGAAAGCAACCCATTTTCTGCGAGCAAAAGCCCGCAGAAGAGCTTTTGTCCGGAACTATAAGTTTGATGCGATGAGGAAGACATTTACTGATTTTGGGGACAATAGCTCCAACACTCGGATTTCGACTTCAAAGTTTTAAGTGTATTGACAACGATATTCAGAAACGTCACTCGATTATCTCGCTGAAGCTAGGTACAAGAAACAATCACTGCCTTGCCGTTTCACCTTTATATACACACTTGCACATTCAGGAATGGCCAAAACTCCCTAATTGTCATTATTGGCGCAGGACCAGGCCGACGAAACCCCGGATCTCTCGTAAGACGAGATGATGCTCACTATAGAGCTATAGGTGCCCCCAATCGTCAAGAAGAAGCCGGTCAGGATGACCAAGATACACCAGGCAACCATCAAGCACCACCTCAGAGACTTCTTCTGCCGGCCCGGTCCCCAGTTATCGTACAGCCACATACATCCCATCGGTTGGAAGCATAAAGATGTTGCCAGAAGAGCTCCCACAAGTGATACCAGGTCGCTGAACACGGGGATGCTGCTTGCGACGATATATGCGACCGAGGTTACGGTGAAGGTAGACCCAAGCCAGACGATCCAGTGCGTCCGAGTCTGACCGGTCAGGTGTCTGGTGCCTCGAAGGATGCGGATAAAGATGTGTTTGGCGGGTAACTTGTGTAATGTTAGTTGAGGGCGAGGCACGGTAAAAGGATCGAAATCAGCACGGCGAGCACTCACATGAAGCATCAGAGTGGCGGAGACAGCCAGCCCCGGAAGAGCAAACCCGTAGCTAATCTTCTTGATCAGGATTCCTGCAGAGCCGAGAGCGGGCGATGCAACGTGGGATCCGCAGTAATAGTACACGACCGTTCCAACTACAATGTAAATGACCGTGACAGTGACTTGACAGATGGTGAGGGCTCGAGTGAAGTGTCGCGGGTCACGCATCTCCGAGACAATGTTGAAGAATGCTGGGGTCCCCGCGTAAGTCAATGAGATGGTGGAGAGAGCAGTCATGGCCTCGACGAAGGTCGGATTGCCAAAGAGCTTGTAGTCTGGCTCTGGGATCACACCGTCTGTCATCGGAGCATGGCCTTGAATTCCAACAGCGATCGTGAGGATAAAGACTGGCAATTGTTTAATTCCACGTGAATATATGGAGGGACTCGGCTCAACATACCTGCAGTAATGATGCATGCAGCACCTACCCAGGCCAGCCAGCTGATACGACCAAGAGTTTGGATGCTGGAGAAGAGCAACCCAATAACGGCAGCGACAGCCACAAAGACTGCAGTGCAAGCTCCGTGGTCGGAGAGCGCGTTCAAGGAAATTGACATGCTCAGCAGAGCCGAACCACCAACAAAGATCCAGTCTACTAAGAGGTTAGAGCCCCGGTCAAAATCATTTTGAAGGACGAGCTCTCACACAAGGTGTATGCTGCACCGAGTAACTCATAACCAAAGCGTCCAGACAGCATTTTCCCCACGTCGTCGATTCCATAGACACTGGGGTGGCGTAGTTTGAAGACACCCACCATCCAGTTCGACCAGGACGTCATCCCGGCGATTGTGAGAAGAAGGATTATTCCGGGCACGATTCCAAGAATGTCGAAGACTTTTGGCATCGAGAGAACGCCCAGGCCGATTTGAGTTTTGATCATAAGAGCTGTGGTTCCCAGCCAGCTCACCTAGGCCTGGTCAGCTTGATGTGATGGTTCATGCAGTAACCCCTAGAGAGCTCACATTACGATAGTTGGTATCGCCTTCACGAATCTCACCGAATACAGCATCCTCTTGAATCGGCTCGCTGGATGTCTCATCGATCTGTGAGTGCACAGTGGCAATGCTGTCCCGGTCAGGGTCAGGGTTTTCTTGTTTCTTCATGGCAGACATAGCGTTGATAGAGGATGTAGAAGACTTAGAGATGAATTCGGGACAAGTGACATCCCAATATCCCTACGAGTACACTGATTATTTAGACTTGACGCATCCCCGGTTATTGCTTAATTGCGCTTAGTGTGGCCCACCTGTAAGATATGGGGATGCGGGGAAGCAGATAAAGTAGAGAATATGGAAACTCCTTCCGGAGAAAAGTAACATGATAAGTGCTGCACGTCCTCATTGCACCGTTACGCCGAGGGTGGGGTTGGGAGATCACCTTGCTGCGGCTCGAAGAGCCAGTGACATGTCCATTCTCGAATCAGTTTCTTATCGGGTGCATATCACTCCCAGCATGTTTCTCACGCTGGAGGTCATCAAGAGGCAAAGTCTTGATTGCAGGTCAAATCGTACAGTCATGTCGATATCGGTAGATCTGGCGGGATATCTACCTAGGCAGAAAGCCTAATAGGCAAGTGCTCCCCTGCTGCACATTGATGTGCTCAATCATCTTCTGATAACGCGAGAGCGATGTTCTAGATATGGACTTATTGGGCTTATCGAGAGCTATGCGTGGTTTCTCCTTCCCGTGACCATTATGCATAACATGGCCCATTTAACGTATCCAACTCACTCATGGATGCTTGCCTTTACCCAGTCCGGTATATTATGCCCACAAATACATATCACAAGTGACTCCTTGGAGCCTCATCTTGCCTCACAATCGAGTCAACCAGCTCCCGCACCTTCATCGCCACGCCCTAGCTGAAAATATACCCCAGGCCAGCAAATCCGTAGGCATGCACGACATCCCCCTCGGCTTCGAGTCGACATCCTCCTTTCCTCCCCGGCCGAAACGCGACGATATCCTTCTGAACATCCTTCTCCAGATCGACCGCCGCAAGACCGCCATTCGTCATCGTATTCACCCGCTGGAGGATATCCGCACGTAGATCTCTATCAACGTTACGCTCCAGATTCCCGGGATGGCCCACGCCTCCAATAATGGCACCGTTTGTGAACATCCGCGGGATAACGTAGGTGTAGTGCGAGCCCTGATGCATCATCAACTCTTCGACGAAGTCTGTCTTGACGAACATGGTCTGTTTGCGAATCGCGTCCACGTTCTTGTCGCCGGCGAGAGTGTATGCACCTAGCCCGGAGGCGTGGACGATGATCTTCGCTCCGGTGATCTTCTTGGCTTCTGCGATCGAGCTCAGCGTTTTCCGGATGAAGGTCACCCCACGAGCCTGCAGCTGTTTTTGAATCCATGGGAGGAGGTATGTGGGATTGATTGTCATGGAGGTATATGTAAACCCGAGCTTCACTCCATCGGGCAGCTTTTCTTTCGGGATCCATCGGTAGCGCGGCACGATCGCCTTGTACCAGATGCTGGAATCGTCTTCGCGGTCGTCGTAGTGTTCCGTGGCCTTGATGACCTGGAAATGTTACAGGGGACGGGTTAGCGGGGAGGTCACGGCACGAGCAGGATGTGCACTTCGAGTGAGTGGCCGACTTACTTGAACACCGCTGGTTGGATCCCGATGTGCTAAGGCCGACTGGCCCAATCTTGAGTTTCATCGCCCGGTAGATCGCGGGCCACGATGGTCACTTTGTAGCCGGCATCGGTGAGGGTCAGAGCCGACAGAAGGCCGATGATGCCCGAGCCAATAATGCCCACTTTCTGCATTTTTGGTGGATGAGGGGGTTGTTGAACAGTTGAAAAGTGAGTTGAGATTGCCAGGAGAATCGGTTTACGTTCGAGGTATTTACATAGATAGCGACAGGAGCTAACTATTTACTGTATAGTTACAAGCCGATAGGCCCAAGATAACACCGGAATCACTTGCCGGAATCGGGATGTCCAGTTGGTATTGTCAATGCAGCATAGTAAAAACAACAAACCACGACAATAGCACAGCGCGCAGAAGAATATTCATGACAAATAACAAACAACGACTCAGAAATTCGCCAGACAGACAGACGACCGAGGTTACCGTGAGGGCTGATACTGGCCAACCAGGGTGCGCTGTGCAATGCACCCCGGGGCTACGCCCGACCTTTAGAGAGGTCGTTGGCCAGTATCAGCCACTCACCTCCGACGTTTCGCGAGATTGAAAGCTGGCTGACTCCGCCATCCACCAGAAGGTATCCCAGATCTGGGCTCTTTGGCCCGCCTCCCACTTGTATGTAATAACTGAGTACTAGGATTTATTAATTCGGAAGCCCAATCTGTCAGCGCAACGGGAGAGGGTTCGGATCTGACTCCTTTCATCCAGCACAACAAAACAAAATTTTTCACAGTTGGTAAGGACTCCGTAGCAAGTAACCCTTTCCTTCCCGGCAAATTTCCTCGACAGCTGGACGGACCCTAGATTATGATTAGACACGCCTTATAAATCATATAGTGCCCTTACCCATATAGCCCAGAATCTGGGCAAGCGCATCGGCGAAATTGTCCAGCCGTTTGGCTTCGACTATAATCAGCTGGTTGTGGGGATGCTCATGGTCACGGTACCATATTAAATAGTCCGAATTTCCCGTTACTGCAATATGATGGCTTGGGATCAAGATTGTGAGCCTAGTCTCAAAGTCTAGGGCCATTCGATTCATGCCTGGACGAGCACTCAGATCAATATCGCTGACAAGCGCGAGAAGAATCTTATTGAGCCGTGCTCTTGCTTTGGCCTCATTCTCGACGCTTCCTTTGGCGAGGTAATTGATGGTGTCGATTTCTTTTTCTAAAGTAGAATTTCTGGCTACTATACAGGATAGAGATTCCATTTATGATTGGCCCATACCCAGATTTGGAGGGCGCTGTCTGCCCAGAGAGGGCCAATTGAACGTCTCTGGATTCTCATGAATCCCAAAGTATAAAAACATCTGCGCCATTGTAAGACGGCTGAATGGGATACTGGTAGTTGCTGCTTCGGACAAGAGTATATGCCGCCTTGCTGCCGCGTCAAGCTCCTCCAATTCGCGAGTGGGACTCTTGGGTGGTGAGAGGGTTTCAGAGCGCTCAGGGCCTTCCCCAACTCGGAAAACATCTTCAAGGGGTTTCTCGAATTCTCAAACGCCATTTTTAGATTTCGAAAAAGGCGAAACAGAATTGCGTGCTAAGGGTTTTAGAGAGCTGTAGTTAGGGTAAGGTTATAGAGTTCTACTCTCTACACCTTCTACAGCTTTGTAATTTAGGAAGGGGCGAAAACCATCATATCAAGTTTACTGTATCAAATTTCAAGTGTCCCAGGATAGGAAGGAGCGAACACCACAGATAGCATATAAACCGTATCAAATTCCAAAACTTACGCTGGCTCTCCTTGAAGCAGTTGGACCTCTTCTTTGTGACTCCAGATTTTCAATGTCGAAGGCTTTACTGGAGTATTTGCAGGGCCCCACCATACTCCTGATCCGTAAGATTCGGTGTTGATAGTGAGATCAAACCGGAGTAGGTGTTCAGAAAGAATGGAATTTCGAGCCAATCTTCGGCGGCCTCCAGCTTTCCTCATGATACTTGGATCATCCCAGCATAGAAATGGGAGAGGTCCCGGTGAAAACGCCCCAGTGTCTATCCAATATGCCACGTTCTCCATACGAATGTGATCTTTATTTGGCATCCATTTGGCGTGGGTGTCGGCCATATCAGCAAACCACCCAATGGGAATGTTGGGGCTTTTAGGGTTCCAGAAACGAACAACATCCGTTGGAGGCTGTTGGAGAAGCATCCCTCTCCAACTCGCCTCGGGACGCATATACGCCTTCTCCCTTTTTTCGGACGCGATGCGGGGAATCCGGCGATATCCCCCGCCGAGAGGAACGAAGACTCTGAACCGCGAGACAAGTTCTGTTCTGAGAAAGTCGAACCATATTTTGTCAACCACGAGCGGGTTCTTCATAGCTTGCTGGTCTGGTGGCTTGCTCTCGATTGGGATATAGAATAACGCCTGTTGAATTCTGCGCGAGGACTTGATCATTTCGTTCCACGTGTGGCAGACGCGACGTGAAATCAGCAATGTGAGCATATCCAGGTCTAGCAGGATCATCTCCAGGATCTCCGGAAGGTAAAATACGGTACATGTATGGGACGGCAGCGAGTTTTCTTCGTCCTGAGAACATTGCGAGCGCCCTTCTTCCCTTATGGAGGGACCGTCTGGTGAGTCGGACATTTTGAATCGAGGCAAGGGAGCTCGGATATGTTTGGGATTGTTTGCGTTGTGGCTCTGCACTGCATGAGAGTAATGATGCTGAGAAACATGAAAGTGGAAAATTTGGAATGAGTCATGAATGTCGGCATTGCCTCAGTTGCGTCATTACTGCTGTAAAAGTGAGCGCTGGCGTAAGGTACAATGGACACTGGTAAGTGCATAGTCACGTCATGCCTTGTAAATACTCCGGAATGCACTAGATAAAAGACCACTAAGGTTAGTTAAATTGTGAGTTTCAAGCCTCTTACAAGATTGCAGCTTTATCGAGTTTGTTGGAATCCACAGGTTAGGGGTAGAACCCTATAAGGGTACTACGTTTTTGCGCATGCATCATAGCTTCAGAATCTGATGACACCTGCGAGAGAGGTGGAAGATGCTTGAGTTCTTCTTGGTGAGGCTACCTGCGAGGAAATAGCTGAGGCCACCGCGGTGCGCGATGAGCGGCAGCCTTGCTACCTACTGAGGCCGCATGACCGCCAACAGGTATTGTCAACGCAGGACGATTAAAGAACAGTGAAACCACAACACCACAGAACTCTATTATAACCGAGCTTTGTCTTCCCCTGGAACGTCCTTGACAGCTGGACGGAACCTAGAGAATATGATTAGATGGGCTTCCTAAATCGTAGAAAGGCCTTAGCGGGTTTAAATCTTTGTTCTGCTGCCAAGGAAGGGGGATTTGTTGACTTGAACATCAGAACGAGTCAAGAGAGCTCGGAGATGGCCGAGGTTGGTCCAGTTAGCATTCCGGACTGGGTGAGAGTCAAGGTGCTGAGAAAGGATGAAAGCTTGAATGGAAAAACTTCTTCGTAAGTCAAGAGGTTTTTCGCCAAGCTGCGTATGGGAATGATGAACGTGCAATAATAAGCGTTGGCGGAAGTTACACTGGGCAGTGTTAAATGAATGGTTATATTATGCCTGTGAATTCACGAATTCACCCTAAAACAGGGTTGCTCTTTCCTTGAGTCCTTAGCGACAGAAAAGCATTCACTCAGCGCGAGATTCACGCCATCTAAGACGCCACTGCTTATTGAAACTTACGACTTTAGGATCGAGGAAGGAACCACCCAACACATTTTCTCCGACTGAGACATGGCAATCATGGCATAATCGAATTTTCCCAAGTGCTCAAAAAAAGCCCCATTCTGCCGACCAGGTCCAAATCTATCGAATTCGAAGAGGATCTCATGGTTGCAACCGGGGCCCTTAAGATATTTGAATACGATCCCCCCGTGATGCGCAGTGGGGGGGGGGAGCACGAGGGTAAGCCAAGAATCCCGTTGAGACAGCGCCATCTAACTCCTCGGTGGGTGCCGGGGACTTGACAGTTGCGTCAGTATTTCTCTGCAAGGTCGATGACCACCTCAATCGCAATGCGGAGGAGATCCGGGATTACTGATATATGACGCCGGCGGAACTGCAGCTCATCCTGGGGTCTCGGAGATTACTGTGAGCCCGTGATTCCGGCTCTACTGTGAGAACTTTTTGGACCGATGGTGGGAGGCGGTTCGGGCGGATGCACTCCAGGATATCATGGCTGATCATACCATTCATCGGTTTTGCCAGCCCTATGTGGCGTGGATGCAATGCTTTCTCACTATCGCTCCGCTGTTCCTCTTGATGCTTAGTTCTTTTGCTTTGATGGATTGAAGCTTTATAAAATATCGACCTAGGCTTAGACTACACATAAGATTTAATCTGGCCCTATTCTTCTGGATTTCCAAAGCAGAGTAATGTGTCCCCATGTCATGCGGTTGAAGTTACATGTACATCTTGTTGATCAATATTGGTTGTTTGGTGCCATGACCGATGGTAACCGATCTGCTTTTGTTGTTCCAGAATCTTCCCGCCAGGTACAGCATTCTTGATGTTACACCCATATATTGCAAAAGCTTAATTACTTATTATATAGTAATCACTCGCTACTTTATGAAGGAATCCAGGCAGAGACGAATTACTTTTGAAGCTTTGGATTGAACGATGGCAAAGGCGGCGGAGCAGCCCCCGCACCTAGACTTTGGATACAACTTGAAGTAGACGAGGGTCCATCGCCTGGGCCTCCTCGGGCGAAATTCTGAACATGGCCGCGTTGAAGCGGGCAATATCTCCCGTGAGGAAATATGCACCTTCCACCCCGGTCTGGCAAAATACGACCATGGATCAGCATTCGATTCGGAATGATGATGGGCCGCACATTAAAGCCCGGGATTAAGGCTTTACCTTTTTCCAGGATTCCAGGTCTTCTTGATCGAAGCGATTTGCTGGGGGAGGGACCAGCCATGCGCAAAACTGGCTAGCATATTCCAAAGTTGGGTACAATTGGTCACTCCGCCGGGGAGTCGGAGGCCAGTGCCAATAACTGCAACATCTGTCATGATTTTAAAGAGTATCGAATAGTTGACCTGGGATCTGTGGTATACGTGCAAAGCTCTCGAAGCGGGTTTTGCCCGATATTGAGATGTTATAAGATGCTTTTGAAGTCGGTAAGAAGCCCTCCATATAATGTAGCTGTGTGTATTGGCCCGCAGGGCCAAAGGCACCGGCTGTCGGATTCTGCTGCAGGTTGCACGGCGCCCGTGAGCCCATGTTGAGAGAATTCAGAAGACCATTGCGGTACAGTTCCCTCATTTGTTCAATTTCAGGGCTCAGCCCCGGCATCTCGGGGACGAAATGCATTCTGTACATTTATTAGTTGACAAGCGGTAGACATCACTCCCCTATTGCTTGTGGAGTGTACCATTCTTTGTCGAAGGCATCACGGGTGTTCCGAGTATAAAAATGGTACGAGGTCTCACCGCATGTATGACAAGCATAAAGTGGATTGGAATGAATGGCAGCGGAAGTAGCCGTGGCGGATCCGACCCGATCTGTCTAACCCTTCTGCGATGGATAATCTCCGGACTTGGCAGAGAGATGAAACCGAACTGGAAGGGGAGTGGAAAATGGTGGTGAGATTTCCAGACATCTGATACCTGCAAGGCCATTTCATGGGATCTGCTTCCATGGAGCAAATGTCCATGTACTGTATGTGAGGATTATCCAGGTGGATTAACTTCTGCCTGAGGCTGCGATAACAGGCTTGAAAACAGAGTGAGTAAAGCGGCAAATCACCCAATAAGTCACTTCGAGCCCCGCACAGCGCTGACGTGTGTTACAGCTCTGAGGACTGTTCCGGTGCGCCCGCTGTACCCGAAAACGAAAGAGGAAAGAAAAAGGATAGACAGAAAAAGAAGCAAACTATGTATAGACTAATTATACAATAACATTTGCCGCAATTCCGAAGGCTATGTAGCTAGTATATACATGCCAGGTGTTTAATACCCACACTGAAAAAAACAGAAAATCTATTATATAGGTTAGGCTAACTGCTATTCCGGTTTCTTTCAATAGATTTATCCCTTAACGAGTTACTTCAGAGGGTAACCTGTGATATTCCGGAGATTACATGCTTGAGTCGAAGGGCGCGCAAGGGCCCTTACATCTCAATTGGTCCAATCAGTTATGTTGAATGCAAATTGTTGACATCGGATCTTTTGCTGGAATTAAGATATATATTTGTACGCGATTGGAGCCACCTACGTTGCGATTTCTGCTCCAAACTACAAATCTATTAACCGCACATGGCGGCCAACACTAGGCCGGTAGCCTAATGAACAAGATTTGTGTTTGTGACAGACCATCCCAAGAAACTAGTCTCCACGCAAGTCGCTAATCATATCATATCGACCCCTGAAAAAAGATTTTCAACCCTCCCGAATCTACCTCGACCCTGTCTAACTCTTTCGTCCGGGGCAAGGGCCAAACCCGCAGTGCTTTGTGCTCCTCCCCTGCCTGTACCTAGAGTTCGTGCGCAACCGCGACCCATACCGTTCCAATGAGAAAGGAAACCTGAATCATTGCGATAAAAACGAATGCTAGGAGCATCGATCCCATTACAAGTATCGCAGAAGAATTAGTACTGGATCTCCCCCGTGCCTCCCCCGTGCCTCCCCCGTGCCTCCCCCGTGCCTCCCCCTCCTCCCCTCATTCTGTCCTCACCTGTCGAATTGATTGAAAAGCAGAAGAATAATTAAGGGTGTCCATACAGGTAAAAGTAAAGACGCGGATCGGCCAGGTGAAGAGCAGGAGAACAGGCCAAGTGAAAGTAGCGCGCAAGCCCTACACCATTATCTGCAGCTTCGAAATATACCCCACAAGCCGACCAATAAAATTATCAGTCGCAAGCTCATCATCCTTACTAGGTAATACTGTACACAACTTGCGACCTACCCAATCTCCCCACCATGGAGCATCGAGCCCATATTGAGGCGACACTTCACCAACACCTTTTCCAGGGTGTCTGGCTTATGCGGATGCCCGTTGAATACACCTTAGCTACTAGGTACCTTCCCAAGAACTGTGCCATCCTTGAGCTCCACCGGGATTGCATTGTTTGATGTTTCCGGTCTCCTGCAGACACCGTCGCGCAACCAACAAATGGCCTGCAATAGAACAAGGACACGGGCCCATTTATCTTGGTAATTGTAGACCCAAGCATCAACAGTAACAATGACGCTATGATGCTCTTCACATAGTGCCAACGGGTCTATATCTTGCCCACAACATTCTATCAGCTTACTGCCTTATACAATGCAATCCTCTAGCAGCCTACCTCTTGCCAATCCTTCTTGGAGGCTCCAACATTCACTGCTTAACACAGTCGCTCTTTGACCAAGTTTCTTTCGGTCATACTGCAAGAGATCTTGAATACAGCAGGGATGCGGCTAGAAGAAAGATTGGGGTTTACAAATATGAGATTCAGCAACATTTCAGCTGCTACATACGACCACAGGGTGTGGAAAACAGGGCTTCCCGTCCGCTCAGCCGTACTTAAGCCACACGCCGGGAGGTTAGTAGTTGGGTGGGTGACCACCAGCGAATCCCTTCTGTTGTATGTTTTTGCAGCCTTTATTCTTTTGCGTAACATAGCACCCTGGTGGGTCCAGGATATAATAGGTGCAGCTGTTTGGCTTTGGCTTGCCAAATTTTTACACGTAAACGTGGCAGGATGACTGGTGCTGGAAAGCATCGCCTCACCTCCTTACCCCTCCAGAGTAACAGAGTACCAATTCAGACGTATTCGTTGCATAGATTAGAAATCGTGCGTTAGGAACCTCGTGTGCAGTTGAGATCTGAACGCTCTGCCTTGACAATCTTCTGGTCAATGAGAAGCTTTTATGCCAAGTCAGCAGGTTCTCTGGCTTGCGCTACGGTTGTTTCCCCTACAATAAGCCATTGCTTTGATTTCGCACCTCGCCAAAAGGCTTGTCGAGGTCTTCTTGTCACCTAGCGATGTGTCCCGCGCAAGGATGCATGTGTTCTTACGACTGACGTGACGAGACCAATTAAGCAGCATTGTTCTGGCGCTACATCTCCTAGCTGGAGCTGACCCCGACTCTTCTTCATCTTGATTATTCATCTTCAGCGTGTATATCTATGACTAGCTTCTTGGTCACTACCAGGAGACAACCTGGCTGCCTGGTAAAACATTGACTCGGTGACCAGATCCCCTCCGGGAATCACGCTGGCTGGTTTCTCCTGCTTGAGTAGCTGCGACATGCCGATCGCCTGCTGAATACCTGTAATGTTTCCAATGAGGTCGAGAATCTGCGTCGCCCATTCTTTTGCCGGAGAATCAGCTGCTGCGCATCGGCCCGCAATGAAAAGCGGCCACAGCACCCGGTATATGCTTCCAAAGCCTACCTCGCCGGAAATGAAGTAATATGGAAGACTGTCACAGATGTCCCCTGCCATGTGCTCAATAATGCCTGTAGACTGATAGATGATCTGCTGGAACTGTGGCAAATTCTGTAGCCTCCACCGGCGCAGGGCCATTGTCCTAATCATCTCGTTGAGAACGATGCGCGTCTGACGGTAGTTATTCCACATTGTGGCGATGGAGACCCCGTGGTAAATATGATATCTGTTATCATAGATCGGAGGGTAGGTGGATTTAGGTAGATGGGAACGCGCGTCATCAATGACTTGATAGGACCACGCTGGACTCAGCGATGTTGTCCACGCCAGTAGACGCGCATCAAGGGTAAGAGATCTCTCTATCAACAACTGTTGCTTCTCAAGGTCACCTTGGAGATGTGCCTCGTCCACTTCGATTGCTATATCGTTCAGCTCGATGAGCATATTGTAGAGGGTTTCGATCGGCCGGGTATGTTCATTTCTTTTGGATCTTGCAACATGAGACAGCGCTGCGATCGTGGGGGAATTATGAATCCGGGATCCCAGTCTGAAGAAGACACTGCTGATAACCTTCCAATTGCATTAGGCAGGTAGTATAAACCTCCCATAGATGGAATGACTCACATTCTGAAAGCGCACAATGGTAAACAACTCTAGTCCAGCAGGCGAGTTCAGCTGCTCTTCACCTCGCAGTTCCAGGAGCTTGGCTGCTCCTTGAGCATGGTCCTTCCAGCCAACGCCCATTTCCGTGGGTCGTGATGTGATCAGCTGAAAAGGGGAGGATCAGTGTATGTCGCTTGGACAAAAGGATTGCAGCTTATAATGGGAGATATCACCTCATACAAGCCCAGCAATAACACGGCGCCCAGGGTGGAATCGGACGTTGCTGTTGTCGGATCTCTTAAAGCACTATTGGTAGCACGCAAGGCAATGATATGCTCTTCCCTGGCTCGCTGTTTCACATGCGGCATCCTCGTCATACCCAACAGGCCTATAGCCTTGGCGGAAGCCATCAACGCAGGAGAGGGGTCATTCTGCAACAAGCTTGGCAGAAACAAAAGTAAGCCCCGATGTTGGTCCGTGCCAATATAGTATGGGATGATATAAGAAATGGCCCGCTGGTCATCGGAGATGGGTGAATAGACTAAAGTGGGTGTAGACGGCGACGCTTCCGCAGGCGACTGTTGGGTGGGACCACCACTATATCGGGCTTGAGCCTTGGACGCAACCTCCGCGCTCTGATCATAGACCCTCAGGGTATCCGGGTCTCGATATCCGAAACACTGTTGATTCACTCTCAGGCACTGTGAACAAGATGGCTGACGACGGTCGCACTGCATACTGTTGGCCATTTTGTCCATGTCCAATGTTCTATGTCTGAAGGTGCCCACTTACTCGCAGCCGTCGCTTCCGGCACAAGGTACACCCCATACTGATTTTTCCTCTGTATACCGGGGCCATGATGCTATCATTCCTAAAAGGGAAATAAGTTCGCAGAAGTGGCTTGTTGATGCATTGCGGGGGGACGACTGTTGCTGTTATAAAAAAAGGGAGCTAGCTTGATGGCAGTGGCTGGCAATGATCCGCCCCACAAGCATTCGCCAGTGCTTGCGCCCAGTGCCAGTTAGTCCCGCATGGGGGCCAAAAGTACGTATGAGTACTGTAAGGCTTGCACACTAAACCACCCCAGGTAACCAGCTCGGCAAACTTGGAAGCGGTGAGTGGACTAGCTAGTTCGGAACAAGCAATATCCACATTCACTGCCGGCACCAGCCCGCTACCTACGAACGACGCCCATAAAGCGGGAAGCCAGACACAGAAGAAGACATTAGATGGTCCGAAACAGAGAAACAAAGAGAATAGTATCCTTGACTTGTCCTTGTCAATATAGTCGGTCCACTGACTCAGGTCCTTGTTTCCGACCGTCATGCAGCGGACCTGACTAGTCCCGTCGTTCTGCAAGCCACTTTTGCATAATCTCCGTGGCCAGGAAGTACCTAGTATTCACTATATTATGAAACCGAGAACTCCGATGTGTCAGTCAGTGTAAGGATAGCTCTCAAGAACGATTGTAGGCCCCCAAGCTCCGAGCCGGCTACTGGATTGAAATTAGCGCGCTCGGTTGTACTAAGGCTCACTAATGGGAACTTTGAACTCAATATCCTCAGAGCTGAAAAGCAAACAGAATGATTTGTCTGGAGCGGCTGGTTTTGGTCATAACTAGTCTATTCTCAGGGAGTTGTTCGTCGACAAGGGCAATTCTTTCTACATTTGATGCGCAAGGCTGACAGGAAGGAGAAGCCCTGAGACGAAGGTAGGGCACCCAGGTGCGGGAGAAGAACAACCCAGTAGTGTATAAATATGACTATATTCCTGTTGTGAAGGTGGTATACAACAAATTTTCCAAGCCTTGCATCTCGATTGGTTCGTCTCGTTTTGTACCTCAATCACATCCACTGCGACAATGGCAAAGGTAACCTATTCCGATGGCATTTCAATCCTTCAGTTGATTGTGTTCCCATTTCTTCTCGCGTGCTCTATCTATGTCTGGAAACGAACAGGATGGAGAGCCGGTGGTTCCACCTGGCGATTCGCTGTCATCCTATCTTTGCTCCGTGTGGTCGGCAGCATATGCACACTGGCCCAGCTCAGTTTCACCTCGACCAATTTACGAACCGCCGCGACAGTATGCAACTTGATTGGTATCGCTCCCCAGTCCCTGATGTATATGGGACTGTTACGACAGATGTAAGTTAGTACCTTAAACCTCACTCGATTGGCAGAGACATGCTAACAGGTAGGTATGTGCATTGTTAGTGATGTGGAATACCGAATTCCTCCCAAACCCCTGCAATCCTTGTCTCTTGTTTCCTTGATCGCCCTCATCATCGCAATTGTGGGAGTAGATAAGACTGAAAAGTCCGGCAACATAAATGCACTCCTCAAGGCAGCCATGATCATCTTTCTCATCGTCTTTGCCGCCATCCTGGCGGCCACTGCTTGGCTGTTCAAGGAGACCAAAGGCACCCTGCAAAAATTCCAGAAAAAGCTGTTCATCGGGATTGCTCTCTCTGCTCCCTTTTATACAGTGCGTTTGGTCTATGCGGCGATCGCCGATTTGGGCCATTATGAGATTTTCCAGTCTTCCCTCAGCGGCAACCCTAGCGCCAGCAGTCTCACCCTCTCGTTGTGCATGTCTGTGCTGGAAGAGATGGTTGCTCTGGCCATTGCCGTGGCCTTTGGTTGGTCTGCGATGCTCGAGAGAGACTTCGTGACCCCGGGAGCTGCAGTTCCTGGAGATTTTGAGCAGCAGCCGAAGGCGGAGGATGTATGATCTGGTGGTTGTCCGGTGAGTTGTGGGATTTCCCGGCATTCCTTTGTCTTTGTCGAAGGCCTGGTCTTCGCTATTGTCATGTACATAGGTGATAATATTATTCATTGGCATATACGCCTACTATCAGAATGCGATTTTGCGCTTCTTGTAAAGTCCAATCCAGGCTTATCCCTACTAGTCCGATCTCTATTCTTCGATCTGCGGCCGCGGTTCCCCACCGGTTGGCCCGCCGGGTCCATTGCAGTCGAAGAATACGCGGCGGTCATAGACGTGCTGACCCGGTGTCGCGCAGCCCACACACTGAAGATCTGGGGCATAGCGTTCTTGCCACCTGAGGTTCAGGAAACCTTTGTCGAAGTCGTTCTGGGCCAGGTGGTTGATCTCAGCCGATGGGAGCTCTTACAGCATGCTCTCCGGCATCTACCTACCTTGCGAAGAATTGTGATGGCCAGAGACCGAGATTCAACCGGCTATGGCCTCCAGTGCCGCTTTGACTGCCAAATGCAAGGCTACGAGGACTTGCGTGCATTGCCGGGCACGGGCGCGAGAGCGCTCTCAGTGGTCAGACAAAGAGTTTGTGAGTGCTGCGTGACCTCACAAGTTGGCGATGGAGCTGTACAGCGTCCCACAACCACCGGTGGTGCGGTTGATTTCAGCATCGCATTTGGACCGGGCGACACCGAAAAGGAGTTCGCAGAGGAAGCTGTGGACTTCGACCTCGTCTACACCTGGCTGAGGACTCGTCCCCACATTCTCCGACGCATAGCCTTTGGGGACTTTAAGCCCCCGCCGCTGGGGACTGAATTTCGAGCGGCGGCGTGGCCCAATCTGCCCACGGTGATCTGCCCGCCCTATCAGGTACGACAAGGTTGGTATGGCGCGTACGAATCTCCTTCTGCTGCGGTCAGTCGGCTGCTTAGCCCGACCGTGAAGACGTTTGTCTTTGACTTGACCAGCTATGACCAGCAGCATGATGCGCACCTAACTGATTTCGGAGCGCTGGAGGAGCGCTGGCTGCGGGCGTTTATCGAGACCGCCGCCGCCCCGGACCGAAGCACGGCGCTGCGGACCATCCGCGTCGTTTTCGAACCAGAAGCATACCCGTATCATGACAAATGGGAGGTTTATCCTTAGGATCGAATCACGCAGGTGCAAGAGGACATACGTCCACTGGGATTGGGTCTAGAGTATTCAACCCCGACAATGACGCGAGAGGAGTACCACGACGCTTGGCGCAGGGAACAGGAGTGGAGAGCAAGCGAAGAACATCAGAGGGAGATCCAGAGAATCATAGCGGTAGTGGCAGGGAATAGAATGCAAATAGAGAGTTAGGTGATAATCTTATGTATAGATAGACATATATAGCAGATTAAAGGTATGATTATGGTTGCTTGCCAGCGCTGATATACGATAAAGGCTGCCTGTCTCTGACTCGGATTGGGAGCAGGCTTGACACTAGATTAGTGTCGTCAGGGATAGATTGCAGGCATTTTATAAGCCTCAGTACAGCCGAGTATACTAGAAGCTCTATTTTTCACACCCTGTATTTATATATGCTTAATTTCACACTCGAATATTGTGAATCGAATAGACCAGATGACGAAAATGTAAATAAAGGACTCTATTCTAAGTAAATCGCTGAAACAGTATTCCTAGCTTGCATTGGAATGCTCAGGCATCTTGTGTATAGACAGTAAACTTAAGTTAAGCAACAAACCTTCTAGAACACATATTCTTCTAAAATAAGGATTGCTGATCGATCCTCAAGGCAGAATTACTTACAGACCTATCATTTAGCATACATTGGAGTACAAGAAGCTTAAGCATATGACAAAGGCAACAACGGGAATATAAAGATTAAGGTCTAGTCCAAAGCACAGCCTCAATAGCTCCGGGGGTCTGCCCCTATGGTTTCCCATTGATCCACGGGAATAATTAGTCCGCTACGCTTTGTATTTGTATGCAGCGGAACTCCTGGTGGGCCTCTAGTGCTCAGAACTTGACTGGGTGTTTTATCGCATTTGTGGGGTTCGCATCCCCACTGGTTTGCCGCTTAGAACTTGATCATTTGTTATCCTCGGTCCTCGGTTGACTTGAGTAGAAAGTTTAAGATGAGGGCGGGTGCGGGAGACCTCGTCCATCCTTAGAAACTCAATTGGACCCTAATTTTCTTCTGACTGCGGGAGATCTAGACTAAATCGCCCACGCGATCGAGCTGGAACCACAGAATCAGTAAAGCCTGGTTTCTCATCGCCTTACTGTTCTCTATAGCATCTGTATAGTCAGCTGTTAAGCATTGACTAGCAAAGGTGTGTCTTCCCATGCTAATGCGAAAATGGCTGTGCAGATATGCTTGATGACCCTTGTATACCTGATTGTGAACATGATCATTGACGTCAGGACCAGGCGAGCAACCGAACTAACTCGCCCCCATACACATTCTTAGGCATTCTGAATAGTGCTAGGCCGACAATGTCGATCCTTCGAGTTGATTGATACGCAGGCTATATAAATTGTAGAAGTCCCACCGTCAACTGCTGCAACTGAGCCATCACTATCCTCATCCGAACAAACCTACTCTTGGCTTTGAAAATGCACGCCAAAATAATTCTCTCAGTCATCATTATCGTTGCAGCAGTCGCTGCGCCCGCTGCTGAGTACCTGGAGACCCATGTCCAAGCAACCAAATATGAGTGGACCTACAATAGTCCCCATTACATTAGGGTTCACTAATCAGTGATAAGAGGCTGCGCAACGATTGCAGAGGAGATGAGCGTCTTCAACAGGGTAAACCGAGAACGACGTGTGTGTACAGCGTCAGGACTTTCGCCGTTGGTGGCTCATCAGGGCTGGGTCAATAGTATCAATTTATACCCTTGCCGACCGAGGAGTCGAGGAGTTCTAAACAGACAGAAGATTAGACATCCCCTCTTTTTACTGCTGGGAGAAATCAATCTCTGCAACTGAGATACTTCACCGTTTCCAATAAAGTTGTTCAGCGTGCTGTTCTGATATGACATCAAGCTCTGGGACACGGCCACGGGCATCGAGCAGCGCACGCTGACCGGCCATTCCAGCTCGGTCCTTTTGGTAGCCTTCTCGCCAGACGGCCTCACGCTGGTGTCGGGCTTGTACAACCGCACTATTAAGCTCTGGAACACAGCCGCAGGCGTTAAGCAGCGCACGCTAACCGGCCGTTCCGGTACTGTTAATTCAGTTATAGAACAATTTACTTCTAGTTAGTCTATCTATATTAAAGTCTCTGGTCTCTATAAGATAAAAAGGCCCTTAGCTTTCTACTGACTATCGTCCTTTCGCATGTTTCGCTATTAGAAATACTATACTTGCCCTGGGGTTAAAAAGTAGGCGAATTCTACTTATAAGGGTTACCTTGCAATAGGAGAATATTTTTGTACTCCAGTTTCTCATTTTTGAATCTGTTTATTAAAGAAGGGCCTGGGGTGTGCAACGTTTATGCTATTACTTGGTACGACCGTCCCGTGATTTCTTGATGGGTACTCTGACAGTGCTCAAGTAAAATATATAGTTTTAAAAAAATATACAGTTTCAATAGATTATATTGATAGTACTAGTACATTGAATGCGTTCTCAAGTAATACTTATCTTATTATTTACCTCTAGAGTAATTGGGATTGCTTAGAGATTGCTTATAATACATACTTCTGTACTTCTATACTTTAAGCTGCTTAGTAAAGAACAGCGCTAAGTTGGATCTAAAGTAGAAAAGGAAAGTTTCTTAACATGCACAGTAATCCAGTTTGTTAGTTGTCTTATATGTTGAATGATATGTAAAGTGCTTTGTATGGTCTAATATATTAGGCAAGTAGTATCAAGCTGCCCTAGGACTGCGGGCCACTCCTCATTAAGGTGTATCTGTATCACGCAAAGTGGCCTTGAATGGGTCAGGCCAACGCTGGTATAACAACATAAACGTCTTCGGTCGCCGACCAGTACAAAACAATCCGAAACACCTTCCAACCAGAATCGTCCCAGTCTCAAGTGATCGTACTGCTAAAGCCGCTCCGGATCTTTCACATCCGGCCAACGTGCACCAGATCAAGAAGCCGACTTCTTAACAGTTCCAGCCAGGCAGGCCGCTGATATCAGTGGCCACAATGCCCCAGGGAGGGTTGCAGCCACCCTCGTCCGAGTTGAAGAGGTAGTACCATCCTTTTCTCTAGCATTAGCAAACAATCCTCCTCCGTTCGGGCACGGAAGACTTACCGTTGGCACAGCGGCAGTAGGAGGTGGAGATACCGCAATCGGGGTCAGAACTATAGTAAGGCAAGTCAGTACCAGGCATAGGAGTTGCCAGATTGAACGAAAGTGTACGTACACAGGGAAGCACCCGCTGTCACCGCGGGCGGCAAGGTCGGCGTTGCTGGTCTCCGCCGAGGGGAGAGCCATGACGGCCGTGGCGCTGAGGAGAGTGAGGAGGAGAGTAGGAAGCTGCATCTTGTGGGATTCTGGGATGATGAGGATGGTGGTGAGGAGAGTCTACGAGACGAGGAAGTCACCAGGCTTATATAGTATTCGGAGGAAGCCTCAATTATGGCTTAGAAGTTGAAGCATATCTCGCTTGATACTCGCGCCAAGACCTCATGGTCCCATTGCGAGAGAAAGGCTCTGTCGGACTCTGCAGGAGTAGACGGCCTCCAACGCCGCCGGTCTTGGCACAGGCAAGTTATCTATACAGAATCCCTTGAGGCTGAAATGTCTCAGTCTGCGATCGCGTGATTGGTGAAGGATGTGGATGCAGGATTGTGGAGTATAGAGCTTACCTGATAGCTTGTGAATAGCCGAAAAAATACGAAGCGTTCGATTGAATCTGTGATTCACTAACCTGATTGTTAGCAGGATCTAAAGGGTTTTCCAGTATAGCATAGGATAGTATAGTAGGGGTAATGAAGTGGGATGGACTAGGGCTGGAATAGGAAGGAAGAGCGATGCTCACCGCCCGGGCCGACACGAGGCTACACGCAATCTGGAATGGACTATAACTTATCAAGTACTTGTATCAATCCATCAATGAACCCTTAATCCTAAAAATCGATAGTTGGTGGGGATAGTCAAGATTATTTCTTCAACGCCTCCACGCGGCTTGGCCTTCTTGGGCAAAGCTTAAACCCAACCGCATTTCACTGGTCGGAGCCCCCACAATCCTTCACCCATCGCGGCCATCGCCTGGTAACTGCCCAGTAGCGCGGAGATAAAATAGATAAAATAAACAATCAACGCTCACTTGCGCCTCCTTTCTTCCCCTCACCAAACCACCATGTCCTCCCCTTCAAAGCCCTCTGGCTTAAACAGCCTACCCAATGAACTACTCCTAAAAATCCTGGAGCAATCTCCGGATATCTCCACTCTGTGGAGCCTCATCAACTCCTCTGCACGCTTGGCCGCACTATTCCAGGCTCGGGCGCTGGAGACCGTCGAAGCCGTGCTCGAGGCCACTGTCCCTCTACAATCGCGAATTCTCATGCGGGCGGTGCTGTCCCTGCGCGCCGGAACCAGCCCGTGCCAGGACTATTATGACGCGATGGATTACCTGGTAGAGAAAGACGGGCCTTGGCCGCCAGTGGTCGCCACCGCGGACATCGTCCGGGAGTTCGTGCGGTTCGCATACCAGGTCCATCTCTTAGCCCATTGGTGTCTCGATTCTTGTCTCGAGCACTGCCTTTCGCGTCCCCTGCTCTCACGGCGCCAGTACTCCCCGACATTCCGGCAGCCCACGTGGACGGAGGAGCAGCGCACGATTCTCGCGGTTTGGCGGCATGTGTGGTACCAGTGCCTCCAGCGTGCGGGCCGCCAAGGGTCGCTAGAGTGGAGTCCCGCGGACCTCGACCGCTTGGCGACAGTCACCCCCTTTGAATACCCCATCCCTTCCTCCGGTATCTACCAGGTCTTGACCGTCATCGACTTTTTGAGCCGCCACGCTGCGGCTGGATCCGACTCAACCACGGGTCTGGTGCTCCCAGTTATCCCGGCACACTTCAGGTTCGGATGGCCGTGTGCCCCTGCGCCCTATGCCAGCGCCTTGGCGCAAGACGTTGATGGGCTAAGTGCTGCAACTAAGCCAGACGAAGGAGCTCTCCAGCTGGAGGGCAAATTAGACGAGGAAGGGGAGAAAGCACTAGCGACTGAGATAGCCCGGGCTGCGGCCCCCTCTGCGCCTCCCCCTGAGGATGAATGCCGTCCGTGGCCGCCAGGCTACGTCTTTCGACCGGTACGAGATTATGGTGTACGACCACCCGCACGCGAATGGCAGGATCTAGATGTGGAGCCCCTCGGGTTCCAGTTTTGGCGCAGTATGATGCACAATCCCCTGGGTGGCCGCGGCAAGTACATTGCACTGCGAGCCTATCTGCCGTACGGCTTAATTCTGTGGGAGGAGCAGAGGATCACGGCTATGGGACTGTGGTCACCACTGGGCGATCCATGTGATTACTACCGGCGGTGGTATGCGTTGTTAAGCGAGGAGGAGATACAGCAGCACAAGTCGAGGATTCCTTTCTGTGGGGACAGGGAGTACTGAGAACCAAAGTGACTAAAGCATTGGGCAAAACACTATCTACCATCCACGCAAGCTCTCCAGAATAATCTAATCATACCCTCCACCGAAGTGCCCCAAGACATATCCCCCCCTAGCTCTTCTCGTAGGAAGCAAAACCCGTGAAGAACTCAACAGGGGCCGACTTCTTGTTGGAAATCTTGTACTGCACATTTTGCGTGTAATCGTAGGCAATCCTATTCATTCTTCATGTTAGCATAACCTCCCCGAACTGGAACTGGGGCACATACGCAGCGTAGGTATAGCTCTGCGGGTTCCGCATGGCGTATCTCTTGGTGAACGCTTTCTTCCCACTGCCTCGGCTCTCGTAGCCCGTCATCCGTTGAAACTGGTACTCCTCTCCGACGGAGGGATACATGAGACTGTCGCCCCAGACCAGGTGGAACAGCTCGTGGAATATGGCAGTGGCCTGGGGGGCCACCTCGGCGATCGAGGTAATGGTGCTGCCGGTGGGAGGCGTGTGGTCCTCAAACAAACTGTTGGCGACGGCGGTCACGTCCACCGCGTGCAGGCGGCCGCCCTGTAGGGCTTTGGGACCGAGGTTGATGAGCGCCTTGTCGGTATCCATGAGGGTGAATGCAATGGCCGAGGAGCCCGAGTCAAAGACACCGACGGTGGGCGAATCGCCCCATTTTTGGTCGAAGGTGTAGCTCTGGATTGAATCGCTCCAGTAGGGATACTGGTCCTCGGCCTCGCTCGCGGACTTTCCCTGAGCAACGGCGTCCTTCTCCGCGATGGTCTTCGCCTCCTGCTGCTTCTTCACCATCAGCAAATCATCCTCGATGAGCACATTGCCCGATCCATCGTCCTTGGGAATGGTCTCTCCGTCGGCGTTGCGCAGCTCGCTCTTCATGTCCTGACGGATGCGCCACCCGTCGCCGTACAGCAGAAACGGCTTCGTCTTCTGGGCGCCGTTGTTGATCTTCCCGCCACTGGTGAGATAGGTCACCACGCCATTGAAGCGCTTCTGTATGGTTTGGAGGTCCGACTCGCTGGGGGACAGGAACAGGGAGTTCATCAGTCGCTCTGCCTCCGCCTTGCCGGCGAGGGCGTCCGTCGCAGCGGCCACCCCGGCGTTGGCAAGCGTGAGCGCATCGGTCAAGAGAGTCTGCAGGTCCGTGTCGGTCGGCAGACCTCCCACATCAACCGCGCCCGGATCTGTACTATACTTGAACAGCTTGCTGAGCTTCGCGAGATCGCCGTCCGCAGCGACCGCGGGCTGCCACCAGGAACTGGCGGCAAGCGCCGCGATGAGAAACGCAGGAGAGAAAACTTGACGCAGCCGCACCATCCTGAGGGCTTGTATTCGGGCTATTCAGTTTGATGAGATTTCCAAGCCGTTGGGGTAATCGTATTCTATTTGACTAGTCCATCGTCGACCGTGTGTCTCGTTCAGGTACCTCAGCGTGGCCCCCCTTTTTTGACATTACACGTGAGCGAGATCTCAGGGATCTTAAGTTAGTGCCCTGAATACCCTGCCCCTGAGCTAGCCATTGATTTGACTTTTTCGTGGCAGGATGCGAGTTGAATAGCCTCATCCTGCAGATACTGTTGTATACATCGGCTTCTGTCCGAGGCGGTCCGGTACTAAAGATTTAGCCGGGCTCCACCCTGTGCAAGACGCCATCCCAAAACTGTCTCTTTGGCCCCCAAATTGTTCCTTCAATGCAATCAAAAGTGGACCAGGGACTTCCACATGGTCTGAATTGGCCCGAGTCATGCAGGGACCGCTCGTCTGGACACCTTTCAGGGTTTGATGCGGCTCTGATACGGGAAATGAGGTTGACCAGAATGCTCTCTACTGCCACCCAACCTTTCCCAAATGAGCCCATGTCCGAAGAAGGATGCCCTGTGTGATTGCTTTCTATCCACTCTTCCCACTAGAAAAATTAAAAAATCCTACCTACTAAGTTTCTGCACCAGCCGAGTGTTGCTGGATTTCCATCGGATACAGCCTCTCAAGGCTTGTATTCAGGAAGCACAGTTCAGGACTATTCGGACCCTCCCCCCCTGACTTGTATCGCACAAGGGGGAGAGCCAGGAACGACCATCTTCGTTGTCGCATTTATTGACACCTTTTCCCTCGATAAAAATGGGTAGTCACTGCGAATCACTTCCGCACAGGCACCATGGTGTCGTTTCACAGTTTGAGCCTGCTGTGGCTCGGAGCGCAATGTGTTACATCGGCCTCTGCGCATACGCATAATGGCCATGGCCACTTCCACATGCGCCATGAGCGGCAACAGTCGTCACATCTTCCTGTCTCTAGTCAGGCTTTTACCATGGGAGGAGGGCCTGCGACTACCGTCTCGATTCCGCGAAAGCCGGTGGGAACCAGCCCGCCCTTGCCTCTGGGATCACCTCAAGTAGGTTGCCTGCTATCGCTGCGCGAAAGAAGAACTTCAGACTAATCCAATGCAACAGCCGCCGCCCGCATACATGCGGGACAACGTCAACAACTTCTTCGGAAGCGCGCCAGACCAAGGATCAATGACTGGTCCGGTCCTCACGCCGCTCAATGCCACGGCCGATGCAAAGATGCACCACGCCCGTCGCTCAACCGACGACTACTGGCTATCCAGTCTCGGATCCGATGGCTCGTCTCCCTTCGCCCCATCGGGGTACCAGTTCTTCCGCAACGTCATGGACTTTGGAGCCGCCGGAGACGGCGTAACCGACGACACGGCGGCCATCAACCGCGCTGTTGCCTCCTTCAGCGCCTCCGATGATTCCACCCTGCGCTGCGGCGAGGACTGTGGCTCCTCCTCCACGCTGGGCGCGGTGGTCTATTTTCCCGCGGGCACGTATCTCATCAGCACGCCGATCGTGCAGTACTACTACACCCAGTTCGTCGGTAACCCCAACAGCAAGCCGATCATCCAGGGATCAGAGAACTTCACGGGAATTGCCCTGTTCGACTCGGACTTTTACGTTCCCGGTGGCAATGGCTCAGAGTGGTACATCAACCAGAGCAATTTCTACCGGCAGATTCGCAACTTTGTCTTCGACATGACCAGCATGAACTGGACTAACACCGACAACAACCAGACCTACGTGCCGGCCGGTGTGCACTGGCAGGTCGGCCAAGCGACCAGTATCACGAACTGCGACTTCAAGATGGCCGTCTCCGCTGATGGCCAGGCTGCCACGGCCGTGGGTATCTACATGGAGAACGGCAGTGGAGGAATGGTTTCGGATTTGACCTTTACGGGAGGGTGAGTGCGCTGCATGATTTCTTTGATTCTCTCATACTCTGCTAACACGGAGGACTTGTTCAGAAACATCGGATTCCTCGCGGGCTCGCAACAGTTCACCGCCATCAACCTGCAGTTCACCTCGTGCCTGACGGCGATCAAGTCCGTCTGGAACTGGGGAATCAACTGGAAGAACATCTACGTACTGTCCTGCTACATCGCCATCGATGCCACCGAGTACTCGGGCACGGGCGATCAGGGAACCGGGTCGATCTCGGTCGTTGACTCGCACTTCAACGGCGTGCCCTACGGAATTACGGTGGCACAGAAGGATGGCTGGCAACCCCATATTGTTCTGGACAATCTGCTGGTCGAGAACTCCGCTGCGGTGGTCATGATCAGCGGAGGCGACACCATCCTCGAGGGGTCTACCGACGCCTTGTACTTTAACTCTTGGTCCATGGGCTACCGCTACCTGCCCAATGGCTCCGGTGGCAAGCAAACCGGCTTCCTTGATCCCGCGCCAGAGAAACCGGAGGTCCTCCTCGATAGCTCGGGTGCCTACTACCGCCGGGCCAAGCCGCAGTATGAGAGCGAGACCCCCGTCGTCGCGACCAGCAATGGGATCTCCAATGATGGTACCGGTGATCAGACTGATGCGATCAACAGTCTCTTGGCAAGCAGCGTGGGATCGGTGGTGTACTTCCCTGCTGGTGTGTATCTTGTGGAAGATACCGTCAAAGTGCCGGTTGGGAGTAAGATCATTGGATCTGGATGGAGTCAGATTATGGGCACGGGGTCTGCTTTTGACGACGAGGAGAACCCGAAGGTGATGGTCCAAGTCGGTGAGGAGGGCGATGAGGGTGTCATCGAGATCACGGACATGCTTTTCACGGTCAAGGGTCCTACTGCCGGTGCTGTCTTGGTGGAGTGGAACGTCCACGAAAGCACTCAGGGTAGCGCTGCCATGTGGGACAGCCACTTCCGCGTCGGAGGTACCACTGCCAGTGACTTGGGGCTGGATAACTGCCCCACCGGGTCCGGAGTGAGCAAAGACTGCATGGGAGCTGCTCTTCTGATGCACGTCACCTCGTCTGCTTCCGGCTACTTTGAGAATGTCTGGGGCTGGGTGGCTGATCACGATATCGACAGCAAGTTGAACGCAGCGGCATCCGAAAGCACTGCCGGAATCCCGCTGAATGTACAGACTGATGTTTCCGTCTACGTGGGTCGTGGGTTCTTGATCGAATCCCAGGGCCCGACCTGGCTGTATGGCACCGCCAGTGAGCACGCGCAGATGTACCAGTACCAGCTGGCCAATGCAGCCAACGTCTACTTGGGACACATGCAGACCGAGACTCCCTACTACCAGCCCTCCCCGGACGCGACAGGACCATACACGGCCGGGGTGGGTAACTTTGCCTCGGATCCGACCTTTGACAACTGCGACGAAGACGACTCTTCTTGCAGAGGGGCTTGGGCTCTGCGGGTGATCAACTCGACCGATGTGCTGATCTACTCGGCCGGATTCTACTCCTTCTTCCAGGACTATGATGAGAGTTGCATCGACACGGAGACCTGCCAGCTGGCCCTGGTCGAGACCAACTACGCTGATGGACTGTACATCTACAACCTGTTTACCAAGGGTAACGAGCAGATCGTAAGTCCAGACGGCAGCCTCGCTCCGCTGATGTTCAACGACACGACGCGCAACGGCTTCACCAGCGAGATTGCCGCGTGGCTGGCACTTTCCACCGGCGGCGCAGACATTGGGTCCAACGGCAACGATTCGGGCATTGTCTACATTGACCCCATTATTTGGACCGAGCCAGACAATGACACTATCGTCCAGTGCTATCCCCCCTGCACTTACGTGCTGCCGCCCACCACTTTGTCTTCCGCCACGACCTTCGTTTATCCAACCCTAACGACAGAGATCGGTGTTGGATATCAGGTGCCGTATACCTTCACTTACAATGGTACCATCAGCACTACCACCTCGTATATCATGTCGACAACTACCTCCACAATCACCATCCCGGATGTGGTAACGTCTATCGTGCCCTTCTACAACGTCCCGATTGGTAACGGCACAACTTCCACCGTTATTACGCCGGAGCCCAGCATCATCCAGACCGCGTTCAACATCACCTGGCCGGCGATGACCTACAACGGAAGCATCTACTCCAGCACTGTGGTGCCCTTCTACCCCCCTCCCTGGCCCGGCACGACTGTCCCATCGGACGTGCCCACTTCAACGACCGAGCCCACCAAGACAACAACCTCGTCCACAACCACGGCTGTTGGCATCATAATTCCCCCTGGAGGCACGCACCACGTCACGCACCACCGTGGGGAACCCAAGCCCAAGTGTACCAACAGGGCTGTGTGTGGTGAGAGCTGCCACGAGGGGATCCTAGGAGGCTTGAACGCGATCTTCAAGGTTTGTGAGCATTGCTGGACTGATTGCGGAGGAGGTAAATGTACGTATCATTCTTTGTCCAAAGCCTTGTACGATGCTCTGTTCGCATGAATAACTGACTTTCTGCAGCACCGAACAAGAACGGCAACGATCCCAACCGACCAAAGCCTGTGCCCACCGGCTCTCCTGGCGACGAAGACGAGGAATGTGAGACCTCGACCTACAGCTCCTGCCACGTGGCCTGCGTGACTCAAGCCTCTACGAGCTCCTGCTCCACCTCGTGCAAGGGTAAGCAAAGTATATTTACCCATATTACAGCTTCACCGACTAACAAAAGCAGATGTGGTCGGCTGCGACACCACCGCCACCACGACATCGGACATCTACTCGGCCGCCCCCGTGCTGCTGGGTGGAGTCGAACCCTGGGACGACTACAACGACGACATCTACACCGCCGACTGGGACGCCGCATGGTCCATCTACAGCGCCTACGGAACCGCCACGGCCGCGCCCGGGGCAGCGACAACGACCACAGGGCCCACAGCGACAGCCGGACAGCCCAGCACCACGACCGCCACCACGACCAGCGGCGCCAACAGCTCCCCAACCATCGGCTGCACCCCGCACCAAGACCCGGACTCCGGCAGCTCCGACACGAACTGTGTGTGCCCCGGCTACGACGGGTACCTGCCGACGCTCAGCGGTTCCGCAGGTCTCTGCGGCTACACGGCCCTGCCCTCCAGCACCTCGACCACCGCGCCGCCGACCACAAAGAACAACAACCCTTACCCCTTCACCTCGACGGACTTCTGGGGCGACGTGATCGCGTGCGAGTCCTCCACGACCACCAACTACGCGGGCTACGACTTCACCTTCTGCGCGGGGTCCAGCACCACCGAGAAGTCCGTAACCGTCACGCAGACGGCGACCATCGCCACCTCCGTGCTGAGCAACCTGTGCGAGGGGGGCGACTACTACTCGTGCGTCTCTGACATCATCTCCTTCGGAATGGCCTCGTGTCCCAGTCTGCCCCGCGCCCATGCCGCCTGCCAGCGCCAGGTCTTCGAGAACGCCCAGCTCGAGTGCGAGCGCCTGTGCACCATGACTGCGACCTCGTATACGACCACCATTACTACTGTGCCGGCGTAGTCAGCCTTCATCCTTTGATGCATTTCTAATTGGGGGTGGAAGATAAGCTCGGCGATATGGATTTAGCTTTTAATGGGGTTTTAGCTTCAGTTTCGAATTGTAAAAATATTTATTCTAGGTTTTGTGTCCACAATGCAGGAAGTTTGCACAGAGTGCAAGCGAATCATAGAAGCTTCAATTTACACTAACTCGATGATCATGACTAGATCATGCTAGGTAGTTGTCCTACCTGCATTGGATGTTGGATGCTAGTGACCAGTATTTGTGCCTCATATACCGCAGGTGTACTACCCTAGGAAGCCTCGGGCCAACACTCAACAACAGCACTCCTCGCCCCATCAACGGTCAAAACCACACTAGCCCCCCACTCCAACGGATTCCCCTCATACACCACAATATCACCCCCTCCTTCACCCCCCAAATGCAAGATCTCCTTCACCTCCCGACTCACCAAATCCACTGCTCTCTGCTCCGACAACCCCGCCACCTTAGCCGCGAACCCCGCATCGACCCCCAAATTATGAACCCCCGAGTCACTCCACCCCGCCTGCGCCAACCCGACCTTCACCCCGGCCTCAACCAGCACCTTCAACCCCGGCGCTGTCAGTGGATCCCCCACCAGCGCCTCCTTCACCTCCCAGGTATCGGGATTCGGGCGGAGGCCCGTGAACAGCACCGGGATGCGGGAAGCGGCCAGCTCGCGCGCGACGAGGGGCGCCTCAGTCGCGCCGAAGAGGATGAGATTTGTATCTGGGAAATCGCGCTTGAGCTGTATCAGGTGCAGGATGTCGTAGCGGTTGAGGACGTGGATGATTAGTGGGAGGGTGCCGTTCGCTACCTGGGTATACACTTCTACATCATCTTGTGGCGATGGCTCAGACGAGGAGAGATGGTGGCCCCCGGCGAGGAAGCGGCGGAGCAGGCCGATCTGCGAGGAGATCGTGGGAGTGCTTTCGGTCTTGCCGGTTTGGCCGATTTGGATGTGCAGGCCTACGTCTGGGTGGAGGATTGCGCGGTCGAGGAGGGTTTGATTCTCGCTGGTGCTGGGTTCATCGGATGGGGTGGTCGTCAAGCTGGGACTGACTTTGAAGGCGACGGAGACACCACGCAGGAAAACGGGAACGCCCTCTGTCACGAGCGGGGCGGTGATGGCGGTGGTGATGCCCCCCAGCTTGGCGCGTTGGAGGTCCTTGCTCCCTCCCGGGTGGAGACCATGTTTGGCGTAGATGATGGTCTTGGGTGCTGACCCGGACACGATGCCGTCGCCAGTGGAGGACTCCATGATGATGTCCTGGAGGCCTAGACCGGCGGTTACGGCGGTTAGGCCGGGGAGGATGTGGCCGTTTTGGAGGTGGATGGCTGTGCTGTCGTCCACAGCGTTGGAGAGACACTCGGTTGCGGGGCCGAGGCAGGCGATGCGACCGCCGGAGAGGACGAGGGTGAGGTTGTCCGTGTTGGACTGCGGGTGGAGGTCGGGGATTAGGGCTTTGGTGATACCCGTGATGATGAGGTTGGCGTCTGCGCGGGAGGCTTGGTCACAGACCGAGGTTCTCTCGGTATGTATCGGCTGTGGGCGGCTTGAGGGAGCGGATAGTGTAGTTTGGACGGATTTGAGTTGATCAATGGTCGAGTTGAGAGTGGCGCGTCCATCGATGTAGACTTGTAGAGGCGTGGCTCCGTTGGACAATGGGTGCGAGTCCCAGACGACCAGATCAGCGTCGTAGCCGGGTCGGGCGTAGCCGATGCGGTGGGCCAGCTCCAGGGACCGGGCGGGGATGCTCGTCACAGACTGGAGGGCCTGAATCTCGGGGAGGCCGAAGGAGTGCGCTTCTGCGGCTTGGGATCTGCTGCATGTTAGCCTCGGGTATGTGTAGCATAGCTGCATCGGCTTACAGGAGATACTTTGCGTTGAGGAACTCATTCGAGCCGTCCTGACGAATTTGATGAGCGATTGAAAAGTCTCGGGTCCGTGGGATGCCCTAGCTTACCGACTTATAGGCCACAGGGACCCCATGTTCAGTCAGAATCTTCCCCGCGTAGAGGGTAGCATCGTATGCTTCGTGCTTGTAATGCGCAAAGTGCGAGAATGTGGCGACGGTGATGTTCCTGCTACCGTTCAGCCACAACATTCGACCAAAAAGTACACGGTCCACCTACTGTCCACTGTTCTTAATCGTTTCCGGAACCCTCCAGGCCTCCAAAGCATGGTGGAAAGCCTGGATACGGAACCCGAACTCTTCACTGTGGCGAAGCATAGCCTCGATGTCCTCACTCTCGTAGCAATGAATGTTGATACCCACCTGCCCGCGCAGCATAGCGACCGACGACTCCAAGGCGATATCGGTCGGCAGTCCTCCATCCTTCACCAAGTCCGCGATCGCCCGCTCATCGCCCGTCTCATAGGCCGCCGCTGCGGCCACACACCAGTCATCTTGCTTGACAAGAAGCTGCCGCGCACTGTCCATCTGCTTGCGGAACAGGAACGCGTTTCCCATGCGCGTGTGGCCGTAGACGTCCTTGGGGTTTTCGCCACAGGCCATCTTCATGTACCGTCGCCGTTGCTCCTTGGGCACGCCATGCTCCAGCAGGAGCTCCTCCACCAGCTCCTCACCAGCCTCGTCACGACGGACGTTCTTCACGGGGACGGCCTCGCCGCCCATGATGTTGGCCGAGCCAGGCAGAATCAGTGACGAGGTGACGCCCCCGGAGGCGACGATTGCAGCGACCGGGTCGTAGGCTTTCAATGCATCCAGGGCCTTGACGTAGGGGGTCAGCGGGCCGAAGTCCGGGTGTATCTCGTTGACGTCTTCGACCGCGCGAACGTCCGGGCTGGAGCCTGCAATGTGGTGCGAGTGCATGTCCACTAGTCCCGGGGTGACGAAACGGCCTTCAAGGTCGAGGACGAGGGCATCATGGTCTTCAAGATGCGAATCATGATGGGCGGTGGGGACGATATGTGTAATGATGCCTTTGTGGAAGGTGATATCCACCGGGTGGTCGAGGGTGAGATCGCCGTCGAAGAGGGTCGCGTTGCGCAGAACAATGGCTTGGCTCTGCCCCTTCTTGGCGCTCCAACGCGGGTTGCCTCGGTTGAGATTGAGCCCCGTCGGCTGTTCGTATTCAACCGGTGGGCGGTGCAACGTCGAACATGCTTGAAGGTGGAGTTCCAATTGCTCCAGACGGTGCTGCGATAGCTTTTGCGTTGCCGGGTGGCCCGAGGATAGCAGTCGAGGAAAGAGGGCGAATTGGGTCCACAGGAAGATAATCACGGCGGGGATGAGATACAGGCCCCGTCGTCTGGAGATGGGCACCGGTGGAGACCGGCCAAGCTCAGCCGGTTGGCCCATTGGGATGTCTCTTCAATTATATAGTACTTGTGTTTATCACCTTCACCGTGTCTGGGATAGACAGAGTGAATTGTTGTGGAAGGAAGAGGAGGGTCAGCGACCGGCCGGGGTTTTGTTGTGTCCAACGCGCTTATCGTCCTCGATATGACGTGCTGCTCTAACTGACTTAGTGCTATGGCCTGACTAATCCAAGCAAGTGAGTGCCAGTTGCGCGTCGACTTCCTTATCCAGCACTGAAGCCCTCTGAACTCTGGAGCCATGTAAATTGGCAATTCTCTATCAGTACGGCTGATGTACTCGGTTTGCTTTTACACAAGCCGCTAACCCTGATTGATAGCTAGGGCAGCCTTCCAACAATCGGAAATTCGGTTCCAATACTGCTCGAAGTGCATGCGCATGTGTCCAACATGCGGCGAGCCCTCAAACAACTCCGTATCAACAGCCCGATAACCCAGCGTCATCACCCCGGCGACATTCTCCTCAAGGTCTTCGTACCCAATGATCATATCCTCCTTCGAATACAAATACAACCTACTAGTCTTCCTGCTCGTCACATCAGCCTCATTCAGTACGCGATTTGCCCAGACCCCCGAGGGCTCTGCTCCCCGCAGCCTCTCCAAAAGATAATTCCCCCACAAAAACACCCACCACAGCGCCTGCGTCACGATTAACGGCCACGGAAACATTTTCGCCGTGCCCACCGCCATCGCGTGCGACCAGCGGCCCACCTCCGCGGAGAACACAAGGCCACCGGGCGTGGAGTCACAAACGAGCAGTTCATGTGGCATTTGCTTATCCTTGCCGTGTCGTTCCTGATACGCCACCATCGCGGCGGCGACGAAGATCCCCCCGGTGTTGGACATGACGTGGAGCAAGACGCGCTCTTCTGCCCCGTCACCGCCGTCGCCAGTTGGCGTGGGGAAGACGGTATCGATAATGGGCATCATGGCTTGGATGCGGTCATTGAGGGGCTGGTTGGACGCTTGGAGGGTCTTGGAAAGGGCGACGAGGATGCGACTGGAGGGGTAGAGACTGTGGAAGCCATCCGCATACTTTGAGACGTGTTTGGGCATGCCATCACCCCAGCCGAAGATGATGATGGTTGTAGGATGGTCGGGGGGTGCGAATCGGCTAGTGTCATTGCCATTGCGGATAAAGATTCGGTCTGATAACGGGGTGAACCCCGGGAATGCGATGGATTTGGGTGGCATTGTGTGTTGTGGGACAGCTACCGCGGGGGAGTATTTGTTTCTTCTGCTTGGTCTAAGGGTCGAATTTGGGATCTTGAGGCGTGTGGATTTCTATTTGCCTTGCCTTTAGCAATAAATGATTAATTATGAGCTGAACAAGGCTTGTTTCTTCTCTCTTTATACCTGTACAGAGTAGATTGAAGGTTGTTGAGCTGGATGCAAAAAAGGGAAAAAAATCACTATTTATCAAGCTACCGTCAGCCTGTTGAGACTTTGGGGCCACTGTTTTTGCAGTGAGTGGGTCGTTGGGAAAAACGACTGATGCTGGCAAATCTGCGAGCCAGAAATATGCGTGGTATACCTCGGCTTTGCCCTTTCGGGCTAGTCATGAATAATTAGACCCACTTGTTCTTGTTACTCCGTAGTGCTGTGAACAAGCCATGCTTACACAGCCCAAACAGAATGCGATTGAGAGAAATCTACAAGATGAAGTCAGCAGATATCTGGAAGTAAATCTGATTAGAATCCCAGGTCGTACTTAAGCTGCCCAGGAAGATTATATACAGGCGAAGCACTTATATATTATTCTCAACGGATTGGTAAGTAATACTAAGAATGATGCTCAGCAATCAATTGACATAGGCGTAAGATAAGGGGGTATACTGTTCCCTTGGCTGCATTGTAAGCATAAATTAGAAGGCAAAGCATTTGTAATCTCTCTTCAAGGGCTGTTGCTATCTGCAAGTCTTGCTTTGCCTTCTCAAGCTCAGCTTCTGCGGGCATATTCACCGCCATGAGGTAAAATACATCCTCCTGTAACAGTCGATTCTGAGGCTTTTCCTTCAAACCTTGAACTCTTTGCTGGTTTAGTTTGCGTTGCGCCTTTTCCCATCGCCGTTTCGCACCGAGTCTGTGCGAGTCAGATCAAGTCACTTACACCACAATCTTCAGGGGTGGTCATCCTTACCACCTGGGAGGGAGGGTGCTTCAGAAGCAAACAAGCCACCTGCGTCAATCTACACTCATCTTGTTCTACAGTATTGACGCCCCGCGCTCTGATTGTGGTCTACTGACGTAGTATACTCGATTCATGAGAAGGTGTCTTGGTGGTGAGGTACAACCATCCGCAGCAACGGGGGGCAGAGTGCCAACAGCGCCCTCAATGTATGTTTTGAGACCGAGATGTACTTTGCCCGATTGATAGAACCCATGAAAGGTGAGTGAAGTGAACATGAAAGCGTGAGGAGGACTCTGCAGCCCGCCCGAGACCCTTCTCTAAGACGAATCTTAATGATATACCTGTCCCAACCGACATTCTGCCTGCATCCAGGGTAAGAGGATGAGGGGACCCGAACGCCTCCGACGCAACATCAACTCTCCTCTCTCATCTCGACCGCCACCCTTTTAACCCCAACCTGCACCAAGCCCTCATAGCGCGGTCCGTCCGCCCCTTCCAGCGTTTCTAATCCCATCATTAGTACCAAATCCTAAACATCACCAATACACATGTTTCAGAAGATACTCACGTGTTAATGCTTTCACGAGGGTGATCGACGTCGACGCCAACAGCGCTAGCGGGACGATCTCCGCAAACGTCCACGCCGTCGTCTCCTTGCTCAGTTGATACCACTCTTCGACCTCCATCCCCGCCCGCAGCGAGTTATACGTATGGTACGCCCAGACCGTCAGCGCCAGCGTCGCCACCGAGACCGCCGCGGCCACAAGCAGTTTCACCCACCGCAGCCACCGGTGCAGATCCACCTCCTGCGCCTCCAGCCAATTGACCCCGGCGATCACGGCCGTGAACCCCGTGAAAACGATCAAAGCGATGTACTGCCCGAACGCACTGGACCGCCCGGCCTGGGAGAAGATCTCAGTCCCGCTGGTATTGTTTCCGGTCGAGTTGAGGTGGGAGACGAACTCCCCCGCGTCAGCGAGGCCAAGCCAGTCGCTGGCGTTCATGTTCATGGAGCAGCAGGCGGGCATGATGGCCAGCGAGCTGGGCCGAGCGGGGAAGGCGGCGCGGTTGCGGGCGGAGAAAATCATGCTGATGAGAACGACCTGTGCGACCAGGGCTGCGCACCGGTAGAGGGCGAGGAGCTTGCCCTGATGGATGAAGGTGGGGATGCTGACCAGGGTGTTGAGGTGGGTAACGAAGGACATGAGCAGCATGGCGCAGACGAGGTCGTAGTGGTAGGCGGCAATGGTACACGCCTGCTCGCTCAGGGCGAAGATCAGGGCAAAGCCGGTTGTGAGTTGTTGGTCGCTGAGGGTGTGCAGGAGCTGCTCGACGGTGTGGGTGATGCGGCGGTAGTATCTCGTTCTGTGAGGGGATTGTATCATGAGCTGGAGTTCGAGGTGGCGAGCTTTGGCAGGTGTTAGCAGGGTAGGTACATACTCTCTTATCGCGTTGTCTGTGTCTCTGTACTGATTCCAGTAGATGCAGGCCTTGTCGATGAGCAGAACGAAGGCGGCTCCTATGGCCACGGCCGAGGTGATGATCAAGGCTTTGACTAGCTTTGCACTGTCAGTCATAGTTCAACTTATGCAGGGTTGAGCAATATACCCCAGGCCCGGTGATAGACGTGTTTGGGCTCAGCTTTTGAGCAGGGGTCAGGTCGGTAGCATTGGTGTACAGGGCAAAGTCGCAGGTTACGTTGTAACCCCGCGCTTGGCAGCTCGACTGACTGCTTGGGATATTCCAGTCCAGCATTCTGATGGATGATGCTTGAATCAAAGTCTATATCGTGATAGCACGACAGCAATGCGAGCCCAGATCCAGCACTTCACGAATCTCCCGCAACTTTATACTCATTCTTGACACCATTTGCCATGCTGCTCGTGGCTTGGTGGCTGAATGTCCAGCCGGACGATGCAGCGATGAAGTTGCAAGGCTGCCAAGAGCAATTCACTGCCTTTGTGGTTTTGTTCCAACTCGGTGACTGGTCGCCATAGTTCGTATTGTAAGATTTGATGCCGGCAGCCTGGCTTGTGCCTGAGACTCTGCCTTTCTGGTAGACTCCGCCCGATGCACGTCCAAGCCCGGAAGAGACTAACCGAAAGAGGTTTCATGTCGCTAGCGCGGTGCCTGAAGGATTCCGGAGCCATGGATCTCTCCATAGCCCGGGTCCGAGGGCTTCGAAGACCAATTTCCCATTCCGGTAACTACTGCCGCATTCCGATTGCAGCTACATGGGGCCTAGAGGCAGAATGGACGGGTACGCTTTCCAGGCAGGGCTGAACCTGCCTGAGGGTGACCCACACTACGGGAAAACTGGAGTCTACTCTATATCGACACAGCATTATAACCAGGGAACACAAGGATAGTCTGCAGGTGGTTTTCAGGGACAAAAGCGTGGCTTGTATGGTATAATTAATCTCTCATCAGGGTTGCCTCCCACATTTTAGAGATGTTAATGAGAGCGTGTTGTTTCCAGGTCTAAAACGTTCTTGAGAATCGCATTTCCCTAATATATGTATAACATCTCGAGTTGCTTTACAGTACATACAGCAATCATTCAAAATATACAGTCCCATAGTAGTCAATGGATCCTAGTCTGAGTCCCAAGCAAGAACTTCGACAGACCAAAGCCAGGGCCATGTGTGACAGCGTTAAGATTGTTAAGACCCATTCTCAGTGTTGGAAATGGTCTCCAGCACCGCACTCTCCGTCTGGTTGTACACAATATAAAAGTCAATGCTGTTGGCAGGTGGGCCATACTCGAACCAGGTACAGCTGACATAGTATTCGCTATAGTCACCGAGTCCTCCCGACGGGTTGATTATGCTCTTCAGCCACTGCTGCTTCTGGGCCGTGGTAGCGGCGCCGTTGTTCAGCTGTGTGCCGGTCTCGGCAATAGCAAACGGCAGGCTATATCCCTTGGCATACGCGTCGTAGAAGTCTCCATAGGCGGTAGCAAAGTCCGGAAGAGCATCACCTTCAGGGTAGTAGTCCATTCCGACAATGTCGACGTACTCCTCACCAGGCCACCAAGGCGCGATGGGCTCCGAGTCCGTATCGACATTCGGCGACCAGAACATGTAAATCATGTCGTTGGACTCCGTTGCTGTATACATTTCTTTCCAGGTATGGTTGAAGGCGGCGTAGTCACCTGTTATACGGCGTGGACTGTTAGTCTTGCCCGGCGTGAGGAAAAGATTTAGGGGAAGTACTTACGGCCACCAGGATAAACCACGACACTAGGATCGGCGTAGTAGTTCATTTCATGAGCATAGCGAAGCCAGACGGTGACACCCTTGCTGGTGAAGGTGTCTTTGAAGTATGAAGCGACCGATTCGCAGAGCTCAGACGTGATGTCCTCCCAGTCAACCTTCGGCATCAGGGACGCGATCAGAACGGCCCCGGAGGCAATGATATCGTCCACTGGATACTGGTCGTTGCCATCATACGACCCCGACTTCACATTGTCCTGGGTGATCTGCGAGTAGACATTGTAGCTAGATCGGAGGTGAGCCTTGCAATAGAGAAATGTTTTCGTCGCACTCACGTGGCGCCCTTTTGGCCCGTCGCTTCGTTGAGGTCGGTCATGGTGACTCGGGGGCTGTAGTTGGGAGCCCAGCCGAAGTAAATCCCGTCATAGCTAATCATGGAGTCGGCCTTGATGCCCAGGCTTTCACCCAAGGAGTTTGACTCCTGGTTATTGTTAGTAGGTTATAACATGTGGTATTAAGACTGCAAGCCTACCCTTTTGTGATTCATGTCGCTAAGTGGGGAACCGACACAGCCACGGACGGCCAAAGCCATTACGGGAATAGAGGTAAGACTGCGCATTTTGCCGACGAATACTCCGTAGGCGTGGATGTAATGAGCTACAATTCTCGAACTGATAGCTCTCAACTAGGAGGTCGACTCCATTTATACTGCTAGAATGAAATGACCCAGTATGTTGGCATCCAACAATGTCTCCACGGGGCTATGCTAAAGCTGAATCGAAAGAGTATGCGAGTCAAGCCGCAAAACCCTGGATTTCAAGCCCGAGTCATGTCGCGAGCTGAAGGCTCCGATCCGCCAATCGTGACATACCTCTGCTTTAGGAAGACCAATCAACGCCCCGTGCCTGGGCGTGGCGGCGATCCTTCATTTCCGTCCAGAAGTTAGGGCTCAGTGATCGATTCTAAAGACAGCCCGACTGTCCCGTGCTGGCAATGGGGCCATCGCCCCCAACAAGCATCTTGTTTTTCTTCACCCTCGATTCCTGTCATACCTTTATATAGAAAAGGCGCCCCCACATTCATGCCCCAGTCCCTAACTTGAACCCTTTGCCCTGGTTCTAGCCAGACTGAGTTTCAACAGCACGATGTCGAGCCACAATAGCAAGAGTTATCTGCACGCTCTTCTCGCATTATCGCTGTCGATCTCAGCCCAATGTACAACGACCTACTACATCAACAAGGTAGCAGACTATTCATCCTTGTCACAATGTGCGGTCGCCCCGCTCAGCAGCGTCGTCCGCGACATGGTGTCTGGCTGCGGTGACGGGGGCAAATACACATCCTACAGCTGCTTTTGCACCGCCAGCTCCTCCGAGTTCAATCACATCATCTCCTCCGGCGTCGAATCGAATTGCGGAACAAACTCAGAGAACCAGGTCTCGACGGCGTTGGCGGTCTTCCACAGCTACTGCTTGTTCAACGCGACCGCGACAACGACGACCCAACCAGTTCAGCCTGCTAGCACATGTACTTACCCTCTCTCTTGTTGGTCACTGTCCCATTGAATCACACTGACACATTCCCAGTGACCCCCACAGCATCGACCCTCTCAGCTACAGCCTCCTCCACCACCAGCACTGCCGCCCCAGCTGCCTCCGTAACGACCACGCCCAGCCCTGTCGCTACATCAACAACAGAGACCACCAGCGTACCATCCACATCATCGCCAACTCAGACCCAAACGCCCGCCAGCAAGTCCTCTAGTCCATTAAGCACGGGCAGCAAGGCCGCCATCGGCGTCTGTGTTCCCATCGCGGCAATCAGCCTCGCTGCGGCCGCGTTTCTTCTGGTCCGCAAACGGTCGCGTCGCGCACGGCGGGATCACAACGGGATGATGCTGGACTCCAGCGCTCCCACGCCGCGAGAGCCCAATAGCCCGACCGAGATGAGGCCGGAGATGTGGCAGCGATACGAGTTGCCGGAGGATGCGAAGCGGAAGAGCACCCACCTGTATGAACTGTCCGGGGATGGTCCGTCGGCGGGGAGGTGAAATAGCTGCATGAATAGACCTTGAGGATTTGCAGTGATCGGATATATGATGCTAATATCGCTCGTTGGTGTCATTGGATCTCTTTCTTTCTTTCTTGCAAGCATAGGGTGCGGATATGGATCCCTTGATTTTTTCTATTCATTCGGGTGGATCGGTCGCCTACTTCGTAATTTAGCATATTTAATGGCAATGAGAAATATGATTATAATTCAATTGCGTTGATCAGGCATTCACCAGATCAATATTCTAGTCAAAGGAGTTGTACTTGTGTGTGTTTGAGGCTGAAGGGACAGACCCTTCCGGGGCTGACGTTTATTCCAGTCGTATAGGGTTCATGTCCCACGCCCCGGAAAATCCGGACCAGCACACACATCCACCGGGAAAATTAGCCAGAAGAGATGACTGCAGCCTATTGGCGGGTGTGCCCTCATCGGCCCTTGGCGTGGAGGCAAAACAATCATCCATCAAGTTAGACAGTAGACTATAGCAACGATACTATACCTCCGTTAACCTATCAACGCGACAAGCCTTGCCGTCCGTTGTGACGTTTGAAACGGCCGGCCGAATGTCACGTGGAGCGAACTCTTTTCTCCTTGAGTTTCCTTCCTGAGCGGGTCGGGGAAACAGACAACAGGGACGCTGCCGGAAATGTTTGAGCGTTGGTGGGCATACTGGTCAGCGGTGACGGATCGAATTGGTGAGTGCATGAGTACTGTTTCTGGTGCGCTTGTTTCCAGATTGCGCCTTCAGCAGGTCCCAGCTTAAATCATTGACATATGGGAATATCCTCGGCATTTCCACTCTTTTGCCTCGGCGCGTGACTGTCTCCAATCTTAAAGAAATCCGTTGGACATGTCAAGCAACAACATCATAGCTTAAACCCTCTCCAAAAAAAGCCCTGGAAAGTTGAATGGAAAACACGACGTACTTCATGCTGTTGTGAGCATTTGTCTCCCAAACATACCAAACATCGACTCGTCCGCCGGGAAAAAGTCATCTGCCAGAGCATTCAACATTGAAGAATCCCACGCTTCCGCCTCCAGTGGCCAATGCAGAACCGCATCTGTTGCAGAGTCCAACCCCACTAGGAGAAAGGATTTAGATTTGACAACGAAGACGTCAGGCAGCCGTACTACTCACCAGTAGGCGCGTCCCCGTCCGCCGCCCGGTCCTCTGCCTCGAGGAGATTCACCACCGACTCCAGCCGGCGCATGAGCGACCTCAGCAGTTTCAACGGTCGCTTCAGGCCATACAGGCACCCCTTCCGGTACTCCAGCAGGGCGGACCAGAAGAAGCGGATGCAGTGCACGTCATCGTCGACGTTGCGGGTGTGCTGGAGCATGACGACCACGGCACAGGACGTCGCATAGGCTATGCCATACTGCGCGCGTCGGAGGGTGAAGGTTTGCTGATACGCCTCTACGAGCTTCCCGATCTTCAGCGCGGCCTCCCGACACCGCTGTCTGGATTCTTCCGCGGCGGCAGGGGGCAAGGCGCAGGGGAAGTGGCCAGGGCGCAAGAATGCTTGCTCGGTCAAGATCACCAGAGTCCAGTGGAGAGCACTTTCGGGATACTTGTTAGTGTCCAACGTGAGGAGTTTAAGCGGGGATGCTCACTGTGGGGTGAGCTGGTGCGGAGGGCGCGTGGCGTCCAGGCCCGGTTCGAACCGTAGCGAGGCAGGGAGGGTATCTTGCCATTGATGGAGTTGCGTTGCGATACGATACGTTGGTCACGACAATCAGCCTAGCCCATCGCCCTGATACCCCGCAAACCGGGGGCGTTCTAACCGCCGCGGCAAGCATCTCGTGGGGGCGCAACACGCGCGTGGCGGTCGCTGTGGACTGTGCCCTAGGGCTACTCGCAGATGCAGCGGCACTCTTGGCAGCACGGAACAAGGTGATCTCGACGATAGTTACAGAGCGCCTTCCGTTTGCTGCAGTTCATGCGGCTCCAATGCCCTCTTGGTACGTTGCTCGCAAAGGGATATAATCTAGCAAGTTGCGTGCAGTCACTGAGTGCAATTGCTGTTCGTTGGATAGCGCTGGTCTCCTGATTACTTTAGTAGGCACAGAGCAGCATCAACGGGTTCATACATGTTAATATCGTCATGTTTCATAGCTGCATCTAGCCATTTTACGGGAAGGTGGTGAGTACGTGGTTTAGCCGAGTTCGGGAGGCAGGCGGCGAGCATGGCCGAGTGCTGCATTGATGTTGGATGGTGGATGACCGGGGGGGGATCGTCGTTGAATCTGAAGGGCTGGGGGGGTAGGCTCTTGGATGGTAAGTGGGTTCCACGGAAATAGTAGGTCAAGGCATGTTGGCTTTGGTCCGGGTATAGTATGTACATTCCTGATATAAGGTTCGGATCTGCTTAACATTTTCTTTCGTGTTCAATCGGGACTTGTCCTGCATTGTACGAAGGAAAGCCCATGTGGAACGATGGCGCGCAACAACATTCAGCATCGACACCCTCCGAAGAAGAGCAGCCGTTACCGTTTGTATAGGTGGCAGCAGAAGCAGGACAGGTGGTGAAACAACCACTTTCAATGAATGCACAGCCGCACGCATCGTCAGCACAGACTCCCTCAACTTCCCGAACGATGTTTTGTTCTCTCCGTCCTTGGGTGAAACCCGCGCGGCGGCTATCGCGACGGGCCACGTCAACCACGCCCGTGCGGTCGGTGCGATATACCCCATAAGTGGGTTTTGGGCCCGCAGAGGAGGGACTCCAGGCGGAAGACGAGCTTGCAGAAGTCATCAATATCCGACTCTTGGTGTTCCACAACTGGGTCAAGAATCTATCGATATAGTTGCTGCGCGTGGTTCCTCCTGCCTGCTGCGGCGTTGGACAAGGCTTCGGACAAATTGAGGGAGAGCCATGCCAGTGGGCTCTTGGTGGGGAGTGCGTATTGAGCTGCGGAGTGGAAAAGCCTTCTTGATAGGGCGATTGGAGACGGGACGAGTATGGGTGAGAGGGCCTTGTTCAACGAAGTTGTGGAAAGGGGCGAAACCCCCGGGGCGTAAGGCGGGGAGGGTTTATACTCCCGAGTCGCGGGCGCGCCTTCCGATCTCGGTCCGCCAGTGGTCTCCGGTTTGATAAGTACTATATATGCTTAAATCCTCATATGGCTGGATGATGAATTTGATTGATTGATCTCAAATCACAGAACTTCATATTATTTAACATAGCCCGGCACAGCCGGTGCCCTCGAGCAACAGACCGAGTATACAATCGACCGGCAGTCTCGAAATCGTATCACATGATGAAAGTAAACAAGCAACTAATATTTCGGTCACACAAACAGCAACAGCATCCTCGCTAAGCCCCATCTTCTCAAGCGGCAACGGCCCTTAGTAGGTGTCGTTGGAGTCGTAGAACTCCCTGGGCGCAAACTTGAGCTCCACGTCACCAACATCAAAGACGGCGACCACATTCTTCAGGAAGACATCGCCAAGGATGAAGATATCCTCGCTGTAGTCGTCGCCACCGTCCACAATACCCGAGATACAGACAGTGTTGCCACTGTCGTCGGTGCCGGCGTCCAGAATCATGTCCAAGGGGTTGATGATGTAGGTGGTTCCTCCGATGGTGATTCCGTGCGCGGGGGCCGTGGCATCACAGTCGACCACGTAGGCGCCCTCGTCCTCGCTGTACGTGGCGGCAGGGGAGAATGCAGCGTTGACTTCGGCCGCGATCGAAGTCGGGTAGTAGTTCAGGGTGGTGCCGCTGTCGACAATGTACTGGATGCTACTGCCACCGGCGGCGGTGAGCGACTTGCCGCTCAGAGTGACGGCGTCGATCTCAATGGTGTAGTAGGCGTAGCCTTCGTCCTGACCGTCAGAGGTGGTCACCAGGATATCGGTGGATGACCAGGTGTCAGTGTAGTTGACGGGAGGAAGACCGCCAAGGGTGATGTAGCCGGCAGCCCCGGAGACATCGCGCTCGATGGCGATGCTGAAGTAGGAGTCGATGATGCCTTCATCGACCAGGGTGGTGATGATGGGGTCGTATTCCACCTGCCGATCGGTTCGGGTGCTGTAGGCACTCGTGCTGGAGGTAGCAAAGTTAGAACCTTTTGTGACTCGCCGACCGCAATGAGCTCCAAGGTGCTAAAGAGAAACTTACATGCCAGGGTAGGCCAGACCCACGAGACCGGAAGTGGTGCCATCTCCCGCCCAGTATGCCTCGGTGACACCGGCCAGCTCCTGCTCGACGCTGATCCCGGCCAGCGTGACTTCATCCTTGCCCATAACTCCGGTGGCAAACTCTCCGTCGCCATAGCTGATGGAGAATTCCTCGCCGGAGATCTTCGCAAAGGAGCTCGTGGGGGACCAGGTGGGACCGAACGCGCAGGTGGATTCGGAGACCTGCTTCCCGTTCTCGCTCAGGCACGTGAAGCCCTCTTCCACCAGCCACAGATCACTGGAACCAGTGTCAACGATCACGTCCACAGAGGCCCCACCGACTGTGATGGAGGTAGCGAATTCCTCGCCCTCAAAGAGCGAGATTAGGGTAGAGCTGCCGGAGGTAGTAGTGCTGGAGCTGGTTTTCTTCAGGCGGGAAGCGCTGCGGCTCGCACCACTGCTACTCTTCACCTTCTTCAGCTCCAAGACACTGGACGAAGCCTTGTTGCTCGCACGGCTGGCAATACCAGTGGGCTTGTACACCCTTTTGCTCAGACCGTTGCGGGCGGGGGCAGGGGCTGCTGAGACAACACCCGCAAGGAGAGTGGCAGCAGCCAGGGAACCGGCGGTGAAGCGCATTGTGAAAGGAAGTGATAAAGGAAGAGCCCGTTACAATGCTAGAGAACTGAGGGGGGTGAGGTGAGAACTGTGAGAGAGGGGTATTGCGGGTGGTTCTTATACTTCTACCTCACTGCGAAAGACCTCATGCTGCCGGGTGACTCGGTCACTTTCGTTTGGAGATTAATCTGCAGACTAACACTTTAGCGCGCAGCTTGTACTTGTCTCCCTTCATTTCGTCAGGACTGTCTCAAATGGTGTGTGGGCAGTCGTGAGAGGGTGGAAGACCATTGGTGCTACATGCGGGTGACATACGGAGGACAGGAACAAGCAGCAGCATCGTCACCACCGTCACCATCATGCCAACTACAATGGGTGGATCCATTGTCCATGATGGATATTGCCGATAGTGGGGTTTGCGTCAGCCTGGCTGGGGATTGGTGCAGCCAGCTGGCCCACCCAGCGATAAGCAAGCAAGGCGCGTCGGAGTCCGCAGGAGATTGGCCTGGTGAGGGGCACTCTTCATATCGCGCCATGATAAAGTGCACAACTCGGTCAGGCACCTACTGGGAGTGGCTATCGTCGCCGTCGGTCTCCTTGAATCTTACATTGACTTTCAAATTAGCTTTCACGTTGAGGAATCAAGTCCGAGCAGACAATTTAGCGCTCGGCGGGGCTCAAGCCATCCGCTTCCCTACCCATCGCAGGAACCCTATGGGAGAACTCTATTCAAGGGGGAATGTCCAGCATGCGCATCAGACTGGGTTGCAGGAGTGCAGAGGAACAGAGGTACACTGCGGTTGAAACATGACCAGTCTGATGACATTCCCCAAACTGCAAGGGCCCATGAGGGCCCATGTCAGCCCGCGAACCTAGTCAAGTGTCACCAAGAGATGATCACCAAAGGCTTGATTCTGTCAAGCTCAGATCGGCAAAGATACGCGGTGGAGTGCCCTACAGGGACAGTCAACCGTGATTTGTGCTACTGACATGGTCAGTCTGGCAGTGTGGACGGGGTAATCAACTAAACCGGGCAGCCATGTGCTATCAACAATGTAATCCATGGATGTTGATTGTACAACGAAGGCCGCAGTGGAACAGGCATATCCGACCAGGAACACACAGTGGATCAGTCATCTTCCGCTGCCCGGCGGGAACCGTAGGCCGGATGTGGGTTATCCCGCCCCGAAACGGGGAAGCGGTCGGGGATTGGAATGGCCGGGGTTCCCGTAATCTGCACGATTGTGCTTTCCGCTCTTATCTCTTCATCTCCCTCTCTCTCCCACTCCCTATCTGCTGCTGCTCATCATCATCGAGAAGACATCGATAATCTAGTCATATTACCAATCACTCCCATGCGCTCGTTGCATCCAGGCTAACGTTTCTACATGAACAATTAAATTTGGTTCGTCGGTTGCCAGTCCACTTGTTTAGATGACCGGGACCGACACCGACAAAACTACCAAGCCTCGTGGTATGTGGGATTGCGCCCTCGCAGAAACACACCATGCAATTGTTGAGTTGACTGTGCCTAAACTCTCACGACAGGATGCTTCCAATGTACCCAGCGACGGATTGTCTGCGACAGGGCCGAACCTTCTTGTCAAAAATGCCTGAAGAAGGGGATTGAGTGCAGTGGCCTCGGCCGCTTTCGATTCGGCAATGGAGTCGCGACGCGTGGGAAACTAAAAGGCAGCCCCATCCCTGTTCTCAATGTCGACCCGGTCTCCGTTTACAAACAATCCGTCCCTATTGTCTCGCAGATTCGATGGTCTCATGAGAGGAAGAAAAGGGTTAGGAAGAGCCATGCTTCGAAGTCAGTCTCGAATGCACCAGTCGGTGCGCAAGGCGATACCGTCGAATGGGTCTCTGTGATGTCACTCGAGAATTGTCTTCTGCCGCGCAGCACACCTGCAGACGCCATTACTACGACGTCGACCTCAACTGCGATTGCTATACAGAAGACAAAGCTTGCGCAGGATTCCGCGACCGCGGTATCGCCCGGAGAGGATGTCGAGAATGTCCGTGCCGACAAGGTCCTACTATTAACCAGAAGGACGGACCAGCCAATCCAGCCTTGGATCGCTCCTTTGAGCTCAGAAATCCGTGGACTCTTCCACTATTTTGCCAACAACATCGCTCCGGTCATGGTTCTGCTGGATATCTCCAATGGCTATCGTGACTTCATCCTTCCGATGGCTTGTCAGGATGAGGTGCTGCAGCGCGCTGTTGCCGTGGTGGCTGCGCAGCACGTTAGCCTCAGGCAACCAGCATTACAGGCGGCAGCAGAAGCAGATCGCTCCGTCATCATATCCCGCTTGTTGCGGGCCTCCAACGTCGGGTCGCCCGACCAGGTGTTCAACCCGGCTACATGGGCAACACTGCTCGTACTCCTCGTCGGGGAGACGGTGACTGGTAGCCCGGAGTACAAATTACTACTTCAGACACTGTTCACCATGGCCAAGAATGTCAAATCATTGGGGCACACTCACTTGCACGAGTTCCTGCTACAACAGACCGACATGTTCTCATTTCTGGGTCGGTCTCTACTCAGTAAAGATGAGGGTCTTAGGACCTTAAGTCATCCCGTGGACTCTGGGGTGTGGTTGCCATCCAGCGTCCGCACAGACGCTCAACACAATCGGACACTCTGGCTGGCCAGGCGATCATTCACTATTGGCGCTCAAATCTACCTGATGCGGATGACGTCTGACGAAAGCTCATGGCATTTGCGGGAAGAGCTGCGCCGGCTGATTGCTCAGGCACAACCGACGGATCCAGGAGCCCACGGATTTGTCTGGCCATGCTTTATCGCAGCGGTGGATAGTACGGAACCAGAACATCGCGCGTTCTTCACTTATTACATGAGAGCCATTCACTCAAACACTCTCTTCGCAAATATCACCAAGGCTATTGACGCATTGCCTGCTATATGGGAATCGACGTCGAAGAAGTGGACGGAAACTTTGTCGGATGTCTCTCGAATACTCATTATGTGATGATTCGCCTACGCTTGGACACGCAGATCTGAATCTTCAAAATTCGGCGCAGGGCTAGGAGTTTTACTCCATGACTACGAAACCTAGCTGTGTTGCACTACATAGCAGCATTGCAGAATCACAGTATGGATTACACTGCCATTACCGATCCAATAGATATGCACGCGACTTCTCCCCCGATAATAGAAGACAGTAGGCGTAATGTGTGTGAGACACAAAACCTCAAATACCCATGGAAGCGTCTGCATACGCCTGCCAAGGGAGCGACATGGCATCTAGCATAAAAAGGACCCTAGTGAGCAAGCACCACAACTCCTCGGGACCAGCGGTAATGGTCATCTCAAAAACCCATTTCGTTGTGTCTCTAGACAGATTCTCTCGAAAGAGATGTCACCCGGGAATATTCAGCCTGGCAAGAGAATGAATCATCGCCTTGCACAATGTCAGGTTGACACAGTCCTAGCGCATTCCATCCCCTGAGACAAGAGGAATCTCCTAATTATCAGATACACGACACGGGCATCCTCCAAGGTTTTGTTGCTATCAAGCTATTTGTACCAATGGCTTTTATGTGTACAACCACCTTTAACCTCCGGCGCACTCAATCCGATGTCTCAATCCCCAGGCCATGAAGTGTGCTCTGGTTACATCGCCGAAGGAGCCTCAACACCTCCTCTTCAGCATGAAATGCGTCATTGTACGCTCCGCTCAGTGTTAATCTCCCCTTCCATGTTCCAAGGAACAGCCCAAGGCCGGTCCCCAGCTCCTCGCCCGTCACCCAGGGATCCTCTAGCTCGAAGCTCCCTTGATTCGGCCTGATCACTCGGTCCAGAACGCCCATGCTGGAAATCGAGACCGACGGCGTCTCATTCCGCGGCGGGACCGGCGGGGTCTTTCCATCCGCCGGATAAGGGATCGTCGACATTGCCCAGTACGAGGGAACAAGATCAATGTGCTCTGCATCATCGCGAATGTCGAGGTAGAAATCCCGGATCATCCCCGCGGTGTCCATAAACTCCTGTCTCCTCGTCTCTTCAGAGACCAGATCCTTCGAGTCCGACGACGCACGAACAGTCAGGTCGACCGCCAGCCCGCGCCCCGAGACCGAGTGGTACACTGCGGTCGGATGCGCGGCGGTATTGTACGGCGCCGCGCAATGGCCGCGCTCATTGATGAGACTGTAATTGAGATACCGAACCACTCGCGCTGCGGGCTGCCGCTCCTGGACGTCCCGCACACCGAGCGCGATGGCAGCGTGATAGGCATGCGTGATGCTGAGCGCCGCCGCCTTGCACGCCGCCAGCACCCGTGCGGTTGTCTCCGCGGACAGCATGATCGCCACCCTCTGATGTCTTCCCGGCAAGCTTGCCTGCCGATTGAATGGCACACTGGCAATCTCTACCTCCCTCTTAAGGGCAGCATTAAACTCCAGGATCTCCCGCATGCGCGCTTCCTGCTCCGAGCTTAATCGCGCCGGGATCCCCGCCGCCACTCGCAGCGGCGGACTCAGATTCACCCACTCCCCGCCAAACTTCGGCGGTGTATACCCCGACGGGCTGGTCTCGTACGCCCGCGCCGCATGCTGGAACAGATTCTCGAACAGCATCAGCGTCCCCACCCCATCGATGATATCATGTCGCGCCCTCAGAACCACGGTCGCGTGCACGCGTCCTTCGTCGCCGTGCGGGCCTGACCCTTCCTTGATGAGAAACAGCGTCGGCAAGTCCGGCACCGGCGGGTCAGAGTTACACCACTCCTGCCCCGTGACGCCCGCGTCGACGACGCGAAACGTCTTCTCCAGCCAGTCCGCCGGCGTGTACGCGTCCGAGAACGTCTCGTACACCTTCCTACACCTTCCCTGCGGCAGGACGTACCCCACCTGCACGGCGATGGTCGGATGGTCGTAGCGCAGCTGCAGCCACGCCTGGCGCAGCGCGTCCACCATTCTGCGCTCCGTGTCAGGCCGATTCGTCCCATGGATGGGGAGGGAGCAGGTGATCGAGCCAGTTATGGCGAAGAAGACGCGGCCGGTGGCCTCGTGCGCTTTGGCGAGGGAGGTGTAGAACTGCTCGGCTTCGTCGAGGGGCCGTTCCCAGCGGGTTGCGGCTGTGGGTGTCCATGCGTAGTCAATCTCAGGAGGCGAGGACATTCTGGCGGTGGGTGTCTTGCTTCGATTGAAAGATGTCGAACAGTGTAGTGTAGCGGAATATCTGAGTTACGTGGGATTGCTGGACAATGTTTCGAGCCCGGCTCAGACACAATAGTATATACTGCAGTGACAGATCTGGGGATTTCCCATCCTTTTTAATATACACATAGTATGCTTAACGTCGGCCACTCGGCCCGGTCAACCGCACGCAGGAGATGTTTCTGCCCTGATGATCGACTCTCCGTATGAGGTAGAAGTGCCTCAGATCGGGGGTGGAGCCATCCTTCGCTGTTGTATCGGGTAACATCGCCCGCTGCGTGTTGCATTATCGGCATTACTGATATAAGTAGGCGCATAACGTCCAGCACATACACCATCCGATTGGCCGGGTAACCTTCGGAACAGGTGGGGTCTACCTGATTGGGTAAAACATTCAGCTTCTGTCTGCCATCAGGTTGTCGCTTGACCTGCGGGATAGAGGCCTTGTGTGTGCCCCACAATAATCTTGTTCACAAAATGATACATATCGTCATTGGACTTCTGAGATTGTACGTGAGATTCGGACACAGCTGATGCACTAATGCTGCTCCGCTCATGGGATTTTGATGGCTTGGCGCCAGTGCGGGCAGCAGGTGCGGATGTCAGGTAGGGACTTACGAATGTTTCTGTGTGCGCCATGTGGCGAGAATCTTGTACTTGTTGGAGCAAGGAGTCTGGATTTGGATATGTCTATGAAGGATGAGCCAATGGGGGCTCCTATGCACCTTCTTCAATACTGGTGGGGATCAGCGGATCCATATTCCCGGCACGATGAAAGCTGGTGATCTCCGAACTATCAGAGCCAGTGATCTTCCTCATCATGATGAACTACTTTGTAGGGACTCGCTATAGGCGACGAGACATTTCTCTCGACTGTCAAATTCGGGGAGGAAATCCCTCAGAAAATTGATAAATTTCAGGTCATTGGGGCTTGCGGACTCTCTCTCATCCACACCCGCAAGCCGGCTCACGATATACACATTCCTTCCACCGCATTTGCCACAGTCAGCGGTCAGCTTCTAGTAAACTGGGATCGGCACCGCATTCAAGTCAAAGTGCCAAGTATCGATGGAAGCTTGGTCATAGACACACTCCAGGTTGTCCCCATTCCAGAGGGGCCGCAGCGGCCACGCGCAGATCTGCTGCTCCTGGCCCTCGTTGTCGCCCTGCAGCACGGTTCCGTTCAGGGTGACCGGCACGATGCCATTCTCGACCCAGTCGATCAAGACCTCGAGGTTCTTGTTCGGGAAGGGCCCGTTGGGCATGGCGTCGTTGGTGGCGCAGTGGGCGGCGCCGGGCACGAGGAAGAGGCGGTACCAGTCGTTCAGGGCGTCGGCGCTGGCGTTGTACGACAGAGACGGGTACATGACGCTGCGGACGGACTCCCAGTATCGGACGGAGGAGGCGGTGGGGATGGAGGCGTCGGCCTCGCCGTGAAAGTGGATGACCTTACCGCCGGCGGCGTGGAAGGGGGTCAGGTCGGGCCAGGTAGTCTGCAGGGTGCTGTAGTACTGCAGGAGGCCCGAGATCATCCAGTCCTTGAGGGTGTCGTAGGTGACACCGGCCAGGCTGTCGAGGGTCGTGCCGTTCTCGTACACCAGCAAGCCGATGTGCTCGCCGCCCAGCTGGTCGATCTCTAGCCCCCACTCGTCGGTCGTGCTGTTGTACTGCGTCGCCGCGTCGTCGAACGCCGCCGCCGGCTGGTACGAGAAGTACACCCGCTTGCCGGCCGAGTCATGCGCCCCGTCCAGGATCGTCTGCGCCACCTGCACGCCCTGCGTCGACACCGTGCCGTTCTGCGCCGGCGTCGCGCTCGAGAACCGGCTGCCCGCCGTCGCGGCGCACGAGTACGCCTCGCCGATCAGGCTGCTGATGTTGAAGTGCAGCGCGCACAGGTCGGAGCGCGCCACCACCCCGTCCGTCTTGCCGTCGAGCGGGTCGCACGCCGTGATGGTCGCGTTGACGATCTTCTCCAACTCGCACGGCGGCGGGTAGTAGTCTAGGGTTTGCTCGACGACGTTGCTCCACAGGTGCTGCGTCTGTTGGAAGCTCCACCGAAACGCTGGGTCACGAGGGTTAGCAAGCGCTTGACTCGGGAAGGATGCCAGGACGTGGGAGATTGCCTACCTGGGGCGCCGATAGCAGCTCCGTCCCACTCGTCGCCATACCGCTGGACCTGGCTCCAGCCCTCGCGACCGCCCTCGGAGCAACCCTGGTAGTAGGCGTACAGCTTCTCGTCGTCGGTCACGTTGTAGACATTCCTGGTAAAGGCCTTGCCGATCTTAGTGAGTTCCCAGTGCGCCTTGTAGGCGAACATGTAGAGGGTCTCGTAGTCGAGGGTGTAGTTGGCCAGCAGCATCGCGGCATCAGCGTTGGTATCGAAGGATCCGAAGCCGCCGTCGGTGAGACCCGACGCAGCGCCGTAGATGATACCTCCAGGAAGCGAGCTGGATCCGGAGTTGATCGCGTAGCCACCACCTCCTGTGGACAGCCACCGGTTTTGGAAGATCGACGGGTCGGGCAGCCAGATCTGGAGATAGACCTGGTCATCGCGGCCATTGTGCGAGTACGCGAACGTGACGTTGCAGTAGTCGATGACGGAGGAAGGGTAGAAGTCACTCGTGACGGAGCTGTTGGTGACGAGGGCGGTGGTGATGGACGATGGGTCAAGGGTGATGCCGGGGATGAGGTCGGTGGCCGGGAATGCAGTGGTGGCGTAGCTGGTGGTGCAGATGTCGCTCAAGCTGGCTCCATGAGCGAGGGCTGCTAGCCCCGTCAAGGGGACCCACGAAAATGAACGCATCTCCTGGGTGGAGGGTGTGAGGAACGAGATGAATTGGGTGGAACGATAAGGATGCTGGCTATAGAACTGGATAGCTCTGACAGATGGGACGCAACGTTTTATATCATTCGGGGGTCCCTTCTCCGCCAATCCTCATTTCCCTTGGACCGAAGCTTGATGAAAAAAAGGTGCGATCGTCAGTCTAGCTTCGCAACTCCGACAGAAAGCTGCATGATTCCCCACAAACTGTTCCTCCATTCATCTCCATTCCCACACATCGTGGGTAGAACTAGTCCGTGTTGGGAAGTTATCAGTGTTGTACCCCAACAGAGTAGCTTTGCCCAAGCTTAGCTGGCGAAAGCTTCACCCTCTGTCATCCCCACAAAACCCTCGCGAGTCCGGGGCGATGTGTGGGGAAGCGCGGGGTCTCCAGATTCAGGGCGTTTTGCAATCCACCCGACCACAGGTTACGTACACGGTTCCAGCCAGTTCGCAGAAACTCAAGTGCAATTGTTGTGGGGCAACCAACGTTGTCGCTGGAATTCCAGCGATGCACGGATATGAGATTGTGGGAAAGGGGCGGCGGCGAGTCGGACATCGGAGGTCGGAGGTCGGGATAAGGACGGTGACAAAAGAGTAAAATTGCAGGGACAACCAAGGTGTGCGGGGGTGGTCAGTTATGGCAAAATGGAACCAGGAGGATCATATCTGAGCTTGATTAGTTGCAGTACTGCGATGCTGTGCTGTAGATAACTTCCTCAGCTCTGCATATGCAATGCACACTCACTTCTTGCTTACGGAGTACGCACCCTTGAGCTCCTGCCGGTTATAATGGATCGATCCTGCACTTGACCAGCAACGAATTTTTTAGCCATACATGAACTCAAGAAGTTTAGTTCATAACACAGGCATGTACTAGGTGGCATCTTTCGAGTTGATTCTGGGTCCGCATGTTAGGGATATTGCAAAGTGGGCAATGAGCCAGCACCATGAGCCCTATACTGTCTAATTCGATACAGTAGAGCTACACAATCTATCAGTAAATCAAGCATATAAGGTTCTCAATACTTTCGATGGTAATTCCTTGACTGACCTGTTCAGATCTACTATCACTCGGCCTCAGATATTTTCATGACTACAGAGGCAAGTAATAAACAGGGGGTATATTAATTCAAAGGCAATATCAACCGCCCGATAGGGGCTCAGCACACTGTATATATTCTTATCTTCTAGACTATATGTTTTTAATCTTTGATCAATTTTCACATTTCAAGGGCTACAGCCAAGGAAATATCAATCCAATCGAGAAGCATTCAACGCATAACCACACTTACTGCTGCCCCAGCGTCGCATTTTCACGGAGCAAGATCGGCCCCGTCGTAACCCAGAGGGCGCGAAACAAGGCCTGCCGCACCGGCCCGTACGGGGCCTCAGCATACCACTCAATCTCATCCCGGTAGATGAAGGGCCGCACCAGGTGGCAGGGGCGGTCATCGACGAACATGCGCACCCGATCGCGGTGGATGACGACCGCGGCGCGGCGGCGCGCCTCGCCTTTGATGACCGGGTACTCGTTCCAGCGCGCGCGCAGCAGACGTGCGGCGAGCTTGTGCCAGTTGGCCACGTCCGCGATATCCTCGTGGTTCAGGCGCAATGTCTCGATCGCCAAGTCCACGCCCTCGCCGCCGGGGAACAGCTCCCTCGTGACGGTGTAGCGGCACCCTTCGAAGATGCCCCTGGTCGGGGCCTGGGTTGCCATTGCAGCAGAAGATCCTGGATTCAAAAGAGCACTGAAAATAGCTGTGGGTGCTTGATATGTTAAAGATAGGCCTCGAAGGAATTGGGTTGGTTGATCTTGGTGCCTATCGGGAGAGAGGATCTGGATGTGATGCTTTGAGCGGGATTTTATATTTGATGAATGTGAGAAAGGGGCATCGTGTGAAACTCTGTCCTTTGAAAGGCCCCAGGATATCCTAGCAGATAGATTCAGGGTTCCTTTGTTGTTAAGAGAAACTGAAGACGATGATTTTATTGAAGACTTATGACATCAACCAAAGTGGCTGTCGGAGTGCTTCATATCGGTATGGTCTGATGACAAGAAATACATTGTGAGAGAGAGAGAGCTTTGCACCAAGTCTTTGTCCTAGAAACCCTGATATGGGCGTTGAAGGAATTGACAAGGAAAGGAGGTAGGTGAAATAACGGCTACCAGTTACAATGACAGACATGGTCTCTTTGTCAGACAAAGTTCATGGCCACTCCTGCTATGCTCAGTAATGCAGTATCATCACTCTCGAATGCTTTTAACACGACATGAATTTCTGTAATATGAACTTCATGTATATGAAGCACTAAACTGTGATAGAGAATATGGTAGGAATAATCAACTGTGTTGATCAAGGCTGATCCAGTTTCTTAAGACCGCTTGTGGGGCTGAAACAACTATTGTTGATCTCGTTCTGGACAAGTTTCTTTAAGTCACAGTATGAGTACATACTAGTCAATATAAGTGAGGGCTCAGGGAAACGGTCACCTTCTCCTAGAATTGCACTTGGAGGGATGCCGGGCTCTCGGGTGTGGCTCAAGGCACGCACTTTTGTGCTCACTGCACGCTCCGGGAGTGAGCTAAAAGCGGGCGTTCAGTCGGACCTGACTTCCCACAGGAACTTAGTCCGGTAGTATCTTCCTTGGTACTGTGATGGAGTGTAGTTGTCATGTGACGGCGGTGAAGCATCAAGTCAATCAAAAACCCCCGCTTTCCCCTCTTCACCCCCGCACTTCCGCATATTACGTCGGATGAGTCTTTATCCCCTAGCTTCGTGGCTGAACTCTGACCTGCAGCTTTGCCAATGCACGGCGGCTTGAGCTCATCAGTTTCCTTGCTGCGGGGATGAACGACTTGCATCTGTCTCTATGGCGAGGTCTGGCCGCTGTGGTCTTCCTCTTTCATCTCCACAGCTCTAGAGTAATGTAGGGAAAAGCTTTCAAAAACTTCTTCTCCCTCCTGGTGACTATGTTCTCACTCTTCCTTCCCGGAGGAAAGGACGTATTCTTCGTTCAGGCTGTGCGCTACTAAAGAGTTAGCTCGATGCCAGCAGAAGCAGGCTCCCTTAGTCTATCACTGTTCAAACCCGCTATGGTCGACCATCAGAAAGCAGGAGTCGAACCCGGGACCTCCGCATTTGCCAGCGAGAATCTGGCCATCAGTCGGCGACTTGCTCCTTAAATAGCGAGCAAGGCCACTCGCATGCCATGCGCGCCCGCAACCGATCAACACACCTACACCAATCCAGCTTCCCGGAGTGCATTCTGCGAGATTGTCTCCTCGACCATCTTGAGCACAAGTTTCATATTGCTGGTATCCGTCACCTGGACCAGATGCGGGTAGAGGTTGAGGTGGGCACGGTTGACCTCATTGAATTGCCACAAGATAAACTTGGCCGCTTTGTTGACGTCAGCACCACCGTTGTAGTTCGGGAAAGTGTTCTCGAGCGGCGAGTGCGGTAGCTTTTCTCTGAAAAGGTCGGCCTTGTTCAAGAAAAGAATCACGCTCGTTTTCAGGAACCACCGCGAGTTGACGACCGAATCGAACAACAGTAGGCTCTCTACCATGCGGTTCTGGGGGGGAGGTAAACAACATTAGCCTTGCCACGCTCTGCGATGACATCGAGAGCCATACCTGGTCAGGGTCCTCCAGCAGGACCTGGTCGTACTCACTCAGCCCCACACAGAATATTATGGCCGAGACGCGCTCAAAACAATGGACCCACTTCTTGCGCTCGCTTCGTACGCCTCCAACATCGAATACACTAGATAGAATTAGTCGCTGGATAAGTGTCGGTACTTGGGAGGAGCGCGTACTGAAGATTGGTGTAACCAATGGAAACCCGGGTTTCGTATATCCCCGTGGTCTTCGTCCGCGCACGCAATGCGTCTGCCTCCGTGGGTTGGTAGCCTACAGCGGCTATTCGTTCTATATTATCGAGAAAGCTAGATAAAAGTCAGCGGCGATTGGGCTGGTATGAACAGTCTGGGAACCTACTAAGGTGCTGAGTCCATTAAATAAAACTTCATTCGTTGCTCCATGAGCAAAGGGATGACAGGGTCGTGCCACAGTGCGGATATCATTTCACAGGCATCCGGGGTGAGAGTCTGATCCGGCAGCAGACCCGTCTTCGACATTGGTAGACGATACATTCTTGCCTCTTCGCTATGTGGATGTAGGCCCAGCTCGAGCATCGCCGTAAATAGCGCATCAGCGGACTCGAGGACATTTTTGTAGATCGTCGTTCTGTACCGACTCAATTCCTCCGGTGTGTATCCTTGCATGTATAGAACCTTCATCTGCTTGGCAATTGTTGACTTGCCGGACTCACCAGCCCCTATGCAAGCTGTCAGCAGCAGAACCTTGGGGACTAGAAAGCACACTTACCAAGGAGAAGAACCTTTTGTTCCGTCAGGCCGCGTAGGAATTTCGGCATGTTTTTGTGCTTGGATCGGACTGCGTAATCAAGCACAGATTGGCCATTTTCGCCTTTGTAGTTCACGCTGGCTCCATGTTGAACCAGAAGCTTGATTATTTTTTCGCTTCCGTGCGCTATTGCCGACCAGATGGGTTCCTGTACAGCAGCTCCGTGTTGGATCAGAAGTTCCGCCATCTCATAAAGCCCCAATTGCGCCGCTAAGCTAAGCGGCGTCCCGCATTTGACTGATACTGGGTCTGTGTTGACTTCTTTGACGCTAAGTAGTAACGATGCCATCTCAGTGTCATTACGGGCGACGGCGTGATGTAGAGGCGTGTACCCCAATCCATCTAATAGGTTGACATCGCAGAACTTGATTAATATTCGAGCAATGTCGTGGTGCCCCAGCTTAGAGGCGACATGGAGTGCTGGAAGACCGTCATCGATTAGAGGGAGATTGCAAATCTGCAAGATCTCCTTTTTCCAGTTGAGCGCTATTGAGAGAAGCGGTTCGTGATTGTCTCGCACAGCCCATCCGAAAAGACTATGTAACTGAGAGCGGATGGAGCGGCCGCCAGGCTTCCATGGATGAAAGTTCCAGGTCTCATTAAAGCACGTCGCGAGCTTCTCGAACTTCTCCCACATGGTGGAGTCTCTTGCGAGAGATCTCGTCTGACCAATCCAATTAATCTTGGCATAATTCAGGAACTTGTACTGGCTTTGATCGGGGATGGTCGATGTGCGGATAGTGCGTAACTGTAGGGTTCTCTGGGGCCTGGGGCTATCCGGTATCCGAAAAAGATATCTCAGAGACGAGTTCAGTGCCGGGCCTGCAAATAGTACAGGGCTTGGGACCACCGCCTCTCTCGTTGCATTGCATTTGTGCTCAAGCTGAAGGCTGAAATTGGAGAAGCAGAGATATGCAATGCAGAATTCTCCACAGTGAAGCTCTCCCTGTCTTTCGTCGAAGCAGTGTTCATTGAAGGCGCTCTGAAGATCAGCAAGACCATTTTTCACCAAATACTGTTTAATCGAAGAATGGGCGAATCGGACGCAGAGATCTATTGGGTCTAGAACCACAAGATTAGCGCAAGAGCCAATGATGAAGTCACGTTGAGGGAGCTTGTTGCTGTCAAATGCCGTGTCTTCTCTTTCAAAGGCGACTGCTTCCCTTAACTCTTCGAGGTGTAGAGGCCGTGACGCGAAGCCGACCCACTTCAGCACTTTCAATGCTCTTGTGTCGTGAGTGTTAATTCTGTTGGCGCAATATCGATATGTCTCCTCGAGATCCTTTGGCAGTTGACGCAACGCTGAGCGCACTTCGGCGTCTGTGAAACAAGTGCTCCAGAGGATCTCAAGCTGAAGATGGACCCAGAGGAACCTTTCATCAACGTGTAAGAATAAAAATGAAGTTTGAGGTTATGGGGACAGAAACATACATTCCCGAGGATTCATTGAGTAGTACATCCTTGGTTTCTTCTAATAAGAGGCGATCGTCTGTGAGCTTCCGATACATGGACTTATCACTAATACTATAGTCAATGTAGGTCCGAATATCGCTCATGGTGTTGTCGAAGGTGGAGATCCGACCGATCCCAGGTATGAGTGTCGCGAGGTTGACATAACCTGGTATTTGGTCTCGGCTAAAGAGGAGAATACGTTGCCCTTTGAGCTCTCTTGCTCCAGAGAATAGTGAGCGGATGAAGGTAAGTAAAAGTTTGCATTGTTCTTCCTCCATCGCATCGAGCCCATCCAAGACATATGTGGCCATCGGCACTAGATCAAATAGTTGTATGAATATGTTCTGCAAGTCGTTGAAATCGGGCGTTATCTTTCTTCTTCCAAAAAATGTCACAATCTCTTTTCTCAGGTGCGCTGGCCATGGTCCTGCGTTCCGATGAAGGAATTCACCTAGTTGTCTAATCAGACTAGACAGGGCTGAAGACGCCCGCAGAGTCTCAGTATGATCATTTTCGCAATAAAAGAAGACGGTAGGAGCATGATAGTCCGAGGGCTCATATCGGACATTTTCGATCACAGACGCACTAGTCATTTAGCGTCAGCTCGGCTTCTCGAGAAGGGACACAGTACCAACGCGATCACTGTCTTTCCAGACCCAACTGCATGAAAGTTACTATTTAGTAACCAGCCAAGCACAGATATATGGGACCTTACTTTTCCCGGTGCACCATAACTTGTTCGAGCGTCTCTCCGACCACGCCTTGAATTCAAAATTTTCCAAGAACCATTGAGTAGTACCAGTCAGTCTTTTATGCGCAAGCCTTCTATGAACCTGTTCGTGCTGGTAACTAGAAATCTGTTCCAGGAGCTCCTCTTGTTCGTCATATTCTTCATGCAATTAGCAGCTGTTCAGCCCTGACTTGGCATCAAAACTCACGGCTGCGCTGTGAAGTTACACTCCGAGACGAGTGCGGGGTCGGCGAGAGTGCTCCAAAAAGGTATGGTACTAGCAGACGAGATCAATTAAGAGATCACCATGTGACGCCAGACATAACCTCTTACTGTCGTCGGAGAGCTTAGATGGTTCGTCCTCGACTTGTTTTCCATGGATGATCGATAGCAATTCCTTGGTGTAGGCGGCGGCTGTTGCCGCTGCATATCCTTGCCACTCCTTAGTCTTGTGAGAGTCCGAGTAGTCGCAAATGCCTCGGACAACCAGACACGGAAAGCTGTCCATCAGGCCTGCAGCCTCCATCTCAAAGCAAAGTATGCCAAGTTCGCGGGCCAGCTTGTCCCTCAAGGGACCGTCCTTCATGACCTGATTCGCAGACGCGATAAGCCCGTAATGGATCTTCGGATCCTGCGAAGCGCGAATTGACCGTTTCATGTGTCTGTTCGAATCACAGTCCGTGCAGGTGCTTTCTGGATTTAGGTGATCATATTCGGAATCGAAAAGGATGTCACGGTCAGCGCCAGGGTGTGCGAAACAAGAGGACCGAGCGGCTTGCGACACGAGCCATGAGATTTGACTTGGTCTGGTCAAGTGCGCGGCCTGCAATCGAGAAATAGCGGTTAGAAGGATAGGCGGGGGCTTGTTAAGCACTCCTTGTCGAGCGAATACTCCCCCGGCCAACGACTTTCCATAATCGTATTGTACAATGCCCCCATAATCCCTTGTTGGCTTGCTGACAACCACATCTCCTAGCCTGACATCCTCCGACGTTCCAGGGACTCCACCGCCAATGCCGACCATCAATCCGATTCGAATCGAGGGGAACGTCAAGCGGATTTGGCTCGCAATGGTGGCGGCTGATGTTGTGCCATACACGCCGGAGGGAAGGCAGGCGATGACCACGTTGTGGACATGGATCCGTCCAAGTATGTAGGTGTTGTCGTCGTTCGGCTTGGTTGGCAAATCGGGGTGTCTCTCGTCGAGCATGGCGGCCGCAGCTGCCATCTCCAAGGGCAGAGCGGAGATCCACCCGATTGTGTAATCATGGTGATGAAGCACTGCTGGAGCTGCTGGTGGGGTTGTCATAATCATAGGATGTCATGTCTTCGTTGCAGTATCAATTCGGTGACAGACATGTGTCTGTTCAATTCCTCGAGGTGGTGCTTGTTAAGGGAAGTTGGTGAAGTGAGAGAGGTTGGGGAAGGAGGATTCAGCCTCGTGTCTCGTGCATGCTATAGACAAGACGCTAGCCTCAGGCTCACATATTTCCCCCCGCTCAGGCAGCCACAACTGCGCCCCACTAACGTGGCTAGTGGCTGGTTGAGGGCAGTCGGATCGGGCGGATCGGTCCGACCGAAAAGTGACCCCGAAGCCGAAACAATGACTGACACCGCTTATCAACCGTTATCTGTATTTGCGGGGTGTCTGCATCACCACAAACAGTACCGTACATAAGTTATGGCATCCCTCTCACCTCGCTCTCTGGACGCAAATTTCATCCTCACTGTCTCTTTGAACGGCTTGAAAAGACGAAACACGCGCTGAGAATTCTGCAAAATGACCCAACCGACAGATCCTTTTCCTCTTCAACCTGCAGATGTCGTCTCCGAGACCACGCGAGCCATCGATCACGCGAGCGAAGAACTGCGCAGATTGAGTCTCGAGGTTAGTAGTCTCCACATATCCGCTGAAGCCGAGACCAAACAATAGCCAAATCATGTCTTCCAGCTCTTCCACAACCCAGAAACCGCTTTCCAAGAAGTCAAAGCTAGCAAGCTCCTGTCCGACTGGCTCGAGCAGCGCGGGTGGACCGTTACGCGCAACGTCTACGGCATCGAGACCGCCTTCGAGGCGCGCTTCTCCGTCCAAGAGGGCGGGCGCACTGTCTGCTTCAACGCCGAGTACGACGCCCTCCCCGGCGTAGGCCACGCCTGCGGCCACAACCTGATCGCCACCTCCACGCTCGCATCGGCGGTGGCCGTTGAGTCTGTCCTCAAATCCCGCAATTTGCCCGGAACGGTCGTCGTGATGGGTACCCCCGCCGAGGAGTCGTACGGCGGGAAGTGGATCATGGCGAAGAATGGCGCGTGGCAGGGCTTCGACGCCTGTGTGATGACGCACGGGATGCCGGATTTCAGCACGCCCGTGTGCATGACTAAGGCCTCGTGGAAGCTGCGGGCCAAGTTCCACGGCAAGTCGGCGCATGCGGCGGGGGCGCCCTGGACGGGACGGAATGCCTGCGACGCCATCGTGCAGGCATACACGGGGATCGCGTTGCTGAGGCAGCACATTGAGAAGAGTGAGAGTATCCAGGGGTGCATTCTGGAGGCAGGGAAGGTGCCGAATCTGATTCCGGATTATGCGGAGGGGATGTTCAGTGTGCGGGCGCCGATGGTGAAGCAGATTGAAGCACTCCGGGCGAGGGTGGAGCCTATCTTCCATGGTGCGGCTGCTGCGACTGGATGTACGGTGGAATTGGATTGGTGAGTCTCTCAACCTCGATCAAAGGATTGTGCTGATGTGAGACTGCCAGGTTTGCACTTTACGAAGACGTCGTGACAAACGAGACGCTCGCGGAGCAGTACAGGCAGTACATGATACAACATCTGGGTCTAACACCGGAGGAGATGCTACCGGTGGCGGAGGCAAAGATAGCTCACGATCTGGGAGGGAGCTCGTAAGTACTTCATGTCAACCTCATTTGATGTTTTGCAGCTCACCATCTATGACAGGGACTTCGGTAGCTGTTCTTACATCTGCCCTGGCATTCAATCCGTCTTCAACATCCATGCAACTGATCTCCCCCATTCGACAGGGTTCAGGGAAGCAGCGGAAAGTGAAATCGGGCACGTCGAGGCACTGCGAGCAGGAAAGGCCAACGCGCTGATCTGCATCGATGTCTTGCTCAATGACGATTTTGCTTCGAGGATGCAAGAGGAGTTTCATCAGGCGATGAAGGCTGCTGGGCGCTTAGAGTAGTTGTGGTCAATCCACCTTTCATCGTCCAGGCATATGCAATGGATAGCTATGTACAACAGTTTATCAATCTCAGAAGAATTACAACGCAAGTTGAGTCCGAGTCCTCTATATCACTGATGCAAATCTCCTTGAGTCATTTATCCAAAAAATTTGGAATGTCAAAAAGAAACTCTCCCGCAGCTTGGTCTAAGTCCGCCACAAGACCTTCCGGGGGTAAAGAAGTCCGCATCACTTGTTTCAGCATATGCAATTCATCTCGAACTTTGTGAGCAGATTCCGCAGCCCCAGCCTCTTCCAAGAACTGGGCCCCCTGACGTAGTCTCGAAAGCACCAGCCCGCAATTCACAGCTGCACTAGCGACTTCGAGAGCTTTGGGCATGAACTCGATAGCATAGTAAGTAGTCACGAGATTGTAGTCTCCCGAGTAGGGCAGCATTTGTCGGAACTCCTTCGACTCAAACTGAGTTTGAAGCAGTAGACATGCGCTATCTAGAGCCTTCTGAATGAAAGTCACCCTATTGGTATCCGCTCTTCCGTGTTGAGACACCTTCCCGTGCAAAGCAAGACCGTTCACGTAACTGAACCCAACAAAGACATTAGATGTTGCAACGCTTGAGTAGGATTAAGAGACACACATCTTGAGAAAGGCGTAGGGGACCATAAAGCGATTACGGTCTTGCTTCTTAGCAAAAGTCTGATAGAGCGGCTCCATACTGTTGTTGATATGGTAGAACCAGCGGTCAATTTTCTGATCAAGGGTTCTCAATCTCTGAACTACGCTGCCAGGCAGTGGATTCAGTTGCAATTCTGCGTTGGCTATTTGCGTTTTGGCTTCAGCTGCATATTGTCAGTTGGGTATTATCGCCGTGAGAGCTGAGGGACCTCATACCGGTGATTGAAAACCCCTGCAAATACGCGCAAAGGCGATAGTCCACCGGTCTGCAGTGAGGAGACACCAGAAGTTGAGAGGCAACAGGTAGATAGTCCATAATATTGCAGACGACAAATGGACGATTCAGATTGATCCTTGTTGATAAAGTCAGTTTTGTACTGTACAACTCAGCTTCGGATGGCGTCCGCGCTTACATTAGGTCAAAGCAACACAACGAGAACCACGTTCTTGCTGAACCGACTAAGTCTGCTGTGTGTTCTACAGAGACATCTCCTAATTTTGACGCAGCCATGTTCAAGCCCAGTTCCACGGCGATAGAAGCGATATATCCCCATAGACGATGCCTGCCAGTCCAGGCGGCTAGAAGCATCACGGCCTGGACGGTGTATAGATCTATGGCTCCAGAGAACGTGGCGCTGATTATCTGGTCTGCTGCATCAAGATAGGTGGTATATTTCTCCGGGCGAACCGCCTTGGATGCAATGACACAGATTACCGTCGCCATCAGAGGTTGTTTGCGGGTGACGTGCGCCGCTGAGTAGAGCTGGTCATCCATGAATGCGATGACTGTCCGGCAGTGCTCATCGAAACTAAATTCCACGTAAGCATATACGTACACGAACTTTCAGTGATTTCAGTGACAATCTTCGCAAAATCAATGTACTCACAAATCATACAGCTCCTCCCACTCATCCTCGGTAACAATACCACATCGCACGATGTCAAATGAGGCCGTATCCTTGGCTCGATTCCCGGCGAGCAACTCATCGTCCGACAACGACACCCCACTCTCTGTCCCTGCGCTAGATTGGACCCGGTCGCACAACCGAGAGACTGTGCTTTGCAGTTCCTTCAACTCTTTCTGGTGTCTCTCCTCCAAGCTATTCATCCGCTGCTCTAGGGCAGACCATTTGTCACTGGGATGTGAGCAGGAAATTATATCAAACGCAATCATATCAACTCACTCTAATGCCTCAGCAAGGTGCCTAGACCTGCTCGAGGCACGCGATGCCCGGGGATTCACAAAGACGCATTCAGCCCGGCTCGATTTGCACCTCGCACAAGGGACTTCGCTGGGACCTCCACATTTGAGTTTCTGTCGTCGGCAACGTAAGCAAGCCGAGACCGATCTGAATGATTAGTTCCAGAACGAGGTTGTAGGAGCGAAGCAATGTTACCTGCTTGTAGTCTCCATCGCTTCGACCGGAATGTTTCACTGTTGCTGTCCGGATGGTGTCGGATAAACAACGCGATAAGCCCCGCAGGCCGATAAGTGTTTCGGATCTACACCGGTCGGAAATTCCGGAAGAAATTTTTGAGAAGAAAAAAGAAAATTTCAAGTTAGCATGTCCTGGTTTCGATCCAGGGTCCTCCGGGTTATGAGCCCGGCGCTCTTCCCCTGAGCTAACATGCTGATTTGATGGAAGGTGTCTCTTGATGTGGTTATATAAAGCAACACTGATCCTTTGTCCACTTTCACGTAACTCAACATCTTGCGATTATTTCTACTCCGTGGTGTGCCATTTGAACCGGAATTCCAAGCAGGTTCAACTCTATTTAATTCAGATCCTTAATATATTCTCTTCCACCGCATTAAAACACTCGCTGTCCCAACTTCAGAATGTCGGCAATAAGAGCTCCCTGCTGACCCACGGAAGGAATGCGGCCGGCGATCCAGTTTCGTTGGTGCTGTGATGGAGTAAACTGTCCGGCATTTATAAAGGGCCAGAAAAGAAGGTGCGCACCGGCATCCCTCGGGATACCTGTATCACTATGCCTGAGGTGCTTGTGTGGGGTTGAGGTTTCATTTGGACCTGTGCAATTCAGTAGCTCCAAGTGATAGCCACAGTGCTGTGGGACTGTTGCACATATATCTGAGCTCAGCTGATGCAGCTTCGCCAAGGTTTGCTGATGCTGTAGTAAACCAGCCATTATGCAGGGTTGTGCAAGTATCGTGCGTTGCTCTAATTGCCGGCGGATCTCGTCAAGCAGAATCATCCGGCATGCTCGAAGGTTATTCCAGGTGTAACCAATCCATAGGTCTGGATAGACATGGAAGTCCTCCCCAAAGACCAACTCTGACCGCCCTCGCAAAGTGAAAATCTCAAACTGCCAAGAGGATGGAAAGGTGTCTGCTACAGAAGCCAGCTCACTATCGAGTTTCTGAGCGGCAAAGATTATAGTATCTGGACCTCGAATCCTTCCCGATCGTAGGTCATCACGAAACTCAATCACCTTGATGATCAACTCCGACAGCCGCCATGAAGGATCGCTCGTCGTATCCACATATCTTAAGGCCTTTTCATGCAGTAGGACTAGATCACCCGGTAAAGGAAGCGACAACATAATGCAATGTACCGAGATACATGAGAATAGGTGATGAAACAACTGCCGTCTCGGACAAGACGAGATAGACGCGTCTCCTCGCAGACACAGCAGCGTCGCTGCGCCTTTCACATGCGCATAGCGGTTTGAGATAGTACGCCTGGTCTCAGCTGTATGGGACTCGTAGGAGATGAGAAGCAGTATTGAAATGACGATCGCATCAGTTGCTGCGTTCGCTTGCGATGACGAGAGTGCTGAATTAATGAATCTCAAGGATCGGACATATTCACACCTTGCTTCGCTCAAGATTTCTGGATATCGATACTTGTGGGAGTAGGCTGCGAGTCCGACTGCACTCAGACTCGTGGCAACCATCGGGTCTTTCAGGACCTCCGTGCTGAATGTATAAAGGTATTCATTATAGCCCCGGATCGCTCGGGTCGGTCGCAGGACATGGTTTGCTAGGTAGTATTCGGTTGCACGGCAATGTAGAGGCTGCACTACCTCCTTCGGAATACTTGAATCTAGATCGAGATACTCCCTCCCATGTTTGATAAAGGGTTGTTGCTTCGCATTACACGAAGAGATCCGTGAAGTTGTTGTGTGCAATGACCTGGGTGTGTTGGTCGCCATCGTCTGCGGGCCACAATATATAAACATTCGATGAACGGAATCCGCGTCCTGCGGGCACTGCCAGCCAGATCGAACACATTGTGTACAGGCTGGTCGCAACTTATCACACTGCAGGCAATTAGCTTCATGAATATCATCATAGAGGTAAGATGGGCTTACTTTAATCTTCCGCTTCCTGCAAGTTTGGCAGCCTGTTGACAGCCGTCCGTGGCGAACCATTGTCCCACACAAGGCCAGTGTTGTGGAGCGTTTCCCAGCGCGTCAGCGTAGATGATGGGTATATCGCCTTGGAACCCGAGAAACAGATTGCAAATCATTACAAATACGGATGATGATGTGAGCTAAGGTTCTCATGATGACAACTGAAAGGAATACTACACCTACCCAAGTGAAGAGACTCGGCACCGGCGGGCAGCAGTGACGCTAGCCCTATTTGGAAGGTATTGCGAATCAGCCAATCAGCGCTCTATACTGCGAGTGTGAAGATAAGTAGTAGTATACAATCTATGGAGAATGAATCTGACAAAAACTCAATCGACTGTCCATGAAGATATAAAAGCCGGCTCAAAACTCCTCGATTGCTTCAATTAAACAGTCAAACTGTCATACCGAGATACCTTTCCTACCGAGCATACACTTCTGTCCTCGTATACAAAAATCTTCAACATGTCATCTGATAATAGAAATGTCTTGGTGGTGTTTGGGGCCACTGGCGTCCAAGGTGGCTCAGTCTCGAAAGCAATTCTCAGCGACCCTGATATCTCTCGACAATTCAAGGTCAGAGCTATCACTAGGGACCCTTCCAAGCCAGCCGCGTTGGCTCTTGCTCAACAAGGTGCAGAGGTTGTCAAGGTAAGCTTACATACCTGCTCAGCTACTGTACTGTACAATACCATGGCTCTAACCACAAAGACTAGGCAAGCCTCGATAAAAAGAAAGACGTCTATGCTGCACTTCAGGGCGCATATGCAGTGTACCTAGTCACCAACATGGAAGCTTTTGATTATGCTGCAGAGACAAGGCAGGCGAAGCTTGTGGCTGATGTTGCCAAGGTAGGATCAGCCTCTGGCACCCGAGACGTTTATCTAATTTAAAACAGGAGCTGGACATTAAGCATTTGATCTGGTCAAGTCTGCCGCATGTCTCGCAGAGTAAGTCACTTCATACCTGTTTCTGAGTAGTCATTGAATCAAACAGTCGCTCTCGACTAACTATGCTGGATATTTTGCTTAGTCACCGGCGGTAAACTCACCAGCGTTGTTCATTGGGATGGCAAAGCCGTTGTGGACGACTATATTCGGTCTCTAGCGATCCCTCACACGATAATCAACATTGGAGTGTATACGCCCTTCATCGTTGATTTCTTCCTCGCTCCTCTATCCACTGATCCTCCAGCTTTCAGCCTTTCCTTACCGGAGCCTGCCAACATCAACACCGTGCTGCCTGTCGTTGACGCAGCAGCGGATGTCGGCAAGTTCGTGAAGGGTATTCTGCTTTGCCCAGAAGAGACAATTGGGAAACGATTGGATATCGCGGAAGGATACTACACCGTCAAAGAAATAGTGGAGACTTTAAACAAGCTGGGTAGGTCTGTGGGCTTCCAGACTGTGCCGAAAGAGACGTTCAAGGCTGCACTTGCCTCGAGAGGATTACCCGAGTTCTTTCAGGAAGACTTGTGCCAGGTCCTCCAGTACATTGAGGAGTATGGTTACTTCCATAATGGTACGGTTGAGGAGGCTCGCGAGGTATTACCCTGCCACAGTCTGGTGGAGAATGATGTAATGCTAATCTTGTATCATGGACAGATTGCAAGCGAACCACTGATCTCGTTGGAGGAGGCGTTTAGAAGCAAGCTTGAGCTTGTCAATCTGGACGATAAATAGACAGCTTTCAGCTCTTGCATTGAATTTACACCACGGTTAGTGCTGTAAATGATTTCGACATCGAAAGGATGGTATTTGTGGAACATAGCTGCTTGTATTTGGGGGTTTGTCCTGCGGTTAGAATCTAGTAGAGAAACTTGATGCCTTTCTGCCTTGCTGCCTTGCCGCCTTGCGGATTCGCTGGCGAGGCAGTATGTATAATCACGTGACTGTATGTCCTTTGACCTCAAGTGAGGATCGGGTTCACCAACTGTGGATGCCTTTAGAGCCGGTCAAGAGGCCTCGCAAGGTACCCCAGTTCCAAGGTCCAAGAGTCTATATTTAAGCATGAACCACCGGAGTCTCTGGCGTGGTCGTGATACGTAAGGCCCAGATCACGTGCAGGGCGAAAACGGACTAGCGGGGAGGTTGTCTACGTAAGACACCCGGCCCAGGAGAGGGTGGAGTTCGAGCTATTCTGCACAATCTCTCAGAGTCCTATGCCTTCAAAGCGTGTTCCAGCTCTCATCCCCCCTTTTACAACAGCATGATACTATATCGGTTTCTGATATTGTCTTCTGGCGGACAATGACCGGCGATGATTAGGGGTGGAGTTCGCGACATCACAGTTTCAGACATTCATGGGGCGGCGGCTGAGGGGTTGACAACAACTTGCGATGGGCTTATCTGCAGATCCTGTGGGTAGGAACGATGAGCAACGATGGGCAACCATCTCGGTGTGGCTTGATCAGTCCATTGGGTGGAAATCTGGGGAGGATGCATGCCCATACGTAGGCTCAGAGGCTTTCAGCGTCACGCCGTCAAACGAATACATGTATATCGATGGAAGATCCACCGTGTTTCCACTGTCCACGACGGCACTTTCCCCCTTTGAGACGAGCGCCCTTCCGCCGGCGGAAAAGTATTCAAGACGACGTTGACTTTCGCTCTGCAACATGCATACTCAGTACTCTCGAGCACGCAAGCCGCCCAACCATCGTCCATTCAAGCTTTTGCACCAGTTCATGGCCCCATGGCCCGCGAACAATTACATAGCAAAGGCTGTTGTCGTCGGCCAACAGTTCCACCCACCCCGCCAATAAGAGCTCGGACACCTAATATGCATACGTCCTTCATTTCGAACTGTGGAGGCGCTCTTGATCAAAGACGAACTTAGCTCCGAGGACGACATGTTCGCTGTTGCCTTCCACGCTGCGCCAGCCCCCTGACAGCCCACCTGCGCTTTGGTTGCGCTTGCCCATAAACCTCCGGCACTTCCCTGTTCTCGTCCCAGCCATCGGACTTTCGCTCTCTATATCTCTGACGAAACCCTCTTCGTTCGTTTCTGAAACTTCTCATTCGTTTATCATCACACATTCGTTACACACAGCCAAGACAGCCATGAAGTCCTACATGCAGTGGGCCGCCGCTGCCCTCGCCGCCGGAGTGCCCTTGTGCGCAGCCCAGACCTACACCGACTGCAACCCCCTGAACAGTATGTTGATGCCGAGAACGAGAGTTTGAGCCTGTCGCTAACTGATCGTCACGACAGAGACCTGTCCCGCCGATACTGGTCTCGACCAGTGGTCTTTCAGCACCGATTTCACTGTCGGATCTTCTGCGTTCAACAAGTGGACCACGACCGCTGGCACGGTTAACAGCACCTCCCTGGGTGCCAAATTTGAGATCAAGGAAGAGGGAGATGCTCCCACTATCCAGACTGATTTCTACATCTTCTTCGGGAGAGTGGAAGCCAAGTTTCGCTGTGCCAATGGTACCGGTATCATCAGCACACTTGTGATGGAGTCCGATGACCTCGACGAGATTGACTGGGTATGATTGGGTTTCCAACAAGTAAAACAGTCGAAAGCTGACCCCTATCACAGGAACAAATCTCAACCTTCGACACTTACGTCCAGACTGACTACTTCGGTAAAGGCAACACCACCAGCTACGACAGGTACACCAACGTGGACTTGACTGATCCCGTCGAGGAGTTCCACACCTATGCCGTTGACTGGACCGCGGAAAGAATCGAGTGGATCCTCGACGGAACTGTGGTTCGCACCCTCGAATACGCTGACGCGGTGGATGGCACCAACTTCCCCCAGACCCCCATGGTTGTCAAGATCGGAATCTGGGCTGGTGGCGATCCCAGCAACAGCGCTGGAACCATTGGTAAGCCAACTGCGATACTTGACAGTTGTCTATGTCGTTTTGCTAACGTATGTTTCAGAATGGGCGGGTGGTGAGACTGACTATACCGCTGGTCCCTTCATTATGTACCTCGAGTCGGTGAACATCACCAACTACAGCCCGGCATGCAGCTACACCTACTCCGACAAGACCGGCGACTACACCAGTATCACCAGCTCGAACTCCACCTGCAACGCCACTTCCACCACCACCTCTAGCAAGAGCACCTTGGCTAGTGGCTCAGCTGTTGCCTCCAGCTCTGGCGCTGTCTACACTGGTGGCGCGAACAGCCTCTCCTATGGATCTGCGATTTCCATGGTTGGCGCTGGCCTTTTGGCTGCTCTTCTCTGATTTGGATCACCGAGCCTTTATTCTGACTGCGTCAGATAAGGCGTCTTCATAACTTTGTATATATAGACCAACTCCACAAGATAAATTCCCAAGACTCTGTGAGAAGTGGTCTCCAGATAGCTGCGTCCCGTGCCCTTAGCTTCATGTGTAGTATATGTGACGCCCAGAGCCCGTATCGCAACAGCGTGCTTCTAGATTCGACCAAATACCCTTTCGTCCTTGCTGCCTCCAAGCGAGCGAAGACAAGCCGGCACTTGATCCCTTCTACCTTACGATGAGCTAAACCAGCAAGGGATTTTGATGTTGATCCTTGTATCCTACTTGAGTTCTCTTGAGTGGATCAACACACCACAAAGCCCGAATCCTGGGATCTGCAGCTAGCAGCCTTCGACCGAGCCTCCGAAGTCTCATCTCTATCTGTTTACAAAGGTGGTGGAGTCGGGCTTACCCGAGAAGCCCCCCGAGCTCGGAGTTTGCCGAGGCCCGCCCCGACGTACCCGACCCACCTCGTAGTTGATTACCACTCATGGATTCACCTCTGCAAGTCTGCCGAGCATAAATGGCCGACCATACCATGAGAAAGGGGGTTTCTGTGAGATCCGTCTTGCGGTAAGTTCAGTGAGTAAAATTATATTGACCCATGTCCGACTGCAGGATCGGCCATATGAGCAATAGACGCAAACCATCAAGGGCAAGCTACAATCAATGTCTTTAGCAGGAACATCTATCTATTGAATGACTACTGTACAGTGGAAACATATCCGATTTTGATGGTCCGCCGGATCGTATTTGTTCGGACTTACTGGCCGCAGCATGTAAACACGATGACCCGGAAAGCAAGTATATCCAGAAGCAGGCAAGAGGGCCGATGCCGGTGAACGGCAAATGCACCTCCCTCGAGGCTAAGGAGCGGTAGCCGAGTCGACATAACGATAATAAACTGAGAGTCAACTCGTCGCCGATCGCCGAGCTTTCTACTTCTTCCGAGTTGCAACCTGCTGAATCGATCTAGGTACACACTAGGCAGAAATTGGTGCCCCTGGAGGCTCTGCTGTCGTTCGAGATTATGGGATTCCAGCGACCAAAGTGGTAAGGCTATCTATCGCCTTTCCGTGTCAGAAGCCGTGTGAATCTAACAGGGTCTCATGTATCAGGCGAACTTATCTCTCATCTGGGATTAACCCAGGAACACGATTGTTGGCTATCTGTCATGAAATCGCCAATGCTGACAATAAGTTTCGCTAAGCTTAGCGAAGTTCTAAACGAAAGGCTTAATCTAATGCAATTCTACGGGTATGACGTAGGGCTGAGGGATAGCGAAACTCAGTCTATGGGATAGAAGCTCAACTCCGCATGCTTAGCTTTTTGAATAATATGAGCGAGCTAATCATATAAGCCTTGAGGATGATACAACTATAACTTGTGGCCAGATCCAGCATTCTTTTGATAATTTTCTGGGTGGTGCAGAGGATCTCAGCAACATACTGGAAGTGGATGTGTACTAGTGGTGATCTAGACTATCCCCTCGGCTCTTGCGAATCTTTCTCATTGAATTCAGACTAGGGGCAAACTTAACTGCGTGAACCTTATAATTGGGGAGAGGGGGTAGTATAGATACTCGAAATATTGTAGCAAGAATATAGAAATCGAACAAAATAACATTCAAAAGTCTACAAATCAGAAGGGGAATTCAAAGATCCAGAAAACCGAACTTCAATATCATGAGGAACAACGCTGGCAGACACAATGATAAAACCATTGTTCTCCTTAGAAGTAAACCTCTGGGTTTATTCACCACCCCATATGAAGTCAACAGGCGGTCGCAGCGGGGACAGGCAGCAAACTACCTAGTATGCAGGCCGCAAGGATGCACTGTACACTACTATACTTCCATTCAGTGTGAGTAACACAGTGTTACTTCCTCAATCTATGATATTTTTTTGCTCGCACTCTTCCTCCCACCTTGTCACTCTCACATCTTCCTACCTCACATCTTCCCACTTTACCTTCTCCCTACCTCTTCATCTCCAACTCGGCCTCTGTCCTCATCACCACTCGATCACAAGAACCATTTACCTACTGTACCACGACAAAAGACCACAACACAAGATGGGGTAAGTGATCACTCATCCAATCCCCCATCAATCTCAGTAAACCCACTAACACGCTCTCACTTACACTGAAAGCTACACCCACTACTTCCACGTGAACTCCGCCAGCGAAGGCTGGGAGGCGTTCTGGCCGCGCCTGATCGCCGACACGCAGACCATCATCGCCGCCGCCGGGGTCCCCCTGACGGGGCCGCCCGACTACCACGATGGGTACGCGATGACCACGGCTCCGATCGTATCCGTGGACGAGGGGATCGACCTAAACGGGGTCGGCAAGAACGGCCACGAGCCCCTGGTCATCAGCGTGAAGGAGGACGGGTCCTTCAACTTCGTCAAGACCGCCCGCAAGCCCTACGATAAGGTCGTCGCGTGTGTGCTGCTCCGGGCCGCGATGCTGGCGCCGCAGGCTGTGGAGTTGAGGTGCGTATCCCTTCTTCATTAACTGCTCCATTCCTTTGGTTCTTTGATTTCTGTTTGGATGCTGGAAGACATCTGCTGACGATGGAACGTGGCTTGCTCGCTCAGATCGGATGGCTGTTGGGATCATGATTGGGAGTGGAGGGCGGCGAGGGTGCTCTACCAGCGGCTGTGGCCGCATGATGAGCTTCATTGTCCGTGGAAGGAGGTAGAGGAGGAGGACGACGACGAGGAAAATGTCGACGCCCCCGGCGGTGGTGGCACTGGCTGTGCCCAGCAGTAGAGGCTGATGGAGGAACACAGGTTTATGGCGAGGAGGGATTCCGAGTTGTTGTTGTACCGTCCGGCTTCTCTCGTGCTATTCAGTTGTCCTACTCTGGAGGGGCTGTGCTTCTGGTTCGAAGGGTCTCGACTTTCGCTTCTTGACCAAGCTGTATCTTATTGAGGGGAACAAGCGCAAACTACTAAGTCTTGTCATCTTATGCAAAAATTGATGTTACTTGCTAATGCTATCCGGGCCCTCTTTATGTCGATTCTTCTTCGTGTCGTCAGTAGACCTGTCCCCTACCTTGCTTCGAGTCACTTGGACGCAGGCAATGAGGAGGGCAGTTTTCGATATGGTTGCCAGATGCTGCACAACTGTCTCTCAGACACTGCAGCTTACCTAACCAACAGAGTGATGGCAGTACTTACTGCTCTTGTCTATTTAGCGCTTATTCCAACGCGTTCCAACCATCCATTCTATTGCAATAGTGGATGCATTACGCAGTGGGTTCCGAATACTGCTCTGGAGCCTCGCAGGGCACAATATTGACTCTCGTTGCGGCGATGTACGCAAGATGAATTGATTAATTTTATAACAATATTAGAACAGACTGGAGCGACCTGGACCAGGGCCCAAGTATCGCCCCCAAAGATTACATAGAATGTTGAGAAAGTCTCAGCGACCGGGGATGCACCTCCGCACGACCTATCCACCAACCCCAGCCTCCACCCCGCCCCTCTATCCCTCTAGAACAGCACCTTGGAGACGTCCTTGTTCTCCTTGATCTTGATATTCTTGATCATCAGCACCCAAGCGATGGACAGCCCCATCAGCGCCGTACCAGTGATCATCATATTGCGCTGACTGGAGGCGTAGGCATTCTGGATAGCGATGCGGGTCTCGGAGCCGACAGGATAGGAAAGCTGGACGTCGAGGGACTCATAGATCTCCTCCCACTGGTCGAGGGTGTCAGCAGGAAGGTACTGGCGCAGCTTCTGGGGCAGGGTGTTGGTCCAGATGGCGCCGGAGACGCTGCTGCCGACGGCGCCGCCGACATTCCCGAAGGTGCTAAGCAGGGCCAGCATGGCGGCGTACTCCTCGTGGGAGGAGGCGGCCAGGACGGCGACCTGCTCAATGAGGATCAGGGTGCCGCCGCCGACCGCTAAGAAAATCTGGCACATGCACATGTAGCCGACGGAGTGGTCGGGGGTGCGGAAGTAGATCATCAGCCCGCTGGCCAGCAGGTAGAGGGGGACTGCCCACAGCAGCAGCCACTTGAATCGGCCCGTCACCCGGATCAGGTATCCGCACCCGATCAGCCAGATCGGGTCCATCAGATCAAAGATTGAGCTGATGTAGCCCGCTTGCGTCAGACTCGTGTTGTACACCACCTGCAGGAACGAGGTGTAGTAGCTCGCCCAGCAGTAGTACGAGATCTGATAGGTCGTGCTCAGCAGGCACGCCCCGATGACGGTGCGGTTGGTCAGGAGGTGGTACGGGATGAACGGCTTGGGCGCGCCCCAGCGCTCGTAGACGATGAACAGCAGCAGCACGCAGAAGCCCACGACCATCATCGCGATGATCTTGGGCGATTTCCACTCCTCCTCGGTGTTGCCGGCGATGTTGAATGAGGTCAGGAAGAGGATCAGACCGCCGATCATGAGGATGATGCCGCCAACTGGAAGGGGAGACTCGGTGTTAATGGGATATCGCGGATGTGGCTGGGGTGGGCGTTGGGGAGGAAGATACACACCATCGAACTCTATAATGTAGAACCAGATGCTTTGCCACCAGGTGCGCGTGCTGCGGGGCTTGTATTGCAGCCGACCCTCCTTGTCAGCCTTGCGCTTGGCCATCTCCCAGGTCAAAATCAACGGGAGGGCAACGACGGGCAACAGGATGCAGACGGTTCCGTACGCCCAGCGCCAGTCGGTCTCGTGGAACTGGTTCGAGAGCGGTGCGCCGGCGAAGGCCGTGATGATGTACGGCGAGGAGGTGAAGCCGAAAGCGATACCACGATTGCGTAGAGAGGAGGTGTCGGAGGTGAGGACGTCCACGCAGAAAATCACGCCGGTGAAGCCGACCGTGTAGAAGGCCTAGGAAAGGCAGTGTGAGACTGATGCGTATCGCAGAAAATGCGATGGGGTCACTCACCTGCGCAGCACAGTAGGTTGCAATATTGTTGCAGCCCGCCATCATAATCAGACCCATCATCGCAATGAGAACCATGATGCCCAGACCGACCGTCCGATCCCACAGGTTCAGCACCTTGGCAATTGGCAGCAAGCACGCAGCACCCATGACACTGGTGACGATGCTAATGACCGTCAACAGTGAATGTGCCGAGAAGTCACTGGTGATGTAGGCCGACAGATTGGCGGTGAGATTGTTGTTCAGCCCACTGACAAAGTAGAGCATCCACATGCTATATAGACCTCCAGTCAGTTTGTCCCAGACCCCAAGACTCTTAAGGCACACAGGCTAACATGCACTTACCACCCATAGGAGAAATAGAGAGCCTTCTTGGACCACACAGCCGTGACCGCCTCCGCAACGCGAACACCATCCTGTTGATCCTGGTTCTGAAGTGACGGGTCTGGGGAAACCTCGTGCTCGATGGGAAGAGGGTCCTCATCGACCTGAGGGGGACGGCTCTTATTGTCCAGGGCCATGGTGGCAGCAATCAAACCGTGTCCGACAGGCAGAGAGGGCGGTGGGAGAGAAAGCAAAGAAAGAAAAAACTTTTGTCGATCTGCCAATCGATCCTTTGGGCTGCGGGCGTGAGACATTTTTAAGAAGCCCTTGCACGGCCAAGCCTTGTTTGTGTCACGCCTGCGTATTCTCAAGCAACCGGGTCAGCGAATCCCCTCCCAATGTCTTGGTTTTCCCTTGGCGACATCTCCCAGTGGCGGGCCTGGTCCGAGGTGGAACCAGGATGCTGCATCTGATAAGATATCATCGCCACGCTAGGGGTGGGTGGTTCGGTGACACTTCGTGCCATTTTGCTAGGATACTTGCTGGTTGGCTGCTCCTGCAGTAACAAAAACTCTATTTCATGTTCAGTGCCTCACAACGACTGAACGAGATCGTTGTGTGCCCTATCAATGCGAACTCTAATGTTGTTCGTCCCCTCCTGTCCAGATATCTCTTTGGCTGTAGCAAAAGGATGTAACATCTGTAGCAATTCCCAAAAGGTCTGCAACAACAGCGTGTTCATGTATATCATCGGTATATCATCGAACCCCACAGACCCAAAGCCTCGTTCTGTGCCTCCTCCACCGCGAGCCGAGAAGAGCACCGCTCCCCTTCCCCGCCAAGAACAGCCAAGGATCTAATCAATCCGCAAGCGGGTATCCTCCGGAGCACATCGGACCACTCTCGAGTGGCTGCACTCGGTTTGGTGAGCCAAGAGGCGAGACTCGTAACCGAGGTCGTGGCCGGACACTTGGCCTTCGTAGCAAAGCGAGGAGCCAAGCCCGTGATTTTTTGGAGGGAGTTCTTGGCAACCATGCCACGCGGGTTTCACGGATGCAGATAATCTGATAAAAAGATCAGTTTGTCCGAGTTGTTTTTGAGGTCTTTCCAGAACGTAGAACATCATCAAACGATATTTTCCTACTTCTCCACGACCAGAATCAAGCATATAGAAATGTGGTGGCCTAGTATTCCAGAGCGGAGACTCTCGTGGTCCGCGGGCCCCGTGCGCGGGGCCTCCCCCCCAGATGTTGGACCCTTTTTTGTCCCTTGTTTAGTGCCGTGCCTGCCCTGCATCCGAATAATTGCCGCAGAATGCCGGCGCGTCTGTGGCGACGATGATGCTGTATGCTCCGCGGGAGACTTTACTCATTACTTCGAGCCTCATCATAAACCCACGCTGCGTGAATGACAGTACGATCCATCATGAGGTAGTTGTGTTTTCAAGCTGTCGTTGCTTGAATGAAAATTTTCACTTTCCCGCTAGTCTGCTCTACCACTGTCCCATTAATCTAGGGCCCCTGTTGCTGCATGTCAGATTGGTTTACCTAATTCGAGATTGCCGACATGGATAATGTGTCTCAGACCAACAACCTAGGCTGCCATATATTTTTGATTCAGGGACCATGGAAGAACGGTGGGCCTGCGTCTACTGAGAAGCAACCACCTTGGCCATGCAGGGAACACAATCAGATCCTTTTTCTGGCAGCTTGGTCTTCTTGGTTCCCGGGCGGGAAGCGGGTTGATAAGATTGATAACAGCCTGTGTCATCCTCTGTCCAAGATGGATCTGAAACGGCGTATTTTTATTACGTGTATCGATATATATCTTCTTCCGTCTGTCGGGCAAAGATACAACGGAACAGCTGGGTAAGGTAAATACTGCCCTGTTCTCAACACGTTTCGGGTTCCCAAAACCCACATCTTACATACCATCACATCTGGTTTTATTCGACCCCCGGTTTCTTCCATTCGCAGTCACAACTTCGAACCTCGACAACCTGACCATGGAAAAATCAGTACCGTCAGAACCCCAGCAATTTGACGTTTGTACCTGCAAGAATTAAAGTAGGGAGGATAGGTGGTGAGAAGTGGTAGGCGGCCGCGGCCAAACGGGATCGACAACCAGCCATAGCGATGAGAAGCTTGCCATGGCACAAGCTATTGAGCGAAGCACCTGAATTCTTGTTAAAATGGTCCTGCGTTAATGATGGTAAGGAGATACAGGACAGATACTTATTCTACACAAATTTCAAGTACATACGACCACAGGGTGTGGAAAACAGGGCTTCCCGTCCGCTCAGCCGTACTTAAGCCACACGCCGGGAGGTTAGTAGTTGGGTGGGTGACCACCAGCGAATCCCTTCTGTTGTATGTTTTGCATTTTATCTTCTTCTCTTTCTTTTTTTTTTTTTTTTGGGACTGCAAAGATGATCCAAAGAATAAGCCAGTGCATGAGGTAGGTTACGCGCCGTGGCTTGCTGGACATGGTCCGGCTGACATGTTCAGGATCCCTGTCAAGCGCCGAGCACCGCCTTCTCCCCGAATTGCGCCTTGTCGCAGCTGCAAAGATAATCCGAAGAAAGAGTCAGTGCATTTGGTAGGTTATGGGCTGTAGTTTGCTGAAAATGGTTTGGCTGACTCCTCAGAATCCCTGTCAAGCGCCGAGCACCGCCTTCTCCCCCAATTGCGCCTTGCTGCGCCTATCTGAGCAAAGCCTTATAACTATGGACGGCGCCGAAGGTGCAACATGCTTGCCCGATTCAACCCTCCCGACTTCTTCATCTTCTTTCTGCAAAAGCGTGTCGCAGGCTGTCCTGTCCGCTTAACCTCTTCATTATCTTGATGGCATACCGAAAGCATAAAGATCCTCAAAGGGCAGTTCGGTCCACTACTCCACCTGTCGATACAATCTATCCTAGTCCTCCTCCTTCACCATGCTCGCCCAGGAAAACAGATCTCTCTGTTACGGAGGAAGCAGAGATCACCACCCCCGAGGCGCCACCGAGCAGGAGAGGATCCGAAATTCGGGCACGCACTCCTGGTTCTCCCCCTCAAAGCGGACGAGACACGGGTTCCGAAGTGGACGAGCCACCCCAATGGTCCACCCCCGCGAGCGTGAAGGCTTCCAGGAAAGTAGGTCCTCCTGTTACGGAGGAAGTAGAGACCACCACCCCCGAGGCGCCACCGGGAAGGAGAGGATCCGAAGTTAGGGCACGCACCCCTGGTTCTCCCCCTCGAAGCGAACGAGACACGGGTTCCGAAGTGGATGAGGCACCCCAATGGCCCACCCCCGCGAGCGTGGAGGCTTTCCTCCTGTTCTTTCGCCAACAGCGTCAACAGGGTAGATGTGGAGGCTTAACTGTCAAGAACAAACCTTGTCAGCGATTTCAAAGGCAAGCCAAGCAATCGGAGATCGACGCGGCGATATCTTTGTTGAGGCGGCTGCCACGGTCCATGCCGTGTCACACACTGGCCGACACGTTAAGAAAGCTCGTGCTACTTACCCATTGTGATAAACATGACGGCGAAAAGACGGTCAGTGCTCGAGTGAATACCTGGCTCAACGAGTATTTCCCCCGCCCCAATGATGCGGCTATGCTTATCCAAAAAGCACTGCCCGACCTCAGTACTACGTGCCTGGGCAGCAAAGACTGCTCCTGTGAACAATCTTTAGGTGGCAGAGCTGTCCAGACAATCGAGCAGATCCTGAGCAAAATCAAAGACCCCGTGGTCTACTTGAACGACAAACGGCTAACAATCTGGCTGACGAGGCTTGGCCAACACGTTTTCTGTGCCCTGCATCGGGAAACCCTGTCTCCGCTGCTGTTGGAGAGATGCCTCGCGGAAATTGCAGTCGCCCGGCACTGTCGGGTCCAGAAGACAAGGATCGACCACGTTCCAGAGGATCAAGATGAAGCAGAAGAATTCTGGCAAGGTCGGCATGCTACTCCCTATCCCTGACTCAAAGATGGGACTTCCCTGTAAGAGTATGATTGCTCACGTGTACTAGCCCCAGGATATGATACCTCGCCGTTTCATCTCCTTGCGACCGGCCGTCCGAGTATTGACGACGGCTGGATGCCAGCCAAAGCCCATCTAAAATCCCCCGGATCGCGGAACACCCGGCCAGGCTATATTTACGCCTATACTGTGGCTGGAAATGAGCGATATGTTAAAATTGGCTATACCTGCAACACAATCTCGCAAAGACATGAAGAGTGGACGTTTAGTTGCAACAGGGAGGTTATAAGTCTCTATCCGGCTGCCTCCGCTGTGGCCAGGCGAGTTGAGTCTCCGCAGCTGGTTGAGAGCCTATGCCATGCAGAGCTTCGGGCTCACAGGATTAGAATCTACTGTGGAGCCTGTCAAAAGCAGCACGTGGAATGGTTCGATGTCACCTCGGATAGGGCAACCATAGTCATCGAGAAGTGGTCCCAATGGATGGCTAGGGTGGCCGACCAACGGCCCAACTGGAGTATTGCGGTCAAGGCAATAGTGCGAGGGAACGCAGATCTTGAGGCAGCGTTGCACGAGTTGACGCAACTCTAATTAGCTTATATCTGTTATCTCGGAATTTCACTGAACTTTGTGTCGCTGCCAGAGGGCCTCGGTAGAAAGTATGATAAGAAGTGAAAAGGTCGCCAGTTAGAGTGCTAATATACGTCTTTAAAAAGAGGAGTCAGCTTCATACTGATATAAGAATCCGGATTGGAAGCTCGACGAATCAGCATCCTGGTCGACGAGTGCAGCCCTAGGGTCGGATTCTCGGTCGTGGATGTTTGCCCTAGCAATAAAAAAAGCTACAGGGACCATGTCTCACTGACCTTTTTGGCCGCTGCGGTTTCGCTATCCAACCGCGAATATACTCTTTACAGCCTGGAGTATATCCATATTGACTCAGTCTCGTTCTATCTAGAAGAGTGTCTCTCGTTTTGTGTTTCGGTTGAAGATATCATAAATACTTACTTGATGAATTTATCAAGATCGTTAGTAGAATCTATATTCTATTCAGCACCCCCTTCTTTCCCAGAGAACAATCCTGTAAGTATAAGCACAATTGCGCAAAGTGGCCTTCTATCGATACACAATGTTTAGAAGGTGAACATAAAAAGAAAAGGGTGAAGCACTATAATGGAGATAACTGGATGGAGCGGCATCGCTCCCATGGGTGCTTGGTAAACACTATCCTACTTATGCTGTTGTATTATTTTCTTTCTTTTTTTTGCCTTCTACTATAATTGGTTGGAGATTATGGCGGGTAGTCTGCTGCTTCATCACTATGGTCGCAAATTGTTCGTTCCTCTGTAAAACTTGTCTTGATCGGCAAGACGCTGCTCATCAACTCAAAAACAGCGTAGAGATCGGCATCGGCATTGAAGACCGGACCTTGAGTCACTCTGACTGGTGGCGGGCTGATTCTTCTCACCTGACTTTGAAATAGTCACTGAGCTCTGCGTGGTGTGCTGTCATGGCAGCTTGCAAGTTGGTGACTCCTGCTACCCCTTCCCCTGGCCATCTTGTGTCCGGCGTCCAATGGAGACATTCAAATGCTCTCTTTGATGATATACAGAGATTGGAGGTTGGTCCAGTGCTCTGCAGCCTCGTCGTTCTTTAGACACGCAGCACGTAGGACACCAAAGAAGTGACACTCCGAAAAAGTCAGCCCCCGGGATCGAAATATCGCTGAATACTCCTAACTCTATCGGAAACTGTAATATTATACATTTTGGAAGCAAACAGGCCATTCATACATGGGCCGCATCAAACCAACTACGCAGCTCATCCACCAACCCCCACAGCACAATTAGAAAATAAAACCTAATCCCCTCTCCGATCCTTCTGAGTAACTAAGCACCACAGCAACAAGCTCTGCAGCTGAAAGATCAAAGACTGTCAACCTCGCCTAACAACCACTGCAAATGCCGATACGAGACGCGGCCCTGATCCTGGGCCTGCTTATGCCCGGCCTGGAAGGTCTCAGCCCACATCAGCCCGCGCTCGTAGTGCTGCACGCCCATGACGCCCTGCGGGCCGTCCAGATCCCCGTAGCCCTCCTGGGCATCGAAGACGCCCGCCCACTGGAGATCGGGCATGCGGATATCGATGGTGGTGGCGGGGGCGGCCGCGAACCCCAGCTGGCCGTGCCAGGTCATGTTCTGGATGGCCAGGAGGGTGCCGTTGGTGATGATCAAGTAGTCCCAGTCGCCGTTGGCGATGAGCACGCGGTTGGTGGCCTCGATGACGCGCGGCAGCACGCCCTCGGTCGGGTTGGGCGAGTCGTCGCCCTGCTGCTCGGGGCCGGAGACGGCGTCCCCGCCTACGAAGACGGGGTCGGTGCTGCACAGCTCCCATTCGATGTTCTGGGGGGCGTGCAGGGCGCGTTTCACGTCCGACCGGTTGAAGTAGGTAGTCGGCCCGGGCTCGTAGGCGAGATCGGTCGGGAAGCCCAGCACGTCCCACAGCAGGGGACACTCGTCGATGATGCGGTAGGGGTTGAAGCATGGGTTCGGCGTGAAGGCTTCGTAGTAGATCGCGTTGTAGATGTCGCACGCCACATCGGAGTAGTTCATGTATCTCGGCGGTTGGAGGCCAGAGGCCGGGAAGGTGAAGTACTCGTCGAAGTAGGCCTGGTAGCCGCATTCTTCGTAGGTGGTTGCTAGCGAGGTCATGAAGGTCTCGTTGAAGTTGAACAGCGAGGCGTGCTGCTGTACGAAGGGGTACGCGGGGAGTTCGGCTTGGACCCAGTCCCATTGCCCGATGCAGGCATCGTACAGGAGAGCTCCTGGTGAGGGTGGAGAATCAGTTACCTAGTGCTGGGTGATGGAGGTGGTGGACGGGCCTACCGCTGAGGTTGAAGTGGGTGGTATCATTCTTGTCTAACATCGCCGAGGAGATGTAGGGAACGTACCGCCCCGCGTAGCTCTCGCCACTCACGAAGATGCGGAAGTTCTTGATGCCGTAAAGATCCTGGAACTTCGTGAAGAACTCGAGAAAGTCCGCGACTACCTCTGCTTCGTTGGTTGCTGTGGGTGTGCCCACAGAGTAGCCAGTTCCCACCGGTTGGTCGACCCTGCGTCTCCTGTTAGAATCCAGCTCTGTTTGTTTGCGGAGATGAGGCCTAAGAAACCAACCTGCTCACTGCAGGCGGAGTCACTTGGATCTTATAATATTGGCGACAACATACCATAGCATGTTGGTCAGGTTCACCCATGAATACTGATTGATGACCGGAGCATATGTACCCGGCTGCCACGTGAAGCGTCCATTCTCCTGGAAAAAGGCTTGTTCGGAGGAACACCCTGGTCCACCATTAAGGTAGATGGTTAAGTCGTCTGACGGTTCGCCAATCTTGGGCTGGAAGATGTAGAAGAGAGACCGGGATTCATTCTGGTGCGAGTTGATGGAAATGGAGCCCGAGTACATCTCTCCCAGGTCGAAGTGAACATCTGGTAAGCTTTCCACCAAGTGGGCTATCCGGGTGCAACAGCACAGCACGTCAGTCACAAGTTCATGTGAGGGTGGAGTAGGAATGCATACGCTTGGTCCGGTTATTCCAGAAACGGTAGGAGGAAGTGTTATTCGAATGAACCCTGGGAGCATGATCTATTGCAGGACGGCTGGAGAACCGGTCGTAGGCTCGGGCCTTTTGCATGGATGAGCCAGGTTGGGATGCATGCACGGCATTGAGAAGCAGGAGGGCAGTGGTAATCCCTGTTGCTGGAATGAATGGAAGCAACATCTTTGGATCAGCGATTTTCCAAAGAAACTTTACACTGAAACGACGGAAATCATTCCCTTGTGACAGCGCGGACGGGGATCAGGCCGATCTTGTACCCAGCAAGCTGGAGGATTCTCCGCCAACTGGGATAGCTAGGGGGTAAGCGTGCCCACTCGGCTCCCCCCACTCGGCTCGTTTGGTGCGAGATCAGATTGCGCGAGGTCAAATCTCACGATGGCCTCAATTTCCTCAATTAAGCGGGTACGTCTCCATGCCACTCTATAGACTTCTTGCCAGATTGGCTAGATTCGCGGCGTGTAGGACATGCGGCATCCCTAGCAATATATCAGAGAGCGAGCAGTCGCACACGACATATCGACTGGATGAGTCGCCAGCGTTTATGGTTAGCCGGTCGGCAATATCGAGTGGCTTTGACGTGGCTGCAGTCGCGAAAGAGGATTCGGTAGGATTACATCGGAGTTAGTCGTAGCAGATCTAAACTCCGTTGCGCCGACTATCGGATGCCGGATTCGAATTGCTCAGCCAAGAGATGCAAGCCAGTCAACAAGCGCAGATCAATGAACATTATGCAGAAACTCCATGCAGATCTTGCCCCAATTCCCCTGCATGAAGTCCTTTCTTGCGGGCAGTGAGCGCCTGACTGCATCAGAGCATGAACGGCAGCCATTAGCGTCATGAGATCGATGCTTTCTGCTACATCTATCACAATGTGACAGCTTGCGTTTGCTAACATAAAACTCATAGCCCCAGCCGTCAACAGCCCTCAGCAAAAGCATCCTGAACAATTAGGTTTTCAGGGTCATTAGTCTTGCGTTGGTAATCGGCATCGAGTGGGGCAATAATTGACTAAAGCAGAAATAATCGGAGACGATTCGTCATCCTTTGCTACCGCACCAGCTCGCAAAGGGCTTAAGCTCCACTAGACCCTGCCAAAGTGCGGTATAAAATCTACGCGATCGCCGCAGGACACCCTCGGACTTTTAGAATTTCCTGCACCGCGGGAATTGTGTGCTCCGCTTATATAACTCCAACGGTGGGATTTGTCCAAATTTTTGAGAGAGAAAGTTGGAGTAGCAGAGTGCCTGGGCCTAAGATCGGCGGGGGGATTACCCAATTGGAGGCAGTAAGCCTCCGGGTGCGGCAGAGTTAGTCGGCAACACTACCCATGGCTGCTCATGGCTTCGGACCATATCAATCATATCAATCATATCAATCATATCAATCATATCAATCAGCAATCAGCAGTCCTCCGATCTCGGTGCTTTTGGATGGATGGATTTGAGGTCTTCTTGCGGGCTGTGTATTGCTCGAGAGGGGGAATTATGTTTTCGCTGGTGTGGCTGTCTGGCGGGTATGAGCTACGATGCCTGTCGTAGGGGGGTCTTTTGGGGACTCTTTGTTTTGACACTGCACAATTGCGATTGTCTTTCCTATTTTCTTGCTTGCCCTAATCCCAGATCGGGGCCGGAAGACTCATGCCCCACCACATGGTGTGGTGTGATAGCATTATCCCGCATGGAGATGGATCCGTCGACGACGGCATACTCAAAGGCCCCGAATCATGTCTCCTAATCTCTGATTTCTGACTATCAACGATTTCTCTCAATGTGGTTTTATCTGTCATAAAAATTCATTCAAAAATTGACTAAGTAGCTATGTCTGAACACAGGACTCTAATTCAGAGGTTCAAGCTGACCAAAAACGCCTACACCCCCCGTACAGCACGCCAACCTCAGGCCAGGCCTCCAGCATCCCCCGGTGTGCCAATCCCGCCCCAAAACTGCCTTTGATCCGGATCGAGGGCATCCCGATCAGTATTCCAGGTAAACGCCATCGGCGTAACCACCTCCAGATGAGCCGCGATATGCGACAGCAACAGCCTGGCCTTGCGACGGTCCGCATCGTCATTTAGCGGGAAGTCCGTCGCATCCGCCACGCGCAGCTCCATCTCCTCGGCGGACGGCCTCCTGCCCACACAGCGGACAGACACTGTCCAGCCGCACGGGGGGGGCGCCGCTGTGTGCGGGCGATGGACCTCCTCAGGCAGCGGCCGTCGCAGGCGAAGGCGTGGCTGCACCACTCGACGCCCTCGGCGAAGTTGCCGGCCATGGCGGCGAATCAGGCGCCGAAGGAGGGGCAGGCGTGCGGGCAGGCGTCGGGCCAGGGCTTGCTGGAGGAGCAGGTCTCGTACAGGCACACGTAGCCCTCCAGGTCGCCCATCACGTGATCCTTCCAGGCCCGTGGGCTGGGGTAGGCAGCGACGGGCAGTTGAAGCGCTCGTCTCCGAGGGGGAAACGTGGTAGCACGGAAGTCTCTTGCCCCCAGAGGACAGCGTCCTTGGTGAGCCCGCGTATGCGTCGCTGGAAGTTCCAGAACCACCGTCGCTGGACGACTAGATCCACCAGTCGGCGGTGGAGGGTCGGCTGCGCGGTAATGGTCAGGCATTCTTGTGTGATGGCGCTGCGGATGCACTCGCGGAACTGGGTGGAGATGCCGAGGCCGAGCTCGTTGCGTATGGAGAAGTAGAAGGAATGGGTGATGGGCGGGTTGAGGGCTGGGTAGGTGGTGTGCATGGCGTGGTCGCGTCGCCAGAAGGTCAAGCGCCACCCCGCGTGGTCCTCCACGCTGCGCAGGTTTTCGGTCCACTCGTCGACGAGGTGGGTGTCGCTCGGGGGTTCGGGTTGCTGCTGCGTCGCTCGGCGGAGCGCGAAGGTCACCTGGTCGATCTCGCACTGCAGCTCCAGGAGGACCATGGCCATCTCGCTGCGTTGGCTGGGGTTGTTGCGCAGGATGTAGTCCCCCGATTTGTGCGGGGGTCCGACGGGGTTTGATCATGATGTGGAACTGGGGCATATGGGTCCAAAATTGCTCCAGTCCCTCCTGGATGTTACGCTGTAGCTCCGAACTGGCGAGCCCTTGGGCGGTTGCTATGAGAGCATTGTATAACTGCACGCATCTGACCGCTTGCTCGAGGATGGGCGTGGTGCTGATCACTCTCCCCATGGTTGGCCTTTGTTCAGAAGGATAGGTTTGTTGTCCCAAGGATGAACATTGGAGGTGAGGTAGGTTATCGAATCATCCATTGTCCAGCCACTTTGGCTTATATACAGCGACATCTTTTAAGTTGTTGTGAGAATGGTCGGTTGATTCTTTATTCACACAATATGAACTCTGTGGTCAGCACCCAGTGAATGTGATTTATGTTTGTTACGGTTGACGGGAAACCTCGACTTCGCTGGCATCAGATTGGGGTCATTGTTGATTTAGCGCAAGCACTGCTGCACAGAGGAAGTTTACATTACGGCTCGAATGAGTATGCAATGCTTGATGGTAATTTCATGAGCAAGTTTGCAAAAAGGCAACCGATAAAGGAACTCAAAGGAACTCAACAAGGCGAAGCGGAGTCAGACTCAACAGACGAGAACAGACAATCCCGAACCAACACTGAAGCACAACTCTAACAAAAACAGAAGACCGGAAGATGTCGAAACTTCCTAACCCCCCCCCCCCCCCCTACCGAACAATCGCAACCTTGCTCACCCCTCCGTGAACGTCGAAAACACCTCGCGCTGCGCCAGGGCAAACTCGCGCTCGACCGTCTCCCGAATAGCCTCACTGCGGAGCACCGGCCGAGTCCCGTAGGGCTTAGCACAGTACAAGAAGCCATGCTGATACCCAGTCACTGGATCGCTATCACACGGCTCCTCCTCACTACTTGACTGGAACTCAAACGCCCACAGCAGCTTCGCAATCGCCAAGAACATATTCCTCTCCGCCAGGTGAATGCCCGGACAGATCCGCCGACTGACCCCATACCCATAGTGATCGCGATTCTCCCACGACCCAGGCACATACTCCGGCGCCAGCGCAGGGTGGTCCGCGAACCGTTCGGGCACAAACCTCGCCGGATCATACTTCTGATTCAGCCGATGATCAGGATCCATATGCATCCCCCAGGTATTGACGACCACCATCGTCCCCTTCGGCAGGAACCTCCCATCGACCCAATCATCCTGGCCCAGGGCGTGCGGAAAGCACAGCGGCAGGATCGGCCGCCAGCGGTGGCCCTCCTTGATAATCATGTTGATGTACGGCAGCCGGGCGAGGTCCTCCCACACGGGGGATCGACCGTGGCCTACAACTGAATCAATTTCCGCGTGGGCTTTGCGCTGCACCTCCGGGTTCTGGGTGAGGGCCTGCACAATGGCGAGGGTCAGACTGGAGCTGGTGTCGGACCCGCCCTCCATCAGCACGCCGCCGATGAAGGCGAGCTGGTGGCGCGGTAGCTGGTTCCGGTCTTGGGACGCAATCACCCGGTCCATGAAGGTGTCCAAGTTCACCCCGGCCGCTCGCCGCTTCTCCACCCGCTGCAGGATGTCCTCGTATAGCGTCTCCATCTGCACCCCGATCGCCCGCGCCCGCGTCACGTAGTTGCCGAAGAGCGCCTCCGGCAGGCGCTTCAGCCACGGGAAGATGTCCACGGGCGGGGTGGCGCCCGTCTCCATGATCTCCGACCATTGCTCCATCAGCGTATACAGCCGGTTCATGTTGCTGCCGTGGCGGTCGGCGGTGCGGATGCCGAATACTAGGGGATGCCATGTCAGCTATGTGGCTTCCCTGATGAAAAGGCAGCATCCAGCAGAAACCCCCGCTTTCGCAGTAAGACGGGGCTGGGACTTGGGGACAGGGAAAAAGGGAGGGGTCAAACCAATGGAATTCGTGATACTGTTGCTGAACCGCTTCGGGTGGGCCATGTGATGCGCCGGGTCGAGCATGTAGTCGCGCACCAGCTGGAGGGCCTCGGCGTTGACGATGGGCAGGTGCTGGCTGTCGACCATCGACTCCATGAGGTGCTGGTGCACCAGGCGGCGGAAGGTGCGCCACTTGGGGCCGTAGTGCATCACCAGCAGGTGGTCGCCCTGGGTGATGAGCTCGTGCGAGACGAAGGAGTGCGGCCGGTGGCTGTACAGTGAGCTCTTGCTGTCCAGCACCTCTTTCACGATGCGGCGGTCCGTCACCACCGCCATGTTGCTGTTGCCCACCTTGAGCATGTACAAGCCGCCATACTGGCGGGCCCAGGCGGTGAATCTTCATCGATTAGTCGGTCTCTGTTGTCGAAGCCCGCAGATATGAGGTTTGGGGGCTGGACGTACTGCATGTGCGTGTACGACTTGGGGATGAGATGCGCATTGCCAATGAAGGGTAGCGTCGGAGGGCCTGCAGATCGAGTAAGTGCTTTGAGGTAAGAGTAAGCGAGCCACCAGATAAAACCGCCAACTCACCGCTAGGCATGTCCTTGGTCCGATGTCCATAGGTCCAGGCGGCACGGATGACAACCACGAGGAGGGCTATCGCCCCACCCAGCAGCCACACGATCGGTTGCATGTTTGTTGGGGTGTGTCGACGGTGAATCTTGGCGAGCGAGGAGAAACACAAGAATAGAACCACACTGTGAACTAGTGGAGATCTTGGTTTATTTAGTTGCGCCCTCGTTGGCGACAAAAATCATCCTCCCGCTTGGTGCGTGCCAGCCAGCCTGGAGCCCCCCAGTGCAGCCTGCGGCTATCCCGAATGGGTAATGGACAAATCAGGATGCCCTGATATGTACGTTCTCGGAGGTTCGCGTCTTCACGCCTAAATGGGATGAGTCGAGGGACGGCCAGTGTGCATTGTTCGAGGAGACCTCCTTCGTTGAGTAAGACAGCTTCTTTTACGTATTCAGACTCGAAGGAGGGTCAACATCTTCAGCAAGGGAGGGAGTACTGTGGTACAGGACAGCGCGACGGGGATAGTTGGGGCAGACGACACAATTACCCTAAACGGATAGCCAGCAGACAACTCCTTACGGTAAATGCGGGGCACCCACGACCCTTAGGTAATCGTGGCATTTCCCAGCCAAACAGCCAATAAAGTATAATGCAACTCAACCATACACGGAACACTAATAAATTCCTTGAATCTTGCATAAACAGGTTTACAAGGGTTGCCAAGCAACTGCCGAGTCCATAGTATCTCCATACTAAATCTTAGAAACATCATTGGCCTCCGCCCGCTTCAGGCGGGGGAACAACTGCAGCGCATTCTCCTTCAGCGCCTCGACCGTAACTCCATCCGGCAACAACGCGGCCTCCTCCTCCACGAACCGGGTAAACTGCACGATGGCATCCCGGGGCGCGTTGGGGAAGTCGCTCCCAAAGAGGATGTGGCCCGGTTTGGCGAAGCGGGCCAGAGCGGAGAGGGTGACCTCGTTGGCGGAGATGGCCGTGTCGAAGTAGAAGAGCTCGCGGGCGGTGTCGAGAATCTCATCGCGGCTAAGGCCGATGTTGCGGTCCGGGGGCATACAGGGGAGCATGGTGGCGGCGCGGTGGATGAGGTAGGGCAAGGTGCCGCCGGCGTGGGAGAGGATGACGCGGCAGCCGCGGTGCTGGCGCAGCCGCCCCGAGGTCAGCAAATCCATGGCAGTGCGCCCCGTCTCGTGCGGGTAGTCGAACATCGGCTGCGGCAGGGCGGCGTTGATCAAGGCGGTATCCTGCGGGTGCGTCGGGTGGATGAACACCACCGCCTGCCGCCGGCTGAGTTCCGCCCAGATTGGGGCAAACGCCTCGTGGCCCAGGTAGTTTGGGCCCTGGCCGTAGCGGGTAAAGAGCGTGACTCCGTCCGCGTGGAGCTCATCCAGCGCGTAGCGGATCTCCTCGAGGGCAAGCGCTGTGTCGAAGAGCGAGGGCACCGAGGCGAAGAACCCGTATTGGGCGGGCGCGGCGTCGCGGATCGCCGCGGCGGAGCGGTTGCACTCCCGCGCCAGTGATGCCGCCGCAGCTGGCTCCTTGGCAATCACCGGGCCGGGGGCAGTCACGGAGAGGATGGTTGTAGTCACGTTGAGGGTGTTGTTGATCTCCTGGTCGAGTTCCAGCGTCCACGGGGGGATGTACCAACCTGAGGGGTCGCCGCCGGCCGCTTCCAGGGCTGATGACGTACATTATGATCATGTTATCGCAGCTAAAGAGAGAGAGGGTTGTGTACTTACCCTCGCGGAAGGCTTGAGGGTAAAAGTGGTGGTGCACGTCAATCTTCATCTTGGTGAGTATTAGTCTGAATAGTGTATTGCTTTGCAGGGGATTATTTCGTCTTGTTTGACTGGCAGAGGTGATTACGACACTAAGTATAATTATATGTCACTTCATCTTCCAGGAACAGGAAGTGAACAAGCTTTCTCCAACCGAGGTAGTCTCGGAGCAGACAAGTGTTCTACCTGGTTGGGAATAAGGCTGATCTTACTATGCCCAAAGGAGAACCCGATGCAGTGAGATGAGATGAAACAGGCTGACAATTCACTAAGCTTATGCATAAATACGAGACGCTTGGACCCCCTTCCGTCACCGTGAACACAACACTATTCATCGTGCCCCTCTTCCCAACCCAGCAAAGCACAAACAAGAAATAACTAATCAAATCGGGCGAAAACCTCTTGCGCTTCCTGGAATTCCTTGACAATCGTGTCTCGCTTCTCCGGTGCCCGCAATCGGACTCCACACCCGTACTCCTTGGGGCAATGCAGGAAGCCCTGACTGGCCCCGGATTCCGGGTCGATGTCGCTGTAACTGCCCATCGGCTGCGTGAACTCAAACGCCCACAGCAACTTGGCCACGCCAATGATGAGGTTGCGTTCCGCGAGATGGATCCCGGGACAGATGCGGCGCCCAGCCCCGTAGCCATAATGGTCGCGCTTGTCCCACTCGCCGGACGCCGCATACGTCGGCGCCAAGGCAGGGAACTCCTCGAATCGCGCGGGCTCGAACCGCTCCGGCTCCGGCCAGCGGCGGGGGTCGTGGTGCATCGCCCAGACGTTCAGCACCACGGTGGCCCCCTTGGGGATGACCATACCGTTGATCTCGTCGTCCTGCGCCACCGCGTGCGGCACCCCCAGTGGGCTGACCGGGCGCCAGCGGTGAGCCTCCTTGATGATGCAATTGATATACGGCAACTGCGCGGCATCAGACCAGGCTGGCGAACGGTCCGCTCCGACCACGCGATCAATTTCCGCGTGGGCTCTAGAGAAGAAGAAACAAGGCAACCGGTTAGAACCCTGCAAAGAACAGACATGAAACATGCAAGGGGTGATGGCTCTGCGGGAGTGAGGGGTTCGTATCCAACATACCGGGCCTGCACGGCAGGAAACTTGGTCATCGCCTGGATGATAGTCAGAATCAGCGAGGAGGAGGTATCGGAGCCCCCTTCCATGAGCACCCCGCCCAGAAACCGTAGCTGGCTCTCGGTCAGGGGCACCTTGTCCAGCCGGTCCAGCACGCGGTCCATGAACGAATCGCGATTAATGCCGCGGGCGCGGCGGTCGCGCACCTGGTCCAGCACGGTGGTATACAGCGACTGCATCAGGTGCTCGACCTCGAGGGCGCGGTGCCGCCAGTGACCGGTCATCCACTGCGGGAGCACGCGCAGCAGCCAGAAGTCGTCGACGGGCGGGGTGGCGCCCAGCTCCTGGACCAGGGACCACTTCTCCATCAGATAGAACAGCCGCTCCATGTACTCGTCGTGGACGGTCTTGGAGCGGATGCCGAAGACGAGCGAGTTGGTGATGCTGTTGCTGTAGCGCTTGGGGTGCAGCATGTGGTCCTGTGGCGCGGTGAGGAAGTCGTACAGCATCTGCTTCGCCTCCGCCTCCTGCACCTTCCAGTGCTCCTTCTCGCAGTTGGGCTCCATGAAGTACTGGTGTACCGTCTTGCGGAGCATGCGCCACGTGTCCCCGTACTGCATCACGAGCAGGTGGTCCGAGTGGGTGATCAGATGCGACACGAGGGATGCCGGCCGGTGCGAGTAGACATTGCTCTTCTTGTCGACGAGCTCCTTGATCAACTTGCGGTCACTGATCACAATGGTGGTGTTCTTGAAGCGTTTCAAGGAGAAGATCCCCCCGTATTCGTCGGCCCATTTCATGAATCTATGGACGTGTTAGGCAAGATGAGGCGCATATGTCAAGAATGAAGTGAGTGCAGGAGCCTTACTGGAAATGCGCATCCGCTTTGGGAATTTGCAACTCGTTGCCAAAGAAGGGAACCGTCGGAGGACCTGCGATTGGGATTAGTTTCTTGTGATACTGGTTTAGAAACACTGGTTCCAGCAAAATATTTGTTGTACGCACCAGGAGGCAAAGAAGCATCACGGCGGCCAGATTTCAATGCAGCAAAGATGAGAAACAGGATGCCTGCAACCGCCGCAGCGGACGCAGCGACGACGGCGAAAGGAGACACTATCAAGCTCATGGTGGGTGTGATTCTCCTCTGGCAGCTCAGCCAGAATGTCGAGCGTAGACGAATATAAAGAAGAACGAAGTAAGCGAGGACTAGCTCTGCCTTGCACGGCACCTTATCCGGAAGGAGTTTCGGAGTTCAAGGTGACTTGATATTGCTTTGTTCCTCTGGTGTTTTTGGCGCCCGTATTCGCTTCGGTCGACCTGAGAAATGTGCCCAAACGGGTAATGGCCGGAGGTCCAAGTTCTCGCGCCGCAATGCTTATCGGGTTGAGTCAGATACAGGGGTATGGCACTTGGTTCTCTCTTGACTTGGATCATTTCTAATTCAGCCGTCATTGTTCTATTGTAAGCTTTGGTGACATTCGTGACTGTGCCACGTGTCTAACTCCTGATTAGCGAGGTGAGGGCTTTTCGTAAATCCCATTACGCCCATTATCTGTAGTGTGTCAGATATACTTGTAGAAATATATTCTCACCCCCAACTCTACCCGTTGACATATGGGCCTGAATTGTCTTTTGACGAGTAGACTTGCAAATTGCCTCATCCGTGGTCGACCTAATTACCTAAGTATTCTTCTATCTGAGTATCTGATTCTATGCGGTCGATGTTCATACTATCTTGATCTTGCAAGGAGTTCGGCTCTCATGAAATAGTAGACCCGAGTTCTGCCGGATGAAAGTGGGCCAAGGTGTATTTTCTCCAAGAAAACGAAAAGTTAGCACGAGAATCGCTTGACAGACGTGGTTTGAAATGTGAAGTTGAAAAATAGAAGTTCAATTTAAACTAACAATAAGAATGCTTCAAATAAACCCAATGGTAAACTATAAACCAGGAGACAGGATGTATTCAATGAACCCCATTCGTACCATTCGTGCCATTGGCGCCATTGGCAACCCGCTTCTTCAGCGTGACCACGTCCTCCCAATCCGTCCCCGTCGTGGTGCCATTTGTCCCGTTAGTAGCATGTCCGTTGACCCCGTTCGTGTGCCCATTGACACCATTGGCATGTCCATTCACCCCGTTTGGTGTAGCATGAGCCGCGCCATCCACAAACACGCCCTGGTCATACTGGACAGGCGGCAAGACCAGCGCCTTGGGTGACATATCCTGCACCCAGGGCTCAAACTCGGCGTTGTCGGGCCGGGACGCCGCCTCCAGCGCGACCTGCGCGTCCCAGTTCTTCTCGACCGCGTAGGCGTCGTGCACCAGATGCCGTTGGAAGAACGAGCCCTTCATCTTGGCGACGGCGAAGTCCCAGTCGGTCGTGTACTCGCGGAAGAAGGGCTTGTAGCCGAGCAGGCCGCCGATCCAGCGGCCGACGATCACGCACGTCCAGTAGCCGACCTGGCGGCGGAAGGGGACCCACGCGGGGGCGGGGGTGTACGCGTCTCCGCCGTCTTGGATCTTCATCGGTGATCAGTGTTTGCCCTCAATTGGCTGATAAGCGCAAGACGCAAACTCACAGCCAAAAACTGAATCCAGTCGAGCCCGCCGTCATGCAGCAGGGCATCATGCCAGTAGCCGTACCAGTTCTCGAAGAAGATGCGGTCCAGCTGGTAGTCCATGCCAGAGTCCGAGGCGCTGAGGTAGACGGTCATGCTCTCTTCCGAGTCCGGATGGATGAAGAAGTTGTGTACGCTGCCCGCCTTCACGGACACCTCCCCGTCCGCGGCGGTCACCCGCTTCACCTGGCCGTTGACGTTGATCCCCATCACCCCAGATTCGACGCGGAAATACTCCGTCTGGAACTGGTGGAAGTGTGGCGGGGGACCCTTGGGCCGGTCGGGGCTGTTGATCAGCTTACGCAGGTTGTCGGGGATGGGGCCTTCCACGTTGTGGCGATAGGTCTGGCGGAACAGGAAACATCTTCCCGGTGGGGGCTCCAGAAACTCAGTGGTGAGGAGACCGCCGAATCTAGGTTATTATTAGTTATCAGAAGATCTGAGGGCCGAGTTGTTTCGCTGTAGACATACTTGACAATCTTCGACTGGCCGGCCGAGTTGTGGTACGGGACAAAAGGCGCCATTGTAAAATATTGTTGTATGCAAACGGCGGCAAAGAAAACAAGTTTGATTCTATGGAATTGAGTTCTGATGAGTGCCAATTTAAACTTCGAAAGCCGTTATCGTATATCGTATACATCATATATAAGACAGAAATCAATCACAAACTTATGCATCGAACAATCTATTCTTCGAAGGGCCCGTGGGTTTCGAATCCCTGTCGGATTTGCTGTTTTGGATCGGGAGGCCGAACGACTCCTTTAGGCAATCGCCAACTCCGCTTAGGGCTTACTCTTGCATGCAGATCTGCAGCGTTTTCCCTCCGTGCTCGCAGCATGACAACAGGAGATGAATCACGCTTTTTCTTTCTGTCTTTTCTGGAAGCTGGATCTGGAACATCCTAGTTCCGAATTCTGCATTACCGCATTTGTCCCTCCCGGATCCGTGCTCACACGTGTCTGGCGTTGGACTCGATTGAGATAGTCATCTTGATGCTCAATGGAGATGCTGGATGCGAGGGGCTTGATCAGGCTCTGGTAATTGAGACGAAGAGACAGAGCAGAATTGAGAAAGGTCTTTGACTCAGAAGCGCTCGTTCAAGAACGCAGTATATAACAACCATCATCCATCATCAACAAATGCATCATCAGCACAACACAACCCAGCCCAGTCCACCACAGCAGGCAGAGACAAAGCCCAGACGCTCGACTTCACTTCAATTCTCAGTTCTTCCAAGTCCTCAAGGTTTCTCAAGTTTTCAGACACTCTGTCACAACATCCTCGCCACAATGCCTCACTTCTCCTCTGCCGCATCCAACTCGTCCACCGCGACACCTGATGCTCAATCTTCAGGCTTGACCACACCCGTCTCGGAGTACAACCAATTGGTAAACTATCAATAGCACTACAACATTCGGAAGATCGGAAAGCTAACGCGCGCAGAACCCCGCCAAGGATGTCGCCGTCGTCGGTATGGCCTGTCGGGTTGCCGGCGGCAACAACAACCCCGAGCAGCTCTGGCAGTCACTCCTGCAGAAGAAAGATGCCTCGGGCGAGATTCCCGAGATGCGCTGGGAGCCCTACCTGCGCCGCGACTCGCGCAACGCCAAGATCCTCAAGGAGACCACCTCGCGCGGCTACTTCCTCGACCGGCTCGAGGACTTTGACGGCCAGTTCTTCGGCATCTCCCCCAAGGAGGCGGAGCAGATGGACCCCCAACAGCGCCTGTCCCTCGAGGTCACCTGGGAGGCCCTGGAGAACGCGGGTATTGCGGCCAAGTCACTCTCCGGCAGTGACACCGCGGTCTTCTGGGGCGTCAACTCCGACGACTACTCCAAGCTGGTGCTGGAGGACCTGCCCAACGTGGAGGCGTGGATGGGCATTGGCACGGCGTACTGCGGCGTGCCCAACCGGATCTCCTACCACCTGAACTTGATGGGTCCCAGCACCGCTGTCGATGCGGCTTGCGCTTCCTCGCTCGTCGCTGTCCACCACGGTGTCCAGACCATCATCTTGGGCGAGTCGAAGGTTGCCATCGTTGGAGGTGTCAACGCCCTGTGTGGGCCTGGGTTGACTCGCGTGCTTGACAAGGCCGGTGCCGTCTCTTCTGAAGGACGGTGCTGCTCCTTTGACAATGATGTCAAGGGGTACGGCCGTGGCGAAGGTGCCGCCGCGATTGTCCTGAAGAACCTTTCGGCGGCCATCAAGGACGGCGACCACATCATGGCCGTCATCAAGGGCACCGCCGTGGCCCAGGACGGCAAAACCAACGGGATCATGGCCCCCAATGCAAAGGCCCAGCAGCTGGTCGCCCACAACGCTCTGAAAGTCGGCAACATTGACCCCCTGACCGTTGGCTACGTCGAAGCCCATGCCACGTCCACTCCCCTGGGCGATCCCACCGAGGTCTCCGCCATCGCTGCCGTCTATGGCGTTGACCGAGATCCGGAAGCTCCATGCTTCATTGGCTCCATCAAGCCGAACATCGGTCACTTGGAGGCGGGCGCTGGCGCCATGGGCTTCATCAAGGCCGTCATGGCCGTGCAGAAGGGTGTTCTGGCCCCGCAAGCCAACCTCACCACGCTGACCAAGAAGATTGACTGGGATAACGTTGGGCTCAAGGTCGTTCAACAAGAGACCAAGTGGCCATCCACCGACGATGTTCGTCGGGCTGCTATCTGCTCCTATGGCTATGGCGGTACCGTCTCCCACGCGGTCATTGAGCAGTTCAACTTCCCCGAGACATTGGATCTCAAGCCCGGCGCGTCCGCCACCAACCCTACCGTGCTGCTGGTCTCCGGGCCCCAGGAGAAGCGCCTGCCCATTCAGGCTCGTGCCCTCCGGGACTGGTTGCAGGCGGAGGGCTCTCAGCAGAATCTCCAACGGGTGGCCGCGACGCTGGCCGTCCGGCGCGATCACCACGACTACCGCGCCGCCGTCGTGGTCGAAAGCAAGGAAGATGCCATCCAAGCTCTGGGCCAGCTGGCCGACGGGGCCAACGACGCGTGGACCTCGCAGAGCCGTGTCTTTGGCTCTGGGATCAACCGGGACGTGGTCTGGGTTTTCTCTGGCCATGGCGCGCAGTGGGCCGACATGGGCAAGGAGTTGTTGCAGAACCCGATCTTCTACCAGGCCGTGCAGCCTTTGGACGAGATCGTCGAGGCGGAGATCGGTCTCTCGCCCATTGCCCTCCTCCAGAGCGGCGAGTTCGAAGCCTCCGACCACGTCCAAATCCTGACGTACATTATGCAGATTGGTATTTCTGCCGTCCTCCACAGCCACGGGGTGTACCCTCAGGCAATCATCGGCCACTCGGTTGGTGAGATCGCCGCCAGTGTCGTCGCTGGCGCCCTCACAGGTGAAGAGGGCGCCGTGCTCATCACGCGTCGCTCTGTTCTCTACCGCCAGGTCATGGGCCAGGGCGGTATGATCCTGGTCAACAAGCCCTATGCTGAGGTGGCCGAAGAATTGGCCGGTCGCGAGGATCTCGTCGTCGCGATTGACTCCTCGCCCTCGTCCTGTGTCGTGGCTGGATCGACCGACGCTGTCGCCGAGAAGGCGGCCGAGTTCACGGAGCGATCCATCAAGACCTTCACCGTCCGCACCGACATCGCCTTCCACAGCCCTATGCTCAACCAGCTTGTGGCCCCCTTGATGCAGTCCCTGGAGGGTAGTCTCGCTCCCACTACCCCAACTCGCGCGAAGCTCTACTCGACCTCCCTGCGCGACCCTCGAGGCAGCGACTTGCGCGATGCCACCTACTGGGCGAACAACATGGTCAACCCGGTTCACCTCACTTCCGCCGTGCAGGCGGCCCTTGACGACTCCTACCGCGTCTTCTTGGAGGTATCCTCTCACCCACTGGTCTCGCACTCCATCAACGAGACCATCATGGATGCCGGCATCGAGGATTACTGCATGATCCCGACCCTGGCGCGCAAGAAGCCCAGCGAGAAGAGCATCCTCCACGCGATCGGCCAGCTGCACACTCGCGGTGCCAACGTCGACTGGAAGTCGCAGCTCTCCGGTCCCTGGGCGGGCGGGCTGCCCAACACCAGCTGGATGCACAAGCCTACCTGGCGGCAGATCGGGGCTGGTCCTGTGAGTACTTCACAGACTCACGATGTCGAGAAGCACACGCTGCTGGGCCAGCGCATTGGGGTGGCTGGGACGGACACGGTGGTGTACACCACCCGCCTGGACAATGAGAGCAAGCCCTTCCCAGGCAGCCACCCTCTGCATGGCACCGAGATTGTGCCGGCCGCTGGGCTGGTTAACACCTTTGTCAAGGCCACTGGAGCCAATGTGCTGAACAATGTCGTCCTCCGTGTGCCAGTGGCCATCAACGCCCCGCGGTCAGTGCAGGTTGTCGCTCAGCGCGAAGACGTCAAGATCATGTCTCGCCTGATCCAGGAGAACGAGGGGACCAACGATGACTCCTCGTGGGTCACCCACACCACTGCGCGATGGGAGTCGACCTCTTCTTCTCCAGTCCCAGCTCAGATCAACGTGGAAGCGACCAAGGCCCGCATTGGGACGCGTCTGCGCGATGACTTCTCGATCGACTATCTCGACAAGGTCGGCGTGTCTGCCATGGGCTTTCCCTGGGCCGTGACCGAGCATTACGGGAACACCAAGGAGATGATTGCCCGGGTTGACGCTGCTCCCTCTGTCGCGGCTGATGCTGAGCTCCCCTGGGATGCGTCTTCCTGGGCCCCCATCCTGGACGCCGCCACCTCCGTGGGATCGACCATCTTCTTCAACGAACCCCGCCTGCGCATGCCAGCCCAGATCGAGCGGGTCGATATCTTCACCCGCGCCAACCCGCCTAAGGTCGGCTGGTTGTACGTGCAGGAGGCCTCCGACACAGCGCTGGCGTCGCATGTCAGCGTCTGCGATGAGGCGGGCAACGTCGTCGCCAAGTTCACCTCCATGCGCTTCTCGGAGATTGAGGGCACGCCCGGCGTCAGCGGGAGCATGGAGAGCCTCGTCCATCAGATGGCCTGGCCGCCTGCGGTGCCAGCCGAGGAGCCTCTGCCCATCAACCAGCTCCTCCTCGTCTCCGAGGACGTTGCGCTCCGCGAAGCCTACGCCGCCACCATCCCGTCTCCCATCCAAGTGACCCAGCTCGCCCACTCGACCGACCTGATCATCAACCGCGCCGACTCCCTGCTCACCAAAGAGACCGTCATTGTCTACATCCCCAGCCAGGTGTCCTCCCTGCAGGACGTCCCCAAGTCGGCCGAGGCATTCACCTGGCAACTGCTCGAACTCGTCAAGTTCGTGGTCAACAACGCTCTGCCCCTCAAGATCTTTGTCGTCACCTCCAACACCGGGGAGGGCGAGACCGCGACGGCTCTGGCGCACGCACCGCTCGTCGGTCTCAGCCGAGTCATCGCCAGCGAGCACCCCGACCAATTTGGCGGGTTGATCGACACCGAAGTGCCCACCTTCCCCTTGACAACGATGCGCTACATCCAGGGCGCCGACATCATCCGCATCCGCGACGGCGTGGCTCGCACGATGCGTCTGCGCTCACTGCCCCGCCACCGTCTCATCCAGCAGCAGGACCAACAGCCACAGCAGCCGCAGCTCCTTCCCCGTCCCGACGGCACCTACCTCATCACCGGCGGCCTAGGCGCCCTAGGCCTGGAAGTCGCCGATTTCCTGGTCACGCAGGGCGCGCGCCGCGTGATCCTCATCTCCCGGCGGGGCCTCCCGGCTCGCCGTCTGTGGTCGAAGATGGAGCCGTCATCGCCTCTGGCCCCGACCATCGCCAAGATCCTCGACCTCGAGGCCCGCGGAGCCACCATTCACGTCCTAGCCCTGGACATCAGCCTGCCTACTGCAGCAGACTCCCTGACCACCGCCCTCGACACTCTATCCCTCCCCCCCGTACGGGGCGTAGTCCACGCTGCCGGCGTGCTAGACAACGAACTCGTCCTCGACACGACCCAGGACGCGTTCGCGCGGGTCCTCGCCCCCAAGATCACCGGTGGGCTAATGCTGAACGAAGTGTTCCCGCCGCAGAGCGTGGACTTCTTCCTCCTGTTCTCCTCGTGCGGGCAGCTGGTGGGTTTCACAGGGCAGAGCTCCTACGGCGCGGGCAACAGCTTCCTGGACACACTGGCCTCTCACCGGCAGGCACAGGGCGACCGGGGCGCGCGGGCATTCCAATGGACCGCGTGGCGGGGGCTGGGGATGGGCGCCAGCACGGATTTCATCAACGCGGAGCTGGCCAGCAAGGGGATCACGGACGTGACGGCGGACGACGCGTTCGCGGCGTGGCGGCACGCCGCGCGCTACGAGGGCGTCGACCACGCAGTGGTGCTGCGCGCGCTGCCCCTCGACGCCGACGAGCCCCTGCCCTCCCCGGCCCTGGCCGATATCATCGTCCGCCGCTCCGCCGACCCCGCCTCCTCCTCCTCCGCATCATCGACCTCATCCTCCGAAAAACAGAGCATCCCCACCTCCGGCCCCGAGCTGAAGACTTACCTCGACAAGGCGATCCGCGGCTGCGTCGCCGCCGTGCTGCACCTCCCCGCCGCCGACGAGGTGGACAGCAAGGCCGCGCTGGCGGACCTGGGCGTCGACTCCGTCATGACCGTCACCCTGCGGCAAAAGCTGCAGCAAGCCTTGCGGGTCAAGGTGCCCCCGACGCTGACCTGGAGCCATCCCACCGTCGGACATTTGGTGGGCTGGTTCGCCGAGAAGGTGGGCAAGGAGTAGAGAGTGACGCCTCGTTGCTTCGTGTCCGTGGTTCGCCTGCGGTTTATGATTCTTTAGAGTGCATCCGTTGTTGTTTTAGATTGTGCTTGTTGTTGCTGTTGTCGTTTGTGACAAGTTGCTTTGACGTGCTGTTGATGCCTGCACTGCCTGCACATATATGTTCTGTTGATTGCTGCGCTACTTGTGATTTATGCTCTCGACACATCCCCTCCACTCGATCGATGTCTATATCGATTCCTCCTGTATCTACTTGCCTCGCTAATCAGATCTCTAACCAACTTTCGTTCCGTGTAGAAGCTGTAGAACAAACATGTAAAGGACTGGCCGTCCGTCATCGAGCTTAGCTATCCATCCAAAGCTTCCATCGTAAGAAGATACAGTAATAGTCAAACAGGACAGCTCGATAGTCCCATAACCGCTGTCTGAATGCCGGGAAGACATTGCGAGACCATTATCCGCATTGTAGAGCTTGAGAGAGCACCTTTCAACTTTGATGTACGAAGTAGGTTGATACAGAAAGATTACAACGACCAGAAATCAAAAGGTTGGTCTATACTGCCCGTGCCCAAGTATCACCCTATCAGCAGTAGAGCGGGTTCGATTTGCCTCGAGACGAGGAGCTGTCTTCACGCTACCGATGCTGTTCGAATCTCCATCCAGAGGCTTGAGATTATGAAAGGCTTACACGCCAGGATGAAACAATGCGACATCCGACTGGGGAAACCACAACCATGCCCCTCATCCAAGCTCAAATCGTAGGTAATGACGATGTTCATTAGTATGAGGGTATTACGAAGTGTGCCCCCGTCTACCAGAAAAGATATACAGTTCATCAACCCGCCCATGAGCATCGTGAAGACCAAGAAGTTTCATTATCATATCAGAATGGGATACCATATGTTCAAAACCAATCAACCCACAGAGAACGACCAAAAGGACAATACAAACAAATCCTGAGAACTCCGTCAAATCACAGCTGCAGCAAGGGAATCTAAGAACAGTGCGCGAGAATCATCATTCATGTAAGACAACACAACAACACAGACAAATCATCAGTTCTATTTTCAACGACATTGCAACCGCAAGATTTTACATGAAATAACCAGGCACGAGTTCGTGAATCAGTCATCGCGACAGGACACAAGATGACGAATCAAGCCTGCTGCGACCCATCGAATCCGACCCAAGAATCCACGGCAATGGCACCGTTCGACAACCACGGCGCACCGCCCCCGGTCCCCATGAGGAAATCGTTGGAGAGCCCGGCGAACGCGGGATCGTCCATCAGCTCCAGCGGCGGGGTGATGGTGGCGGGATCGCCGAAGTCGGCGGGGCCAAAGATCATTCCCGCGGGCAGTTTGGGCAGTGGCGTCAAGAAGCCGGAGAAGGGATCGGTGGTGGGCGGAACCACCGACCCCGACCGCGAGTGGCCGAGACCCGCCGCGGGAGGCGCCACGGATGTCGGCGGCGCAATCACCGAGTCGGCCGAGCTCTGGCTGGGAGGCGTGAGCTGCGACCATCCGCGGGGAGTGGAGCTCGTCCTGAATTGTTCCCAGGCGGCTTGCACCGTGTTGGCGACCGGGCCAAAGGACTGGCCCAGCTTCTCGAGGGTGCGCAGCGCCGTCGGCAGGATCTTGCGTGCCGCTGGCGTTGGTGGACACACCGGATTGGCTAACACAAACGAAAGGATACAGATGGTGGCGTCCCACTGGTACTGGAAGGCCGAGGTCCATCCACACAGTAGGTCGGTTTCGGAAAGTACTTGATTAAGAATCAGTGTCACTACCACCGCGTGATTAAGCGCCGCGATGCTGTGACTATCTGACAGCGGGGTGAGGGAGGCTCCACGGGGCGGGAAGCGAATGAAGGGACGGAAATTGGCCATCTGGAGGTGGTGATAGATCACTTCCAGGAGCAGCCGCTGACGCTGCAGCCAGAGCGGGCTAGCCGGGTTCAGATTCAGCGGCGTGCGGTCGGTGCAGAATGCTTCTCCCGAGCCCTTGCGTGGGTTCTTGAGAGACCGTGGCACATTCTGTCCCCACTCATACATTACCCGAATCTTGTCACCTAGAAATCCGGCAAGCGTCTCCATGGTGGCTGGATCTTCGTGGATATCTTGGATGCTCTTTGCCTGCAGCAATTCAGTACAGCGTGCGCTGAATGCAGTGTAGATTCCGCGTGCCGCAGCCGTCAGCCGGATGTACTGTACATGGAAGCTAAGCCAGCTAATGTCTTCGTCCGGAGGCGACACCAACACCGTGGCCGATAGCTGTCCCGCGCCACTCGAATCCTGCGGCATCGCGCAACCCACCTCATCGGGGTTGATGAGGGGCCGTCGACCCAGCGTCATCGAAATCTGACTATCGAGCTGGTACAGCGTCCACCAGATCCGAGAATGCAGCTCTTGCGAGGCCTTCGGGGTTGACTCCAAGGGCCGGATATTGATGCGCAGGATATGCGCCGCTCTGATCGCCAACCCGAGCAGAGCATGGGCAGTGTCCAGGTTTGCAGTATTGTAGAGATAGATGATGCAGTAGATGTGGCTCTGCAGCGATCGAATGGACGGATGCTCGAGGTTCTCCATCAAGACGCGTTGACTCCGACGGTAAAAGGCATGCGCAGCAGTGGTGAAGTGGCTGGTCTGCGACGCCGTCTCACCGTCCCCCATAACCTCATCATCGGCCAAAAAGGTGCTGCCATATTGCATGCACACAGCTAGCAAGCTGTCCACGAGCGCGGAGGGCTGTCGGGGGCTTTGACCGTTGCTTCCAGCCCAGAGGGAGTCATAGTACTGTCGAAACTCCTCCTCTGCTACGATGGGATACATCCAGTGATACGCCTGCCAGAGCAGCACCAGGAAATGTTCTTCTTGCTCGCGAGACAGGTCGTCAACCTCCGCCAGCCCCAGACGAAGACTGGGGCGCTCCGTCTCGTCCGACAGTTGCTCCAGTGACACTGTCGGAGAATGGCGATGGATCTGCGAAAGTCGGACGGGAAGCGGCGATTTGAGGTGAAGTTGGTTGGCTGACTCAGACATGAACCGATTCAGGCGCAACACCAGGTAAGGCGCGGAGAGCGGCCCGTAGTGAATCACGCCACCAGTCTGGGACCCTGGACTATAGACACCGTCCCATGTTTGACGATGTGAAGTTGGGAGCTCGGCGGGAGTGGCGTGACCCGAGGTAGCAAAATTCGAGGCAGTAGGGGATTGGCGACGGAGAGTTTTAGTTTCCTGGGTCGCTTTCTCTAGTTGTTCTTGTAAATCTTTAAGCCGGTTCCGTAGTCGATGAATCTCCCTTTACCCCGAAATTCGCCATCAGTTTCACAGGTGACAGTGCCAAGCTGGAACGCCCAAAAAAGTAGGGACGGGTGGGTCTTACCGGTTGGCGGCGGGCAGGGAATGAGCTTCGAACTGCTTGGTGTTACTGCAGTAGCCGCCATGGTTGCGACAGTTCTGGCAGGGTTGTTTATCGTCGCACTTGATGCGGTTGACGCGACACCAGTCGCAGGCACGCACGACCTGGTTCCGTTTGGGACGGGGAGCGGCGGCGGGCTGTTGCTCCGCGGGGCGATCGGTGGAGTTGAGGTTGGCGGAGAAGGTGGAGAACATGGCGTTCGGCTTTTGGCCTTTGGCTTTTAGAGATAGGAGGACAGGATCCGGGCGAGAACAGATGTGGATATCAACAATTGCGGAATCATTCGAGCTGAACCAGCCGCAGAGTTGGACGAGATCAATTCAACGCCAGAGGAGGGGAAGAAGATAAGAAAAGATGAGTGTGGGAGAATGGAGGGGTTGGAGCTGAAGCGGTAAGAAGTGGGAGGGAGAGAAAAGAACAGGAAGAAGGCAGGGAGCGTAAGCAAGTCATGTGATGTCAGTCACCATCCGATTCCGTACCTTATCGTCCCTAGCACTAAAGAGTAAACTAAAGTACTGAACTAACTGATTAGTACTTTAGGGAGTTCCCAAGGAAACTGTTCTCGAGAATCTACCCGAGATTTATATTAACCCACCATTCCATCCACCCCATCGCTTGGCAGGCCAGGCTTGACTGAACAAGCCTGCTCTACGATCACCCTCCAAGCCTCACTCACCATGCTCACCCATGCATTCTCGCTTATCCCATCCTATTGAGACGTGACGACATGCTCCTTGCGGTAATAAACCATTCCTTCTGCCCTTCGATTCGGCTTAGTTTCGGCTTACACTTGCTATCGCGCCGAGGGTGTGCCTGCCTGAGTAAGATGGAGCCGCATAGAGTTTGAGACAATTGGCAGCATGGATGCTTATCCCGGCTCGCACGGATTCCCTCTGGTCCCTCTGGTGCCTCTGGTGCCTCTGGCTATCTTTAATTCTCTCAATTATCATCATCCATGAAGAAAGATTAGAGGTAGCCAAGCGACCAGGCAGGGAGCCGAAGCAACCACTCAGGGACCAGGCTGTGGCGGCAGATCCCGACCTCCTATCGCCCTCCCCGAGCATGGATGGAGCCTGAAGGTAATCACCTCAAATTAGCACCCGTACTCGTAAGGACACCTTGATGGCCTATTCCTCCTGAATAGCCAATCCGTTGTGCGCGCCTTATGCCCGGATGGTCGTACACAGCGTCACCAACACGGATGCTGAGACAAAGCTTGGCATCTCTGGGCGCGCGCGCGCCCCGTACCGTACGGGAGCCAAGGGCAAATCGATCTCCTTCCCTTCGAGATTGAGATTGTCGCCCCGTTCATGACGCTTCTGCTCGGTTGAACCCCAGGTTCTCTCCTCGCAATAAGCCAAGACATGGTATAAATGCAAGGTTACTGTCATATTGAAGTCCTGAAAGTTATGCAAGATGAGGGCAGAGGGGACAGCAGGCTGGGAGGGTTCAGGATAATCCCGGAAAGGTAATTGGCATGCCATCTCCGATTCCGTGAATCAGGCCGACGACCCCTCACCTCACAGGATCCCACCCCATGACAAGAGACAAGAAGACACAACGTGCCCTACTTGCTGCTGCCGCCCTTCCAACAACACATGGCACATGGCATTGATTCCTTCCATTCCTTAGTTTCGGCGGTTGTGAGACCGATCGGCCGACTTGGTTTTTTTTTTTTTTTTCTTTTTTGTTTTTTTTGTGTTTCTGTTTTGTCTTTTCCCTTCTGTTATCTTCGTGGTGGATTGGAAAGATAGTCGAGCCGCAGAAGAGAAGAGGGGAAGTGGTATATTTGCAGAAGATATATTGCACCCTCGCAACTTCCAGACTGATGAATGGTGCGATAGATGAAGTCGCTGTTCTGGGGTTCTTCCTTCCATTCGCTTAGGCCAATCTCCAGGCAGCGATAGAGACCGTGATGGTGGGTGAGATTTGGTTTCGTCTGCTGGCTGAGGGGGTCCGGATACGGTAGTTGAGGAAGTTCCGTAACAGAGTCGATCATCTACCCCAAAACGTTAGACCGCAATCCAAAAAGACTAGCTTGACACAGCCAATTGTGCAAGGGATGAGCGTAACGGGAGTCCTGACCCCTACCCGGCACTTTCATACCCACATCCACTAGTATATATCCTCCATCTTCTGGACATGGAGGGGAAGTCTCTCGCGTGGCTTGACTTGGATAGGAAGGAGGGGACACCTTGGGGATACCCACCCCATGTTTTTTTATTATTGCTTTCTGGTCGCTGATACGGAGATAGTACTCCGTTCATACCGGGTGTCATGCAGGAGAAGCGAGGTATGCCCAGGCTAGAGACGGAAGGCGTTAGCACGGGAAACAGAGGATGACTTGGCAGCGTCTCCCGGGGAGGAAAAAGAGTGCGAGTGCGACTTACCTAGCGTAGGATCTTTCACAGATCTCGATCCTTCCTCTCCCTGAGGAATTGTTTTCCCCTCCCCGGAGCCCCCCTCCCCATCTTCCGCCCCCCCGAAAGTGAAAATTACTTTAAGCTATTCTTTGGGATACAGGCTACATGACTTTTCATAAGAGTCTGGAAGCAAGCTGTCACCAAATTGGACTCTTGATTTTTGGGTTGGAACTGCCGGAGCGGGCCGGTAGATCTTTGTACCGATACATACAAGCACAAGCTGGCTCTACAATGACTAATGCCAAGCAGCAAACAAACAATCAATCCCTGATGATTCTCCTCCGATCCCTGCCTCACAATGAACCATCAGATGACAATTAGGAGGGCATAAAATTAAGAAATCCAAGTAAAAGACCAAGAAATCGGCAATGCATACTCCAAGCCACATATTACCTTCCCCCCCCCCCTCAACGGCGCCGACGCACACGCGTCAGATAGGTGATCACTAAAACCATGGTGAAATTGAAGGCAATAAAGCCGATGAAAACACCCACATTCCGGCCCCGGTGGCTATAACTGTAGTCATATTGCGTGTACTAAAAGAAGAGGTTGTTCGTCAGCCAATCACTTCCGCTCCGATCCCGACTCCACCCCATGTGGGTAGCTTGCTTCATGCAGGGCCGGGGCAGGTGGAACTCACGTAAGCTTGGCCGTTTTTGTACGGACAGTATTCGCAGTTGGCCGTGCTGTTCGGGTTGACAAGGAAGCCTGTGGCATCTCGCAAGAAGGCGGCAGCATATTGGTAGCAGCTCTGGCCCGTCGGTGGCTGGAACACGGACATCTCCGACTTCGCGCAGTGGAGGGGCAGATCGTGCAGAACATCCACCACCACGCCTTCGTTCATGTAAAACAGGGGAGACACCTTGTAGTACCAACGCCATCCAGCCGGTGTGACTGGAGCCGGTGACAGGGTGCCCGCGAAGGTGTTACAGAACATGAAGAAAAACCCGTTCGCCGAAAGCGCGGCTTCCACAGTGGGCATCAGCGAAGCGCACAGTTGAGCCAGACTGGTCGCAAACACGGAGAAAAGCTGATACATCAGAAAGCTGTACCCGGCATGGTTGGAGTCGCGGAAGTATCCCACCGGGAAATACCACAGCAGCCAGTACACGAGGGAGGTGCAGAAAGCATACGGCAGTTCCACCAGGATGGCTGAAAGGCTGAACGCCATCCAATGGTAAGTCAGACTCTCACGTTCACGGTGCTCAAAGATATTCCGCAATGTGACGAACCGCGGCTGCACTTGCAGACCCAAGGGCGGGCCGACAATCAAGGACATGAACGAGGAGAAGACGCGGTTGTAAGCGCCTCGTTGGGTCAGTGGCGAGTTGAGGTAGGTCATTCCGTTTAGCAAGGCATTACCCGCATTCAACCACAATTTAGCCTGTGCATAGTCTGGCGCCCGCCAGTAGTAAAGCCACGTCCTCTTGAGCAAGACAACCATCTGGTAATGGAAGGGTGCGGCGTGCAAGGACATCGAGGAATCACTCTTCGGGGAGGCAGGTGCAATCTGGGTGCTAGAGGGCTGGCCATGGCTTCGCTTCCATATCTCTGCCCAATCGGTTTGAACATCTCGTCGTGTGCCGGCGCCGATCACCTCGAGGAAGTATTCGGCGGGATTCTCTCGCTCACGGCACGGGCGAGCATGTTCTGCAAAGTAAGCGAGAGCCTGCTGGCTTTCCGCACCCAACGGCCCATCGTACACAACCCGTCCACCACGTGCCAAAAGATAGAGCTCGTCAAATGTTGAGATCAGTTCCGCGGCAGGTTGGTGGATAGTGCAGATGATTGCCTGGCCAGAGTCTGCGAGTCTTCGCAAGAGACGGACAATGGAGTAAGCTGACTGCCCATCAAGGCCGGAAGTGGGCTCGTCCAGGAATAGAATGTCCGGCTTCGCAGCCATTTCCACGCCAATACTAACCCTCTTGCGCTGTTCCAGATTGAGACCGGCTCCTGGCGTTCCGACCAGAGCATCCGCAATTGATTCCATGTCTAGCGACCGAATGACTTCTTCAACGTAGGCGTCCTTCTCCTCGAGGGAGACGTCCTGTGATCGGCGGAGGCGGGCAGTCATTTGCAATGCTTCTCGTACACTTTGCGTAGGCAGGTGAATGTCTTGCTGCTGTACATAGCCCATGTGGCGATTGAAAGACTTGGGAAGCAGTTGTCCATTCAGCGCCAGTGTTCCGGTGAGGACTCCCACTTTAGATCGGCCCGCCAGCGCGTTCAGCAAGGTAGTCTTGCCCGCCCCGGATACACCCATCAATGCTTTCAGCTGACCACTATAGACGGATCCGTTCAGATTGTCAAGCAGGCGTTTCTGGCCGTCTTTGGTTTTCACATCGAGGTTTAGCCCAGTCCAGGTCAGGCTGCGAGGTTGATACTCCAGTGTTGCGCTTCGCTCACGAGTATTTCCTCTGCCCGCCTCTGGTGGAACATCCAGATCCAGATCTCCGCTTTCTTGATCACTCATCTTCGCTCCAGGTTGAGGAGCAGACGACTTCTTGGATCCCATGCCACGATAGAACACAGTCGCCAAACGGCCAGCCGGCTGCTTCAGACGTTCCATACCAATGCTATGATGCTCTCGTCAGTATGCTTTTGCAGGTATGTGGTGGACAAAATCGGGGTGGCATAAATGGGAGACCTACGCTGATGCCAGACCAAAGGCAATGAAGAAAGCCGCATTGATTCCCAGGTTGCGCCACAGGTTGCTCTTCTCGAACCCGTATTGTGCCTTGATATATGCCATTCCTGACAACATTCGTTGACCTGGCTCCGATCCGACTACTGCGCATACCTGGTTGGCAATGCTGGTATATTCAGGTCCCGACGGAACAAGATCTGCGGTGCTACACTCGTAGCTCAGGTTACCAAACTCGTTGATCATGACCGACTCGAAACCATAATGTAGGGGCTGTTCGTTCGGGTTAGCGTGCTACGTTATTAGTTTGTTGGGCGAACTCACATTCAAATATCTCAGCCAGCCAAGCCATACTTGCATCTGCGGTGGTGGTACATAGAGACCTGTGTACAGGACGTACATGTTGAAGAAGATACCGACTGGAAGGACAGCGCGGTACATGTTGGAAGAATACACAGCCACAGACCGGAAGAACATGGACAAGGCCAGGTGCTCGATGTATACCACGATGAACCAGGTAAAGAACTTGCCGGCGTTCATTTGGAAACCAGTCAAAAAATACAAGGGGATATTCCAGAAGATGACGAAAATCTTCCAGACAATATCCGTCATGATCAATCCAAAGCCGTAAGCCATGGGCCGATACAGCCGGTATCGCTTGTGCTTCAGAATCAGCGGTCGTTGGGCGAATGTACTGCGGAACTCCGCCATGGCCTGCAGTGCGGGAACGAGAACGGAGTAGAAGAGGGCGGACGCGAAGATGAAGAAGGACCCCGTGCTCCGTTGCTGGTTTCGAAACAATGTTCCTAGAATCAAGCTTTGAACAACGATACACAGGGCTTCCACAACTAAGGAATTATAGTTGTGCTGAATGATGCGAACCTGGCGCGTGGTACAGTACGCAATCTGCTGGTAAAGTGGTAAAGCGTACTGAGCGGATTTGGAAGGACGGGCCACAGCGGGAAGAGACTTTGCAGCCTGGACGGCCGACTTGAGCTCCTCAAAATGAACACTGCGTCGAAACTCTTGCTGAAACTCGTCGGGTGTGCGAGGGACCTGGTTCTGATGAGCTTCGTGCACACGGCGGACCTCTGGACTGGCGGACATGGAGTTCAAAAAGTCGGTGGTGGTGGTAGCAGATGAGCACTCGAAGCCCAGACTCAGGAAGTACGACTTGGCGTCTTGAATGGAGCCGTAAAAAATCTGGCGTCCGGCATTGATCACAACAACCTTGTCAAAGTATGGAACAATAGCATCACTGCCTTGGTACACGCTCATGGCTGTCACGCACTGACTCTGGTGGGTCCATTCCCGCATCATCTCTATGAACTCAAGCGCTGTCGAGGAGTCCAAACCGTTGGTCGGGTTGTCCAAGCAAATCAGCCTATATGACAGATTCATGGTTAGAGCTTCTCATCTCCAGTATGACTAACTGAACACTCACCTTGCACATGTGGCGAGCGCCTCAGCCAACGAGACACGGCGCCTCTCACCTCCACTGACACCTCTGATATAAGCGTCTCCAACCTTTGTGTTGAGAACATGACCGAGTCCAATCAATTGTGCCAACTGCTTGACTCTCGCGTCAATGTCTGACGAGGAGGGCTTAGGGCCACAGCGCGCCCTCATTGCAAAACGCAGCGTTTCGAAGACGGTCAGCGTCGGGAAGTGGTCATCAGACTCGCCTACGTGCCGTTAGTTGGCTAGGTTTCCCGACCATCACAGATCAAAAGGACAAACGAAGACTTACCACAAAACACAACATCCTGCGGATCCTTATCAATGACATCTTCCATCCGCTGACCCCCGAAAGTCAAGGTTCCCTGGACGCCCTTGTATTCATTCCACATGCCAGCCAGGGTCTTCAAGAACGTGGTACAACCACTACCCGGCTTTCCAATCACCAAGACCATCTCGCCCGGCTGGATTGCAGCGGAGAAATCGCGAAGAATTGGTCGTGATGACGGACGGTGCAGGCGACTTTGGATGGGCTCCAACAGGCCGAAGCCACCTTTTGCCGCTGTGAGGACGCTTGGGGCCGGTAGAGCCTGCCGTGAAACCATGTCAGTACTTCCACCGAAGGAATATTGAAGGATGGCCTGTCACTTACCCCTGTACCACTACCTTCGACTGTTACATTCTCCATCATGATTCTAGCCGACTGAAGTGAGTTCCCGTCAGCATGGCGCAGGGAAAGGAACCGCTTCACGCTCAGGGCAATGGGTTCAACGGCCACACTGTTGGATGAATCCGACAAGGGGTCATCATGCAGAGCAATCTGCTCCTTGTCCGGCAGAGACTCTGCGTTGACAGGCGTCATCACGCCACTCCCGCTGGAGTCCTGCTGCAAGGTATCTGTTGCTTGATACTTCTCCATTGGTGCTGTGGATATTGAAATCTCGCCGTCCAATGCACCAAGAGGGTTCCAAGAAAGCTTGGCTGGGACAGAAGTACCAGAGCCGCCATGATGAGAAAGCGTGCCGATGAACTTATATCTCTGGATGATTGTAGAGGACGTGTTGCAACCAGCTCAGTTGACGACATAGAATGAATACTGGATTGGGAAGCGGAAGACTCCATGATGGACTTCCTAAAGGAGTTACGGACGGATGGCTAGATTGGGATTAGTGGGCAGGTTGGCGGTGGTTAGTCAGCAAAGCTTGAGCGAGGGCCCACTTGGCCCGATTCGGCCGTCCCTAAGGAGAAAACAGCTTATTTACTCCCTCCGTACCTCCTGGTGCGAAGAATTCCTTCTCCCAACATTCCATTGAGATGCTCCGGTCTCCGAAGTAGATAAACTTGAGTGGAGCCTAGACCTTCATCGTGCATGCTCCTAGCATCTTAATCATTCAGACTAAATCCTTCGTTCGCAGGCTGACTCCCGTGACGTTACTAGTAGCACTCTGTAAAGTCTAGTATATATCCAGCCTCTTGCCCCTCTTCTACAACCCCACCAACCACTATCCTCCCCCATTCCTCTACTTTCGCTCTCACACCACAGCTTCTTTTTGTCACAATGCCTCTTGAAACCGGTCTTCAAGGCGCCCATGTCCTCATTACGGGAGGTACCCGAGGCATGGGCCAAGCCATGGTGCGTCAATTCCTCCAAGAAGGCGCGAATGTCTCCTACTGCGCCCGCACCGTCACCAACACCGAGTTCAACGACGTCCACCAAACCCTCCCGGAGAGCAACTCTGCCCGCGCAGTGGGAACCGCCTTCGATGTTGCCTCCAAGGAAGCGATCGTGAATTGGGTGAACAGCTCTGCCGAACGCGTGGGACGGATCGATGTCATTATTGCCAACGGTTTGTCTTTCGCCTCCTTTACCACCTAATCCTGTCCTATTACTAATACCACCACCCCACAGCATCACCCATGCACATGGAAGGCGAGACCGAGCACTGGGAAAGCAGCTTCGCAATCGACGTGATGGGCTTCGTGGAGCTGGTGAAAGCGGCGGAGCCCTACCTCGAGAAATCCCCACAGGCCTCCATCATCGTGCAGAGCTCGTTCATGGGCCGTGAATTCTACCGCAGTCCGCCCGCGGCCTACGGCCCCTGCAAAGCCGCCCAGCTGCAGCATGTGCAGGAGCTGTCGCACTACCTGGGCCCCAAGGGCATCCGGGTCAATGCCATCTCGCCGGGCCCCGTGCTCTGCGAGGGTGGACCCTGGGAGCTGTATTCGAGGATCATGCCGGAGTGGGTGGAGGAGCAGCGGCTGAAGATCCCCCTGAAGCGGCTGGGAGGCCCGCAGGAGATTGCAAATGTGGCGGTGTTTTTGGCGAGTCCGTTGGCTAGCTTTGTCACAGGGACTAATGTATTGGCTGATGGTGGGATTCATGTGGGCACCCAGTTTTAGATTTTAGAGCGTGTGAGATTGCGATTTTATGAATGAATCTGAACATGATCATTGAGTTCTCTGGGTTAGTGAATAAGCGTCAGTGTAGCGTAAACGGATGTTTCGGATAAAGAATCTGAATGAGATCAACTTCAGCACACACTCAGGATCTGCAGCAAAGAATATGCAGACAGTAGTTCTGATTTCCTTGAATAACGGCATTTGATGAGTGAATAGCTGTCCATCGGGCGATGAGATCTACTTCAGATTCGCGACTGGGATCATAGTGCATGCGTAGTTAGGCCAGAGATTAGATTGGAAGATGCATGGGAAGTGCGGAAAATGGGGAGACCATGTGCTTGCCATGTGCAATTAATCCCAGCAAGATTCCACGTGGTAAGACTGTGCATTCTAAACCCATGCAACACAGAAGATCTACCCCCTCTAACATACGGCATAATTCTGCACAGCCTTATTCTTTCCAAGAACCAGCTTCTACTATATTCTACGAAACTTCTTTCAATGCTATAGACAACCAACACGCGCAGCAAGGCAGCCACCTCGTGTCCAAAAGCTTACTATTCCGTATTCGCCCCAGAGGATGCTGACTCCGAGTCCCCGAAGTTATCCACTTCCCTTTAGGGCAAATTCGAAGGATTTCGCTTACATGCGCGAGGCTGCTTGGCTCATAGCATCTCCTTCTGGAAGGCACGCGTGTTCAGCTTCACTCTCTTGGTTCTGAGACGAAGACTCGGAACAGGATTCTGCCGTCTTCATTGTGTATATATACCTCTTATTTTCCTGGTCAAATGCACACACAATCATTCAATCAACAACACTTCAACAAGCCGCGAAGACAGCAAAATGATGCTCAAGAAGCTCGTGATCTCTGTCTTGTTCGGCACGGCCGCAGCCATGCAAAGCAATACCACATCCTCTCAGTGTCGGTGTATGCCCAGCGACCCATGCTGGCCCAGCACGAGTGAATGGTCTCAATTTAACTCGACCGTCGGTGGGCGACTGATCAAGACCGTTCCCCTGGCTGCGCCTTGTTTTGACCCCAACTATAATGCCACTGAGTGTCAGTACCTGCGTAACGAGTGGACGCAGCCCGCGTTACAGTAAGTCTACCCGTTCTTCCTCCCTCTTGACCAAGCTAGCTGACAGACGAATCGCCAGCGATGCATCATCTTCATCAATCATGGCTGCTGCCGTGGCTAACGAGAGCTGCGACCCCTTCGCAGCATCTACCGGCACGTGTCGTCTGGGGAACATGGTGTCCTATGCCGTGAACGTCTCGTCAGCCGCAGAGATTGCGCAGACCATCGCTTATGCCGCCGAGAAGAATATTCGGATTGTCATCCGCAACACAGGGCATGAGTACGTCCTCTTCCTCCCCCCTTTCCCCAAGCCAACGAACGCATCATGCCCAGTCAATCAACTAACACTAACTAACACCGACTAGCTACATGGGAAAGTCCACGGGCGCAGGTGGCCTCTCGATCTGGACACATCACCTCAAGAACATCACCGTGCACGACTATTCCTCTCCTCACTACACGGGACCTGCCGTCACGATCGGCGCCGGAGTACAAGGGGAGGAAGTCTACGCGGCCTTACACAAGTCGAACCTGGTAGTCGTCGGGGGCGAATGCGCCACCGTAGGACCCGCCGGAGGCTACACCCAGGGAGGGGGCCACTCGGCCCTAAGCAGCCGGTACGGGCTGGCAGCCGACCAGACGCTGGAGTGGGAGGTGGTCGACGGGCAGGGACGCCAGCTTCGGGCCTCGCCGGCGGAGAACCCAGACCTATACTGGGCGCTCAGCGGGGGCGGGGGCGGGACGTACGGCGTGGTCACCTCGATGACGGTCAAGGTGTTCCCGGACTTTCCGACGGTGGGAGTGGTGCTGGAGTTCGAGGCCGACCCGAGCGATGTCGACCCTTTCTACCAAGCGGTGGAGTACTACCACTCGCTGGTGCCCCGCATCACGGCGGCGGGGGGGATGGCCATCGCGCGCGTGATGAATGCCTCCTTCCTGCTCACCCCGCTGACCCTCCCCAACGCCACGCTGCAGCGCGCGCTCGACCTGCTGAGCCCGCTCACGGCCAGGCTGGACGCGCTGAACATCACCTACGCGATGAACCTCACCCACTCCCCCTCGTACGTGGATCACTACAACACCCTGATCGAGCCGAACCCCACCCAGCTGGTCGAGAACGGCCAGTACGGCGGCAAATTGATCCCGCTGGAGGTCATCGAGAAGTCGAACGCCAATCTCACGGCCGCCGTGCGAAGCATCACCCAGGACGGCGCCGCCTTCGTCAGTATCGCGCTGAACGTCTCGTCCGCGGTGACGGGACCTACCAATAACTCCGTCCTGCCCTCGTGGCGCACGGCGGCGATGGACGTCATCTTGTCGACGTACGTATTCAGCCTTACCCTCCTATCTCTGCTGCCTAGAATCCAGAATATGAATTAATGTTCCTGAAAAGATCCTGGCCCGAGCACGCCAGCCTTGGCAAGATGAAGCAGCTCGCCGACCAGATGACCCAGAAGTGGGTGCCGACGCTGGAGGCCCTGACCTCTGATCCCGGCTGTTACATGAACGAGGTACGTGATTGCAATTTGCCCTCCAGACCTATCGCAGAACATGACTGATGCATTAAACTCTCCAGGCCGACCCGCAACAGCCGAACTGGAAGGAAGCCTTCTACGGGCCCAACTACAACCGCCTGCTAGCCATTAAAAAGAAATATGATCCCCAGGACTCCTTCTATGCCTGGACGGCAGTGGGCAGTGACAATTGGGTGCAGGAGTCGGACGGTCGGCTCTGCCGGGCGACTTCGTCTTAGGCGTTGTGGAAGCATGTCTGGACAGTACCTGTGGTCGCATGACGCATATCTCCCATTCTGTGACTTAGAGCCAGCTTATTAAATGCACATCAAGATATTAAAACTACTTTACATTCTCACTCCGTCTAATTAGCTTGACTATCGACTCATATGCAAAAGTATCACGCCAGAAATCAATCATCGAACAAAACAACCCCTTCAGCAAATTCCCACCGCGCGAATCGTCCACCTACCGCTCTGGCCCCGCTTCACCCTGATACTTATCCGCCCCAAGCGGCAGCAAACTCTTCACAGCATCCACAATACTCTCCCGCAGCGGCCGGAACTGCACGCCCAGAATCTCGCGCGCCCGCGTGTTGTCGAACCCGTACACCCCGTCCGCCGGGTATTGGCCGGGCTTCAGCGCGTCGCCCGTTGGCAGCCGGTCCTTGTACTGGGGGAACTCCTCGCCGATGATGGCGACGATCTCCGCGTTGGAGAAGTGGCTCGACACGGTGAAGAAGCGCTTGCCGCCGGCGGCCTCCTTCTCGACGGCGAGGACGTGCGCCAGGGCAAGGTCGCGGACGTCCACGAACAGGTAGTTGCCCGTGGGCGGGCAGCGATTCTTGGCCGCGCCGGAGAGCAGGTCACGGATGCGCTGGTTGGAGGTGTTGATGGCGTCGAGGGAGGTGAGGTGGTGGGTGATCGGGCCGAGGACGAGTGGGGGATTCATCACGGAGAGGGTGAAATTGGGCTTCTCGCGCTCGACAAAGTCCCAGGCGGCTCGTTCCTGTTTTTGTGAGGGGAGATTGTCAATTACCATGGGATGGGAATTTTATTAGGCAGATACTTGTGAGGCAGGCTTACAGCAAACGTCTTGCTGGCTCGGTAGGCGTTGGCGGGGCTGTCGTTGGCCTGGGCTTCGGTGATGGGACTCCAGTCCGCCTGCAGAATGATCGCGGACTTAGTATGCGCCTTAATCGACATTCACATAGTAGGTAGCCTACCTCGGAGTAAACCTTGCCAGCGGCAGAGGCAAAGACATCGTTGATGGCAGCAAAGGAAGAAGTCACGACGACACGCTTCACCAGCGGCGCATATTTCTGCACCGACTGCAGGATCCCGGTGGTGCCCGTGACAGCCGGCAACAACAACTCCTTTGCATCCTTGGCGTGGAAGTGATACGGACTGGCCGTGTGGATGACAGCTTCGAAAGGAGGATCCGAAACCACCGCGCGGTCAAAAGCTGGTTGGCTGGTTAGCCATGAAGAGACATCACATTCGCAGAGACGGGTGTACTGTACCATTCGGCTGAGCAATATCTTCAACAATAGCAAACGACAAGCGATCCTGGGTGACTTCTGGGTGGGCTTTCTGGATGGCATCGGCCTTGGTCTGCGATCGAACGGTGGTGACGACGGAGTGGCCGCGGGCTAGGAGGGTTTCCAGGACATGGGCAGCGATGAAGCCACTTCCACCTGTTGGTCAATTAGTCTCGGATCATTGGCCTGGGAGTACAGCTGAACATACCGGTGAGAAGTACGCGAGTCATGATGTGACAGAAAGGGTTCTGACAAGATTGATGTATGAGGAAGCAAGAATTGAGGTAGGAAGAGGTAGAGTAGCATCCAGCAAAGAGGGGTCTTGTTATCGTTATTTGTACTTTCTTATCGGAGTGGCATGAGCTCTTATCGGCGCCTTAGTCAGCGTCACTTTCATCGCGCTTACCCGATTCGGTCATCCTGCGCGTCACCGAAAGGAGTTTCGGAGTGGCATTTGTGTCCCAAAGGAGTTGCCGCTTCAACCCCGAAGCCCCGATCATCTCACCACCACACTTCTCCTGCACCTATTCTGGCCATTTGTTATTCGGAGTACGCGTTATGGACCCGAGGGTCAAGTCTCCACTGCAATCCACTCAAGATTCTTCATTAGGATAGACACACAGGAAATCCAGCTACTGCAACAGGTGTATTCGACCATCCCTAGCTATCCCAATCGGTCTTATCCTCCACTTCTATCATCATTACCCAACATAGTCATTCACAGCAATTCAATCTATATGCAGTAGCACCTTCAATATCCCCACTCCACCACCTTCATATTCATGTGAAACTAATCCAGCCACAAGATCTCACAACCAGACACTGCCCCCATAGGGATCCGCCCGATACTCCTTCTGACCATCGGCCCAGAAGGTGCTCGCCGTGCCGAAGGTATCCTCCATGTACTGGAAGTAGGTGATCTTCATGTCGTCGTTGATCTCGGCCCGAGCCGACCAGGGGGCAGTGATGGTCTTCTGCATGATGTTGGAGGTGATCTCGAACTGGCCCCAGGCGGTGACATTGCCCCCGCCGTCGCTGAAGATGGCGTCGATCGAGAACGGGCCGCGAGTCCACCAGAGGCCGACACGTGTGAAGGTGTCCAGGAAGGCCTGGTAGCCCACCCGATAGCGCGTCCCCGCCCACGGCATGATCTTATGCAGGTCCGGGTTGTCCATAGTGAGCGACACGTAGGTGGCGTCCAGGGTGACGCACTCCTTGATGAGGTCCGGATCAGGGTTGGGCTGGGTGTTGAGGATCTGGAGGAAGACGTTCATCGGGGTGCGGGTGAGGTTGGCGGGCCAGATCACCGTGGGACTGGTGTAGCGCTTGTCGAGGTGGGCTGCATCATCTTTGTTGGGGGCAGGGCCGTGGGGTACGGCTGCGACCAGGGGAGACCAGAGGAAGAACAAGCTTAGTGCCACGAGGCAGATGCGCAGGCTGGGTATCGATGCGAACATGTTTGCGCTTGTTGTGTCACGTTTTGACGAAGAGCAACGAGGCAGACCTCCTTTGAAGAATTAGGGGAAAGGTTGTTTGGATTGTTCTGTCTGTTCTTGTGGTTGTCTGGCCGTCCTCTAGCACCTTTATATGGAGGCCTCCATGGAATCTCAATCATCAGTCCACCGACTTCACCACTCCAGCCCCGGCTACCAAGACCATTGCTGCATTCCTCAAAGCGGGCTGAAGCTATCCGGAGTACTCGAATAGGTTCACGGACTCCCAGAAAAGAAGCTCGAAGGAATCTTCTCCGGAGGATTTGGGGGCGGACGCCGGCAGGATTCATGGAATACGAGGCGGTGGAGGATTTCTACCAAAGACATTCGCTGTAGCTTTGGGTGTATAGGCGTCCAGCTCCACTTCCAAGATGCTTGGCCTAGTAGCCTTTCGCTTATTTTTTCTGTCCAGCAATGTATGCTCTGTGATGTCGCACGGTTGGCGATAGGTTCCTTGAGTCAATCGAGAATCCAGGAAGGCGTAGGTACGGTCGGCTAAGTTCATAGTGAAGTCCCTATCACTACCTAGTATTCTGGGGTTTGCCGGGCTACCGAACCTGATCCTAGTCGAGTACTACCCTTATTTCAGTGTATCCCTGTCTTTCTGCATCCACCTCGTGAGCGACCATGTGGTCAGTGAGATTCTTCTGCAAGTTCCTCGTGGTCGACTAGAATGTAGGATCGTGATCTACACCGCCGGTGGAGGGCTACGTCACTGCAGCATTGCTTCCGCAATTGGGGGCTCCGGATCTCCGATAGCTCCTTTGGATAGGGTTGCCTTGCCGCGTTGGGTTAGCGTGGTGCTAAGCCTTGCATGGCACTAGCCTGCATCCAAGCCCACTGATGTGATTGAGCAGCAGGCGCGTCGAACTCCGTGGGCAAAAATGTAGAACCTGATGAACTATTTTTTTCTTTATTCGATGCTCATCATGAGACTACCAAGTCTGTGTAAGCGAGCAACTTTTGTTGTGGAAGCGGTGGTTGCTGACGGGTCACGTGGCTGCGTTGCCGCTGCTCAAGTCTTACTTTAACCTTTTCGTTAGTGTCGGGCTGAAAAATATATTTTGCAAAGTCGAGTTGAGCTCATAGAAAAGACAGAGTAGTGTGTAGCAAGCATAATTAACAATGGTACAATCGAACAAAGTCCTCCAGTTTCAGACATGCAACATACATGTTGCGGAATATATCTCGGTGATGGTGGAACCTGCCGTCCTGAAGTTACATGACATAGGCTTCTTAGGTGTAGTGGCCAGATGTATTCGAAGCACTCATTGAATGTAAGTAAGGTTAGGCTAAATATAGCTAAGCACCTTGACCTTCGGATTTAAGAGTGTCGCTCCAACTGAGATGACATTTCAATTTCAACAACCATCCGTATACTGATGCAAAAGTACCAAACTTGCATTTGGACAGGAACTTCAAATAGAAGACAAGAATATACCTTGAGAACCCTTCATTCGATATCCACTCGGTCGACCTCGTGACGGATCGGAACAACACCCGCAAGCTTTTGACGTTCGTCAATCCGACGACCTCACGCAATGGCCTCGAAACGTTCACTGTCCTCGTCGAATTGGCCGCGAACACGCAAGCTGTGATCTTCTGTCGCTCTGAGACAAAGACCTTTGATATCATCGGACGGCATGAATCAAAGGGGTTCGGACACGAATTTGAGAAGGCATTCACCACAGAGCAGGTAACGGAAAGTACCGGACATTACAGGATAATCTCATGCAAATTCGGGGGTTTGAACCTGCTGGTTCGTCACGAAACGGACAGCTATGTCAATTCCCTGCCTTCGAAGGGGCCGATGAGAGTCGAAGACGTGAATGTTGTTGACGAGGTCTCCCGTTCCTTTGGGTACCTCTGTTACGGTGAACCGTATCTGCCATTATCCCAGGCTGCTTCTTTAGCTGGGGCAAAATTACTGATCAAGAGAGAGGGCCAGACTGTGCCCATTCAGTCTACGCTTGAAGTCAAAACTCGCGCCGTTAGTATGCCGATTGATGCCGACGAGGTCATCCCCCAGCTCTGGGTGTGCCAGACCCCGAACCTTGTGCGTGCCTACCACATGGCAGGACTTTTGAGGAGCTTACGGTAGAAGACATGACGGCGGACATCAAGAAATGGGCAGAGGTTCACCAGAGTGACCTCGAAAAGCTTGTGTCCTTACTGGAAAAAATCATTAGTGTGGTCAAGGAATGTGGAGGACGGGCTGTGCTCAAGTACGACCCCGATTGCGATAAGTTGGAAATGTGGAAGGGAGACAATAAGGCGATGCTACCTGCAGACCTGTACGCCAGTTTCAATCAGGAAAGAATCAGTTCCAAGTCTGAACTGCCGTCATGTTCGGATCGTGACTAGAAGGCGACACCCCCATCCCTGAGACAATCGATATGACGTCTATGTAATGGTTTTAAGCATGAAAACCTCGCTGAAGCTGTCTATGGCTAAACTGCTAGTTTTAAAGCATGGACGTATGTCGCACGAAGAGATTTAGATTTAGGCTGCTGGTTCATACGTGGCGGGGAGTTAGCGAAGTGGTTCGTCTTTGTAATAAGGAACAAGGCTTCTATTAGATAGCCGGGTTGGATTGTAAACTTTTCTCGCTCAATGCTTAGGTAAACCTGTAATAGGAGTATCTTTGACAAAGTCAGGGCAGTTTGCTACTGGAAAAGCTCGGAAATCCATCCATCAAGGCGGCCAAACCTTCAGCCCAGGGTATATGTGCATTGACCGTGTTTTACTTCGAAAAGTGGCATTAACATTGGGTGCATCACTTTTATATAAAATGCCTTCTGGTAAATGCAGATTGGAAACAAACGACCGATATACTCCTCTCCGTAGCCTTGGTAACTGATGCCCTTAGTAAAAGACTGGAGGAGTAACTGTTAGTCGGGTGGACAATATCAATGCTACAGAGCTGGCGGGGGCTTAAAGGGTGTATCCTTGGACAAAGGACACCATTAGAGCTTGAAGTTATCTCGAGCTGCAGCTCATGTGGTGGTGTCAGCTTTTGCTGATTCGGCTGTTGATGGAGACAGTTGTCAGGAGGTACAATGCTGACACCATGGATAATGTCTGGAAGAGAGGAGTAAGTGATTCTCAAGCAAGATGCGTAAGACTGCCTGGACAGATGCAGAGAGGTTCATCAGAGAACACCCAATTGTCTTGATGCTAAAGTACAAAATGAGTTCTGCTGCCGGTGGCCGGCTAACCTTGAGAGTCACTCCTGCGGAACTACTAGACTGATGTCTACCAAAATGGCACAGCGCTGCGAAGGTATATTATGCCGTAACCCATCACCAGGACCCTTGAAGGGTTTGAAAGAGGGTTCTGAGTCACGATCCTGTAAGCAAAGTACATACATGGGTTTGGCAGATGAATGGCCATTCGAAGGAAGATCACAAAGGAAATGTGATTGTACTAAGCAACATCAACCATTAGATCATCCGCATCTTCATCTTCCACCTTGAGACGCTTGTCCATGTTGCCAGACCTTTCCACCTTCATAGGAACCTCCAACCTGACAGAAGTCCCCACTGTGATAGGCTCTTCCCGCTTGATGGCTTTCTTTGCCGTGGGGAATCTCTCTGCCCGATCAAGTTCCTCCGCTTCGGTAGGGCTGCTAATCATGACGGGCTGTTCCGGCTCGGCATCTACAAATTTCTCATCGACTAACACAGTTGCTGCAGCCCATACCTTTGACTCATCGTAATGCTCGCCATGCACAGACCCAAAGGCTACTACAGCAGGCTGCACAAATAGCACGATATTAGTGCCATCCAGGCGTTTATCGTCGTCATCCAGATGGTGAAGACGATGCGCTTCAGCAATGGGATCTCCGTTCCAGAAGTTCTGTAACTGGTAGAGATTGTAACAGATCATGTTTGTGCGCTGGGTCCAGAGAGATAGAGCCAGATTAGCTGCTCCTGAAAGCACATTCTCAAGTTCCTTCTCACGATGGTCAAGCGCAAGAGGACTCCCGGGCCGTTCTAGTAGAGCACGAGCAGGACTGTCTAAGAAGTACTGTGCGAGTTCACTACTGAAACTCTCAACTTGGCCGTGTAGGAATGACTGCGCGCCTTGGTCCGAAGTTACGCAGAGCACTCGCAACATCTGCGAGCGCCAAGCATGGCTTTCCACCTCGTCGACTACTCTCCGTTAGGTTTAGTAAGTCAGTCAAGCAGCAATCAACATGCTTACCTAGTTTCATTTGATCATAAATCTTGGTCAAACCGCCACACAGGGAGTTAGAATTAGCATGTTCGATTTGCCTGAAGAGAACAAACGGGTCCCCGAATATCCATTCAAACACGACGTTGGCTAATGCGGCTTGCACTAGAATTGCTGGAATCTTGTCAACTGAGATAGGCAACTTGCTGACCAAGGAAGACCATGTGACTTCGCTGCAGTAGTCACCTAGGTCGTCAACAACCAGATCTAGGTCTGATTCCAACACGCCTTCTAGCTTTTCCACACTTGGCATTGCATACTTTCTGGCCCAGGAGCGGATGCTCTCTTGCAGTCTGATCAGAGCACTTTCAACATCATGGTCATCCATCGGTGCCGGGCCTTTTCCTGCATTTAGGGATTCGAGAGCGGACTCCTGCCTGGCAATCACCATAGCCTGGAGTTTCGCAATCTTCTCCTTGTGCGCACGAGCCTGTTTATCAAGCTCCCTGATTGTTGTCTTCTGATCCCTGACTTGGTTTCGAAGCCTGCTCATGCGCTGGTTGTGGTAATTTGCGCGCCTACCAAGCTCATCAATGATCTCACGCTCACGGATCTCGGCTTGCCGAATCAGCGACTCTTTCTCTCTGAGCAGTCTGTTGACCTTGTCATGGTGATTGTCTATGTGTCCACAATACCCGATTTCTTTAGATTGGTCATGATAACTGGGGCTCCCGTTGTCAGACTGACTTGTCATGAGGGCATCATCTGTGATCCGATCGGGTATCCTTTCGGGATGCGGCTGCGTGGTTTCATTCTTGATGCGTAGGTCTCCATCGGAATCATCACCTGGGAGATACTACACAGGTGTGAGAGTTGAGACTTAAAAATGTATGGAGGCAATAAGGGTCAGCAAACCTTTCTCAGTTCGCGGAGCAATCTCCCCACCATCCTTGGTGGACTGAGTGAGTTGGCGTTCATCGTGTCTCTTAGTGTGCAGCCTCTATCTTGTCACTTTGATATATCTCAGTCATATGTTCCCGTGCAGTAGTTGAATGTTTGGTGACAGCGAGCGGTGATGATCTTGGTCGGGGATGCTAGTGCTGACGAGGTAGTTGTGAGGTTGAAGTTAGGTGGTGTAGCCTTACCTAAGGTGGCATTAGCTGACACCAAGTTTCTAGATAGAAATGTGGAAGTCCGCGTGTCATGAGATGAGGGAAAGGACTCTGTCAGTAGAAAGTGATGGAAACACCCACGAGGGTGAGATGTGTTACCCCGTCACCCTTCACTGTTGGCTTCAAAGGCTGTCACCATTAACTCACGTTCCACGATCAGCCTAACAAAGAGTATCTTTTCTTCCATCCTCTTACTTGCCCATCTTTTCTTCTTGCACCTCTTTACCTTTTCTCAGTACCTCACCCGAGCCTCAGCCGCTGACCAGGGATCACAACTGGTGAAAAGTATCAGTTCCGTCTTCCCTATCTACAACAGCCCTCTTCGAATTGCTCCAATCCACCGTTCTCGGTCTTCTATCTTCTGATACTTCTAATCACCAAAGATGGCAGACTCGGTAGACTCGACACTGCTGGGCGCTGACGCATCCCACCGCAAGATTATTGTGGGCATCGATTATGGCACCACGTTTACAGGAGCGAGCTATGTAAGTTCGCGGGGCTCATCGCTAGATAATATCACAGTCATCAAAACCTGGCCAGGCAATGCGCGCAACATCGATACAGTATCCAAAACCCCATCCCGGATTGCATACGCGACCGAAAATACGAAGGCTGCAAGAGACCTGTGGGGTTACCAGGTCCCGCCTGGAATGGTGGCATACTCTTGGACAAAACTTCTACTGGACAAGAATACCGCATTAACCGCATACGATGACACTGCTCTTGAAGAAGCCTCGGGAGCCGGCATCTTGCGTCTCCCAGCCGGAAAGGCAGCGGTCGATGTTGCGGCCGACTACCTGACTCATATCTATCAACATATCAAATCTACCCTCGCCCGCCACATCACCCAACAAGATCTGGACATCACTCCACTTGAGTTCTGGTTTACTGTGCCGGCCATCTGGTCGGATCAAGCAAAGGATGCTACCCGCACCGCCGCGCAAAGAGCAGGGTTCTGGTCAAGCCCGGACAGACCTCATGACCGGTTGTACTTCATCAGCGAGCCTGAAGCGGCCGCAATTACAGCACTAAAAAAGTATACTGATAATAGTGTTGGAGGCTCGGTTCAGGTTTGTAGTCCCTCTCACCTCATGGGAATGCTTCCTTCTCACGCTGGTAGGTCGGAGACGGTGTGCTTATCTGTGACTGTGGCGGCGGGACAGTGGTAGGTTTGCTTGTCTTGCTTGCCCTATCATATTCCAAGACGAAGCTTACTTGTAATCTAGGATATTACCACCTACGTTGTTAAGCAGGTTACCCCAACACTCAAGTTTGAAGAGCTGTTAACTGGCATTGGTATGGATCTCTTGCTAAATCGCCCTCTTGTGGCCATGGTTAAACACTTATACAGGAGGAAAATGCGGTTCCACGGCAATCGATCGTAATTTCTACAAGCTCATGTCCCACAGATTCGGTAAGGCATTCGACAATTTGCCGTTATCTGCAAAGGGCCCCGGGAGTCATTCTATGAACAGGTTCGAGGTCATCAAGAAGGATTTTGGAGATTCCTGCTTTCTCGACATACTTGAATTACCTCTGAACATGACCTTGCCAAACGCAAAACGGAGCAAGCACTTCGACGCAGATGAACGTCTAGTCAAAATCACAAGGTAAGAGGGAACGTTGCCCTATCCGATAAGAGGTGCTGAAACTGGCATAGTGTTGACTTGCGCACTATCTTTGATCCTGTGGTCAACCAGATCATCAGTCTAGTGCAGCGGCAGATCACGGACGCTCGCAACTTGGGCGGTAGAGAAATGATCAATGTACGCAAGCGCACTTCGTCTACAAATATGTGCTCTGGCCATTGAACTTACCACTTAGTCAGAGAATCATACTTGTCGGTGGGTTCGGCGAGTCGGAGTACCTTCGAAGAGCCCTCGTGTCGACATTTGAGACTACGGGCAAAGTCACCATCACGATCCCCGATAACCCGTGAGTATCGACCATAGAACCCAAACATCCGAGCTCTGCTAATCCCACCATGAATTTAACCAATTTCAGGCAAGCGGCTATCGTTCAAGGTGCCGCCCTCCGCGGTCTGGAAGGTATCCGGTCAACCACTAAGCGGTGCCGGCGCCACTATGGGTTTGACCGGGCGATCGATTTCCGCAAGGGTTATGATGACGAAAGAGACGCCTGGATCGATGATTTCGATGGGAAGAAGCGGGTCCGAGGTATTATGAAGTGGATGATTGCCAAGGTGAGGATCGATCTGATAGATGTGGTTGTAACTCGTGTACCCCTAATTGACATATTAGGGCGAGAAATATGTGGAGAACTACAAACAAACCACATACGTGCGGCAGAGCCACTCTCATGGTGACTCTCTGAAGAAGACTACCAACTTCTACGCCTGTGATGAGATGCTGGCTCCCGAACGAAAGAAGACGAAGGGTGCGTTTTCTTTCCCTGGTGCAATGTGTCTGGTTCTGACCATATAACGCTGGCAGGAGTTTATAAGGTTGGAAGTATTGTAGTCGACTTCACTCAAGTCAACCTGTCTCGATTTGAGTTTAGGGAGAAGAACGGGCAGAAAATATACGACTTGCAATACAACATCAGGGTTACCTTTGCCGCGATGGACGGGCTGCTGAAATTTGAGGCCACCAGCCAGGGGAAGACAATTGGTCAAACAAGCATCGAGTTCACGGCGACCTAATCGACGTGTTATTTTGTCTGATGCATGTGACCTCGTTTCGCTGTCTCCCAGAGTTTGGTCAGAACTCGATGTTCTTGACTATTGGTTAGTAGAATGGCCATGCCATTCCTGCTAGTATTTGAGTGCTCACAACCTCAATTAATGCCGAAAAAAATGGAATCTACGCGCTTTTTTTAGGCAGGTGATATGAGATCTTGAACTAGCAACAATTGAAATATGACGCACTTTTCTTTCTTTCCCACCCCCCTTGAGGTCTACAGAGTACTTGTATCAAAAGACCCAATTGTACGACAGAGGCGTCCAGATCGAGGGATCGTTGTTTCCATTCGGCGGCTATGTATGGTGCCGGAAATGCTCCAGGTTGTAATGACCAACGGGATGGTTCGAGCTCAAGCAGTCCATGCCGTGGCTCAAAGTATTCATTCGCTTAGAAGTTGAAGGCCAGTCAGTCTCACACTGAACGATGTCCTTCGATTGAAAAAAGCAAACAGCTATGACTGCAGCCTTGTTGCCTAAGGCATCTGTTGCATACAAAGCAAACAACGCGCCGCCGTCCCTTCCGCCGATGGAAGCGGAATGCGCCGCACCTCAACATCTACCCAAATTTATTCTTCTTTCTATTCAAGCTGGCTCCAACAACTCAACAGTCTCTTCCTTGAGGTTTTGTGGCTGGAATGGAGGTCCCGCGGCGAACGGGCCGCCAAAAACGACCGCGAGTGCCGGAATCTGCGCGGAAAAGAGCAGCTCAAGCGTAAGCTGCCGCTCTCTGCAGCATAGAGGAAGCTAACCCGTCCGCCGATCGCCGACAGATGTGTCCCTTGTCGGTATCACAAAGAAAAATGTACATCACTCTCTCCAGCCTCGCTTGCAGCTACTAATTTATTTATAGGCGGGGGAGGCGTGCCGTGCGCACGCTGCCGTCAGTACAATCGCGCGTGCCGGTTTGAAACGGCCGCATTGCAGCGGTCAGGCAGAGAAACCAGCGACAATGCTGTTGGGTTGAACTGTACATCAAGATTCATCCTACAAGAGACTAATCTGTACTAGATCTGGATCTTCTTCTATGACACAAGACAGGGAAGCTGTTATGATGAGGATAATCAAACATTTCATCGGCAATGTGGCGACTGACACGGCGAGTTTGCGAGGTATTGCCGATGGACTTGAGAAGCGAAGTCCGGACCACAACGTTCAGATAAATTCTGGGACGACGGAACCAGAACCAGAGATTTATTCTCTTGAGCCAGTGTCGAGCAGCGCCATGCGTAAGCTTCAATACACTGACCTTGTCGAAGAAGACTGACAATATACAGACTATTATGGGGAGTTATCTCATTGGAATTTTTCGCAAACACTTCTCCGTAGGTTGCGAAGTTTGGGCAGCGGGGCGGAACAGAACCATGTAATTTGATATGATCTGACCAGCCTTCTGGAGGTTCGGCTGACTATTATTCAGGGAATAGATCAATTGCGCGGAGTACATCGTGCGACTGACCTACAATCACCTACATCAGTGGTCTCTTCTGCTATGGTTTACTTTCCACCTAGGGATATCGGAGAGTTCCTCATCGAGACATTCCTTCAATTTGCCCAAACCAATTACTTCTACTTCGACGAGAGAACGCTGAGACAGAAGCTGGACTATTACTATTCCCACGAGCATGCGCTAACTATACACGACGCCGGATGGATATGTACCCTTCTCATGACATTTGCCATAGGAACCCAATTTGCCTACATGCAGACAAAGCCGACACAGATGAGCCCTCACCTTTCCCAAGAGATTCCAGACGATCGTGCTGGGTTGGAACTTTATCGATTCTCTTGTCGGCTGATTCCTGACCTGATCACCGTGGCATCCGTTGAGACCGTGCAGGCCTTCTTGCTACTGGGTAGCTACACGCTGCCGATCGACACGTCTGGCCTGGCTTACACGTATTATGGACTTGCTACTAAGATGGCGATTCAGAATGGGATGCATAGGGATAGCTCCCATCTCTCGCTTGACCCTGATACTCTCGAGTGGCGGAATCGTCTGTGGTGGTCCGCCTACTCACTCGAAAGGTGCTCCCTGCCACAAGAAAAGGCTCATGGCCTCTGTCACTAACTTGACCATAGTCGCATCAGCATCCTACATGGACGACCAGTATCTGTCTCCCGTCTCGAAGTCGATGCCAAATTTCCGACCGACCAAGCCTTACCCCTCCCGACCGGAAGAGCTTCAAACCTAGAGAACGTGAACGCAAACATTTTCTTAACGGACCAGTTGAGCAAGGTGTCCCAAACCATTATGCACCTGCGGGGCTGTCCACGCTTTCAGCAAAAGGGTTACCTTCAAGAGCTGATGGTGATCCGGTCTAATCTCAGCAAGTGGTGGTCAACCCTTCCGGCCGAAGTCCACTGCCGAGATTTGACCCCAACTGGACCTTTGTTTCGCTGCAATGTTCATCTGGAGCTGAGTTATGATACCGCAATAATATACATGGGTCGTCCATTTATCTTCGCACCAAATTCGAACCATCCCTGGTCATCAGGCGCTAGCAGTGAGAATCCAATTAACACGCTTTCGACCGACTGCCTCGACGCTGCGATCCGAATCATTGATCTCTGCCAGCTTCTGCACGACTCGGTTGGAATTGCCCGCGTGTCATATACAGAATTCAGCTCCTGTCGCGCTGCACTGCTTGCGTTGATCGCACATAGTCTAAACCAACAGACAGACCGAGTCCTGAACAGCCTGTCTCAAGGTATGATTCTTATTCGACAAATGTGCGTGGGTGTAGAATCCGCCCGATCGGATGTGGCCGCTATCGAAGCATTAGAACTGGCTCGTCAGCGGCTGCAGCGGCACGGGGATCGCAAGGAACAATGGAGCCACGATGCACACTCAGGATATAGTCAGTTCCAGCGATGGGCACAGCTTTGGCAACCTGATAGTCTCACCTCGCACCCAGTGCCGACTCCAGGGCCTGGCTCTTTGGCCGATCTTCCCGAAAATTTGACACCGCCCTCCTTCGATGGGTTCTTTGCCTCCTTGCCGCAAGAGCTGGACTCTTTTGCGACCATCACGGGCTCAGATCAGCTGTTCTTGGATGACAGTTGGCTTGGGGAGATAGGCAGTTCTATCTTGCCTGAGGAAGGCAATATTCCTCTCGGTCAAGGGTTGTGAAACTTGAGTGGGAGTTTGGTCGAATGTGTATTGTATGAATGGTGCCTGCCATGATGACGTTCTTCTTGTAGACTGTCGCGATGATCTTGCACTAGGCGACGCTTATGACACAGCTGTACTGTTTATAAGATTCAAGTTCAGCTCGGAAGCAAGATCTCCTTCTTAGAACGTCAAAGTGAGCAATGGCCGAGCAGGACCCGGACCGAGAGAAGCAGGTCCGGCATCGGAGTAACAGGCGGGCACTTGATCGGGTAAGCGTACCCGAGTGGGGATATTGAGGGGAAACCGACGGTTTACAGCTAACTGCTTTCACTCCCCGCACCGACCAGGCACGATGTATATCTACCCTCGCACACCTGTCTACTTTGCTCAAACATTAGCACAATCAGAACACAATCTCCACTAACAACCATGGCTCAACTATCTGACTATCGTCTTCTCACATTCGACGTCTACGGCACGCTAGTGGACTGGGAAACCGGCATCCTGACCGCCTTCCAGCCCACACTGGACCAGACCAACGCGCAATTCTCGCGCCACCACCTCCTGACCGTCTACCACGAGCTGGAATATGCGCAACAGGAGCAGACCCCGGACATGCCATACTCCGAGCTTCTGACCACCATACACCCCACCTGGGCGACGCGTTTGAACCTCCCCGCCCCCTCCCGCGACGAGAGCATCCGCTTCGGCGAATCGGTCGGCAACTGGCCCGCCTTCCCGGATACCGTCGACGCGCTCAAACGTCTCTCGAAGCATTACAAACTAGTGGTACTCTCCAACGTCGACCGTGGGTCATTCGCCAAGACGAATGCTGGGAGTCTCCAGGGGTTCCAATTCGACCTGATCATCACCGCACAGGACGTGGGAAGCTACAAGCCCGACCTGAAGAATTTCGAGCACATGCTGCACGCGGTCAAGGAGAAATTCGGAGTCGAGAAGAGTCAAGTGCTGCAGACGGCGCAGAGTCAGTTCCATGATCATCATCCCGCACGCAAGGCGGGGATCAAGTCGGTCTGGATTGAGAGGCCTGGGGCTACGATGGGGAACCTGGAGGAGACGGTCTATGATTGGAAGTTCGATACTCTGGGCGAGATGGCGGATGCGGTAGACGGTGGACGATGAGATGTACGCTTAGTATGTGGAGATGAAGCCACGGTAGACCCAATAGATGAAGTTCCCTATGTCTCGTTTTCTCATCCTGTCCCTCTCTCGGCTTCAACTTTGAGTATGCGCGATCGCATACCGCAATCCGGGTACTCGTACCCGAGTGGGGACGGAAGGGGAGCAGAAAAGTGGGCACGGAGCAGAAAACAGCATAGCCGAGTGGAGTAGATGCAAGAGATGGACGAATACTAAAAGGGCTTTTAAAGAAACCTGCAATTGAGGGACACAAGCTAAAATAATCTCCGAGCAAATGTCCATGTTCTTCGAGTCTGAAGCTTTTACACAACACTACATGCGTCCCAGCACTATAGCACGGTGAGTATCATAACCCAAGTGCAACCAATACAGCCCTTAACATACTCTCCAGACGCGCTATCTCCAAAATCATCTCCGTACCTGCACGACAACAACTATACTCACAACGCAAAATGCGGTTCGCAGATGCAAGTCCCCTTCCCCGCAATCCCAACCCCTCCAACCTCCCGGTCACCCCATCCTCAACCCAAATACTAACAAAACAACAGGTAGCAGTAACCTACACCGCCGATCAATTCCACGGCCTCTACCGCGGCGGCAAGCCGCACCACCCGGCAGACTGGGCGCACGTCGTCGAGCGCGCCCGCGCCCACGGCTGCGAGAAGATGCTCCTCACAACGATGACCCTAGCCGGCGCATCCCATAACCTGGCCATCGCACGCGAGTACCCGTCGATGTGCACCATGACGCTCGGCGTGCACCCCTACCACGCCAGCGAGATCTACGCCGACGAAGCAGCAGCCCCAACCGCAACCGCAACCCAAGCCCCAAACGATTATCTCGCCCGCCTCCGCGAACTAGGCCACACCCTCCTCGCCGCCACGCACCCCTCCCCGCTCGTCGCCTTCGGCGAGATCGGCCTCGACTACGTGTATCTCGACCGCGCCGACAAGGCCACCCAGCAGCGCGCGTTCCGCGACCAACTCGACATCGCGGTGGAACTGCACCTCCCGCTCTTCCTGCATGTACGGGGCGCAGGGGCGTGCGCGGATGTCGTCGCGATCCTGCGGCCGTACTTGGAGCGTCTGCCGGCTGGGAACCGGGGGTTGGTGCATTCGTTTGCCGGGTCGGCGGAGGAGATGCGCGTGCTGGTGGGGCTGGGATTCGGGATTAGTGTGAATGGGGTGAGTTTTCGGACGGAAGAGGGCCGCGAGATGGTGCGGCAGGTGCCGTTGGAGGTGCTGCAGTTGGAGACGGATGCGCCGTGGTGTGAGATTGTCGAGGATGATGCCATACGCAAATTCCTGGAGGGGGCGAGGCCCCTCCCGGCTGCGAGGAAGAGTAATAAGTTTGTGGCGGGGTTGATGGTTAAGGGGCGGAATGAGAGTTGTACGATGGAGCGTGTGGCGAGGGTCGTGGCCGGGTTGAAGGGGTTGCAGGTGGAGGCTGTTGCGGAGGCGGCGTGGAGGAATAGTGTGGCAATGTTTGGGTTGGAGGTGGGGGAGAGCGAGGGGGAAAAGGGGGAAGATTTGAAGAATTGAGGTTCGGTGATGTCAGACTAGTGTATATAGTTATGCGTCATGTGGATAGTTAGATTTAGAATTCCCATTGCAGAATAGAGAGGCTGTTTACTGGTTTTGCAGTATTCAGAGAGCTACGGCTTGCCTAGAAAATGAGCCTCAAGTTGTTCCATCGCTACTACCAGCGTCGTACCGTTTCGTTGCTCGGTGGGAACGCTATAAGAACATGAAGGACAGATAGCGATTGCGAAAGAAGACGGATCTACCAGCGTCTAGGGTACAATGCCATACGCATAGATTGTGTGGCTGCAGTACAAGCATCCAATTCACAAACACAACTCCTTAGTTGCTGCCTGATTCCACGTCGTAGTAGATGCTTTCGTCGCCAGTCTTACACTACGTTATCACTCTTGTCTCCGTATAAACATAAACAGAGTATGTGTACTCATTTCCAGGCAACTATCATTCCTAGTGACAATGATGCTGAGTTCTCCTGCAATGTTGAGCTTCACAACTGCTGTTGCCTGTCGATGCGCGGGAAGCCGTTGGCCCTCTATGGATTCAATGCTGCCTAGCACAACGAACATATATAACAAGTACTCGCTTTCACGTTTGCTAATATAGTCCAAAGGATAATTTCAACTTGCGACAATAAGTCTGTTTTCCAAATCATTAGAACTGCTTCAAGATGTCGGTGAGTGATACTCTTACCATGAATCGCCCGACTCAGCACTGACAATTGTCCAATCTCAGATGCCTTCAGGGTACGTCCCATACCTTCACGACACCTGAAAACATTCCTCTCGGTCTTTCTATCTGACCATCACCAGAGTCGTAATTTCGGATGAGTGCATCACCGCCTCCAGATCGCTCCGCTTCGGCAGGGGCCCCCAGAAGCCCCGGTTTGTGATCTACAAAATCTCCGACGACGAGACCACAGTCGAATTATGCAAATCATCTCGCGAGCCAGACTACAAAGCCTTCCGCCAGTCCCTCTGTGAGACAGCAGACAGCACGGGAAAGCTAATGCCACGATACGCCGCGTACGACGTGGAGTATGACCTTGGGGAAGACGGGAAGCGCTCTCGCCTGGTGTTCATCAGCTGGGTCCCTCAGGAAACATCACTGAAGGTAAGCTCCACCACATTATCTTCGACAACCTAGAATCAAAGTTGACACTTCTGCAAAGCTGTGTATGTTGTATGCGACTACAAAAGAGCAGTTGAGGAACGCGCTCGATATCAAACTCGCCATCCACGCGGACACCCCGGATGAACTCGAATGGCGGAATATCTTGAGCGTCGCAAGCGGGGGGAGAGTCTAGAGATTGGGGTTCTTTTTTGGGTGTCTTGCTGTGCGAAGCGTGCGGTTTGTTTTGTTGACAACTTGTCTTCAGTAGTGGATAACAGCTACCATCCTGCGAATACATTTTTCTTTACAATCCTCACCACACAACTGAGTAATTCCTGATTAGGAAGAAAGCGCCTTTGTAAGCAAGTACAGTAGTATGGCTTTCTCAAGTAACTAAAGCAATTAGATATCCGCATTATCATTCCAGGAAGAATAATTGGGAGTAATATAATTTGGCAATCGCTTCCACAAATTGCATCATACATAGTAGAAAGCCTACTTTGAAAGACAGAGTGTAATGGTCAAGTTTATTTACTTTCGCAAAAGTGATATAACTTTACTGTTTCACTCCTCTACAGTGTATTTATGAAGGTGCTTAGAAGTAGGACATGAACTTATTTTACTGGCAGACGGGAAATACAAAACAGAATAGAATAAAATGTTTAGAGCACATGAACGGGGACGGTTACGACACCGTACCCTGGATTTACTCATTACTGCGGCGCATCGCGTCATAGCTCCTCGTTTGCACCTACAGTGAGGGCAGAAACACTAATGCAAGTGCTTATAGCTACAAGCTTCGCACCGGATAGCTAGGCTCCCGAGCATACGGACAGTAACTAACACTGATGCGTAAGCATGCGTAATCATCCCCGGGTAGTCTTGAACCCGGTGGCCGTAGACCGAATTCTCGGATCCCGATATACCCGCAGTCCCGGTCCTCCTGCATTGAGATCGTGCCCTAGTTCCTGACCTATCCATCAATATTCCATACTTAGCATGCTGACGCCCGCAATTACCCGGGACTATCAGACGTAAATTCGTTACTTCTATCATGGCATCAAAGAATCCCGAGTTCGTGATCTCCCCAAACATTGGCGCCGGTCTACGCACCTTCGTGTATTCGCAGCTGTTCGTCACCCCGCCATACCCCCGCGACTCTTTCGCCGAGCAAACCATCATCGTCACCGGCTCGAACACAGGCCTGGGCCTCGAAGCCGCACGCCACTTCTACCGTCTGGGCTGCGCGCGGCTGATCCTCGCGGTCCGCAGCACTACCCGAGGCGAAGCCGCCAAGGAGGATATTCTCCGCAGCAACATCACGCATCGGTCGGACGCGGGTGCAATCGAAGTCTGGCCGCTGGATTTGTCGAGCACTGCATCCACAATCGCATTCGCGGGGAGAGTGAAGAACGAGCTGGATCGGGTTGACGTGTTGGTTGAGAATGCCGGGCTCAACTCGGGGGAGTGGACGCTGTGCGAGGGCCATGAGCAGGCGGTCCAAGTCAATGTGCTGAACACGTTTCTTTTGGCGTTCATGCTCCTCCCAAAGCTCCGGGCCACGAGACGTCTCACTGCTGCGCATGCTGTCCACCCCCATGTGGTGATTGTGAGCTCGGAAGCGCATCGGTTGACGTCGTTTCCGGAGATCAATGCTCCGAATCTTTATGACGAGCTCAAGGTGAGGGAGCGGTTCAGTCAGCAGGCTCGGTATGTTATTATCCCTTCGATACGCGCTTGCGCTTCTTGGGTTAAATTTGAAGATTTGAATGGCTAATCATGATGACGCAAAGATACCAAGCCACGAAATTGATCGAAGTACTCTTCACGCGGGAGCTGGTGGCGAGGCTGAGCGATAAGCAAGACACTATTGTCGGGGATACTCCCCCGGTGATCATAAACCTAGTCAATCCGGGTCTTTGCGCCTCAGACCTCGCTCGAGGCGAGCCACCTTCGACACTTGCACGAATAGCGCGTTGGATCTTTGAGCGAACCACTGAAGTGGGAGGGCGGACCCTGGTGCTCGCTGCCTCGGCCCCGAAGAGCTCCCATGGTGAGTATCAAAATGACGGGGAAAATCAGAATGTAGAAGATTGGATCTATACGGAAGCTGGTCGAAGGGTACAAAGGAAGGTTTTCGAGCAGACGCTTGGAATCCTGGAAGAGCGCCGGCCGGGGATATCCCAAGAGGCTGGTCTTTAAACACCAGGGAATCGAACGTGGCCGGCGAGACGGGGCTTGATGGTGGTAGAAGCACTATACCCACACCACGCTGCCTTCAATTATTGCAATATTGACTCTTTTTGTATGGAGGAGAGATTAGAAATTATTTGGGTTTTATCTGTAAAGACAAACAAACTCATATCAAAGATCACGGATACGTTTTTCCTTCCTCGCACACCCTCTTGAACACCTCCTCAGTATGCTCCCACACCTTTTTCACGGCGCCCTCACCTCTCGTCCTCTCGATCTTATTATTCTTAGGATACGCCTCCCCATCCCAATTCAGCCAGTAAGACCCACCCCCCTTGACCCCATCACTGCCAACAGCAACATCTCCATCCACCGCCCCCTCAGCCTCCCCCACCAGTCGGGAAGGATACCTCGGACTCGTCGCCGCGAACAAATGCCGCTCGCCACTCTCCCCAATCGGCATCAAGAACGGCGAGAACAGCTTCGCAAAAACCGCCGTCAACACCTTCCCCGCGGGCAGCTCCCGCATCGCCCCCGTCGCGACTCCAGACGGATACGCATGCACAAACGAGGTAGCGGGGTACCTCCGCGACAACTCCTCGAGAAAGAAGTTCCCCATGAGTCCCGCATGGTGGCCGGACTTCTTCAGACTGAACGTCTCCTTGAGACTCAGATCCTTAAAGTCAAGCACCCCCGCCCCGCCAGCCCGCACCGCCACCTGCGGATCCAGCACCGAGACCACCCGCGAGAGCCCCCCGGAAGCTTTCTGCTCCGCGGCAGCCGTCAGCAACGGCATGAGCTTGGTCACAAAGCGCATGCGCGCGTAGTAATGCAGCACGAATTTCCGGTCGAGCCCCTCGGCGGTCTCGTCCCGGCCCTTGAGGGTCAGGTACCCCGGGGTCATGAAGAGGAGGTTGAGGTGGGATTCGCGGGCGGCGATCTCGGCGCAGACGCGGTCGACATTTGTCAAACGGGAGATGTCGGCTTGGAGGAAGGTGGGTTGCGCGGCGGGGTTGATGGCTTTCAGGTCGGCGATGGCGCGGTCTGCGGCCGGTTGGCTGCGGCCGATCAGGTAGATCTTCGGGGAGGGCGAGTACCGCGCCAGGGTGAGGGCGGTGGAGAGGGAGATGCCGGATGTGCCGCCTACTTTGGGGACGTTAGTATTGATGTATGGTGGGGTGGATGATAGGTGGGGGGAAGGGTAGTTCTAGTAGTGGGTTGCTGGGGTTGCTGTATAGGCAGGGGATGGGTGCGGCGTACCGAATACTGCGACGAGATTGGGGCTCGCGGATTTGAGGGTCGCGTTGTGCGCTTGGATGGCTTGGAGGGTCACCATCGCTACTTTTGGTACAAATGTTTCTTGTGGTATATCAACGGATCGAGGATTGAATTGGAGGCGGTCTTAGTGCCCCAGCAGTTCGTGGGTCAGGTATCAGGCTAACGGCGATAAGCTTTGGTTTTGAGTTGGTGGAGTTGCGTGTTGGAGAGATGGGATTAAGCTGGTTAGTTGCTGAAAGAGGTCGCTGAGAAGGTTGGAGGGGATGTAAGTTTCATTCTATGGTAGACGAAGACAATGATAATAATTCAGCGGTGCGTCTGGTATTTAAATGAGTGCGAGAACCTTATGACAATCGGGTTTGAAACGGAGATAAAGAACACTCTTGAGATCAGCGGGGGGCTTAAATCCCATCCGATCCCGCCAAGGCATAAGCCAAACACGGAAATCCACCTAATCTCCTAAACTCCAGCCAATAGTATTCCACAACGGATGTGGCTGACGTTAGCCACCCTTCTGGCTGACAACAGCCACACCTCCCATGCTTGACAGATGATCAACCACAATACAACTATGTTTGAGTTCCAGGCATCGGCACGGTTATCTATAGATTGGATCAAAAAATATGACTTTCAAAGGAGAGGCTCGGCAGAAAGCTTCTAGGTTGCGCAATCCAAGCCTTGAGGCTGTATGCAATGCCTAGCCCAATCCCGAGAAAGTGGTCATGCTTAAGAGATTTCAAAACGTGGGCACATCACAGTCAACAGGTTCACAGCCGATGGAGCTTCGTCGCATCAACTGCCCCTTTGCAATCACTCATATGTGCCCACAGACAGGCAATGCATACGTCGAGAGAGATATCTTGACACTAATATCAGCCAGAGGGGAGTGGGATGGGAATTCTAGCTTTGAATCTTAACCATTTCCTCGCCAAGGTACTTCATGAGGAGTTTTGATACTCATGCCAAAGTCCGTGATGTACGAGCGCAATCCATCGCGTCGAGGAACCTCACTTTGTCTTGAACCAAACTGGTGTTAGCCACGATTTCTCTCAAACACGTGCACTTGTCTGCAATCCAGCTGGTGTCGCCCTCTGGTATACTCTGACAGACAGAAAGGAACAGAACCGATTGCTACAGTTGGTTGGAAATGATGAATCTTGGAGTCAAGATCTACCTTTGCTTGTTTGGAATCGCTTAGGCAGCTAAATTCCGTAGTCTCTTATTCCCCTCGGAAGACTAGCCCAGCTCTACGGAACTGCAGAAGAAGCTGATAACAAGCGGATTTATAGACTGACCGTCATTTCCAGCGTTTTGTCCATGGCACTAACTCGACCTATCATGATGCTGACATGCAAGCGATAGCGGTCACCCACTGCTAGTGATCTTCAGGAACAATACACGGAACATCTCGAACCCCTGCACACAGGCACTCTTGCTTCCCATGTCGCACTCAGACCGCTACTCCGAACACCGGTAACTAAATGGCTGGCGCACTTAGTCCACCGGCTTTGCAATATGCCGAGGTCAACAAGACGCCTAGAGATACTGAGAAAATGCCAAGACCCAAGCAGTTGCGGGGTTTGTGGTATGTTGCCAAACGCTCGCTCACTACGTGGCACCATCGCTCTTGGATAATTGAATGACTGCAGGACCATTCCTTATTGCCTCATCTCGGCGAGAACTACCTGCAGGTCCTAAGAATGCCATGACGTAAAGCGAAGAATCCCCAGGTAGCAGGGGAATGGGGTGAAGAAGCCATGTGGCGGTCTCCCCCTCCCGATTGACGGAAAATCTCCCGAATGGGATGACCAGAGAGGAGATTAGCCCTAAAAGAACAACTCCGGCGGGATATGCACCCCGCAACTTCCTCAACTCGGAGGACTATAAATTCCCCCGCACAATTTTGCGGAGTACGCATCCATCAAGTGCGAGAGTCCATTGGAAAACCAAACTCAAGCAACATGAAGCTCACCGGCCTCGCCTCGTTGGTACTGCCCCTGCTCCTTTCACCCTTGACGACGGCGAACCCATTGCCCAAGTCCAAGCCGAGCACCATCACCACCTACAGCCAGACGGTCATCTTCGACCCGCCTTCCAACTACACCATCCCCCGCACGCTTTACGCCCGCACTCTCGAGCTTCCCTCTGGAGTTCTGCTCTCGACATGGGAGAACTACTCGGGAGACACTGACGGACTCGTCTACTTCCCCATCTACCGCAGCACCGACCACGGCGCCACCTGGAAGGAGATCTCGCGGGTCGAGGATACGCACAACAAGATCGGGTTGCGCTACCAACCGTTTCTCTACTACCTGGACCAGAAGCTGGGCGGGTACCCGGCAGGGACCATCCTGCTCGCAGGCAACAGCATCCCTGAAGATCTGTCCACCACGGAGCTCGATCTGTATGCCTCGCGCGACAATGGTGTGACCTGGGAGTTCGTCTCCGAGATCGCCAAGGGAGGCGAGGCGCTGCCGAACAACGGGTTGACCCCGGTGTGGGAGCCGTTCTTGCTGGTGCAGTACGTCTCACCCGTCCATTGCTTGCGTTATCCGCAGCCCATACCCAGACTCTCTCTCTCTCAGTTGCTAACTAAACATCAGCAAGGGCAAGCTCATCTGCTACTACTCCGATCAACGCGACAACGCGACTTACGGCCAGAAGCTCGTTCACCAGACCACCACCGACCTGAAGAACTGGGGCCCCGTCGTCGATGACGTGTACGTTCCTCCCCCCTACCTCCCAGCCACTTCCAGAAAACAAGTCTAACAAGCAACAAAAGTGCCTACCCAACCTACACCGACCGACCCGGCATGCCCATCCTCGCCCAGGTAAGACTGCCCTCTTGTACCACAAACAACTCCACACACCCTGCTTCCGCATCCGCATCCCCACCCCCACTAACTATCCCAAAATCCAGCTCCCCAACAAAGACTACATCTACATCTACGAATACGGCTCCTTCTTCAACACCTCCACCTACAGCTTCCCGCTGTACTTCCGCATCGCCAGCGACCCGGAGCAGATCGCCGCCGCGGAGGGCCAGCGCCTGGTCGTCTCGGACGGCACGCAGCCCACCTCCTCGCCGTACGTGGTCTGGAGCCCATACGGCGGCAAGCACGGCACCATCATCGCCAGCAGCGGCACCCAGAGCTCGGTGTTCGTCAACCAGAATCTAGGGAAGGGCGAGTGGACCGAGATCGCCACCCCGGAGGGCACGAGCTACACCCGGGATCTGCGCGTGCTCAGCGAGGACAATGGCCGGTATTTGTTGATCGCCGGTGGCGGGGTGCTCAATGGCGCCGATAATCAGGTCACGGCCAGTTTGGTGGATTTGAGTACTGTTTTGTGAGGGTGAGGTTATAAGGTGGGGGGGTTGTGTTTTGTATATAGTCGCGAGGTTGGGGGGAGGAAGAAGGGAATTTTTTTTTGGAAAAGGAGGGTGGTCTATGCATCTATTTGCTACAGGCCAGAGGTTCTGAGAATGAGAATATTGATGATGCCGTTACCGACCTGCCCTGTAGGCGTGTCTCTTGCACTATAGAGAAATCGTGGTGGCCTGCGAATCCCTGTCTGATCATGCAGAAGGGAATTCGTAAGCGGCCAAATAATTCAACACGCCGAAACAGTCAATTTGAAGTGTGTTTCGAGAAACATGCGGACCTTGTTTTAAGAAGGTACTGGCTCTGATGGTCCGAATAGTTGGGCAGTCCTCAAGGTCATTTTTCTGAGTGAGAGCTTTAGTTCCTCTGTTTGTGACTTCAAGAGCACAAAGAGGGGAAAGACATGGCGATGACTAAATATGATGGTCCGAAACCTCAGATGTGAGTGGTTGAGGGCATTTTAAGTCGCAAACTTGGAGATGGGCATTTTTAAACAACCCCGTATAACCAGCACACAAATTGAGGAGGCAAGGCTCCTCGGGAGGAGTAGCCGCGGTGGATGATGACAGAGACAGGAACAGTGACTCTATTGATCGAGTCTACAGTCTAGTGTTGTCCTCTACTGCTATACAACATATAGTATCCGGTCGGACCCACCATCGGGGTCCCGACCGGGTCTTTCGGCCTCAAGGGCCGAAGAATGAAAGCAAAGCGGGAAGGGGGGTGCACCGACTGCGCACCCTCTCATCCCTGTCCCGGCTTGACATCATATTCTACATCGCTTCTAATAATATACTTAGCCCCCTTCCTCACCCCAGTTCCCTCATGCAACAGCGCGCCGTTCGACTCCCCGTGCGGGAACAATGCGACCGCCCCCATCACAGGTCGCACGGGGTAGGCGTTCAACGTGCCTTCCCTGGCCGCCGGCAGAAAGAAAGTCGTCTCCCCGCCCTCGAACTCGTCGTTCAGGTACAGAAGAAAGGTGTACATGGAGCTCTGCCGGTTGTCCTCCGGCGAGGCGTCGTAGACGTATTTGTCCTCCGGGGTGATGCCCGACGGCGGCCAGGCGCCGTCGATGTGGCACCGGTATTCGGCCCCCGGGACGTAGCGGTACACGCGGAAGCGGCGATTGAGGCCGCGCGCTTGACATCCGTTGATGGTCTGGGGGACGTAGGGCGCGATGCGCGCCCAGAGCAGGTCGTGGAAGGCGGTATCGACGACCCAGTAGAAGTTGTGGGCCAGTATACTGATGTCGCCGTCTTCGCGGAGCGGCGCGTCGGGGAGGAAGCCGACCGATTCGCCGGCGGCAATGATGGATTTGCACTCGGCGGGGGAGAGGATGTCGAGGGCGAGGCCGAGACCTGGGACATAGGGGTGGGGGTGGTATTTCGTGGGTGGTAGTGTTGACGAGAGTGCGACCGCGTTGGGGGTGGTCGTATAGAGGATGGCGGGGTGGTGGTTGGGGGGCTTGCGCTGGGGGCCGGGCGTGGTTTCGATGATGCGAAGGGCGGAGGGGGAGGTTGGGGCCGACTCGAGGATGGATTTGTCGAGGACGGAGGCATAGACCTCGAGTGGTGGGCTCGATGGTCGGAGGTCCCAAATGGATTGGAAGGCAATGGGAGATGTGGAGGGAGCCGCTTCTGGGCTCAGGTCAATCGGGGTGCTGACACGTAGAACGGCGTCGAGGACGCTGAGAAGGTCCAAGTCCCTGGCGGTGCGCTCGATAGTGGCCTTCCCCTGCATCCCGGGCTGCGTGGAGAGGCCACTAACGACATCCAGATCTCTCACCCAACGACACAAAGCCCCAATCTTGGGTTGTTCCCCCCTAATTCTCATCTCTGCGAGTAGGACCCTGGCGTCAGTGTATTTCCCGTCGGCCATAGCGCCGGTGATGCGTGCCGTCAGATTAGCGCCCTCTGTGAAAATAACGAGTCAGTGGCGAATCTCAAAGAGAGACGAGATATAACGGACCAGCGCTGTTCACGCCTGTCGTACATGCCTGGCGGAAGTCATAGACCACGGCCCGGAGATCTTTGCATGCTTTCGACTTGGTCAGGCTGGGGTACTGTGTGAGGGTGGTGAGCGTCTCGATCGTGATATCAAGCTCCTCATCGGAGACGACAGTCTGGAGATTTTTCGGCTCCAGGGAGCCTCCATCTGGCGGGGGTGTTAGAATCGAGTTGGTCTTAGTAGCCTTTTGCGGCACATCGACCTGATTGTTGCGCTTCCGCTTGGCAGATTTGGACTTGGCCATGGTTATGTGATTGTGCTGGAGAGGGGGAAATGGGTTGACAGGTTCTCAATCTGGGGATGGAGTCGATGCTGGGCGCAGGATTGTGGGGATGACTAACCCTTATCTGATTCTTGCCGAGGTTCTGGACCCACTTTTCGAAGATCCCAAACCTTCGAGTTTGTTGGACTTCGTTCTAGTGTTTGTGCAGGCCCAGAAAAAACTCGCATGGGTCACCAAAAAGTACATCGCTTGGGGTACCCCGCGGACGTGGTATCTTGAATAAGTATCGGAATAATGTCTCCCGCCACAATCTTCGCGAGTAGAGAAGGGGCGCCTCGAGACCGTTTTGACTGTCCCCCGAAGATATATCTCCACAGCAACAAATCAGAAGCATTGAGCGGGGCTGAAAAATGAGATGGTCTATGATTTACGATACTGTTACTTTGGCAGTGTATTGTCGAAGTCCGCCTCGGTACACGAATTCCATCATCTATACCAAGCCTAATCAACAAGGTGCTGCACAATAAGATCGACTTCCTCATCCACAACCTCGAAAAAATGCTCTGGTGGGTACTTAGAAGTCCAGCCGATCTGCTTGCCGTGTACAGCGTTGAACGAACATCTATCGTATATTTGTTAGCATTTTTCAACAACTAAACCAGGGTAAGGTGCATCTACATACTTCCCACCCAGGACCACCGGAACAACCGACGGTGGCACGCCAAGCGCCTCGCCCATTTGAGCCAAGACCGACTCATCTGCATCCATGACGACCTCATCGTCTACCACGTCGTGTTTAGCCAGTCCCTTAGCCATGGCAGCGTAGATATCGTTCCACGGCAGACTGCCTGAGGCAGCAAGAAAGAAACCGTTCTTTCCATACCCGATCTCGTCACCCGAGAGAACCTTGCGCAGGATCTGGAGATACAGGTCCGCGGTGTCAGCGACGTGGCTTACTGGCCAGCTCTAGAAATGTGTCAGTGGGTATCCCCCTTGAGATATACTCGGAAGAAAGATCGTTTCGCTTACCGGGTTATCGGTGTCCACTCGGTACACGCGATGCAACTTCTTCGCAGCCCGCACAATGTCAACATCCTGGATCGAAATCTGATTACCGAACCCTTCTCCTCGTCCATACACCAGACAGGGCGCGAAGATGTAGCTTCGTACTCCATGGACTTCTGACATGTCGATCACATTCAGATTGGCATTCGCTGGCTGTACGGACGCTTAGTACTTTCACATCATATGCTCAAATCAGAGGGTGCACACCTCAATGACGAACTCATGCGGCGGCGTCGCATTTTTGACGATGTTATACAGCTCGGGATCGGTGTCTAATAATGGTCGGTCGGTCGGGATGCCGGCATGGCGGCTGAATAGCTTGGCACCAGTGGTCTGCAAGAAATGTACGTTGAGATTCGTCTTTTGTTTGACGCGTCCCAGTGCCTTGATCAAGGTGGGCTGATGCTTTCCAGTAAAGGCATCGATCAGAAAGTAGATGATAGTGATGTTGTTGTCGACGATGAGCTGGGTGACGGTTTCATGGTCGTTGATGTTCGCTATCAAGGGTTCGGCCCCGTACTGTTTGACTTTCTCGCCTTGCTCGGGTGTCTTGACAAGGGCGTAGAGCGTGTTGTATGGCGGAAGCTTGGCGGTGTTCCAGCGGGCGAGGATCGTCCCCCCAAGATAGCCCGAGGCGCCGGTGATAAGAATGTTATGCGACATCTTCGAAATTCGGTTTTATAGATCGACTGATTCAGCACGGAATTGAGTCATGATTTTCTAGATACTTATATCCACCAAGAAGTACTTTTGACAGGACCCACTGCTGGTTTGTTTGTCAACCCGTCAATCAGCCTTGTGTTGCTGGTGCCTACATCGTACTTCAGGTTATCGATAAGCATTACTAATTGCGGAAACTGCGGATTTGTCATTCGACATTCGTTCTTACTCGGGGCATGAAATGTAACTTAGGCAACAACATATGACTAGGATTGACCCGATGTACTATAAATACATACTACCTGGGGCATGGAAAGGCATCGTTCGATTTCCAAGCAGGGGCAGAGCCTATCGTGCCCCGGCGATCCTCCGCAAAGAACAAACCCCTGGCATATACGACTTTGCACGAATTGACCATTCCGTCAAAGCGGCGACTCCCGTGTCGGAGTAATGTTAACTCAACATAAGCATATAGAACTGGTCAATATATCCTGGTAAATACAGCAATGAGAGCTTGCTCGAGCGAGCAGATCTATCCTTATCTTGGATGATCAGCAATAGACCGATGCCTCGAATCGAGATCTTAGCGCGTCCATACATAGAATTCCAGCAAAATGGCTAATTCACCTTACAGTGAACCAGTGTCTTTGTATCGCGTGTTTTGAATGTTTTCTGCGATTTCAAGTGTTCCACACTCTATAAATTTGCATTTCAGGTCATAGTCATTGGAGAACGGCATGAGCTTCTAGCACAATTTGGCCACACGACTAACAATTTACTAATTTACATACCTTGGCTCGACTCCCGTCAAAAACAACCACTAAGCCTCCGAGTACGGAATCATGAGATATCACAATGTACTACAATCTGGGAACCCCGCCACCACTCTTCGCTGCACTTTTTCATCTCTTTGCAGCACTCGACTGCTGAGATCCGCCACCCGAGCTGGTGGTTCCTTGCTGGGATGAACCAGAAGATGAGTATGCTGCGCCGGTGCTGGTGCTTGCTGAGCTAGCATGTCGGTCGCCGGCGGCTCGGGCCCGCGCTGCAAAACCACCCGAGGTCATGTCCCCCCGCCTTTGGCCTGCTCATGGATGAGATGCTGGATTGTCTGGCTCAACGGGAAGCTTTACCTGGCTGGATTGAATCCGCGAGCTATCGGACTTGCTCATGGGATTCGGCATATTGATCTTGATTCGAAAGTGCGAGATTCGGATTATTGTCGAAAAAGTGGTGTTTGTACAATGGAATGGATATTGCTAGGTGGGTTGTCTTTTTGTTTTTCTTCTCGATCTGAGACGGATTGCCGCTAGCTCTTATAATGTCTGAGCAGTGACCAAGACATTGAGTGTGTGTTCAGAATGATATCATGAGGAGAGGGGGACCTGAGACTTTAAGTGCTGTGCCCGTGGCGAGATGAATGTTCTAGGCAATCATCGACTGGTTCTGGCATGTGACACACAGTCTCACAAAGCAATCCACATGACCGGAGATTGTTCGTACAAACCAAGTGTGGTTTACCCTCGTCAGCCGAGTTCCACTAGGCCGTCTACTTCGACTGTCCTCAAGCTCCGCATATGTTTGTCCTTCGTCCTTGAGAGTCGACCTCTTTCAACCGACTGGTGACACCGTCTGCATAGGTCTGGCCAAGGCGTTGCACCTCAGGTACAAGCCTTTGGAAGGCACCACAAAGCCCGACTGAATGCACTACACCGAAACCCGTCTCTAATATATCAAGCCACGGAGCCCATTGGAATCTTCGACGCTGCAGAAATCATCGCTATCCACATAGAACTTGCGCATAATTTCTCGGATCTTGGGCCGTCTCCACACAATTATCACTTGCGGCTTCGTAGCTCAACGAAAAGAAGTACTAGTTGGACCCAAGTATCAGCCTAGTATACATCGAAAAGTCATAATTTGGACGCATTTGCTCACCAAGCTTTGGCTGTGGTGAAGTTCCGCATAATCTCCAATACGATCAAAATTGCATTGATGCCCGGACTTTATTCCTGACTTGAAGGAGAGTGACTTGGGCCATTCGGGTAAGATCCCATGCTCAACTCTTCTCAACCTTGCTGCTGAACAGAGAGTTGGCCGGCCAACGTGCCTGTGGCGATGTCCGCGCAAGAGAAGGTGCAAGTTTGCAGCGGGCGTACTGGCAGAGGGGACGATGCGGGGAGTCTATGGAAGCGGCTTGCGTCAGTCAGAGTCATCCAAGAGGGGGTCCAGCACACCCTTCCAATGCAGTTCCACGGTACCTGAGGCGAGGTGTATACGCGGGGAACATGGCATCACCATCGAGCCATTATCAGGCTACGCATCATTGAAAGACGTTGTATGATGCCACACTCTCATTCTAGAAGAAGAAGACTTTAGCTGATGAATATATCGTGGATGTCATGGACTACCGACGATTCCGTAACACCACAACGATTCATCCATCTTTCTGTCGACTGCCATGTGAACCAATACTAGGTTGGCTCCGGTAAAGGAGTGCGATTCAAGATGCAGTGGTTTCTATATCGGGGTAGAAGAATGCTGCTCTGAAGCTTTTGAGACATTTCATCCATCATAGTAATTTCTACTCTGTGTTTCCGTGTCGAATAATGACAGGAGCAGGATTAGGAAGATCATACAACTAAAGAAGGCTCGCTTGCTAGGATAGAAAGTGTCTGGACTGGTAGCCGGGGAAGACCACTGCCATCTATTACTGGGTTGTAATCCAGATTTGAATTGCTAGTTCATTACCGCTGTACATCACAACAACAGAATTCGGCGAAGGGAAGACGAAAGGTGCATGAGAACAAAACAAGTACCTTTCAGTCCTCATTTCTGCTGAGGTAGGCCCCGTCCCAATCCCTCGCAGTCATAACCGATAGGCGCTGAATGGATTGCATCGTCAGAGAGGAATGGTCGTCATCGAATCTATAACACAGTAAGATGAGATCTCTGATAAAATCACTGAACATGAGTCCACATACCAAATCCTGAGAGCCTGGCCCACGGTTTCGATAACTGATTGTCTTCGTTGCCTTTTTTGTCTTCGCTATTTTCGATGTCTTCGATGTCTTTGATATCTTCATCATCTTGGCCAGGGGCTGGCAATACTGGTTCTGGCCAGCCTGGTAGTCCCATCTTGACCCGCTTCCAATAGGTGTACGTCCCGTAATAGTAGTAAGGAAATGCCTTATGAAGCTTCCCTTCCACAGCGTCCTGGGCCTAGAGAAGTTTCAGACCCATCAAACGCAGAAAAAGCAATTTTAATACATACCAGGCCGTCCACAAGCTCATTTATCAAGGCAGCCTCATCCTCAAACCACTCTTTCTGCCTTTCTGTCAGGGGCTTGTTCTCCGGAAACACCATCGCCAAATCGAAGTCAATCCAAAGCACTCGATCCGTGTCTCCGGAGCAGACCATCATATTCCTCGGGGCAATGTCACCGTGCAATATCATCGCCGCGTTGATCTCGAACAGAACGTTCCGCAACGTCTCCGCCCTTGACTTGGTGTAGTTGATGAGTTCAAGTTGTTTCATGCCGGGGACGTACTCAATCAGGATCGCTTTTGGAGGCAGCTCGTCGTCAGTGAACATGTGCAAATCAGGCCACAGTGTCAGGCCCGTTAAGGTCAAGTAGCCGTAGTAATCAGGGATCACTCCTCGCGCGCAGAGTCCCTTTGCTTTTAAGCGTTCGTAGGACGTCACCTCGCGCATGCACATGCTGATTTCAATATCTGGATCATCCCACTCCTTCCTAGTATATTCATGAAACTAGGTGCTGTTAGATTGACAAGCAGATCGAAGAGAACTGACTGTTGCAACTCACCACTTTCATAACACAGTCCATTCCGTGCACAGCGACTCTGAAAATCATCGAGCTCTCACCTTCCTTGAAAGTATCAAGAAAGGTGACATCAGAAGGCGAGAGCTCGAGCTCATTTGAAGCCATATCTAATGAAGTAGGATAGAGCTTCATGTAAGATTGATGACATGCAAGTGAAAGTGACGATCATGGAGACATGTAGAATGTAGAATGAAGTGAAAGGCGGGCGCTTGATTTCTTTCGGAAGTCAACTTGGTGCCCCAGGCATCTGATTGTTCCGACCCACCAAGTTTCAATCCACCTTCCCATTCACTGTATTTTGGATATAACCTTTCCACGTGGCCTTTTCAGTAATATCAGGATATCATCTACCTGATGGCATATACTGCATCTATATCTGTAGTTATCTGACTTGGCATAGTTCTAGCAATGTTCAGATGATAGGGGGGTTTCAGTCTTCCACCGCTCAGCCGAAAGAGCTGTCGGACGTCGGTCCAGCCGATGGTTTACTCTCTAGAATTCAGGATCCTGTCACACTCTCCTAGAAATAGGATATTCTCTGAAGCTGACTACGTGGACTCTAGATATCTTATATATAAGGATTCAACGCTTCTGTAAGGTCAAAGTAGCACTACTCTTAACAGTAAAGCTCTTTTTCCTGGGGCCGTTGCCTGGCCCAACCTATAGCCAGGTTAAAGTTGTATTGTTACTTCCTACAGTATAATTCTATATTTTATGCTGTCGGAATCATGGATAGCATACTGACAACTAGTAAGAATAGTTTATTAGTCTAGCTAGTGTACTGTAGTTATCGAAGGGGTTTATGGTTAAAACCCGTGTCATCAAAGTGTTGTGAATTAAGGGTCCAAAAACCAATCTTAGCGATCTGCAGCGAGCATCCCCAGATCTCATAGCCCAAGCAGAGTAGTCAATCGTGGACTCGACTCAGTACCACTAGTTGTCCAAGGCACTGGAGTTGATACTTGCAGGTTACCCTGATCATCAATTTGACGGACCGCGAGAAGTTCTTTATCCGTGAGGATGAATCCATGGCGTGCATGATGCTGAACCATATAGTAATTACCTGCGAAAGGACTTTTTTGTATTCTTGTTGTTTATTGGGATTAGAACTTCTCGCCATTGCCGCACTCCATTTGTAGGAAGGCTTCACATCGCCGGGCAGTCTGTTGGGCCGTGTATGACTAGAAAGACGTGGCTCGTATAAGGCGAGATCTGGTGTGCATCTATCAATCCGAGCCGCCACCACGTCATCCCTGTGATTCACAATGCTGAGTTGAGCTCTCTGTGCTGGATCTGAGTGTGCAAAGCCACAGCGCAAAGCGTCTTGCACCCTATCCATAAAGCACCGTGTGATTCGGCTACGCACAGATTCCTCTGTTGTGAGGCCCTCCATTGGGCGATCGCGGCGGAAATCATCATTTCGGAGTTGGGAAGTGGTAAGGAGTGTGCCGTATCATCTCAAGATTGTTCGAAGGTTGAAATCACGCCATATGCCAACACTGTTGTTATCCCTGTAGCCATATCTACCAGAGGCACTTGTTGTGTTGCTCGTGCTCGGATTCTGAATATCAATAGAAACAGCATCTGGCCCCTGTTGCAAGAATGCCATCAGTGAGATCGGGGGCTGTACCATCTTAGCGGCTGGAAACGGACCCCACCCTGCACGAGTAGCAGTGGTGGGGCTAGCAAAACTTTCTTGGAATGGAGGTATAAGATTCTAGGCTATCTGTAAGCTTTGCAGCAAGAGGGAATTAGGAAAGTGGTTTTGGAGGTGTATAGACGTAAGGAAGAGGTGAGAGGTAACGTCAAAGGAGATTAGAAGAGCCATCCCTGGGTGGAGCTTTAATTTACTAGTTCTACAGACAATTCTCGCCCTGGGTTACAATTCACTAAGTCCCCCTATGTATTTCAAGAGAGTGAATATCTGTTGAGCTAGGGATCTACTGTTTAGTACAGGGCCTACAGTATACAGACTGGGTGAGCAAGGCCGCTTCTGCAACCAAGGTCTTTCCTGCTCACAAGGCCGTCCATGTGAGCGAGGTCACTCCTACAAGTGTGGAATTGTGTGAGAATTCCTGCGAGTGAGGCCTCACAGGAAGAAAGCGGCGCATAACAGCAAAAGCAAGCACAAATGATATAATCTGTCTTCGGCAAGCCACCCGAACTTCTAATCAGTGTGCTTCAAAGCCTGTGGAATCTACCAATTAACGCAGCCAGCCCCTTGTCCCCCGATGGCCAGTCCCTGGTAGGCCTCAGCGCCTAACATGCTTTGCAATAACAGCAAGTACAAATTTTACGTCTACCAGATCTTTAGTAGTGTTGTAGAAAGTGACGTATGCTTCCAGAGACTAATCAAATACTGGAGTTCATATACTTAGAAAGAGATACAAAGTAGTCCCCGCCCAGTCACATGACTGCCACGTTACCATGACACTTACACCGAGACTCTTCTCTCTTATAGTCCAGAAGTTGCCTTTCATCGGCTTGTCCGACACGAATTCTTATCAAGGATTACAGGTTTCAATTCATCGTGTTAGCAGAGGTTGAGAATGGACATCCAAGTGACTCTCATGGAATTCTTGCAGCGTGGGTTTGAATCGCCTGCCTGCATAGACTCCGCCAATGAAACATCGTACAACACACGAAGCCTTTATTATCAAGCCGAAGACATCGATTACACAAACCAGTGGGCCGAGTTCAACAATCTATCAATCAAAGAACAGTACGGTGCCTTGCTACAATCAACCAAAATCACAGTATACAATGATTTCTTCTCGCCTCAGTCCCCCCCGCAGCCTGTCGTCACCAATGAACTCGTCTGTTGGCGCGTATGGCAGCACATCATGCCCCGAGCTGCACGCGCCCTTCGCTACGGATTCAAGTCGCTGAGCATGAAGAACCCCTCATCTGCAATGAAAGCACTGATACATGACGGCGGAACTGCAGGCTCGACTCCTGACCACTTTGCATCAGACCTAGGCTTCTTCGATGATAGCCTTCCTTTTGAGACAAGATCGAATCGCGCCCCTGGAGTATGCCAGCTATCAAGCAGATGGTCGTTCGCGCTGCACAGCCATCCGAACCCGACTAAGCGACGAGAATTCAAACAGCTTTTGTCACAGGTCAATTGGTATATGCGGCAGCATCACACGCGCTATGGGTTCATTTTGACAGACCGCGAGTTTGTGGCGATTCGGCGGCTGGATGGACCTGGGAAGGGGCATTTGGAGCTGTCAGATCCGGTTTCCTGGGAGGCTTCGGGCACAGTGTCTGACCCCCGACTGACGATTCTTCTCGGGCTTTGGTATCTGGGGATGCTTGCTGCTGATGAGGAGAACTGCTTTTTCGAGTGAGCCAGCCGGATTTCAGTAGTCATGTTCTGGGGAGTTTGCTGTCATTTAACTTCGAAGCTTTTGGGTGGCCTTACTTTTAGATTGATGTGCAGTTGTGGATTCTGATTGGCTAGATTCTCGCTTCGGGCACGTGTTCAGAGTTGCTGTTTGGGCGGTCGCTGGCAAGCTGCTGAATCTCACATTTCACTTCTTTATGCTGAAGCAGCCAGTCTGTGTTGTGAGGTTCATCTGAACCTGTCTCTCTTGCCCGAAGTGATCTCGGGCCACGCGGCTTGCATGACAGCTGGTCGCTGGCCGAATAGCTTTCCATAATCAGCTTCAGCCTCATCAAACTATGTTAACAGTGTCGGGTACATCGGGTTTGGCCTTAATTCCGAAACCAATCATCCCACTATTTCACATGCAGTTTGATCACCGCTTCCTGCGACATGTCTTATGTGCATAGGCCCTGCCATAAGCACGGCTTCACCCCTTCACGTGTCTCCCGTTCGGCGCGTCCATGCAGCTTTCTCCGTATCTGCAACCCATCTCAACACGGCTATCACGAGGCCGAGATCTGAGACCTCAGGCGCCAGATCAACCGAGCGCCCCGGAGCCCCCATCATCATCTCACTTCCATGCTTTGACCCGAAAAGTATAATCCATTTTTGAAGAAAATTTTATGTTGACCGCACTTCCGCTCAGGACTTTTCACTCGAGCCGCATCGACCCAGACACTTCACCAGCGAATACGAAGTATCCAGCAGGGTATACCCCGGGTGTCCCAGTAGACACGCATGATTCATCTCCCTTTTTTTACCGTCCAAAATTAGGTTTCGGCGAACCCTTCATTGCAGGGTTGATGACAAAACATCGGACCCCGCTGGAATGGATACGATGGCCATCAGTCAGCCAGCGGTTGGGCACTGACATCACCACCTCATGCCAAAGCTCAAGCACACAACGAGCTAGCGACTGACAGCTCGACTATCACCACCCGTCTCCATGGATCGGTAACTCCGGGGGTTAAACCGACGACCCCCCTGCACATTATAGCAAATTAAGGTTCTGGCGTGGCCAGCATGGTGCGGCTGTAGAGCTTAACTCCGGAGGTGGATTTCCAATCCGCCAGCCCGCCCAGAGAGCATTCGATGCATCGAGGAACAGCCTCGTCCGGGGGTCTCGTACTATAAAGATGCTCGATACGGTCGCATGCTTTTGTTGTGTGGTCGATACAAATCGGTCTCATCATGAGAAATATGCACTTTTGATCTAGTGCTCCCATCTTCAACAACAGGTATCACCATGAATAGTCTGATCCGCGATGCCCCACTGGGGCAAGTGATTCGATGGGTGACCAAGAAGAAGTACTTCAAATACCCCGAAGAAGAGGCAGACTTTGTTTTCCCTCCCGAACACTTGCAGGGCCTCGCGCGCCTCGGCGTGCCGGGCATTAAAGCCCCACAGGGGAGCCGCCCGCAACAAAGCGAACAGAGCAGCTCCATTTTTCACAACCAGCTCGCTGATCAGGACCCAGAAAAGCTTCTGGACAAACCAATTCCGGATGATAAGAGCGAGGCTGACACGCTGCCCCCGGATTTCGTGATGGTGGATTGGTACGGGCCGGACGATCCAGCGAATCCCCAGAACTGGACTCAGACGAAGAAGGCATTTGTGGGGTTTATCATATTTCTCTACACGTTCATTGTATACGCAGGGTCTGCGATTTATGTCTCGTCTGAGGAGGGGGTCATGGAGGAGTTCGGCGTTTCCACCACGGCGTCTGCGCTGGGGCTGTCACTGTATGTGTTAGGGTACGGAGTGGGGCCTCTCTTTTTCTCTCCACTGTCGGAAGTCCCGTCCATCGGGCGTTCCCCGGTCTACTGCATTACTATGTTCTTGTTTGTGATCATCTCCATTCCGCTGCCACTGGTCCACAACTTCGGAGGACTGCTGGTGCTCCGCTTCTTGCAGGGCTTCTTCGGAAGCCCTTGTCTGGCTACGGGCGGGGCGACGATGCAGGACATCTACTCGTTGCTCTACCTACCCTTCGCACTCAGTGCCTGGGTCACTGCAGCCTACTGCGGACCCGCTCTAGGCCCGTTAATCTCGGGCTTTGCCGTCTCCGCCATGGGATGGCGATGGTCGCTGTGGGAGATCCTGTGGGGAGCCGGCCCCGTCTTCATCCTCATGTTTCTTCTGCTGCCCGAGACCTCCACCCCTACGCTGCTCCATCAACGAGCCCGTCGTCTGCGCAAGCTGATCGGGTCCAGCCATCTTAAATCGCAGTCAGAGATCGTCCAGGCCCAGCTGAAACCGTCCGCCATCATCATCGACGCCATCATCAAGCCCATCGAAATCACCATCAAGGACCCGGCCATCCTCTTCGTGCAAGTCTACACAGCCATCGTCTACGGCATCTACTACTCTGTACGTTACCCTTCCCCCTCCCCTTCCCCCTCCCCCCTCTCCAACCAATACTAAGTATCTCCTCAAAAGTTCTTCGAGGTCTTCCCCCTCGTGTACCCGCCCCTCTACAACTTCACCCTCGGCACAATCGGCCTCGTCTTCCTCTGCGTCCTCGTCGCCTGCCTCCTAGCGGTAGCCATCTACTTCGCCTACCTCCTCTACTACCTCATCCCACAACTGCTACGAGGGGTCCCGAAAACCCAAGAAAGCCGGCTCGTCCCCGCGCTGATTGGGTGCTTCGGCCCGCCCATCGGCCTGTTCTTGTTTGGGTGGACGGCCAACCGCCACATCCACTGGATCGTGCCCACGATCGGCATCACCATCTACGGCAGCTCGGCGTTTATCGTCCTGCAGTGCGTGTTCGTCTACGTGCCCATGTCGTACCCGGCCTACGCGGCAAGTCTCTTCGCGGCCAACGATTTCTTCCGGTCGGCCATGGCGTGCGGGTCCATCCTGTATGCGCGCCCCATGTTTCTGAATCTGGGGATCGGGAAGGGGGTGAGTTTGCTGGGAGGGTTGAGTACGTTGGGCGTGATTGGGATTTTTGTGCTGTATTGGTATGGGGCGAAGTTGCGGGCGAAGTCGAAGTTTGCGATCTCTTGAGTGCGGTGCGGTGGGGTTGTTTTGGGGTGGGGGATAAAATAATGGGTTTGGGTGTGGTGGTGGGTTGAGAGGGTTGTGTGTTTGGGTTAATGCTAATGGATAAGTGGTAAATACCTTTTTGTCTTGGAGATACCTAAAATGACTATCTGATTTGTGTTCAACTTATACCGTGGAGTTGGGAGTTTGTTGAGGGTGGACGTTGCCCTGCATTGGCAGAGATGGATTTCCTTGTGGTGACGGATATATCGGGACCAAATATGATTTTTTCATAACACTGTTCCTGTCCTACAGAAGATTATACTGAATTCTAAGTAAGTGATTATTCCTCAGCTCCATTCACAAGAATTAGAAATTCCACGTGCGAGTCTGGAATTTGTCTGGGGCACATTTGCCTCAACACGAGCCACCCCGGCAATGCAATGGTGATACCCAGCAAGAGACTCGAATGGGGGCGGGGCACGTTCAGGTACGGCGACCCCGTCGCTCGAATATTCCAGATTGAGAACACAAAACATGAAAGTTGATGGATTCTGCAAGAGTCTGCAGCCAGAATGGTAAATTTGAGCGAGGACAGCTGCCTGCAACCTCCGGTCTAGACTGCTTCCCCGCTGCAGGAACGGGATCCCTCATGGAGAAGGGAAAAATACCCGACGGCGGAGATTCTTCGAGTCAAAGCTTTGATGTAGTGGGGTCAGTGGATATGGACCATAGATGTGGATCGCATACTTGGATATGTGTTTTCATCGTGAGTTCACGATTTAGAGGCTGGCTGTAACACAGATGAAATAACTAGAGCAACGTTACGATATAGTGTGGGCTGGGGAATGTCAAGATCCAGATACTATCATTCAACCCTCCTGCCAAGACCTTTTACCCCTGCAGCATGTAAGAACTAGCATCGTGCAGTAGTTGATACGAAGGAGTCCTCAGCAGGTACGCTGTCCGGCCAATCTGCTCCCAGATCTGATCTGAGAACTTGGATGGCATGCACGTTCTAATGCAGGAGACTGTGTTCATCGGCAACGGATACCATTCGATCTATCTGGTTTCACACGCTATATCACTATCACATCTTCATAGTCGCAGCGCAAAAGCTGACCTCCAGCTGGAGAGGCTGAGGAGTGTAGTCTCAGCCAGCCACGAGGACGGCTTTTGAGGGAGACACATGCATCAACAGAGCTGAAAGGAGTCGAGCGACAAGAGTGGGAAATATCTACCGAAGACGAAGCTATATAAGAGGGGTCAACCAGACCAGAAATATCGCTTTCATCATCATCGCATTCAAGCTTCTCTGTAGCAATTTTCTCATTCTCTCTCTCTTATCACCTGCGTCACACATTTTTAATTCTCCTTTTGCACCACAACTAACATCATGCCTGTCGTCGCCGCCACCTGGACGCTGCAAAGCACCCCCTCCCAAGCAGCCGAATCGTGCTTCGGCCTGCAGCAGGAGGGCGGCGAATCCGTCTTCGAAGACGAGCGCCAACTTGTGGATTCAATGCATCTTGCCCCGGGGGGCAAGTACCGCTGTAAGACCACTATCCCAGCCCCCTCTCTTTTTCCTTACCAGATACTGACCTAAAGCCTCCCTCCCAGCCATCGTCAAACTCTTCATGCACTACGCCGGCCAGTCTCCTAACGACACCCGCTACGCGATGGGCACGGGCTGGCTCATCCGGGACGATCTCCTGGTGACGGCGGGCCATTGCGCCTTCGACTGGAAGGAGGGCTTCGGCCGGGCCAACGAGGTCAAGGCCTACATCGGCTACAACGGCAAAGGGTCGATCGACAACCCGTCGGCGAACGTGCAGTTCCGGCACGGGGTCCGCATCGTCACTACTGAGGGGTGGCTGCAGTCGTCCTCGAACCGCCACAACGACGTGGCCTTCATCCAGCTGGACCGCCCCTTCACGGCGGTCACCCCGTTTCAGTTCTCCGACACCCCCGTGGCGGGCTCCGACTCAATTGGGGTGGTAGGATACCCCGGCGATATGCGGTACAAGGGCGAGCCGGGCGCGCAGATGTACGAGGAGTTCAAGGCCGTCCAATGGAACCGTCAGGCGGCTGCGAATAACATGCTGGAGTATCGGATCGATACTTACAAAGGTAGACACCCACGACGGATCCCTTAACCTCGTTTGAACCTCATCTAGATCCTGCTAACAATGCCCTTGATGACAGGCCAATCCGGCTCCCCCGTCCTCCTCGCAAACCAACCCCACATCTCCATCGGCGCCCACGTCTACGGCGACGTAGGCAACAACTCCGCCAGCCCAATCAGCAGCACCGCCACTACCACCGATAGCCTCCTCCTCGGCAACCCCTACGCAGACTACATCAGCGTCTTCGAGAGCTCCCAAACCTACCCCGTTCAAAAATCCGACCTGCAAACCGGCATCCAGTATTTGGTGGTCGATCGCCTCGGCGAGCGCCAGACCCGCACGGCCGAAGAGAACTTCTGGGACGACCTCAAAGATGTCCTGCACGTCGGCGCACCCATCGTCTCCGGCGCCCTGACGACCGTCAGCCCGTTCCTGGGGTCGATCGGGGGCTCCGTGGCGGCGTTAGCCGGGACGGCCATCTCCGCCGCGGCGCAGAAGTGCGCGGAAAGTGGGTTCGTGGATTCCACTCCCACCACTACTGCTGTCAATGGTCCCAGCACGACCCTGTCTGGGGTAACTTCGTCCCCCGGCTCTGCACAGGAGAGCATTCTCGCCGAAGCAGCCCTCCAAGCCTTTCTCAAGGCGGACGCGGAGAAGATGAAGGAGCTGGGGATTAGCACGAAGATCATGGTCGAGTACCAGAAGGCGGCGGCGGACGCGGAGGCGGTGGCGCCCCGGCTTCTGCCCGCAGTGGTCATGCCCGCCGCGCTGCAGGTCGTCCAGGATGTGCTGGCGGGCACCAGCACCGAGTCCGCCATGGTCACCTTCGGGACGGCGTCGGCGGCCAAGGTGTCTGCGCTGCGGGCGACTTCATCATCTTCGATGGCCTCGTTCACCGCCACGATGGCAGGTGAGGACAGGGGACCCGGCGCTGACCCCTTCACTACACGGCTGGTCCGCGCGGCGCAGCAATCATCCGGAGACGAGAGTTTCTGGAGCACGTTTAGCACGGTGCTATCGGCGGCGAGTCATGGGGTCGGCGCCGTGCAGACGGGTCTCTCGGTCGTGAGTCAGTTGATCCCCTACGCTACGGCCAAGGGGGCAGAGAGTGCGTTTGATACGGCAATCGAGGAGGAAACGCCCATGGACCAGCAGATGAAAATCCTGGGTCGTCGCGCGCTGCTGGCCGGGGCAACCTTGCGCGTGCTCCGCGATCTGCCCGCGAGTCAGCTGGAGCAGCTCGAACAACTTCCTCTTCCGGCCTCTGCACTGCGGCAGGAGAGCGCGCACGCGCAGCATCTTAGTGTCGGGGACTTTGAGGCGGGTGAGGAGAGCTTCTTCACGGCGATCCAGTCGGCGGTGCAGAAGATCGGGCCCTCGGTCATGAAGTACGCCCCCGTCGTGGTCTCGGCTGTGCGGCCGGTGATTGCTGCGTTGGCGGCGCCGAAGTTGCAACAGCAGCAGGCGGAGGCGATGGTGACGGAAGCTGGCAATGGGAAGTCGAGCTCGCGCGGATCGAACGGGCTGGTGGTGCCGCGCGTGGTCCGGAAGAAGACGAGTCAGAGCTTCTATGATCGGGTTATGGGGACGGCAAGTCCGACGAACGGTGAGTTTCTGGATGTTCGACGGGGTGTGAGTGTGAGCTGACCGTGATTTGTGCAGGTGTTAGTGTCCGTACTGCCGTCGTGTGAAAGGATTGAGCTGGTTGTGGGTTGTCGATTTGGTGAGAGCAAGATAAGTGATGATGCTAATCGGGATGGGCTGTACTGGGAGGATTGATCTCAGCTACGCCGGGCGATGTTTCGATATTATGGTTTTATGTGATTGATATGATCTTACGTTCTATGGATATGCCGTGTATATCCCTGGGCACCGTATTGCGGCTACGACTTGTTTTGATATCTGATTTGGATGTTTTTCGTGATCAAGCTGGGCATTCTTCATGACCATGGCAAAGAACCTTCAAAATCTGGCCATTCTCTAATTGTTTTCCCGTTCGAATCTGTCAAGTCCTCTAATTCTAGGCGAAGATCGTCATGCTTTATTGCTACTCCTCGATAACAGGAAAGAATTGATAGATTAAAAACATGGGCGTACGAGGGGCTGAACAGATCGTGCGATAAATCACATACTCATGGAAGATTGAAGCTACCTTGATTGCAGAACCGGCCTAAACGAACGCGATCAGGTCACACTGTAGGACACTCAGCAATCCTTCGTCCACGCTTACATCCCTCGGAAACTGTCAACACCGCTTATCTCTCCCCGATTGAGCTCCTCAAGCATGTTCTGCACCCATTTCGTCATCGTCTCCTGATAAACCTCCTCTTTCTTAATAAGAGGATTCCCGGGATTCGTCGACTTCCCCAAATACGCCCTTCTCATTCAAATCGGGTCGCTCGTGCTTCAAAAGGTAAACAGCCAGGTAGTACAGCGTCACGCTATTGGTGATCAACAGCCCCCCAGCACGGCTTACAGGCTGCTGCTGCCGCCGCTCCACACCCCCTCCAGCAAGCCCATCCCAACAAGCCTTCCACGCGTGCAGCGCGCGCTCCATCGCCGACAGATCCACCGGCAGAATGGAAGTCTGCGCCTCGAGCAGTAGCGAATGCAACGCCAAGACCAACATATTCAAATCCCACGCCGTCAGCCTCGAAGCCGTCGACGCCTCCCGCCCCGCCATCAACCCCTTCACCGAGGACTGGAAGCAACTCGACGGATCCTGCGGGGGCAACGCCGCCCACCCCGCTGCCAACCAGGCTGCCCAGCTCGCCTCGTCGCACGGGAACGACGCCCGCGTCTCCTGCGGCGAGAGCAGCGACTTGCTCCCGCAGAGGAGGGCCTGGTAGCAGTCGACGGCGTAGACGCCCCACAGCACGCGCTTGCGCGACTCCTTGCCGATCCACGTCTCCCACGCGCGCGCACTCCGCGCGGCCAGCGTGCACTCGCCGTGGACCTTGAGCAGCCCCAGCTGTCGGATCGTGGCGACCAGGAGCGGGTGCAGCAGCCGTGCGGCGGCGCGCTCGGCGCTGCCGCCCTTGGCTGTGCTGGCGCATTGGCTGAGGACTAGAGCTTGGAGTTCGGCGAGGTTGGGGTCGGGCTTGGCGACGTCTGGAGAGCGCAGGCAGGTTTTGGCGAAGAGGGAGGGGAGGGAGCTCGTTTGAGCATCGTTCAGACCTGTTAACTGTTGAAGCTTGTGAGTAATCTACAGAGCCTGATTTGAAGCGAAGAAGACTTTTATTTGTTATGCGGGTATGGCTATGTTCCGCAGCTCGTTTGAGTAGTGACCATGCGGTCGATGAGCCAGTCAAGTAAGTTTGCACGTTTTGCCAAACACAGCCATGAAATCGTCAATCTCGACGATGATGTCTTCCACCATGCTGTCCTCCACGGGGTCGACGACCCTCTTCTTCATCGGCCGTAGGTCCTCGCGTCCCCGAACCTATAGACGAGGAACCGCGCCCCGAGTCGCGACCGCTTCTGCGACCCCTGGAACGATGACTAGAGCGGGCCCCGGTAGATGTTGTCTGTCGCGAACCGGCAGGGATTCTGCCCCTCTCCGATGGAGTGGCAGGTGGCGCCGCGGGGCCAGGAGACCGTAAGAGAGGGGGCACACGGGGGGGCGGGGCGAGCTTGGCAATGACCCCGTTGATAAACTGCCGGGGCAAGGGCTGCAGGAGCGAGCCCGTCATCACCTTCCGTCCGGTCTCGACGTAACGCTGGGAGAACAGCTGCCAAAGTCGCTCGGAGTAGCGGTCGTTTGTGAAGGGGCGGGGGCAGTAAGGTTCGTTATCGACAAACGCCTGCACAGCGCGATTGACGCCCTCGGTGTCCATTGAGATGGTCCGACAGGCATCAAAATCCAGCATCCAGAGACTCACTATGCGCTTTTTGAAATTCGGGACACGATTGGTCGCGCGTTCGAGTGTACTGGTTCCTGGGCGGAGACGCGTGACGTCCCGGAGGAGCACCGGGCGGCGGACCGCGTTGAGGTCGAAGGGTGTGCTTCCTAGGACAAACTCCACGTCCATCGCGTCAATGCGTGCGTGCCAGTGCAGGATGGCGAGCGCGTCGGCCATACTGGTGGCGTATGCGTCTGCATCCAGGTCGAGTTCCTGGATCTGGTCGACGTGAAGCTTGTAGTTGCGCAGCGAAAAGAAGCGGCTTCCGCCCGGGAGCGAAGACCCGTAGCGCTTGCGGCCGAGCATCAAACGGATCAGACAATCCTTGTTCGCACTGGAGCTTCTCGCTGCAGTGATGTAGTTCGGGTTGCAGAAGAGGTCGATGAGTGCGTCCCTGATCGGTTGGGGCAGCGGGAAAATCCTTTCCATGCACAGGATCTCGCGAGGGCGACGAGGGAAGGTCGGGTCATCGGGGAAAAGGTGAAGGTTTTCGGGCCAAAAGTCGGCTTCTTTATTCGCATACCAGGCCACTCGGGGAATTTCCAGCCCGCTGGCATCATAACCTAGCTGGTCAAAGCTGTCCTGGATTCGGAGGTGCATCAAGTAGTTGTTCCAGAGCTTATCAGTGCGATCGATTAGGAGGACCTTGAAAGCCCATAGTGTGCCCCCCTGCTCGAACACCTTTCCGATCGAGCCTGTCCCGATTTCGCGAAAGGGGGCATTGCAGCCAACTGCTGCCTGTTGTCGTTCGGCGAAGGATGATGAGGTTGATACCGCGGATCGAGTGGAAAGAAGTCTCTTGAGTCGAGCTTGCGGGGACTCGAGCTCGTCTTGCTCCAGGCGCTCCTCGAGCCGGAGGTTTTGCTGCATCGCATCTTGCAGTGAGCTCGTCCAGGAAGTATCTGTACCTTGGTTTTCGCGGCGACTCGCCATTTTTAGCTGTGAGTAGGGAGATGTTGATTGCGTCAATAGAGACTTTCACCACGGACGCTGAGTAGGATAAGAGCGAAGGAACGAATTCTATACAGGGACATGGTGTAAAGGGAAGAAACACAGAATGGATCTGAAATAATTGAGATCATTGTGGAGGAGTGGGGTGTTGTATCAAGCAGTAACACAGTCAGGCACCACCATTCACTTTAAGCTCTGAATTTCACTTGCTCGACTCCACAAGCTCGACAAATTGACAAGCCAGGTTGAATATAACATCGACCCCATCCTTATAATAGATGCGGGCAATCTTTCCAGTAGCACTTAGATATTGATCGCGGAAGGCAGGCCAGTGTGCCGTGTGCGGCCGTGGACAAAAGGGGTCGTTCTTGAAGAAAGCCTCGACAGCTTGCTGAACGCCTTTCAGGTCCATCGAGATGAAGTGACACAGGTCAAAGTCCACGACCCACATGGAATGTGTCCCCAGAATATTTGTGATGATGTTGGTGCCGTCGTTACTACTAGTGGTGTCCATGACTCCGTTGTGCTCGGTGCTGACAACAGTTGGCGACATTGGAGCCAAAACAAATTCGACGTCGTTCGCATCCATCTTCGCAACCCAGTGGAATGTGGCGAGTGCTTCGCCCATGATGCCCGCATAGCAGTCGACATCCTCGGTGCTAATCCCCAGTTCCGCCATCTGGTCGACATGTAACGGGAAGTTGCGGAGGGAAAACCCTCGGAATCGCGATCGGCCGTTCAACGCCGTGCTGTAGGTGCGCTGCCGGCCGATGTACGGTCGGATGAGGCAGGCTTCATTACTGGCGCTGTGGAGAATGTCATGGCGAATCTCAGGAGGACAGTACCTGTCCACGAGAAGACGTCTGGTGTGCTCGGGAAAAGGTGGGATTCGCTCAGACAGGATCGCATTACAGGCTGTGTATCCATCTGGGAACCATCGGAGATTTGTATCCCACCAGGACTGGTCCTGTGGGGTGATGTATTTGTGACACTGAGGTATGCGCGCTTGGAGCTGCGTCGAGGAGTTCCTCATGTTGCGCTTAGCGTATGAAAAGCTTAGGAAAGCCGCGTAGGCTCGATTGTGCATTGTGAAGTCGTTGGCGAGTGATCGAGAGGGTCCTCCATCTTCTCGCTTGACGGCAGGCCCTGTTGGACTTCGTGCCCAGACCGTGCCGCAGAAACCTGCGCCGATCCTTTGATAATCGTCTTCAGAGTCAAGGGAAGTAGCCATGGTGTCTAAGATATTTGGAGTGATTGTAAGAGGAACAAGAGTTTGGTTTCGAGACTGGTATCACGAGGTGAGGTCTGAGTCACGGGATGACCACTTCGCGCGTCATATTTTACCGTTGCTTCGTTATGTGACTTGGGAGTGATCGGAAGTCAAATCCCGGCCACGGTAAGCAGACCAAACCGGTCTGACAGAATCCTCATTCATCCAATGACTTCGACCACTCTGTCGGCCATTTTAGGTAAACGCCAATCCCGAAACCACCTACAGAGCAGGTACACGAACCAGCTGGTACTCGGCGTCTCTGATCAAGCACTCACTGCAGTCTGGAAACCTCGATCATAGCGCAAACCTGCATTTGCTAAGAGATTCACATCCCTGTTGCATGCTGTCGAACAGACAAGTCACGAGGTATGAGTCCAAAAAAACTTTATTATGCTAAGCCAGCCTTGCGCGGCCGTGGTCTCGTAGTATGTTGGCGATATCCTGGTCTCCATACCTCTCTGCCAAGGTTAGGGGTGTTTGCCCTCCGATATCCGTGATATTTATGTCTACATTCTTCGCAGCCAGCAGTAACTTGATGATCTCGAGGTTCCAACGTAAAACCGCCTCCATCAAAGGAGTCTGTCCCCTCAGATTCTGGCAATTGACATTTACCCTCTCCGAGGCCAGGAGAAGACGTACAATGCTCGTGTATCCAGCACGAACGGCTATGGAGATTGGGGTTACCTTCCGAGGACCAGTGAAGTCGGGATTGGCGCCGGCGGCAAGCAGTAGCTCCACGCCGTCCACACTACCCGCCTTGGTGGCCATAAGAAGAGGAGTGTACCCGCTGGCTCCCGTGATCTCTGTATCGACAGCCCCGGTTTCAAGTAGAGTTTTAATGACTGGAACGTGACCACGATGGGTCGCATCCCACAACGGCGTCACACCTTCCCAATTCCTGTGGTCGGGGTTGGCCTCACCCGTGGCCAGCAACATGCGAACAATCCCGTCCCGTCCGCTCTTTGCTGCTCGGCTGAGGGCCGTGTCTCTATCGTACTCGCGGATTGCATCGACATCGATGCCGTCGCATGCCAGCAGCCGTGCAACAACCCCTTTGTGTCCCCAGCGCGCGGCGATCATCAAAGGCGTCCCCTTGCTTTCATAATCGGTCGCATTGACGTCAGTCCCAGGATGCGCCACTAGACAGTCAACTCCCGGCTCCAGCTTGTTGTACGCTGCCACTCCCAGCGGGGTCGACCCGGCCGCAGTCCGCAAATTGGGATCCATCCGATCGTCGGCTAGGAGCAGTCTCATCATCGCCACGTTTCCATCGCATGCTGCGCGCCATAGGGGAGGCTCTGCATAATGTCGATTCGGGTCAAGCTGCGGATGCGCGAAAAGCAACCGTAACGCATCAATGCGTCCGTAACGTATCGCCCACCATAGGAGAGTCTCGCTCCGTTCATTCCCATCGAGCGAATCGTTTGGATCTATTCTATTAGCGTCTAGCAGAAGTTGCAGTGTGAGAAGTTGGTTCTGCTGCAGCGCGCGCCACAGCGGGGTGATCCCGTCAGATTCCCTGGCGTTCGGATCGATGTCCGGGTGGGCGAGGAGCATTCGCACGATCGTCTCGTGGCCTACTCCTCGTGCCAGAGCCGTCTCGCCGCGGTTATTCCGTCGGTTGACTGGGAGGCCGTCCACGGTGAGAAGGAGGCGCACAATAGACTCATACCCGTGGCTGGCTGCTTCTGGTAAAGCCTCAGCGGCGGCGGTGGCTTGTGTCGTGGTGGTGCTGGCGGTGGTCATCATGAAGGGAGTTGTAGTTATCCGGCGTGAGGCCTCCAGCCAGTGTCGAATGGTCCCTTCTGTGCCCATGTGCACGGCCCAGGCAAGGGCTTTGCTGTACTCGCTATAGTTGAAATCATAGCGGTAAAGAAGGGGGTTCAGGAGAGAGTAGAAATAGGTGGATGTTCGGGCTAGGGCGTTGATGTCGGCGGTGTTCTCGAGGTGCTCGGCTACACACAGAAGAAGCTCGCCAGGCAGTAGAGAGAGCATTGTATCACATTGGAGATGAGTTCAAAAGGAACGACGGTGGGATTCTCTAGATGGAGATGGAGATGGGGGCAGGGGCGGTGGGGCGAGGTTAAGTGAATGGTCGCCCGGCCCGCTCCGATGGATCGATCCTCTTGCGGCGCATCCAAAGGCGGTGAGCCTTTGGCCCCGCGATTCCTAGACGATACAATAATTATTACGACAAGGCATTCCCGAGTGGATGGTCCAGCCGGTGCTTTTGTCTTCAAAGAAAGGTGTCTGATATATTGAGGTTGTTGGAAATATTGCCTTGATCTCATAGTCTTGCAAGGCTAGGCTTCAAAGGTATAATCACAGTCATTTGACTTGCCTCCCCCCTTTAAATAAAAGGTGATCTCATGCGAACGAAACCTTAAGATACAAGCCTCCGGGCATAATCCAAGACCACCATCGCAAGCCCAGAGACCCCACTTGTGAATGGAGACACGATCTAGCCACCCAAAATGCGCATACTGGTTATCTTGGCAAAAACTTTTCTCCGGCTGGGGTGTACCCTCCATACATGAGGCTTTGAAACCAGGCGCCCAAAGAACCTGGTGTTGGTTCCCAAAATCAGCGCTCTTGGACTTTTCGTCTTTTTTACGCACCTCTCGGGTAACAGGAGTAAGGATCCTACCCTTCATGACCCCGAGGGATCCGAAGCCAAGGATAGGAAAGATATTGCCCATGTTTATCACTAGTGAACGTGTCTTGACCGATGTCCTTATAAGAATCCGGTGGGTGATGGTGGAGATTATGGCCTCTAGATTGATTTGGGAAGGAAGGCTGGTGACGAGGAACGGAGGAGAAGGGACATCAATTGTGGCTGAATCTTGAGTGCTAAGTCAGCAAATCAGAGTACTTGGGTAAATTGTGCGATAACGTGAGCTACTCGACTTGCTGCGAGCTATTGCTAGGCATCTTTCATACGGGCAATGCCCTTGCCCCCCCCCCCACTTGGGAAAACGCTGAATTAGTCACTTTGGTTCATCACTAGACTAAAAGGCGCCGTTCAGTGCATCTTTTCCTCGGCATCGGGTATAGCCTTGTGCTGAGATGATAGTTGTTTTCAAGGTACCAGCTTCCACGAAAAACGGAAGGAGAAAAGAGGGACGAAGAGCCAATCAAACCCCCAGCCACTTCCGTTAGTAGGCTGCAAGCAAGCATGCCCCAACCTATCAGCTCTGATTTGATGGGTTAGTTGTGCTGTACTGAAAAGTGCCTGGGGTGGTGGTGAACTTGGCGGGAACTGTTGGTGCCCCCCTTGCCCTAAATTTGTGTTGTTCTTTCCCGGCTGCTTCATTCCAGAGCAGAGACTCACTTTGGAAGCTTTAGGTGTTCAATTGACACTATCATAATGATCCTTGTCCTCGACTCATGGCATCAGCTGATCCTGACTTGAAAAGTACTGAATGTATTCGCTAGTAATGCTAGTGGTAAGAAGCAGATTGACTGAGGGGAAGATTGCGAGCTCCCTAGTAGCGAGCCAAATAAGACGAGCTGGACCCCTGTAAGGCTACCTAAATAGGTACAGTACGCACAGTACCTAATAGTACTAGGTCCCTAGGTGCTTACTCCTTTTGCGTCTTCTCTTTCTCTTCTCTCTCTCTCTCTCCGCTCACCCACCCACGTTCTTCTCCATCTACCTCTCGCCTGCCTACCTTTCTCTTGCTCTTCTGGTGATGATCCCCTTACCATTGCCTCCTATTGTTTGTGTGTGGCATCATGATCCTCGATATTGTCGGCCTGCTGGCCTTTTCATATCTGTCATGGAGCATTGTGTCGATGGAAAGAAACTATCGGCGAGCCTCGACTATGGGAATTCCATTGGTGCGCCTCTACACCGATCCAATGAATCTTCTGTGGATGGTTCTTGAGCCCATCATCTGGCCCTGGCTTGACCGGCTCCCCATCAACTGGCGCAACTACAGCTTCGGCCGATACTCCCGCCGTGGCTGGTACTTTGCCGACCGCGGGGAATCGCATCGTCGCTTTGGACCAATCTGGGCAATTGTCACTCCACGCGATGTCTACGTCAATGTCGCCGACCCGCAGGCCATTCATGAGATTTTCCAGCGTCGAACCGACTTCATCCGGCCCAGTCACCTGTACAGTACGTGCGGACCTCTGCCTCGTTCTGCCGCCGATCTGCAGACTGTCTGACCCCCTGCGCTGATATAGAAGTGTTGGAGATTTATGGGCCGTGCATATCTACCGCCAGCTGGACGGACTGGCCACGCCATCGCAAGGTCCTGGCCACTCCGTTCAATGAGAGCGTCATGTCCTTCGTATGGGACGAAAGTGTGGAGCAGACACGCCAGATGCTTGAAGCATGGGATGATGCCGCTGAGGGTCGGATTGCCAGTGTTGCGAAGGACACGCGCACCTTATCCCTCAACGTCCTCGCTGCGACTGGCTTTCGCAAGTCGTTTCCTTTCCAGAGTGCCAATGACCGCGCCGTTGGTCAGGAGGCTCTTTCCGCTCCTAGTAAAGAGAACGCAGGCTACCGTGACGCCCTTCAGACCGTCCTGGACAACTGCATTATTCTCATGGTTCTACCGCGGAAATGGCTGGCGCTTCCATTCGCGCCTCAATCATGGCGTCAAATCTCCAAAGCAGCCGATGACTTTCAGCGATATATGGTCCGCATGTTGGATGAAGAGACCAAGGCCTTGAATCACGGACAGGCTGGCAAAGGGGGTTTGATGACATCGTTTGTGCGGGCCATGGACCTAAAGCAGAAGGCAGACGCCGAGAGGGGGACTGAAGCTTCTGGCTCCCCACCCAAGGGTCTTACGGTGGATGAGATCTTTGGGAACATTTTTGTGATTAACTTTGCGGGCCACGATACCACCGCCAATACGCTTGCCTTTGGCTTACTCCTGCTGGCGGCATATCCCGAGGTTCAAGACTGGGTGGCCGAGGAGCTGCAGGGACTCACCGAAGAAGAAATCAAGAATCACTATACTGATCTCTTCCCACGCCTTTGCCGCTGTCGATCTATTATGGTAAGTTCCTCTGCGCACGAATCCACGTGCCTTATTGTCTTGTATTCACCAAATCACTGACGCTGAGAAATGTATTTCAATTTCTCCGATCGAACAGCTCGAGACTCTCCGCCTGTTCCCCCCAATTCAAGCCTTGCCGAAGTGGACCAGCAGCGAACCCCAATCCCTTCAAGTCAGTGATCGGACAATTGTCATCCCTAATGATGTTGGCGTTCACCCCAGCCTGCTCGCCATGCACATCGACGCTCAGTACTGGAGCGACCCAATGGCCTGGAAGCCTTCGCGCTGGATCACGGCGGCTGGAGCGTCCGAGCGGGTCATTACCCCCGCGCGGAGTAGCTTTCTGCCCTGGTCGGACGGACCACAGAATTGTCCCGGCAATAAATTCTCACAAGTGGAGTTTGTAGCCGTCATGGCTACTCTCCTGCGTACTCATCGTGTCGACGCCGTCGCCAATCCCGGCGAAAGTTTCCGGGATACCCAAGCAAGGGTGCTGGCCACTACGCAGGACGTTGACATGCAGTTGTTGCTACGCATGAAGGATGCGGATCGCGTGCGAATGATGATACGTCGTGTAGCGTGAGTCACCGTATAGGTGGTGCAAGTGCGATTGGTCCGTCAGCTATTCGAATGGTGCTTGGATGCATATTTCAAGCAGAAACAGGTCTCACCGTGTATTAGTGCCCGAGGTTCTTATTTCATAATACCCGGTGATCTTGTCTTTGTTTTTGTCTCTCTCTTTTGTTTTTCAATTAGATACTACTATAACTCAGCGGTGATGCTATTTTCCAATGACCAGAAACTGGAGGCTGATTTGCGTCTATCCTACATCAAAGAGAGTCTTCTTTCTGGCCCATGAAGAGAAAAGTGTCCAAATTATCATCGCCAGGAGTCAGTCATTGTATCATACATAATCTCCACCACAACTATTCCTCATCTCATATATCCCGGAAGAGCTCTTACTACAAAGACGTTCACTTATTCGCCTCAGAACCTCCCCTGCGTCCTAAAATTCCCTTCACCCTCCTACAACGGGGAATTGCACCATCTATTCTTCTCTCCGGAGAAAGCTGACGGAGGTCCTGTGCTCCTCGCCCAGGCTGCCACTCACCGCCCACCTCGGAGGCCTTAGCTAGTTCCTCGCAGATAGCCCGAGGTAGTCAGAATCCAAGCATCTTCCACCTCTCTCACAGGTGTCATCAAAAGCATCAAAGATCCAAACGAAGGCAAGGACCAAGGGTATGATGTGCATTCTATTGTTGACGAGCTATATCCCCTCAAAGTGCATACATGCCCACAACACGATAACAGAAAGGCGAGCATGAATTCATCATCAAAACCCTTTCTCACCCCATTCACTCCGCCTCGGTGAACAACGCTTTCCAGGTCTCCGCATCTCGTTCGCAGGCGCTGTTGAACGCCTTCATCGAGATATCCATATACCTATACACATGATCCCAAGGGGAACGCGTGGGCCCGTCAGTCAAAGGAGAGTTCAAAGGCGCAGATACCAGCCAAAGGGAATCAGGAAGAGAGGTGGCAGGGGCGTAAGGTAGGGAATAGGATGTCATCGGGAAGGCGATGGCTTACCAAATATCTCGCTCGGCCTTCGGCCCCAAAACCCCGGGTTCAGGAATACATATGTCATTGACTACCACCCGGGCGCCGGGCGTGAGAGCGGGGGTGAGGTTACGGAGAATCTTGACGGCATAGGTGTCAGACCAGTCATGCAGGATCCAGCGCAGCAAGTAGACATCTGCGCCGTGGACAGGTTGCGGGGTTAGGAAATCGTGCGCCATGCCGGTGACACGCGCGGCGACATCGGCAGGGACCCGGGCTCCCAGTCCCGTGAGCAAGAGCATACCCCTGGTAGACAGATAGTGTTTAGCCTGTATCCTTGGAATTCTTCTTACAGATTCATGTGGTTCCTCCGATCCTGCTTTTCAATGGAACATATTTAGACCTGTGGCCTTACCCACTGGCTCACCTGTACGGTATCTACCCGCCTTCGGGTACAAGAGATAACTGTGCTATTACGGTGAATAGTCGAGGTTGTGATTCTACGTCTCATCAAGGCAAGATCTTACCTGTCGGCAGAGAGTAGTGAAGCATAGAACAATTCTGATGTACAAGTGAATGCGCCAGGATATATAGTTGAATGCCTGATGCTCTTTCTTCACTGCATACTCCGCGATGATTCACCACCGCCACAATATGACAGGTCCGCTCTTCCCTTCTATAAAGAATAGAGTGGTTCAAGCTACCTCCTTCCTGAACTGCACTCCATACAGAAGTCCTTCCTACTACCTATCTCAGACATTCTCCCCATACCTTCCCTTGCGAGATTCAGCTTTCTCTCTCTCTCGGGCAGAATGCATCATTTCGTCTTTCTTTGAATTACTTCATGAGACAAGGGTATTACAATTGAGTCTTTCTTGGTATCGACGAGTCCGAAGACCAAGTCAGCCAGCACCTCAATCAATAGAGGCGCTCATGAACTTCACCCTTCCATGGAGAAAATCACGATGAACGCCCCCACGTGGGCACGAATTTTCCCCCGACAATGTCGTCTCCTGGCAGATCCTCGGACCGACGGCCATCATGGTCATGATCGCCCTGGCCATGTCGCTCGTCACGTTTGGGCCTTGTGGCTGGTGGCAGGGGCAAATCTGCGGGAAAAGGCCCGAGTGGATACTCGGTAAGTGCACAGGCAATACGGTCAAAGTCTCTCTATTGATGCAAAGACAGCTGTCAATCTGAGTGAAGGGGGCTCCCCAGCTTTTAGGATATATACGTAAGTAAACATTGCTTGCAGGAAAGATCCCGGGAGAGCTTTAATTGCTAATCAAATAACCGAGTTAGTGGCCGTTCAGCACCACCAGGTAGCTACGGGCAAACCTGCTCGGCCGCTCTTTGGCCTCTTGTCAGGCGGGGATCACTTCAATTTCTATCGTCTTTACGAGTGCAAGGTAAGTACTATAGGAAGCTTTTCGAAGAAGTCCTTTCTAAGAGCCCTATAGTACTGCTGCCTCGAGCTGCGTTGGTTTATTCCAGAGCATCGAGAACGAATCCTGGATCTCTTAGCCAAGCTATGTAGAGAGGCGTTGGAAGCAGCGACTCCGCGGGGGAGCGAGGCAATGGAGACCACCAGCGGCTAGGAGGGTTGATTCTGGCCAACGACCTCGACAAAGGTCGCACGTAGTGCATCAGCCCTCCTAATCGCTGGTGGTGGGCCTGTTGTTGTTCCTGTTGGGGGTGTTTGTATCGTTTCTTTTTTGTCCGCCTGCGTACGGCATTGCTTTTCGAGTAATGTATATATTACCTCAGATGGTACCTAACCAAGAGTCAGAACGACAATGAAGCTTTTACCTCCCACGATGTTACACCAGGATTGTTTTGTCGGTGCTGTAAGTCCGAGTACAGGTCTTGGATTACAACTATTATAGAAATGCACAGTCGATCACGACCCATCACCATTCTTGAATGCCGTCCCTGTTTAAGACCCTCCCCACATCCCCATCGCGCTCCCCCTCCACCACCGCCCGAATGAACGGGCCCGCCACCGCCGGATCCCCGGCACCCATCGCCCTCATCAGCGCGGGACTACCCCCCAGCCCCGTGGCAAGATACCCCGGCGAGATGGCAAAGACCTTCACCCCGTCTGGCTGCAGGATGCGATGCCACTCGCGCATCAGCATGTTCAGCCCGGTCTTAGCGCTGCGGTAGGCCGGCACGCCCACCCCGGGCCCGGAGTGGGGTTTCGGCCACCCGGTCGCGGTCGGGGCCCGGTTGACGGCGATCGCAAGGTTCTCGGTTCCGGCGAGGGTGGCGGTCCCCGAGGTGATGAAGAGAAGACGGGGATCGTCGCTTTGGAGCAGCAGTGGGATGAATGTCGAGGTCACGATCTGCGTGCTGGTCGTGTTGACATTCCAGGTTCTGTTCCAGAGGTCGCGGTCGGACGTCAGGTCACCGCGGGTGGCCGGGGATTCGAAGGATGCGCCTTTGCAAAGGTGTTAAGATTCTTTCTTGATGTGGAATGGTTGGAATTGGGGCTCTTGGAGAGTCATTTTGTACAGGACATGTACGCACCTGCATTGTTGATTAGAACGTCTACCCGACCGTGGGCTGACGAGATCTCTTCGTAGGCATGTTGGATGGATGCGTCGTCTTCGATGTCAATGATGATCGGGGTGAGTGTACTCGACGAGCTGGGGAATTCGGTCTGGATGGCTTGGATAGCGTCGTGGGCCTTGGTAGACGAGCGGGCGCCGACGAGGATGTGGTAGCTCCGCGGGGAGTCGCTGAGTGCGCGGACGATCTGGAAGCCGATGCCGGTGTTGGCGCCAGTGATGAAGACGACGGTGGATGTCATCGTTGTTTCCTTAAGGATGTTTTAGGGTCGAGGGTTTCTTGACGGGAAGATGTGTTATGTTACGTGTTGCAAGGGCTCGCATACTTCTATATACTCGGAAATTATATTGTGCGTGGTCGTGCTCAGACAGAGACCCGGATTTGAGGCCGTAGACCGAAGCTCCAGGTAGCCTAAGTCCGTTGCTTCCCACAATTGCCGGAGGTAGCTTAAGTCCGTTGCTTCCCCACAATTGCCGGAGACCAACCCTTTCAACCGATGAGAGAACCAACGGAGAGCAGAGGGCAATATTAGATGATGATGTCGCGCAACAGCCACCGAGGCCTCGGTCGATTCCGTTCAACATGCCCCTCGCCAGCCTCATTCAACTGGATAAGTTACGGAGGGCAAGGGCGGGACAGAGGGGAAGTTAATACTCCGCCGTCACATGACACTACCAATGTGCCTGCTGGCAAAGCAAGCGGCATATCTATGAGAACTCTGGCCCCGTCGCAGCATATCACCTTTAACATACCTGGACGGAGTAAGCCATGCAAATGACGCTTGCAAGTGATGGCAGAGAGCATAGAGCCAAAAAAAAAAAAAAAAAAAAAAAGACCTGCACAGCACATTCAACCGGTGCCTGGTGACATAAGTGCACTCAACAGCACTACTACTTAACGCTGTTGACATCGTGCTCAATCGGTGCGACCAAGCCACATCTCATTTCTGGTATGGGAGATCTGAGAAAGTCAATCGAGTAATCGTTGAAGTCAACACAGGACCACAAACAAGTTATAATGGCCTACCGCTGACGTCAATGCAAAGCCAATTCAAATGCATATGAAGCCTGCCATAGACTTTTCCCGAGAGTTCCAATCCCTACCTCCTCCAGAACTTCTTCATCAACGTCTCAACTGCAGCCTACATCGACACAGGAAAACGTGCCAGAATATCCCTCAGCCTAATTACCCGAACCGTCCTGCGCAACCCTCCGCGTGCGCTAATCCCAGTGTTAAACATCCAAACCGCCCCCGTCAGTAACGATATCGGCCCCAAGCGGGCAGAGACTCCCGAATATGTCGTGACTCCCAGCCACGGGACCTACGACACCCTCAAAGTTCCCAGCTTCAAGGCCTACGAGGCCCGCGGGCCGCCCCGGGCCATCAGAACATCGCGTATTTCATGGCGGGAGCGCTGGGTGTCACCACGGCTGTGGGAGCTAAGGATACGGTTGCGAGTTAGTGGAGCAATCCCCGATGCAGTCCATCCGTGTCTTTGCACATAGCATTCGTGGTGCGAAAAATTCTAGCTAACAGGTGAAATACAAAACGTACAGGCTTTCTGGCCAACATGTGCGCATCCGTTGATGTCCTCGCGCAAGCAAAGGTCGAGATTGGCCTCGGTGCGATTCCCGAGGGGAAGAATGTATGAGCATGAGTTTGCCCCCACCGGATCGCAGGTCCGACAGATGCTGAAAGTCCTGCCCGTCTAGATCATCATCAAGTGGCGCGGAAAGCCGGTCTTCATCCGGCATCGCACGCCGAATGAGGTCGAGGAGGCGCGCAAGACGGACTGGAAGTCTCTTCGTGATCCGCAGCCGGACGAGGAACGCGTGCTGAAGCCAAGTGGTTGATTATGCTGGGTAAGTCGTGTGTTCCTTTCAGTGGATTGACGACAGTTGTGCTTTGAGGCCGAATTGCTGACTTGGTTTTTAAAGGTGTCTGCACTCATTTGGGTTGTGTGCCCATTGGGGAGTCTGGGGACTTTGGGGGCTGGTTCTGTCCGTGCCAGGCTCACACTATGACATCTCCGGACGGGCGCGCAAGGGCCCCGCCCCGACTAATCTCGAAGTTCCGCAGTATAGCTTCCCGACCGAGGACACGCTGGTTATCGGATAGAAGGGGATGTGGATGAGATCTCGCCCATTTGACTAGTGTGGGGGTTTCTGTGTGTGTACCTCAATTTGGGAGGCATAGAGCACGATACTCTTCATGCCAAACAACAACAGACTCGATAAAGAAAGCATAGAAGAAGATGATGGAGAAGCAAATAGATAACACAGAAAATGACAACACGCTAACTCGCAAGACATTGACCGGATTCCAAATCTCAGAGAATCATTCTTTGACGCCCTCTTTTGCACGGGCCAAGACGAAACGAATCAGCCCTCCTCGCCCTTCCCACGGCTGCCTCTTCTCACGAGATGCATAAGCCCAACCACACGTATCCGACATCCTCTGCACCCGTTGCGGAAGGTATCCATACGCAATCTCCCGCGTAATATGCTGCGAGTTATCCACCGATCCCCAAACTACCTGCCCCGACGCCTGTTTCGCCGTATCCGGCCTTTCAGTGCAAAGATTGGTTCGCAGAAACACCGGGTGATGCTTATTCTTCACGTAAATATGCGCCGTCATGTGGGAGCCCTTGGCCAGGTGGGCCGCGCTCTTGTAGCTGATCGTCATGTGCCAGGTGTTCCGGAGCTGTTTGGTCCGGCCCCTTTTTCGGTACCTCGTGAGGTGGATGGAAGATCTGGTGGGGGAAAGTCGAGGAGAATTGGGTTAGCCTTTGTAGCCTGCCTTGTGTGCTGTGATGACTATAAGGGAGCATTGGAAGCGAGGAGATATCAATCATAGATGCCGTGCCTTCGGCTCCGTACCTGATTAGGATGACCCTAGGATATTGTCCTTCGACACTGGCCGCCCGATAGGCGAGAGACAGGATTGTCGGGAGCTTAATGGGCGCAAAGCATGGGAGCAGATACTTGGGGATGTAGTATTTCACGATGTTGGTGGTCGGTGGCTGACGGGCGTGGCTGTACCGTATAAGAGAGGCTGTTGAGCTTGCCATTGGTGCTTGGTTCGGGGATTCGATTGGATGGGAGGAAATTCAGTCGAACTTGCAGAGGGGAGGGGGAGTGTGAAAGTGATGGCGCGTCTGTTGGAGAGCTTGACGGTGACAAAGGGGAGAGAAGGTGGTCGGGGCGCGTTCGGGAATACCACGATAGGTTTTATGTGCTTTGTTGATCCCCCGGCCTCTCTTGTGTTACCCCGCATTTAATGCATGGATGGGATGTCACTTTGTCACGCATGACCAGGGTTGTGATTGGCTGACATGGTGAATGGGATGATCTAGCCGCCGAAAAGGATATAAGGGGTACGGTTTCCATCAGTGAAGTTGGTGAATTCATCCGCCGACCATGCTGTTCTCTGGGGTTCTTCAATCTTCTATCTTTTTTCTTTTCTTTTTCTTTTCCCTTTCACTCTTTATAACCTCTAGATTAGTCCGTAAACTTGTTTTTGATCTGCGAGTATAATAGACGTCAGAAAGAAAGGGTGATATTGCTGGGTCAATATTTCATTCCTCTCTGCGAACTGATGTTCTTCGACATGCTCCTGACAGCGATCGGCTAGTGCAGGTGCAAGTCTGGATAGACACGGGCCTGGCCAAGCAATCTACCATCACCAAACACTACAATTCCGGCTTTAGTCTAGTGATTCTCTACTCTACATTATAATACCTGCTGTTACCGCATAACCAACGTAACAATGAACCTAATCTTTATAGCTAAAACCTCTGGTGCAGACCTGGCAAGAATATTGACGAGTTTCTCTCGCGATGCATACTGTACCTTGACGTCTTTACTGATAAAACTGCTACTCTGGCAATTTTTATCATACTAAGCGCCTACTGAGATACACATCTCTTCTTATAGAGGACAGACTCGTTGTACGGGTGATCGACTCCAGGGCGGTCCCCGTCCCCACACTCCCGCAGCAGAACTGATCGGGAGGGCCCGCGACGACCCACAGAGGCCAGAGTCCCGGAGGCACGGACTTGACTTTTATCGAGACATCCAGCGACAGGTACGAGCATGAGAGAGCACGTCAGATTTGTACGGTTGGCTCCAAATTTGTTCTTTTGCTTCCTCTCTGCGAGACGTCTCGAAAACATACCCCTTGTTTTTTCAGCCCATGGCCCAACCGCGACAACATTGTGTACAGTAGAGTACTCATGAAACCTCTACCTGCATGGCCCTAACCTCAAGAGTAAATACGAGCATGACGGCCACAGCCATGGTATCCCTCTCAGGATGGGTTCATTGAAAGCTGAGCTTGACTGAGGATCATCTCGAATTGTCATGATCAACAGTAATCAGCAGTATCTGTGACAAGTTAGCACGTACATGCCAACCCTTATCCCGCTTCTCTCTCTACTTATCTACTTTCAGGCTGAAGACCTCTACTTCACCGTCAACAGAGTTTATCGTGTTCTTGCGCACAGGAAGACATCCGCCTGCCCTTACGCCAAGGTACAGTACACGGGGACGGGATAATCGTGTCGGGTTGGATCGGCGAAGACAAAAGGTCTTTCCCTGCCGAACTCTGGGCACCCTCAGGGACTCTCAGGCTCCTCTGGAACAATTTTCTCATAATGGCCAGATCTCCCGCGAAATTGTACGCGAACACTGGAAGAGCCTTTCATGTTTTGCATACTGACCAAAATTTCTCAGTGCTCTAAGTGCTGGAATGGTACATATCGACGAGGGAGCTGATGAGACTCCATTCGATGTTCACGTGGAATTGTTATGCAGTTGTTCTCCCTACTTCAACTCGCTGCTCAGCAATCGCACTGAGAAACACATCCCATCCGATCCTATTTACTCTTCGAACGATGATCCAGATGTCTTCGCGGAGCTGTTAGGTTGGGTGTACAGCGGTGACACTTCCATTGACTTGCCTTCTCGTAATAGGATTTCGTTCTTGCTACGATTATGGATCCTAGCTGCTAAGTACCAGATCGTGGAACTGCAAAACCATGTTATAGAAAGAACTCTGCAACGTTGAGCTGGATGAAATGCCTAATCGGGTTTTTGACTGCGACCAGATTATTTACGCCTACAACCACACCTGTCCTCAATTCCCCCACGGTTACTTATGGTCGACAATTGGGCACAAACTGCAACTCAGGCTGGGTTTATGAGTCATCGAGCGAAGCTTCCACGTCCGTTTCTCGAAGAACTTTGCTGTGCTATGCTCAAAGCGCAGGACCGTGCAAATAATGCAAGGGTGGGGGAAACTACGGAGCGCTACTATACAGAACCTTCGCCATTGAAAGATAACCACCTTCAAGAAACTAAAAGACCAGGACTCGGAAAAATTGTTCCCACTGCAACCACAGAGCAATTGAGTAAGAGGAAATGAAACGTCCTAGGCCCGTCTTTACAAACCTTCTCCTACATCGCGGTCACGCGCGAGACCATCAATCCCTGTCAACAAAGGAAAGGGTCTATTCTCCCATCTTCTCGACTCTCCTCTTGCGTCTCCAGCACCCCCCATGGTATCACTTCCTGTCGCCAAAGGATATCATGAACAGAGTGAGAGAGAAAGCGGGATGGGTTCCTTACACATCTAACCAGTACTCTCACATATTCAGTTTTTCAGGTCGATTCCCGAACAGGCCATTGATGTTTTATTTTAATTTTTCATTCAATCTTATATGTCCATGGTAATTTTGTCGATGAAAGTTTCCGTGCTGATTTTCGACAATCCTGCTCGCACCCACCATTTCAGCTTGCTCGAAAAATCGATGCGTTCCGGGTCAGGATCAAGAAGACGCAATCTTAAGTATATGTGCGTCTTTAGATTTCACTAAGGCCTGTTGCGGTACCATCAAGCAATGAATTCCTTCGCCATATTACGCCAGGTGATTGTTCAGGGCTCGAATAATGATGAGAACAAGGTCATTTATCAAGTCAGAATTTTACTGATTGTCAGATGGTTTAATCATTTTCATATTTTTCAAGACTAATATTTACTGGTTTATCGGAGGATCCATGTAAGAAGCCTACTGGAGATGATGAGCTGTTATAGTCTCTGGGACCACAAGCAACTCGTCTTCTAAATGAAGGGTAAGAAGTGTGACATCCTGCGTTTTTTTTTTTTTTTTTTTCGAAGCGCGATCAACCAATAGTCGCCAAGTGAACCCGGACCGGTACATTGTAAGCCTGACCTGTCGCACGGCATCCTGTCACATTGACGCCCTCCTATAACAGGAGACAGTGGGTCGACCCCCCGTAGTGAAATATCCCCTACTCATCACCTTTGCGGACATGGTAGCACTCCTTGAGTGTAATGTCACACGTGGAAACACCTCTAACATCCCGACGCCGATGAATGCCACCATTCCGATGGCCGGTCATCCGCTTCGATGAAGATCACCGCGCGGGTGGCCACCGAGGCGAGGTATGGCTGCGCGGCAATCAGATTCAGTAACGTCGACATAGTCATGGCTCTGCTCCTGCGCGGCGAGGTCGATGATGAGGGGCTCTGAGTAATAGGACCCATTCAAGGCAAGGCTTTCATGATGCGGCCTGAGACCGGCGCGTGCCAGCGATGGTAGCTCAGGGAGCTCAAGAAGGCTTGGTAGACTGTGCCCCCGATGAACTTCTCGGAGAGCGGATCGCCGCTCAGCATGTCCACAATCGAATACGGCCGTTCCTTGACCCAGAATTGATCGTGGGCGCTCGCGTTGTGCTGCACCTTGTAGGGCTTCGACTTGCAGGCATTCGCGATCACGCTGTCATTGCCCGCGACGGGACGGATGCCCTTGCGGAAGAACCGGATGAAGAAGTCATCCCAGGACAGAAAGCCGCGGTTCGGTACTGTGCCGTTGGCGATAAAAATTTCGTCAAATGTATAGTTCGTGTGTCCGATTCTCGCGACTTCGGTCAGGTCGGCGAGACCGGTCGGTGGGAGCACTGCCAGGGATACGGACCGAGTCCGGGGACTGCAGGTATTCGCCCCAGATGCCCAGAGTTTTCTTGATCATGGCATTTACCTCAGGATCCAGGAAGGCCGCAAAGCCACTCTGCTTCCCCATCGGCCAAGTTAGAAGGGTGTTCAGCGGGATTCCGGCATAGCTCATGCGGTTTGTCCGGGTGCTGTAGGCCGGCGCCGTCTGGATAAGGTGGTCGAGTACGCGCAGCATGTGGCGATAGTCTCGAATCTGGGGCCGTCCACTGAGCTCATCGAGGTAACGAGGGCTCCGCGGAACTGCCTGAAACATTAGCGCAAAGAGCATCCGGAGATGTGGCCGGCTCTCGATGAGGTCGCCGAACTCCCGCACCGTGGGGTGCAACTGCTGGGAACTGTTCTCGGTGCGACGAGTCACGTCGACCAGCCACTCGCGGTAGTCATGCTGATCACGAACAGTCCAGCGGCCAACACTTGAATCCAAGCAGTACACCGGTCGCAGCACGCACGGAATCAGGCAACAGGCTCACTCATTGTAGGAACTCTCTCGAATGGTATAGCCGCTGGCGAACAAGGCCAGGAGAAGCAATACGGGAGTACAATGTAGGCGCATGGTCAATCTGTACTGGTCGGCAATGGTACAAACTTCCCAATTGTCTCGATCGGAGCTCCTTGGACAGATAATCAGCTAGAATAATAGACACAGTGGTGCTCTATGTTAATTCATTCGGGCACATCGTCATGAAGTAAGTATTTCTGACGTAGCACGAGCGCTTCCTCAGTCTGTGGATGAAGGGGGTTGCTTGACCGATGCATCGGAAGACATATGGTGCAACAATCTCTTCAATGGTAGGCATGAAGATATGACTCTCTCTACAAATTGTGCAGCAAGCACCACAGAAGTAATTCTTCCGACCCTGCAATGACGTCTCATAGTTCTACCTTCTCACCATAAAGGTTGTTGATGGGTAATTGCGAATCGTCCTGCATTGATACGGGGAGTTCTATGATCTGGAGTATTTTCTGGTCCCTGCATCAGATCTTCGAGATTCAAGTACAGGCAAGAAAGCTCTATGAAGAATAAGCTTGTGGCTTCGTCATGATGAGAAAACTTCCATTTCCGGGTCGCTCGGCCGGATGATGGCGGCTGCTGACGGCTATTGTAGATAAGATCTCAACCCCGAACTGAAGGCGCACGCGACGAGAAAGACCTCAGCCAAAAAGATGAACCCCGTGCAATTTAGCAGAGACGAAACTTGCGTCACGTTTGGAGCTCAAAAGTTCTCACGTGAAGACTGGGTTGAGGCTCGTAGGCCGGTATGATGGATCACCGTACCCATTTGCTGAGCACAGCCTGGACCACGTTGAAATAGAACTCGACATCCGTAGTCGCTTAGCTCTCTCGATTTTGCTATAGTCATTCTTGTAAGAAGGTGGTCGAGAAGCACTGTCCTGTCAGAATCAATACCTCGATAGAACATCTTAGATCTATTGTGACATTGTACTGTATTGTAGGTCCGTGTATTTTGGATCGAAGTTGGGTCTCGACTACCCTCTGTGATTTGAGTTATATAGGCAGATCATGACTAGCTAGAAATGGGAATACTGAAAAGATTATATAGCCAAGCATTGAGGGAGATTAGGTCAGGTAGGATATAGATCAAGTCTAGTAGTCGAGTCCAGGTGTCAGCAGGATAACCCCCGTGGGCCTTAAACTCCGAGATCCGGAGTGGATGTAATCCCGCTGCATGCGGGCCGTTGAGCCAAATCGAGCAGCGAGCCAATTGGACGGCAGCTCAGCTGTCAGCACATCAGCTCTAAAGGCTTAAGTCCGATATCCGAAGCGGATATACTTAGCCTTATCGTGCGGGGCATCGAGCCACAACAAGAAGCGTGCGAATTGTACTGCATTGTTGTCTTGCAAATAAAACTCTGCGGTGAGACCTGGTAGGGTTCTCAGGTGCACCGCCCCAGCAAAGAATATAACGTCAACTATTTTAGGTTGCCGATTCCGCGCCCCAAAACTTCCAAGTAGCATACATTCAAGGTGCAAAATATAAGCTTAATTCTTCCGTTCAGAGTAAAAGGTCCTGTCTACCGCTACACCATCATTACCAACCCAACAGCCAGCCCTTGAAAACAAGTCACCCAAAATGCATCTTATTCTTACCGGAGCAACCGGCCTGGTTGGCTCATCCGTGCTGGATGCTATGCTCAAGAATAAAGCCATCTCCAAGATCTCAGTTCTCAGCCGAAGACCTGTGCCAATGGCAGACGATGCTAGAGATCCGCGGGTCCGCGTGATTCTCCACAAGAACTTTGACGTCTATGGGCCAGAGCTGCTGGATCAGCTGCAAGATGCTGAGGGATGCGTCTGGGCTTTGGGAACGAGCTCGACCAATGTCAACGCAGAGTATAGATGCCCCCTGACCCCCGCCCCCCGGAAAGACGACAAAACACGTAACTGGAGTGTGCTAATGCCAAAACAGCCAGTATGTCAAGATCACCAAGGACTATGCTCTTGCAGCCGCCGATGCATTCTCCACTCTCAAGTCTTCTTCCTCCCAGCACCCTTTCCGTTTTATCTACGTCTCGGGTGAAGGAGCCACACACAATCCTGGCCGCTTCTCTGCGATCTTTGCACGAGTCAAAGGTGAGACCGAACAGCTGCTTGGTAAGCTGTCGGAGCAGATCCCCACCCGCCTCCGGGCCGACAGCATGAGACCAGGCTTCGTGGACCCGGCCATGCACCCGGCAATTCAGCCGTACATTCCCGCCCAGGTAGTGAAGGGATTCTTCCCACGGATAGGAGTGGCACTGAGCGTGCCGATTATCCGATATGCGCTGCCAGGAATGCACTCGCCGACTGAGCGCCTGGGAGACTTTTTGACCGATATGGCAATGGGCAAGGTGGAAGGTCAATTTGAGGGACCAGGAGCGTTCAGAGTCGGAGGCGGGTGGGTGGTGCAAAATAAGGGGATGAGGAGGATATTGGGACTGGATTCCTGATAAATGATAGTATTGAGTGGCACTATCAACCTTTTCTTTTTCAGACTTCGAGTGTTATGGACCGAGGATGCAAGAGTTTCAAAACATATGAATTAAGAAATACGAGAAGATATCCGTGGTTACAGGGCTTTGCTGCGAGCGTGGGACTGATAGCAAATGGGAAAGTCTAGTATGAGTTCGAATGCCTTTAGGCAATATGTGTACTTTACGAATGGTGAGGAGATGCTGAACGGAGTTCTTTGCCAATTATCACCCGCCACCCTCGATATGTCTTAGTTTGTTAAGAAAAAAAGAGAAAAAAAGAAAAAAGAGAAAAAAAAGAAAGAAAGAAAGAAAGCTAATTATAAATAGGTGGTTGCCTGGCAGCAAGTTTATGCAGATATGTAGGAAAAAGACAGAGAAAACCAAATGTAAAAAACATACAACAGAAGGGATTCGCTGGTGGTCACCCACCCAACTACTAACCTCCCGGCGTGTGGCTTAAGTACGGCTGAGCGGACGGGAAGCCCTGTTTTCCACACCCTGTGGTCGTATGTGTCAGTACTTCATGTACACTGTAACATACCCTTTGATAACCTTGCGCTGATCAGTCCTTGGTTCTTCTCACAACGTCTGAACTATTTCACGAAAGTCCTTACTGACTTTTTGTGTCTTGGTTCAGCACCAAGAGATTCTGCAAATAATAACAACTTCACTGGGTTTGAAAGTCATTACCTCGATGTTCTGTCGGGACCCGTGCCAGTCTACTGGTTCTCTTCGGCCGCCGTACGAATGTAAGCACGCAGCCCATCGCCTCCACCTCGTGATACGGAAAGGAGGGCATAATGCCGCCGCAATTGATACAAGAGATATAGTTGTCATCTGACTCGGTTACATTGCCCCCTGGGTGTGCGGAATGATAAGGTACCTGCAGCACTGTCAGCTCAGCGTACATCAATTCCAGCCGCTGTTGTTTATAAATCACCTGTACCTAATCCCGGCCAATGTTTACTTCCTACTACATTGCCCCAATTGACGATGGATTGTCTAAGAACTCTGTGGAATTCAATCTGCGGCAGCTCATACACGTGAACATTGGTCTCCGCACAGCGCTCGTTGCTTTTGGTTCTCTTGTTCCCGGGCAGTCAACTTCATCGTTGTGATTGAGTAGGAGGAAAGAATAATTGTTAACGTTGAACCTAGGTGCTGGCTACGCTCTTGAGCCTCATATTCAGACCACCTGATACATCACCGCATCTGAGATAGCTACGGCGAACTGGTTTGGTCAATGCTGGTTCCATGCAATCACGTTGTATAGCAATCAATGACTACCTTCTTTTCACATTGCCAACACACCAAACCAACCCCAAGGACTTTCGCGTGACATTTGCTTGGAGAATAGATGTCTAAAGAATTTCAAGGGTCGAAATTCAACTCGTAATTCCTCGACGGAATGCTTGTATGGCAGCTTGTACTGAACCGAAGGCAGGAGGGTGGTGCCGTTGTTATTGATTCGATGGATACAGAATTGTGGGGCGGGGATCGGTGTGTAGATGGAAGAGTCAGCGTCCCCGGCACCGAGGGACGGTGCGAAGGCAAAAAAGAATTGACCTACGCAGGGCTCGAACCTGCAATCTCTTGATTCGTAGTCAAGCGCCTTACCATTGGGCCAGCAGGCCAGCTGTTGAGAAATAGTGAGTTTTAATGTAACATATCCCAAAACAAAGGATATCGAGCCAGACGGTCTGGGTCTGCTCGATCCTTTGGAATTTGTCCCAAATCACGTTATCAACAACAAGTCGGGAGAATAAGTGCAGTTGAAATTTGAAACTCACTCGCTCGCTCTAATGCAGTATATATCTAGCAGCAGGGTCTAGTTGCTTTGCGTTCCCTTCTTGAGGGTTTTTCCTCTCCAAAGTGTGTAAATATATTCTGCTGCCGTGACTGAAGCCCTAAAAACCCCATCCAAAGTGTATCTGAAGCAATTGAGCATTCCAAATCGAACACCCAAGATCCGAGTTCTGAGCTCTACTAGCACAGTCTTGTCTCCCCTGCTATTCTGATCATGCCATCAAGCTTAAATGGCTGCCACTTGCGGCAGAAGACGATCTGGCTTTTCCCCTCTCTCCAAGAGGAGACAAAGAGCCCGCTCCGGCGCTCGGGTTGCGCTTCCTCAATAAAACCCAGAACTCACCCTTATTGTGGGAATGGAAAGTCAAGACTGCGATCGAAGAGATTCGAAAAGAAGTCAAATTGTAAGAGGAAATGGCATGGCTCTAATTAAACTCCATGAGACGAGTCGAAGTCTACATAGTTCTTTCTGTCAAATAAATCTACACCGTGCCAGCCCTTAGTTTGGAATCCGCCGCTGGACTTCTCCTCACGAATTAGCCATGAGTCCCTGTTTATTCCCATTCGCCGGATCTCCCCTGCCTTGAATTTCTCCCAAGCAGAAGGCAATCACCCGAGATGATAGATTCGAAGTGATTGTTGTCGGGGTAAGCCGCCGATTGGTTTTATCCTCTCCCTAGCGTGCCAGACATTTCGCACACGTTAATATCGATATGGTATCTCTTCCTTTATCTGCCTAAAATTGCCGAATAACGTGTGTCCCATTTCAAGCAGTCATTATAGGTATCGTATACGTGCATCCGGGCCGTCAGATCATAGAACAAAAGCAAAATCATGATCAAGAATTTTTACATTAGCTTAGCGAGAACGGCTCTGCCTCCAAATAAGGCCAGGACCATCTGCTCTCTACAGACTCAGGCTCACCAATAGTTGTGATCAACACCCACACCTTATTTCTTCCAATGCCATACCGTTTCAGTACCCGCCGGCCTGATCGTCACCTCTGACGTCCTCAGCCAAGGCATCATCACCTCGTACACATAGTCGTCAATATCCTTTCGATCCTGCTCCAAGTGAAACGTGGATTGGACCTCATTGGTCTCGAGATCACGCTTTTTAAACAGCTGCAGTCCGTCTTCCCCATGTTGACGTTTTTCCTCTGGTGTGAATTCTCGGTAGAAGCGCACCCAGGAGCCGCTGCGGATGAAGCCGAACTGGGTCATCAGCTGGGGATTATTGGCGCGGGACTTGAGGATGTGATTCAGAAGCAAAGCTTAGAAGATGGGCAAACCATGTTTGTCCAAGTCCTGCGGGGGGACTGGCAACTCAAGGATGCACTGGTTAGACATGTTGACTTTGTGCGGAGGTTAATCTCACCTTCTTCTTAGTGGGTCGCTCTGAGTAGGAGGAAAGACTTGATTAGTAGGCAAGGTATGAAGTAAGGTGAGAATGGACCAATTGTTGAGGTTGGGGTAATTGAGGGCCTTTTAAATGTGTGGGACTCACACAATAGTCGATTTTTACTCCGTATAGATGAATCAAAGTGCATTGTTGCTTAACAAAAGGCGTACTCTTATCTCGTAAGCTTGCTTTGAGCCAAGATTCATTTTGGAAGAGAAAGCTGAGTGCTCTCCTCTGTCGTTGCGTTTGGCCTTGTATGGAGTACAAAGCAGACAATTTTTTGACCAACAAGCGCCTTCACAAATGTCTCTCTTTGTGGCTGACTAAGAACATAAGATAAAGCTTTCTATTATGGTTCAACCTCATCTTAAATCTTCTAGTGAATTTCCGGCCCTGCTTCTGTCTCATCAGATAGTTTGGTGCAGATGGCGATTGAGTCAAAGAGGAGCAAATTTATCAGCACAGCCTCGGTCCGATTCTCTTCTTTCCTGCATTTGTGCGCAGCTGGAGAAAAGCCTCAAGGTTGACGAAAGCACATTGAAAGCGGAAATTCCTGCGCAAACGAATGACCTTCTGGACCAGCGGCTTCGCATTCTCAATCTTGCTGGCGTAATGTCTAGAGACAGAGTATTGTGTCGGGACGCTTTGGACCATGTTCGGGACAACGGAGGTGCTGGAGGATAATAGTAAGGAGACCAGAGGTGTTGTTATCAACTAATTGATACCAGTGACAACTATTTAACATGTAGGATGTGCAAAGATTATCTATCGATGGTGCCAGCAGTGGAAGGAGGTCGAGCTACCGCATAACGGCCCCTATGGACAGGCGGGCAGAAAACATAGGTGCTCGGTTCTGCGATGGAGGCTTCGGGGGGCGCAGTTGGATTTAATAGCGGGTCATGCAATGGCGCTGAGAAGACTAGGGTAATATGCTGGGTGGCGAGAGAAGCGATGGATAGTGTCTTGTAGCAGTGTAATAGGGATGCTGTAATGTTAGCTTGTTCTTCTCATTCAGATTCATGGTTCGGGGTCGTCCTCGATGAGCTTGGAGGATATATGTGAGTCAATTTTGGGTGCAAACCAGTACAGCGCTTTTTCTGGCACAAATGATACCGGTACTCTATCATTCATTGTAAGGAACGTCGTTCACCACGGAAGAGGTGGCTGTCTATCTTCTTCCAGAACATCGTTGCATCACGTGATGGTTTCCAGATATGACTTCAAGTCCTTCCAATATATTCACTGCAGCCAGAATATTCACTGTAGCGGAATTATGGTTGCAATATATCATAGTCGCTCACTGGCGCTGGATAATGGTTAACCCGCCATCTTTTGTCATTCAAGCTACAAATATCCTTCATGAGTTCTCTTCTTCCTGAATCTTTACCAGAACATCTCACACCTCCTTGAAGCTTCATCATCTTGTCTCGAGGATTCTGATTCTATCAGCAAGAGTTCATACATCAGATCCATCAAGCAAATCATTGAAGATGTTGACCAAGCTCCCACCCGAGATAGTCTTGTCCATCGCAGACCAGATGGACGCAGCCAAAGACATAAACGCTTTCGCTCAGACATCCAAACGTTTCTACCGCCAACTGAACCCGTGTCTCTACCGATTTGACTGGAGACACTGCGAAGGTTCGGCATTGATCTGGGCGTCAGATAACGGACTGGAATCCACTGCGCAGAAATCACTTGACGTACGGTCTTCATCCCTACCGGACAACAAGACGCTCCCGATCGCGGAAAGGGCATTCCTCAATGCTGCACAGAATGGAAAATTTAGTATAGTCAAGCGGCTGATCACGATCAGCAACTTGAATTTGAACGCGAGAGATCCTGGATTTTTAACACCAGCTCTGGTATTGGCGGCCGAGTTTGGCTATGAAGACACAGTCAAACTGCTACTCGAAACACACCGCGCCGATATCAATGCAGCATGTCCCCATGGTAGCACGGCACTGCGAAGGGCAGCCGCGTGGGAACAAGAAGCGGTGTTCAGGATGCTGCTCGCCGCACCTGGGATAGACGCCAACTGTCCTGATGATGAAGGACAGACGCCTCTCTACTATCTGGCCTTCTTTGGTGAAGAATCGCTGATAGACTTGCTGCTTGCCAAGGATGGGGTGGACCCTGATCCTCAGGACACTTACGGCTTCACACCACTGTATGCAGCGGCAGAAGAAGGGCACAAGGGGGCAGTCAATCGGCTCCTGGCCGCTGGCGCGGACCCCGACCCGAAGGAACACGCAACGGGACACTCACCACTGTGGGAGGCGTCCTATCACGGACACAAGGAAGTAGTCGATGCTTTGCTCAAAACAGGAGTTGTGGATCTTGAATGTCAAAGCTTGGCTGATGGCACGGTACCCCTTGCGGTGGCTGCACAGCGTGGCCACAAAGAAGTGGTTCAGCTGCTACTTGCCGCCGGTGCTGACCCAAACAGCAAGGATAATTCGCAGGAGACGCCATTATCAAAAGCAGTGAAGGCCGATCGCAGAGCGATCGTGGAGCTTCTGCTTGCCGCGGAGGGTGTTGACGTCAACTCTCAATGTCGACTTGGCCGGTCACCTCTCTTCCTGACGATACTGAATAAATCCGCTCCTGACTTGAAGATCATTGAAATGTTACTCGCTGCGAATGCCGACCCCAATCTTCCTGCTAATACCGGATCCACTCCCTTGTCCTTGTCGAAAGGTCGCACCAAAAAGTTCCTGAAAGATTGGGGCCAAGGAACCGACACTGCATGAATGAGGCATCAAAGTGGCTAGTCCAATTGATCGCAAATGTCGTATCAAGTACAGTACTGTACAGTTTTTCTTTATGATGCCCCTCTCAAGGCTCTGACATCTTTACTGGGTAGCTTCCACCGTAGTTCTACAAGGTTACTGACCCCACCGCTACAACGAAGGGATTCCAAGTCGAACACATTTTAAGGACAACCAGTATGTATCTGACCTGACCTGTTCCACATGTGTTCGAACGAGAGAACAGAAGCTAAGCAATGAAGATATTTTGCATAGGGCGAGATGTCGTCGCGTCAGGTACCGCATTATCAACAGATGCATGAACAACCACAACACATCATGTCTTTTCTTCTTTCTTGATGTTTTGATCTGGGCTCAACTTGTCAAATATAAGCTGCAACATCTCGTTTCTAAGTCCGTAATCTGTTTTGATCTGATTGTTAGCCTATGGAACTAAATAATGATGCTATGCCGGTCTTCTTTGAGGTTTTCCTGTGTATATTGAACCTCGCGAGAATCCTAACATAACAAGAGACAGAGAAACACTCCTGTGCTACAAACAGATCATGGTGCCTATGCTGTAGGTATCCCCTTTGTATTCCGCTTAGGGTGTGGGTTCCTCAACGATCGCCGTTAATGACCGGAGTACTCCGTTCGTTTCTTTTTTCCATATAAGTATAAAAGACTTTCAATGCCGAACTGCATGACTATCTCCGCACTCGCCATTTGAGCCTGAGAACTCTATCTGACCAGTTAGGAGCCATCACCACACGTAGATCTCCCACAATATGTCGAACACAACCGACCCCGACCTTCCAGTGGCCGAAGCAACCGCCGGCCACGTATCCTCCGTGCTCGACCGCGCCGGCATCCATCATATTCTTTGGGGTCAACTGGCCTTTGTTGTCTACGGTGCGAAGTTCCCCTGCAATAACGTTGAGTTCGTCGTGCAAGAGGCTGACATGACCCGGGCAGTCAACAACCTGCTCACCGCGGGCTTTGTGCCCGTGACTGACAATGGTCACTGCAGCTACTACCGGATCCCCGAGGAGTCCCACCCCGAGAAGGTCTTCCACCTCGACACAGTCAACGTCAACGGGGAGCATACCCGCTTTGACGTGCGCGTGTTCCCTATGCGCTGGGCGCTTCCCGGCAATCGCGAAATCGGCTACCGCGTCATCTTCGACCACCTGGCGCGGCGCGATCTGATCCTGGCCACCGATGAACGCCTTCCGGGAGCCTTCCGGCACGAGCGGTACCCCGTGCGCATGCTCGCCCCCGTCCATTACCTCCAGTCGATGCTCGCGCGGTATCTGACTGCAGACTGGGGGCAGACGTCCATCCGGCAGTTCGGGGAGGAGTGTATCGAGCCCCTCCTCTTGGAGGAAATCACGGAGGAGGGCTTCAATGTTACCCTGTTGCATTCTGCTTACGAAATGATATATAGCGCCATCATGACGGCGGATGGTGAGGATGACCTGAAGCAGGTGGCCCTGCAGGTTCGGGCAGACTTTTGGCCCGTGTAAGGATTGTAAATCTCCGGTTGCGTAGAGGTTCTTCTTTAGGTAAATCCAATAGAAGGTTCTTCCACATATCTTCATTTTACTCTTGTGCAGGTCGCGATCGTATTCACTTGGGTAAACTAGTACCGTAGGCAATTGGACGTGCGACAGTGTATACTTACTAGATGACCGGTTCCAACCCTCCTGTTGCCCCTGTGGGCCACTTGGGGGCATGAGAGCTCAATAGTGACTAATGTCTTCTGAGTGATAAGTGTGGGGAACTAGCCATATCCTAGATCTCATGCTCAATAATACAGCTATCGACAGCAGAGGTATCAGTGTCCCCTGGCTGAAATATGAATAGACACAAATGAGCATCTAACAGAAACCCGATGAATATACAAAACTAAAGGCCTTTCCTCTTTCGTCAATATCACCTTCCCTCAGAGCAGTGTCCAGCTTTGCAGCCCTCACACAGTGACCTATTCTTGGGACCGTTATTCTCCCCACCATACACTGGGGCCCTCCATCTCGATTCCACTCCATTTTTTGAAGCGATACGCGACCCGCTCCGCGTACGAGTCACCAAGAATCGGTTGGTTGAGCCGCCTGTATTCCTGGTAACGCTGGTAGTATACCCGTGCGTTGTATCTGTCTCCAGTATACATCGGAATGGTGATCGCAATCTTCTTGCTAGACCACCCAGTCGAACCGCATTCATCGTTAGGACAACTGAATCTGCCCGTAATATTTGTCTCATAGGTGTGGAGCGCGAAGTCATCGTCCTTCGAGTGAAAGCGAAAATACAGGTCGGACTCCCCGAGGAGGGCCGCCACTTGAGAGTGCAGGGATGGATACATTGACCATCGCCGGGTCGATTTGTGCTTTCTGGCTGGCATGTTGAATGGGCTTTTCTATGTCTTTAATGGTAGCAGAGGTCGAGAGCAGAATTGACAGCAATGCATGCCATGCCAGGTATTGTCGTGGTGATCCTGTCGAGTGTCAAGGTGTCCTCAGATAACACCAGCTGAGTCTGGATCGCCATCACGATGGCGTAAGTTCCAGACCTACAAAGATTAAGCCTATGTTTGGCCTCTCTTGGTTGTACCGATCATGCCATGCTTGGGTCTACCATTGCTAGCAATGAATATGGCGATAACCTCACTTGGTATCTCCTGGCCTGGTCTCAAGGCCTGGTAGACCCTGACAACCGATAATTGATCTGCTGTAGATATTCATTGTGATGTTGCTTATCCCTGCCATTAATCCTAACAACCTGAATGGCAATTATGGTCAGGTTGCAGATTCCAGCCACCTGCTGTGGGTGCCATCCACTTCTTCTCACATGCCCACCTTAATCGGCTTCCCGACCGGGTATGTGGAGGATCCACCAGTGGTTGCAAGGCAGAGTACACAAGAACAAAAAGTAAAGAAAGAGATGCAAATCTGAAGCTTATATGTGGATAAGATTAGGTATGGGCTCAGATTGTATATAAGACGCATCATTGACATGAATAGAACTGACCTTCTAGAAATAATTTAAGATTTAGGCTGTATTTATAGTTTAATCCCTACTATCAATCAGGTAGATATTTCCTAAATTGGCGGATCCGATCTACAAGAGAATGATAACATGTTTATGATGTTGAGATTATATTAAGGAATAACAATCATAATAGGATATGGTAAGCTTATTTTAGGAAACAGCCTGGGGAAAATTTGCTTGCCTTTTATCTAATAATTAGGCCTTATTCCCTATTGTTCTTTGTTAGTCAGATTAAAAAAACAGATCCAATTCATTCATCTAATAAGAAAACATATTAGAATCAACATCCTATCTATTGGCTTATTTATAATATCTTTTACTTTCCTTTTACTTCACCTTCACCTCACTTCTGTTAGTCAAACACATATAAAAGTGAAGTCTGAGTGAGAGATAGTAAATAATAGACTAATAGGTAGTACTCTGAAAAAAGATAACATTGGGTAATCAGATAAGATAACCATCCATCAGGATGGTAAGGTGGCCGAGTGGTTAAGGCGTTGGATTTAAGAGGTGATTGTTTGTCACCTTGAAGTTCCCCAATGACGAGAGTCTCCAGGGTTCGAACCCCTGTCTTACCATTGTTTTTACACTCACCGCCTCTGGATTCTGCCGGCAGTATACCTTCCCCGCCTGCTTCCCGGTCTAATCCTGAAGTCTGTCTGTGTTTCCCATGCTCTCAGGCCACCAGAAATAATAATAGTTTATAGCGGATACTAGCCGCCATCTATTCAAAATCCCCACCCTCTTCAGCATTTTGTTTCATATTCTGCCGCCACAATAAATCGACATTCTTTAAACTTCAGTTCCCTGCTTGTTTGGAATTGTACTCGGAAGCATGCTTGGAGAGATGCTTACGAAGGTGCTACAAAGGTGCTTATACCCCTAATTGAGAATCCCCAGTTATATAGTAAGGGCACTTGGGAGATAATTATATCTACAGAATAGCAGTATTCATCTGCTGTACTGGTGATAGAGAACATGAGTAGTATTAGAACTCAGATACAGTGCTTTCTTGCTAGGCGGAGGCATGGCAGCCAGCCTATTCTGAGACTTTGTTACCACAGGGCTGTTCGGACTCGGGCTCGTCGCTGGACGCCCTTGTACATTTTGCTGTAGAAGGTGGCACTAACTTTACCTGTGAACCGTCATCCAGGATCTAACCACTGCCCAGGAAGATTCTTAAATTGTCATCAACATTCTTATTGCTTGGGTGGATGTAAATGTGCCGTCTGCGTTGGTCTTTCAGATCATGAACTGTGGCACCATCAAGCCAGTCATCCAAGCTATTTATCTTCAATATAGCTTCCAGGGGATTTGTTGACACAGTTGGATACAGAAATTTTTGTTCCCGCTTCTCATCTTTTAAAGTCATTTGGAAAACCAAACGGGATGCTGGGTTGTTCGTTGTCTCAGGGGAAACAAAGGCTTTGGAATGCCTTTCTCCTAGCGGAGCGAGCTCGAGAAGCTTTCAATCATAATCCGAGACACTGTATGAATGCGTAATCTCATGCCATATAGTTTGCACTCTTCTTCCTTCTTGTGGCCTGACCCCCAGTGTTGCCCTAGGTAATAACGCCTGTTCAGGAGGCTCACCTGTATCTGGATCTCTTATTTTGATAGCTCTCCGTAATCACACTGCACTCTAGACACCTGGTTTTCGTGACTGGTCTCACTGGCACTTCTGGACACTCGTGTGACCTCAACCTGAGCTTTTCCGCTCTGGGAAGACGCTGTCAACCCTGTCGCTTCAAGGTCATCCCTCTCGGCCGCTGCAATTGCCGCAGTGAGTTCCTCCTCACTGAAGTCCTCGACACTTAGTACGCTACCTGAGCCCGTGGGATTATCCTGAGCTTCCTTGCGCCACTCTTCCTGCATCCCGGCATAGAGATCCTTCATTGCCTGGACCTTCTCCTCAGAAGAGACACGTGGGTCATTCATCATCTTCTTCTTCTTCGGCGTGTGACTGATGGTTGACATGGTTTTGCCTTGAGGTATTCGCGGTAAACTTATCCAAGCAAGTAAAGAGATGCAGCAAGCGACCCTCCAATGGCTTCAAACCGCTCGAGCGCAGCTTTTGCGCGATAACCCTTGCAATCCTCCCAAGCGAGAATACCGGGTTCGGTCTCGTCTGCGGTCGTCTTCTGCTTGCCGCATTCATCTCTTTCATTGTAATAAATATTTATTATCTGTCGACCCATTAGTGCTCTCTCGTAGAATTTCGTATTTGCAGTACTAAGCCCTGCCACGACCGCACTGAACCTGAAGATCTCACACCATTGAACCACCTGCCGTCCAGTGTTGCCATAACATTGACAGTGGCCTTGGTGCGTGGATTTAAGCCCTTCTTATGCAATTCTTTTCGATCTCAGCAAAGACTGTCACATTGATTCCTCTGGATTCAAGGTGGATCGGTGTCTCTAGCCTTAGGAACCGTGCCAATTCAGCATCATTGAAATGATAATCCGTAGATTGCTTGCTTGAATAAGGTTCTTGTTCGCCTGGGTTATGATATCAACTTCGGCTGGCCGTATCCGCTGAAGGAGAAAGTTGTCGAGAGCTTGATTATCTCCTGGGTGAAAGTAAAAGGCCAAATGAGCGAATTCTCTGGAGTAAAACTACTTTCTTGGAGGCCCCAAGAGGCGGTACACTCCCCGACAGTGCCGTTTAACGGTGGTTGGTCCTCTCTGAGATAACTGTGTTGATCTAGAACAATCCCGACCAGGACGTTGAGGGTACCTCGAGGCTTTACAACCTCTCGGGGCTCTCTAACAGCACCTTTCACGACTCTCAGACAGTGATCCATGTCAAAGGTTTGATCCGTAGGGCCGTGGTGTCTAGTGGGCTCAAATTCGGCATCTCAAGCTGATCTCTTGCCTCCTTAGTCATGATCTCTAGTTACTCTTGACGCTTGAGAGCATTTTCAGTCCGGCGTAACACGGGCTGGACTCCTCCCCGTCGCTTCGACCGATAAGTCGGACATGCCCTGATCTCTGGGTCTGGTGAGCCCTCAAGCTGCAGTGAGTACCTGTGTCTTACATTAGGGGCAAGTGAGATTCCCTGGAGCAGAGGTGGGACAACGTTCAAGCCAATTGCTGCGTACTCTGCCTTACCGAAGTATTCTTCCAGAATCCCTGGCGCCAGAGACTGGAAGCATCTGCATAAGAACATCTCCAGAATATTCGCAAAGACCATAGGGATATGGCAACTGATATGGTCTAGAGTCCATAATTTAATGAAGTTAGTCGCGCGGTGTCCATCCTCCTTCGCCACTGTATGGTAGTGCAGGGTACCGTCATTTCGCTTAATGATAGCCACGAGGTGCTGCAGGGCTCGGTTCTTGGGGTTCTCCGATTGCCCTACATATGGGCGCCAATAATCTGCGTTGCAGTCATCGGTGACAAAGCTAAGGTAGCCCTTGCCACGCTGCCATTCCTCTGCCAAAGCCTGCTTTTCACGGACTGTCTGCAACCTACATTTTGTTAGTACAAACTTTTATCGCGGAAAGGTAACCTTCTCCTGCATCTCTGTAGTCATGGCCTTGTTCTCAAACTATATTATTGCCGGGTGAAGAGCGTTTTGTCAAGATATCGACGCATTCATCTATTGTTCCTATCGCCGAAATCGGATCCGTGTATGGAATATGACGAAGTTCTGGTCTTTCTTCTTCGGTAAGGGCTCGGAGCAAGTGGGCCAAGGTTCTCTAAATCGGCAGAGACTTGATCTCGGGGCAGGTGGCGGACGATTTTAGGTGGCGGAAAAGAGAAACTGGTTAGTGATCTATTATAACCCTCAACACCAGATAGTGGGAAGGCTATAGTCCGAGAGGACTGGGACTTACTGCATTTGATGCACTTGAACTTCTTTCCTCAGCTACGGTTGGCTGCGCTCGACTCGGGAAGCGTTCTGGAAACAAACGACTTCGTGGTCCTGGCTGAAATGTAGATGGCAAGTTGATATGAGAGTCTTTGTACAATTCCAAGGATTCATTAAAGAAGAATACCCCTTCTTTGGAAGATACTACAGAATTGAGTAGCTACAGTATAGTGTACAGTTTGCTATCACAAACAATTGAGTTGATGCTTCCTTGCTCTCAGTACAGGCCAGATATTGTTTACTCGTAATCGATAATGATGGCAATGATGACGACGATGATGTTAAAGATGAATATCGCTTCTGGCAGCCATATAGGCCGTTAGGATACCGATGACGCCCAGGGATGTGCAACAAAGAATCCTTGATGCTTGAGACTGAGTCATCTGCGTGTGAACTCTGTTGGTGAATCGCTTCAAATCAAGTGGTCGGATCCCCCAGGCATCCATGATGCCGACAAACCTTTCCTAATCCGTCATATGTGAAGCCAACGCACTTTCCCAAAGCGGAAATAAACAAGAAAACCGCGCATCTGATTGTGCATCTCTTGTTTGTGGCAGAAAACTCTCGCTCGTGGCTTCTCACCTTCTTGGTGGCTCATACCCATGGCGGCAATTCTCGTTAATACGATTGAATCTGGTTAGAGCCACTGCCTTTCTTCTCGAGTAGACTCCATAAGTCTCTGATATTGTTGTGGTGAAGGAAAGGACTCAAGGATCACACCGAATAAAGGCTCTAATACCAAGCCGATAGTGATTTTATCCTTTCCCTGTCTTGCTCCCAACATCTTTGTCGTCACTTTGATCGGCTGGAGCCAGTTTGATGAACTTATCCCAAGCGCAATAAACACGGGGTTGCGCTTTCATACTAATACTCAAGGCGCCAATTCTTGGAACAAGTAAGAATGCATTGAGGCTTCGCAATCTCCGGGATCTTAGTAGGTAATATCTTGTATAACTGCTAAAAAGGGCCTATGTAAACTGTGGTCACAAACTTAACCTTATACAGTCTCCGTATCGGATGTTTACAAGATCACTGGCATGCACATCAAACGGCGGGAGAATTATCGACCCAGCAAGGTGACCGGATTCTTCCATATTGACCGTGCAACAGTCACCGCTTGGTTGAACTGAACACCAAGAACTCCAGTTCGTCCTACTCAAAAGGGATCAGGGTCCGAAGTGCCTTCACGTTTATCGCCGAGAGACTTGCTTGGCCGTCACACTGTGCGTCGATCGCGAGGGTCCCTGCATCGAAACCGATAAACCACAACCCCCGTTCCTTTTCATCTTGGGAAGAATTTTGGGGATAAAATCACATCCCCAAACCAACTTTGCAATTTCCCCTTAATTGCAAAGCTTTATCGGCCGGGTCAGGACCGATGCCATTGGCCCATCGGTGCTTACACCCCACTATGCCGTCAGAGTTTTCTACCCACTTCGGGTATAGAGGCTCCGCGATATCAACACTATCGATGTTAGCTTCCGGAACTCCGAGCAGGTGGGCGACCAGGGAGAAAGAAAAAGCCACAGCCGTAATGTTTTTTTTTTCTTGTTTCTCTCGATTCCCGACGTTGATCATATCGGCTTGGGGCAGGGAAAAGTTCTCCACAGAGGAGAAGGCAGCAGCCGGCCCGGTCGACTTTTCAACTGTCAACTGTGAGTCTGTGACGTCCTCTCGCGTCACGGCTGTGTTGTCCAGCCTCGTTTAACACATCCACTCTTGGAATTTCTGGGCACGGCACTGCATGGGAAAGGAAAAAGGGGAAGAACATCCAGTGGATCCCCACTTGGCAGGCAGCAATGAGTCAAAGGGCGCTAAATGCTTGACCTCATTTCGCATAACAACTTCTTCAGTAAACTACTATGAGTGACTAGGCTTCGCTCATGTTAGTCGCTGCTTGCGGCCTCCCTAAAGGGCTTAGAGTCTACAGCCAACCTTCCCAAGTGTAAACACCAACTTCACCGAGTGACCGAGGATCTGGTGGGCTGCCAAGCGAGAGCCTCCGCCTTATCGTCCCACCTTGCAAAGTCAAATCGTCGAGAAAGGGTCGAAGGGTTCAAGTGCAAGGTTACATAGCCCCATAGCCAAGGCCTCTTATCACTGTTGTGGCTTAGTTTCGTGACTAGGTAGGCATACTTAGCGGGGCTCCCAGACTCACGCGTGCCAGTTCAGGGACCGTTGGTGGAAGTCTAAGCGATAAACCAGGCGCAGGCGCACCCTTCAAAACCCCCTGCATCCTTTGCATCTCTGCAGTCTGCCCCCTCCAGCTCGATCGACACCATCGCCTACCCTGCCAGTCAACCCAGCAGTCGATCATGAGGAACACTCTTCTCCTTTCGTTGGCCTGTCTCGCGCAGTCAACAAGCGCTCTCACTCTGCACGAGCGCGCCCAGCCCGCTACAGTACAATATGATATCCATCGGCGACAGGGCTTGCGCCATGCTCGCCACAAACGATCGGCGCCGGAGACAGATATCGACAACGAAGTAAGCTCCCATGCTGGCCGATGTGATGTAGACTGTCTAACAATTGCTCCAGGAAACGTATTATGCGATCACTTTAAACCTCGGCACCCCCTCACAGGCGGTGGAAGTGATTCTGGACACCGGCAGCAGCGATCTCTGGGTCAACGCAGGGAACTCGAGTTCCGACAACCCCTACGGAGTCTTCGATTCATCCTCTTCCTCCACATTCAAAGTTGTCAACGACGAGTTCGCCATCATGTATGTGGACGGAAGCGGGGCCATTGGCGACTACGTGACCGACACCGTCGCCTTTGGGAACGTAACCCTGACCGACTTCCAGTTTGGTCTGGCTGAGGAGAGCAGTACCCAACGTGAGTAGCCCCTCTGCGACCGCTTCCTCTTTATTGGTTTCCCATTCCACTGACCACGTACACAGAGGGCGTATGTGGCATCGGATACGCCAGCAACGAGTACGCCGACCTCCGCAACGACGAGGGATACGCGAACCTGCCGGAGGCCCTCGTGAACCAGGGCTACATCAAATCCGCCGCGTACAGCCTGTGGCTGGACGACATCGACGCGGGCGAGGGCACGATCCTGTTCGGCGGGATCAACACGGCCAAGTACACCGGCAGCCTGCACACCTTGCCCATCCAAGCCGAACAAGGCGAGTACTCGGAGCTGGCGGTCAACCTGAGCGGCGTGCACGTCACCAAGGCCGGAAAATCGATCAGCGTCAATAACACCGCCTTCCCCGCCGTCAGCGTCCTGGACAGCGGCACCTCGCTGACCTACCTCCCCACGGGCACCGCCATGGACATCATCGGCGCCGTGGGCGGCGAGTACTACGAGAGCCAGGGGCTGGCCGTCCTGAAATGCGACGCCGCCAGGAAGAGCGACTACGAGATCGTCTTCGCCTTCTCCGGCTTCAACCTCTCCATCCCCCTGAGCGACATGCTCCTGGAAGCCAGCTTAGGGTACTGTGCCCTCGGCGTCGCTCCGGAGAGCGAGACCGCGAGCGGCGGCATCTACCTGCTGGGCGATACCTTCCTGCGCAGCGCCTACGTCGTCTACGATCTCGCCAACAACGAGATCCACCTCGCCAAGACGAACACCAACCCCGGGCCCGACCATGTCCTGGAGATCGGGACGGGAGCCACGGCCGTGCCCCAGGTGACGGGGACGCCGAACACGCAGACTGCGAGTGCCGCGACCGCGACCGCGACGGGGAAGAGCGGCAGCGGCAGTGGGAGCAGTGGCAAGGGCAGTGACAGTGACTCGGACGATAAGAAGGAGAACTGGGCCCCTGCGTTGCGCACTGACTTCGCATCTCTCTTCGCCAGTGTGTTCTTCGTGACCCTGCTCTTGGCGTTGTAGATGCTCGGTTGTCCTTGTGAATGGGAGCCCCCCGCTGTATATATTGTTCATATGTATTAATGATGATGAGCCGTATCGACTTGTATATATGCCACACCCTCTCCAAATATGATTGCAAAGGCTTACTGCCGCGAGCCTTCCCAACAAGTCTCTCTTCCACTAGCCTACTGTCCGGGCTCCAATGGAATCGTATGTGCGACGTATAGCGTAGAATCGCGGTGTACTGCGTTCGACAGGCTAGTAGCCCGACATGTAATGCGCGTGTAGATGATCGCTTCCGCGAATAACCCCCAAGACTAGGTAGTTCCGGTTATTTCCCTCCGGCCCCTGAGCGGAACGATCCCCGACCCGTGGTTCGAGGATTAAGGCACCGTGGCCATTCCCGCCCTATGCTCCCTTTCAAACAAGGTTCTGACGACTGCAACCCAAGCTAAGTGACGATTATCTGATGACCAAATGAGATTAATGTATACTATACCAGTACTATGAAGACTAGCACTTTCCCACTGATAAACTTAAAAACTCTTGTCTTGCTGTCACAAAGGATACCCCTGCACCCGCCGGGATGACTAGTGAAGCCCTAAGGAAGCCGAGGGCCAGCCAAGCATCCGTCTCAGAACACAATCTGCAAGTTCTTGGATGTGCTGAATGCTGGAATCTCTATTGTTTAACAGTGCGTGTCCCTTATTGACAACAGGCTCCCAGAAGTGTCACCAACGGTCGGATTGAAAGGCAAGACGAGCGGCGGGTGCTTGGCAATGGAATATGCTACACGAACAAAGCAGTCCGTAAGTCTGCACTTCGCCCGGACAGCTTCAGGGAACCAGAGGAGCCCGATGTCACTACAAGTTGAAGTGCCCTGGAGAAGATTGTATTGTACCTATAGATACGCTACATTATGTAGATAAGCCTAGCCCCCCCCCCCCCGCACTGCAGGTCCGGGAAAGCGGGTTAGTGCAGCCGCCACCCTCATCTGGGCATGATAGCAACGACCCTCTATAAATCGCACATTGTCGCTCGAGAGATCATGGCAACATCCAAACAAAACTCATCTTGACAGCCATGCATTTCAAACGCACCATCAGCATCGTGGACTGCCACTGCGCCGGGGAAGTCGGCGACGTGATCGTGGGCGGCGTGCTCGACCCGCCCAACTGCAGCACCATGTACGAGAAGCTGGCGCATTTTCGCGACCGCGAGGACCACATCCGCCAGCTGCTGCTGAACGAGCCCCGCGGCCGGCCGGCCATGTGCATGAACCTCGTCCTCCCGCCGTGCAACCCCAAGGCCGACGCGGGGTTCCTCATCATGGAGAGCGAGGAGTACCCGCCCATGTCCGGGGGCAATCTCATCTGCACCACCACCGTGCTGCTGGACACGGGCATGGTGGCGATGCAGGAGCCCGTCACGGAGCTCCTGTTGGATACAGCTGCTGGCCCCGTGGCCGTCACCGCCGACTGCGCGAATGGCAAATGCACCGCGGTCGCGTTCCACAATGTGCCCTCGTTTGTCTTTGTCCTAGATCTTCCCGTCGAGGTCCCGGGGTTGGGGACAGTGTCTGTGGATATTGCTTGGGGTGGGATGATCTATGCAATTGTTGACGCGACGAAGATTGCGGGGGGGTGGAAGATTGAGAACCGCAATGGGCCGAAGTTGATTGAGATCGGGGAGCGCATCAAGCAGGCTGTGCAGCAGAGTGACTTCGTGCCTGTGCATCCGGACAACCCCCAGATCCGAGGCGTTAGTATCTTGGAGTTCACTGAGCCGTTGACTGGGTCTGCTTTGACGGGCGATTTGACGGCTGTGAACACGGTGGTGGTGTCGCCTGGGCGGTTTGACCGGTGTCCCTGTGGAACGGGGAGCTCGGCACGCATGGCGGTGATGCATGCGCGGGGCCAGCTGCAAGTAGGGGAGAAGTTCCAGCACCGCAGCATCATCGGCAGTAGCTTCGAGTGCTGGATTGAGGGGACCACGCGGGTGGGCCAGTACGAGGCGGTGCTTCCGGTTGTCAAGGGCAGTGCATGGATCACCGGGTTTCGTCAGGTGGGGTTAGATCCCACTGACCCGTTTCCAGTGGGCTTCAGGGTTGGAGATCAGTGGCATGTAGCGGATGATGCTCGAATTCCCGAGGACTGATAGTGAATGGTGGGATCAAATATTGAGGGCTAGTCTATCCGGAGTGAGGATTACCCCGCAATGCGGTGCGGGGCATACCGTGTGAATATCAATGCTAGCCCTTTAGCGTGAGGTCTCGAAATCTTACATAAAACGAGCTTTGTACCCCAAATCACACCTACAGTTACTTCCACTCAGGTTGTATTCTGGTACCAGTTTCGGAGAGACGAATCACATGATCGGAGAGATCACAAAACCGGGCATCAAGACCTGGTGCAACAGATGAGGTAAGTAGGTCACACAGGGACCATGGACGAGTTCGATGGGTACTTTCTACTCCATTCGATAAGACCGCTTACAGGATGGATAAGGAATAGACAAGCAGCGAACATAGTCTCATCGGAGGTGTCCGTGGCTTAAGGCTAGTGGTTGTGTATACCTTGGGATCACCTTCGTCATAAACCACCCATGCGAAAGGAGGAGACGGAAAAAAGAGAGCAGGGAGAAGAGAATCAGAGGGGCAGGGCAACAAACAAGAAGGAGAAATATGATGTTGAGTTCAATGGCGAGCCGGAGATTGCCCCATGTGGTGGATTCCAGGCAATCTGGGAAAGATCGGCCGATGGAACCACCTTATCCACAGCCTGCGAGTGGAGCGCAGTTCCTCACTGAGTCACTGGACACGCGGCAGCTGAGGCGGTGAGCTCCTATGGCCAGTCAGGGACCAGGGGTTCTCCAGTGGCTGGCTGTAGCACAGGTGAATCAGCCACAGCATTGCGGTATTTATCTATACCCCTCAACATCATATCTCTTGAACCAGTCCTCCCTCGACACACATTCAAACCTACACTCAACACTTCAACACATTCATCTTCCACAGTCAAGCTCTTGGCATATCTCGAGATGCCCGTCACAATCCGCACCGCAGACCACAGCACCCGACAATGGTACAGAGAGCGCGTAACGAGCGACGAGATGCTCTTGGAGCAGTCCTGCGAGGATGAACACAAGCAAAGCCAGCGCATCATCCGGAGCGGCTTCTCCCACCCCTTAGAAAACAATCATGTCACCGGTGCAAGCAACGGCTTCGTCGACGCCCTCTTTGAAGCCTACTGCCACCATCACGACTTCACCGTCCGGCCCGAGGACATCTGGTTCGCGATCCTCAGCCAGGTCTCCTTCTACATCAACGCAAACGCCGAGAAGCTCCGCTCACAGTTCGTCACCCACGAGGGGCGCAAGCAACTCAGAATGTACGCTGGTGGAACCATTGACACGGTCGACTTCGGCGCGATTGCGCTCGCCCTGTCGACCGCGATCCAGGAGAACGTGGTGGACCCGGGCCTGCGCGCCTGGGTCATGCCCGACTTCAGCACCACCACCGCAAATGACCGCGTGGTGGCAGCGATCCTGCTGATGGGGAGCATGCAGGAGTATTTCAGCCTGTCGGTCTTCCTGCTCTGCGGTATCCCCAGCGTGACCATGCTCGGCGAGCGGCGGGACTGGGAGTTACTGGTGGAGAAACTGGATCGGCTGCCCGCTTTAGGGGATGAGCCGGCGCGGTTCGCGGCGCTGCTTCGTCCGGTGCTGACCCGGTTCGTGGCCTGCTTTGATGATCCGACGGGTCCGGCGTCGCGGGAGTTCTGGGGTCGGTGTGTACACCGGTTTATTCCGGGGAGTGGGGAGGACTTTCTGTCGGGCTGGGTCACGGCGTTTTGCTTCTGGACTGGGCAGGGCCAGTTGATTCCTGACACGGGTTTGCACAGGGGGGCGGTAAAGTGTGAGCTTGACGGCGTACGGTATCCTTACATCAACACGTCGGCTATCCCCCCGGGACTCTCCTCGGTGCCGGTGCATGTGAATGATAATGGGGTGGACTATGACACGGTGATGGTGGCGGGGATGATCGGGATTGATGCCAAATCCAGTGGCCGGCCACTGGAAGAGCCTCTCGGTGACGAGATTACGGGCTTGGATTCCCTGCAACCCGTCGCGGGCTGGGTGATGTATCACAAGAAAGACAAGTCGGAGGAGGAGAAGGAGTGTTAAGAGAGAGTATCTGATTCTTCAAGATAGCTAGTCTACTTTGTGAGCTGATACTCACGACAACGATGTTGCTACCCTTATAACACCCATCCCTTCCATATCACAGACCCAGTTGCCCGTCTTGGGTTTCTTCCAATCCTTTCTTTTCTTTATCCTGTCACGACAGAGTCTCATAAGAATAATATTGCCTGGTAGAATAACCAATATCGTTATCCATCCATTCCGCTACCCTACCTCTGTCTATTCAGTCTATTGGGAATTTTCCCTTTTCCCTGTGGGTCTTCAGTGGAGCCCCAATGCTCTTCCAGGCTAGAGAGTCTCTATCACAAATTACTCTCAGGTGACGAGAAGAACATTGTACTCTGGGGAAAATATCCCCGGGCTTTGGTGCCCATCTTCATGCCCCATGGCTGTAGTGATAGTCGTATGTTGGGCCGGATTAGGGAAGTGGAGAAACTGCACGTTGATTAAGGGGCTTGATTTCTAGGTATTTCAAATGAAGTGAGATCATAACCACGTTTTTGACGCACGAAAAGGAGGGGGAAGAGCCTCAAAGCCTCCTTGCGAGAAGATGAGTCCATTGGCTAGACTTTCTATGTATACAAGCCCACCTCCGCTTGTCCAGTGATGTGTCAAATGTAGCCCCACTGCCCCTCAAGCGGAATGCTAGCAGTTTAGATAGCATGATCGCAGTCGACCAGCACGGTTCGCGCCCTGAACAGCACAAACTCCTTTATGATTTCAAGTTCACTATAGAGTGAGTTGCAAAGGCTAATCCACAGGACTGATCCCTAACTGCGTTTTAGCTCCACGCCCCTAGAACTCGGAGTCGAGAACACGCTCGAAAAAAGGCTAGACAGTAAGAACACCCTAACAACAGGTACACGCGCCCTATATATGCACCCATAACCTAACACCTTCCGTAGCGATCGTCCAGGTCTGGTACAGCACCATTGACAGCATGAACGAAAGCCTGTTCAACGGGACCTCTAACAGCATTGATATTCTCCATGACCGACGGCAAGCTGCTGGAAACCAGCTTCGACACGCCCAGCGACTCGGACATCACTGCAATGGTGGAGAAGGCCATATTTGGCCTGCTGATTCCACTGACTTGGACTCTTTCGCCCGACACTCACAAGGCTGTGTAAGTCTAATCATCATGTCGATAAATCGATTCAGACGGCATACTAACTACCCATGTTCTTTTCTTAGGGTGGTTGATTCGCAGTCAACATGCGACACATCCAACCCACTCTCCTCCTACATCTCCAGCAGCGTGGCCAATTCGGGATACGTGTGCTACAATAACAACATCTACTATCTCGTGGATGTGGTGAGCCTCGATCGGTACTGTCAGTCGAACTCCCAGGATGGTCAGCTCTGTCGCGATCCGACCGTGAACAAACTTCCAGGGATTGGGGAGTTGGATGGAAGCAGCTGGGGAGGAATCACTGTTGAGGATTTGGTCGTTGGGTATGTATCTCTTGTTGCTGCAATGGCAGCATCCGTCAAGAAAACCATCGATTAGGACTAGTCAGTTGTGAAAGTTCGCATGACATTGAAGGCGACCATGCTGGGCTGGCTTTTAACTTCTCTACGCAGGAACTGATTTCTTGTTTTCCTGATACGGCGAAGCGAGTTTGAGCTCTCTTGTATAGTCTCTGATCGCAGAGTTTTCTTTAATTAAGCTCATGTCAAGATCAGACCTCTGTTGACTACCTTGATCTCATCCCCCAACCGATTCAAAACACTCATTTGTGTACTGTACGCATGACTACCAACAGATCAGTCCCACGTTTTAGAATACTCCCACGTCTGTCTCTCCCACTCCGGCCCCGCCAAGATCTTCGGCTCCAGCCCCAGCCCCCGGTACCCAGTCTGCACAGCTTTCAGCACGTCCCGATAATCTTCATCCTCCAGCTCAGATTCCGTTGACGTACAAGTGGCAAAGAAGCTCACATGCACCAGCACACCGGGCTGTTCCACCTTCTTCTTCTCCTCCTCCTCCGCAAAGGGCTCGAGCAACCTCCCGAGTTTCGGTTCAGCATCCTCACTCCACCAGATGATCCCGTCGGGGCAGTTGTAAGCGTCGATGTCCTGGTGGAAGAATAGCACTTCGAACAGTGCTTCCATGCGCAAACCACCTTCCGTCTTCTGGGAAACGGGTCTAGTGTCAGTTCAACCCTTCAACCTTTCTTCTCCTGTTCCTGTGTGACTAGATTGATGGGGAGATCAAGGGGAAGACAAAAATCGGTCTCATTTCCGGGGTCTCGGAAGTGTGCAGCGTGCATACCATTATTTCATATGAGCCGCCATACCCGAGTTGCCCGCCACTATGTTGCACGATGCCGAAAGACGATGTCGGTGGCTGCTGGATAAGCATGGTGCGCCAGCTTGCTTCAGGGCGCAGGTACGCTGTTCGCTTGGCCGGGTGCGTGATGAGTTCTAGGTCGGCGATGTTAAACTCTTGGTCGCTGCGTGGGGAGATAGCTTTGTTGGCGTGGAAGATTGCGGGGAAGGCTGTTGTTAGAAGAGGGTTGAAGATCGGTTCCGGTGAATAGTGCCTGTTGGTTGTTGCTCGGGGCTTGAAAAATAGCTTTTCCTGCAAAGCGGAGGACCCTTGGACTATACTTCGCCATTGGGTGCAGACCCGCTGGGCTGAGGTCAGGAGGGTTCCCAGATCGAGAGAGAGAAAGATGGGCTCAAGGAGCTCGGGGAGAGCGAGGACTTGGTTCATTGGTCAGAGGTCCTGGAGGCGAGGCAGGGTATAGTGAACTATATCTCGACTATATGATCTTACGTTGTAAGTGCTCGAAGAAGTCATTTAAAGAATGCGGAAGGAGAAGGCGGGGAGCGGAAATAGTCAAGCGTGAGAGGCAGAACCCAAAGTACGGGTGAGATTTTAGTGTCTCTTTAGCCCCAGCCACTTACACACCCTCAATAGTTACTCACAAGGGAAAGGTCAGAAGTATTACTGTGTTCTACCAGAACTTGACCTCGAACACATTCCTCGAATTGCTATTTCACTAATCAATCCATGATATGACTCTGGCAATCTCATACACCTTGTTAAGTTGAAGCTCCCAACCTCAAGCAACAGTATCTATTGTTGAAACGGCTTGATCGGCTTGGGCGGTTCCACCCAGTCAAACTTGCCCAACTTCTTGGTCAACCAGACATCCCCCGGCTTGTCCGCCATTCGCGGCGTCGAGTTATCGAACAACGAGCCACTCAGGAACGTGTGAGGGAACCCAAAGTCAAACGGATATGCACCCTCGATCTTCTGAATATCCTCATCACTGAGCGCCACGCTCAACCCAGCCACGCTGCCCTTGAGGTGGTCGACCTTCCGGGCCCCAACAATGGGGAACACGTAGGGCGCCTTCTGCATCACGTAGGCCAACGCCACGCTGACGAGCTCCGCGCCGTTAGCGGTGCCGATATCCTCCAGCACGGCCGAGACCTTCTTATCGTGCTCGGATGTGGGGATGAACTTGCGGCCCGGATTATGCTTCTCGCGCTCCTGGAACCCCCGGCGCGTCTGGAACCGGCCCTGGTTGAGCACCCCGTAGGGACACAGCGCCATTCCCTCCTCCCGCGCCATGGGGATAATATCGCGCTCGAAATCCCGCATCCCCGCGCTCCACATCCCCTGGTAGACGGCGAAGGGCCGCAGGCCGTGGTCGCGGGCGTACTGGTTCGCCTTGGTGACGACCCAGGCGGGGGTGTCCGAGATGCCGAGGTAGATGACCTTGCCGGCGACGACGAGGTCGTTGAGGGCGTGCATGAGTTCCGGGATCGAGGTGGTGTAGTCCCACCAGTGCACGTAGAGCAGATCGATGTACGCGGTCTGCAGCTTTTTCAGGGAGGCCTCGACGCTGACCCTCATGGACTTGGCGTTGTTGCCGCCTAGTTGAACGTAGTTGGACGGGGTGCGGCCCTTGTGGTGCGTCATGTACGGCGTCGTGTATTTCGTGGCCAGCACGATATGGTCGCGGTTCTGGCGCGCCGCCATCCACTCCCCCACCAGCACCTCCGACTCGCCTTCCTGGTACCCGCTCGCCGTGTCGATGAAGTTCCCGCCTTGCTCGTAGAAGTGGTCCAGCAGAGCAAATGCGTCTTCTCGCGTGCAGTCGCCGTACCGGCCCTGCTGGCGTCCGCCGAAGGTCATCGTCCCGAGGCAGAGGGGCGAGACGCGGACGGCGGCCGCCGGCGCCAGTTGGCGGTGGTGGAAGAGGGGGCTGTTATCGTTTGCGTTTTCGGCCATCTTGTGCGGCTGGCTTGTTAGTGATAGAGTTCAGTTGGGAAGATCGACGGATTGGTTTCTCTGTTGGCTAGGTGAATTGGTTTTATAGTATGTGGTGCTCAGCTCTTCCGAGGTGAATTTGACTGATTGAACTAAGCAAGAGGTGCCACTGACGTCAGTTTACCTTCTGAGTGGGGAACATCAATCACGGTCCTGAAGCCTAAACTGTGAAGAAGCCTGCTATATCCGCATGTTTTCTTTGGTTGATTGGTCTTATGCAGGTCAGCAATTAGACGAGATTTCGGAAAATGCGGAGATAGCGAGGGCTGGTCGAATGATGGAGATAAGAGTGGTCTCGGTCATCATTTAGGGTTGTCGATCCACTTATCTCTCGCGACACGTGATTGAGATGATGTGGATCTTGCAGGCCAAGACACGTAGTCTCCTGTGCGACTTGTATGCATTGATAAGAAAGTTCTATTCTTGTGAGACAATTTCAGATACAGCGTGAGTATGTAACACATCAATAAATGTTTCAGTACAACATTTCCGTCATTTCAGTGGGTCAGGAGGCGGACACAGAGCAAGAATCTGCGGTGTCACCGTTGTAGTCCGACTGTGCAGTTCAAGTGGTTCAGGAATTCTTGATTGGAGCATCATTTCAATGCATCACCAAAGTGACCATGTGACTTTGGGTCAAACTATAACACGTGAGGCCTATGCAGGGAGGTATATAATGAAAAATGAAGTCGGCATCCGTCTTTGATGAGTCGTGGCAGTATTATAGCATAGTCGACCTTCATTACTTCCGTCGCTTCTTTTCCTTCTCGGCTAAGCTTTTGTCGAGCTCTGCAATGCACCGTTGAAGAGTGGTGTTGCATTCTGACAGCATGGCCTTGAGCTCCTGGTTCTGGCGGTGCATATCAAGGAATGAGCGCTGCTCGGAAGCTTTGAATGATTGATTTACGTGGAGGTTGGTGCTTAGTGTGGGGTCATTTTGATCATTCGGATCATTAGCCGTCGAGCGCTGTGATGTTGTCTTTCCGTGAGTCTTTAGCTTCTTTGGGTGATTTTTTGCAGGTTCGCACTGCCTTACCATTTTGTCTTTGCTACTCATCTTTGTGTATGTATCCTGGAAGTCCCTCCTATTATCCGTTCTGAATCGTTCAACACCCAGATCATAAGTTGGATCAGGGCAGCTTTAATCTCTTAATATGGCCAATCCAGCTCCCTGCAGAACCGCAGGCGAGCGTAAAAGAATCCAGACTCCCAAAGAACCTACAACACATCATCTTCTCCACACCAGGATGAACCCCCTAACTGCCCGGGGATAGAAGTAGGGCTTATCGCGGCACCATCGGCGGCCGTTCCTGGCGATAGACCCCTAACAAAAGTACCGGGTCGGGTGATCGCCACCCCCTGATCAGGAAAAGGAAAGGCAACCGATGCACAACAAAGACCCTGCCGGGGTAATTTACCAATCAGAATTGCCGCACCACCGAAGCCTTGGAAAAAATGTACTTTACAAAATGCAAGCAAACACGCACGGCTCGGTAGAGCATCCTCGTGCGATATGAACCGTTGGAGACCGAATATCCGTTCCTGCCGCTCTAAGCGCTAGATGCCGGCATTGACCGTGTTTCGGAACGAGCCCACTCCGCACGCGTTGCATGAATCCAACGTGACTATACAGGTGTGTTTGCTCTGGTGCTATTTCGAAACGGAGTACTCTTGGTCTCTCCTGGCTTTGTGATGATTACAACTTCGGGATTTAGGGCATAGCTCCGCGGCAACTAGCCGGGCGGTCATCATGGCCATCACTACTCAGGAGTCTAGTTCCACTAGTAACTCTGTGGAAAAAGTCATTTCAACAAGGCTCTTGACAGGGGACAAGCTAGGGAGGGTTGTAATATGCATATTGTAGCAACACGCGCCAGGAGCGTTCTTGCATAGTCCAGCCATCACCGTAGTTTTCAGCATGCATGGTGGCTGTTTAGGCGACGGGAGTAACCTAATTCTGTACTTTCGGAAAAGCAATTATGGCAAATAGACAAGAAATAGGCCAGGGCCCACACGGTAGTGGTCTCGAACCTGACAACGCAGACATCTCACTGGTCAAAATGCAAATCCCGCATAGGTTGTGAACCGCACGACGGCTGTAGCTTCATGCGCGCTGAAAGGGAGCATGCTGTAGGCGGCATACTTGAGTTGGAGCTGCTCATAGGGCACACACTGCTGGTATTGTCACCGGAGGTCTTGGGATCGATCATCTTGGTTTTCAGGAGTGTAAGAAGCTTGAGTCAAATATGAAAAATATATCTTAGATGAAGTGAATAAGTAAGAATGCAGTATATTACAGACAATTGAAAGTGGACCACTCTGCATTGGAGCTGGACTTGTTCTCAGCTCCGTCAGGAACCCCGCTGTAAAAAGCCTGGATCTGAGGCAATTCCACGGGATAGTATGAGGTGTCCACTGACTCGCGGGGGTATCGCTTGTCGTACCACCGCTTAAAGGCGCCCTTCCTCAGCAGGTCCTGCGTCGCCCAAGGCAGCGCCAACAACGCAAAGAACTGGAGCTCAATCGCAATATGCGCCAGCAGATGCTCCGGGTCCACTGCCTGGGCATCGGGTGGCCAGCTGCAGAACGGACAAGCCGCGAGCTTTGAGCCATGCTGCGTGAGCATATGCTCTTTCCAGGTGCCGCCGTCGGCGGAGGGGTACGCGAACACCGGGTCCCGGCATTTGGGGTCGAGACAGATGTACGGACACAGGTCCGCCGCGACATGCGCGTTCCAGGCCTCGAACGACCGAGCCACCTCCGGACGCTGGATCTCCAGGCAACCGGGACATGTGAGCCCGTGTGCCGAGTGTTGTTCTACGCAGAGTTCAGCCGGCGTGTCCGCGAAGAAGCAGCCCAGGTACGAGGCCGCGGGCGACGCGGGCAAGGCCACGCTGTCCTTCCTACGGAACGCCTGCATCTGCCCGGGCGAATACAAGACGTGCCCGCGCTCCTCCTGTGCGTACAGGATCCGGTTGCGCCGCTTCAGGTTGCCCACGATCAAGTGGCTCTGCACCAGCGCAACCCGTAGCTGTTCGTTCCGAGCCCGCAGTGGGTGCGAAGCTGGTCGCCGCGACGACTGCTGCTCCTTCTCAATCGCCCAATCCTGCCCACGGCTGAGGATATACGCCGTGCACTGTTTGTCGAACTCGCGATGCCGCGCGGGATCGAACTGCGCATCGGCCTCGCGGAACCAGACCCGTGGCACCGCCGCCGCCATCCCGCGGATGAGGGGCTGCACCTCGTCGGCCAGAGCCCGCATCACCTTCTGCAGGTGCTGCATCCAAGCGATGGAATTCTCCTCGGGGATCCAGGGGACGCCGATTAAGGTTTCCTCTTCCGGTGCCGGCTTCCGCGCGGCGCGAGCTTGATCCACGCGCGCTTGCACCGCCGCGAAGTCGCTGCTCGGCAGGGCTCGCGGCAGGTTATGGCCCCACCACCGATACCGGCCGTTCAGCTGCACCCACGCATCCTTGGCCGTGGCGTCGAACGCGGTCTCCGTGTCGATTTGCCTTTCGGAAGCATAGTCGCGTCCTTTATCCCGACACTCTTGGGCCAGGTCGGCCAGTTCGCAGAGGAAGTCCAGCGCCATCGCCGGCGGGAGGTTGCCGACTTCGTCCCGGACCCTGCGCCGCTCCGCCAGGATGGTCTCCAGCGCCTGGCACTCCTCGACCACTTCCTCCAGGATCTCGACCGTGTTCGGTCCGTCCTCGGCCAGGTAGAATGCGTCCTTGGAGGCGTCGTCGCCGAGTGCGTCCGCCGGGGCCAGCACGCCCAGGCCCCAGAATTCCGCGAGGGCGGTAAGGCACAGGATGGTGGCATCGTGAATGGGGGTTGGAACCGACATTGTTAGAGCTTGTAGAGGGGGGCTGATGTAGATTGTACTGTAAAGCTGCGAGATCCAAAGATCAAGGTTTTATTTGGTCTGTTGAATGTGAAGCTGAGAGCGTTGGGTAATCCATCGCCAAATGCGTCAAAGCTAACTCATTTATATGCAATCTTCGGACGGTATACCACTATAGTAAGAGAATGAAATCCTTCTCATGCTCATTGTTCTTAGCCAGAAGAAAAGCCTGGTTTGTATGGTCAGGGTCATCCATCTTTGTGCCCGTCGTCTATTATGTCGTTCACAAAGCCTTCTACGATAGAAAGTGACTGGAGTATTCCGCATATTTTCCGTTGCCATGAAGGAGTCGTAGGGCTCCATCTGTGGTTTGTTGGTTCGCCTTTGTGTGCTCTGCCTGCGAGGAGTGGGCTCCGCCAGTCCTGGAGACGAGCCAAGGCAGCGGTTCATCTGAGGCTGAGGTAGTGTGGCTGCTATCTCTTAAGTAGTTTCAAGCGTCTTTCAGGCGATAAAGGAGTCTACCTACATGTTACAGCCTGTGGCATTGTCAATTGGCTCCATGAAAGAGAGAGAGAGAGATGCTGGCTGGAGCCAATGTGGTGAACCTTCACCAGCTGAGCAGGTGGAAAGCCCTAATTCCGCACCCAGCGGTTCTGTATGCGTTAGATAAGCTCTTAACAAATCCATAGTTCCCAGTATGATCCTTCAAGTACGATTAATCAGCCGATGGCAAAGTCTAAAATCACAAGTCCATAATCATTCCGCAACTCAGGATCCAACGCCCCTCATGCAACAAGCTCGAAATACTTCACAAACTCCTCATCCCTGCCAAGAACCTCGTACACGTCCACCGGCGCCTGCACATAGACATCAAAAACCCTGGGCCCCCCGCGAGAGAAATTTGGCAAGATACTCGCGCACGCCCCGGGCATGCCCGCCTGCACGCGCACGGCCGCAGGCATCACCCCGGCCCCGAGATCGTACTTCTCCACACTGCCCGAGTACCACGTGTTCATGAATAGATCCATATCCCCAAAGTCAGCGTTGGGGGCGAGGGTCTCCGTCGGCGTCAGAGAGGCCAGCAGGCCCGTCATGGCAGCGAAGGAGGAGACGTCGATGCGCGAGATCGATCGGCGGACGTGGCTGGCGGCTGTGGCGAGGCCGCGAACGGTTGTTCCGTCATCGGCTGATGCGATCAGTTCCTGGGCGGGGAGCGGGCCGGCGAGGGTGCCAAGGACCGCGTTGCCGAAGTACTGGGGTGAGGTCTTTTGGTCTGGATCACGCGTGCGGACGTCGATGGGGTGAACGAAGCGGGTTGGGGCGTTCGATCTCTCTGGGTGAACGTGGAGGCGGGCGCGGGTGATGGCTGTCCAGATTAGGGCGGAGATGCAGTCGTAGGAGGTGATGTAGTCGACTCCGTCGAGGTGGGGGGTGCATTCGGATTTGAGTTGTTGGATGGTGGGTTCGGAGATCCGGTAGATGTTTGCTCGGCAGGGTGGAGGTGGGTTGATCTTGAACTGACTCTTCTCAATCACGCTGAAGAATGGGACTTTTGCGAGTTGGTCGGCTCGGGTGATGGCGGGGTTGGGCGCTGGGGTGTTGAACGCGGCTCTGTTGAGGTCGGGGGTGTAGGTGGGCATCGCCTGGCCTGCAAGGTGTGCCTTTGTGCTTTGACTAATGAGAGAGAGGCAGGTATCGAGGGATGTCCAGTCCCCGGCTGCGTGGTTTAGTCTCAGCCCCAGAGTGAGGCCTCCCTCGATGATACCGATTTGTATTTTGCAGGCTGGCTGTTTGCCGATTGGCTCTTCGGGAAGAAATCGGGTCAGGTCCAGTTGTGGAGAGAATGATCCCTTCGCTAAGACAGAGAAAGACTCGTTCTCTGTGGACTCGAATCGGTGGATGTTGACTTCGAGTTCGCTTTCAGGTGTGGTCACGCTGCAGAGCTTGCCGGCTTCGCTGAACTGGAGGTCTCCTGCCAAGAAGGGCAGCTGGCGGGTTGCGTTTCTGATTCCTTCCAGCAAGGAGAAGGCAATGTTCTCTGAGTCGACAGTGACTTGTAGCTCATAAAAGACGACGATTTTGACAGTCTTGGTGAAGCCCATTTTGTCGATATCCGACAGCTCATACCTCTTCACCTCACTCATGGCTGCGGGGTGATTCCTTCGGCTTTGGAAAAATAACAACAGAGGTCTTGACCCGGTGAGAAGTGAAGGAGACTGGGAGTCTAGACGAAGATCGTCTCGAAGGAAAATCAAATATACTAGCTGGCTATAGGCACTGGAGTCTGTGATCTGTGCTGATACAAGACTCGACGTATTTATTTGATGTCGTTTGGCGTCGGAGACCAAGAGCGGCATAGCTCCGTCTGTTCCGTATGAGGCATAGTTCCCGAGATCGTTTCCAAATCGAGTGTCCGACTGCCTAACCTAATATGCCTGAGATCGGCAATCGGTATAGTTGCCCCCCACGGCCACAGGTGACTATACTTAGATTTAGGCGTGTCATCATTGAGCCCTAACGCTGGGTCAAGTTAATGAACTGTTGCAGTTCTGTTACTTCTCATAGACATTTCGATTGTTATTCACTATGATTACAACGTGTCCAGAATCTCCCTATGCCATATGTAAAGTACATTCCAGCATAGACATTCGTCATGAGATACTCTATCAGGCTGATGTATAACGATAGAAGCAAGAACCAATGCGGAGGTTTAATCCATTTTGGAGATATGTTGGTTATACCTCGCTGCTCACCTCAACATACAATCAAATCAGAAGCTGACTAAGGCCAGGCGCACAATTCGCCACTCTGCAGTCATGAACCATGAATACGAAACCACCCGAGCTTCTCATTTGCTACCATTTAAGGATGTAAGAATCATACGGCTACGCGCTTTGTTGTCAGATACACTAGCTCAATACGGGGTGGAGATGACCTCATAGCACAAGCTCCGTAGCTTCGCGACAAGAGCCCAACTTCTACCAATCTATCAGGGACATTTGAATAGTACAATGTAATCTTATTCTGGCAATACTTCATATCCACTCCAGGCCAGATATCTTTTCCAACCCGATGGCACAACCATCTCCCACCTCCGCACAGCCCGCGCAGCTCTGCGTCACCGCCGAGGATGAGCTCTTCGACGAGGAGTTCCTGCAGACCTGGCGCCGAGAAGGCTTCCAGGTAACCTACATTCCCTTCCAAAGCGACCGGAAGAGCTACATCGCGGCGCTAGATGCCGTCAAGCATGGCCTGCGCGTGAGCGAGGTGTACGCCATCATCAGTGAGCGAGCATATCTACCCCTACTCCCTCAACACAACAACTAAGTCCCCCGATCCAGGCTTCGGCGACGCAGCCTCCTTCTGCCTCACGCACTACCTCAAGCTCCCCAACACCAACAAGCTCTGCGCGCTGATCGCCTACTACCCGACCGCGATCCCCGGCCCGGCCAGCCAGTACCCGGCCTCGATGCAGGTGCTCGTCCACCTCGCCAACCAGACCGTCAACGTCCATTACCCGCCCTCGAAGACGAGCCACAAGGCCACCGTCGTGCGGAAGCAGGTGGGGCCCGGCGTGGGGATCGGCGACCGCCTGGCGCTGGGGTACCCGGCCTTCTCGTACGTGGGCGCGCTGCCGGGGTTCGCGGAGCATGATCTCGAAGAGTACAGCCGGATCCCGGCGCAGGTAGCGTGGAGTCGCACGCTGGGGGCGCTGCAGCGGGGGTTTCGGCGAGTCGCCGCGGTGGATTTGGAGAGGGTCTGGGATGAGATGCAGGAGGGTATGTATCCACCCACCTGACCAACTCAATCACTCCACCATGTTACGTTCAACAACCATCGGACACATATCTTGGCTAACATTTCTCCTGTCAAGCACGATATTTCTCCCCCAACGAAGCAGCCCTCCTTCCCCCTCCCCCTCCTCCAGAATCCGAAGCCAACACAGCCGCCAGCCCACCCCCATCAGCCCTCTATACCCCAACCCTGCAAGGCGCAACCGGCCACAACCCGCTGCAGGACTTCTACGCGACAAACTTCCACGCCCATAGACCCGCCTCCATGCGCCTGCAGCTGCTCTCCCGCACCGTCGGCGCCGACCGCGTCGTCGACGAGGTCCTCATCACCTTCCTGCACTCCCAGCCGATGGACTGGATCCTGCCGGGCGTGCCGCCCACCCACCGCGAAGTCAAGATCGTGGTCGTGAGCATCGCGCGCCTGTGCAGCGGGGACGGCCGGCTGTATTCCGAGCATGTCTACTGGGATCAGGCGAGTGTGCTGGTGCAGGTGGGTCTGCTGGATCCTGGTGTGGTGCCGGCGGGGTGGCCAAGGGTGCAGCGGGTCCCGGTTGTGGGCGGGGAGGCGGCTGCCGCGGTGTTAGCGGGGGCTGTGGAGGGGGTATCTGGGGGTGATGGGGATTTTTCGGACCTCGATTCTGGGTCGGGGGACGGGTCGGGGGAGGAGTCCGGGGAGGAGGATGACTCGTTTGCAAGTCGGGAAACAGGCGAGGATGGAGTGGCATCGGGCAGGGAGGGTGCAGAGGAGCAGATACCCTTGGAAGGGCTTACTGTATCGTCAGGGGAGGGTTAGGCCCTCGAGACGGAGATGCGTGATACCATCCCGAGACGGGGGATATGTGGATGGATGTATACTAGCACACATCAAAGGAAACGAATATCAAGCCTCAATTACAGTACGCCTATACATTCGCATTAACCACTATGCTAATAAGACCATATTCTCTGGCATGTACACAATCATACATAAACTCCCATCACATCCCCAACCACAAAAACACATCAAGACCCGTAACAAAACCAACTCCTCAGTTCCTAAAGCACAACCCATTAGCTCACACCCACCTCAACATCCAACTAAACGCAGAGGAAAACTCACAAAAGCTGCAACGTCAAATCCCCATGAATCTTCGCCTTGAGCTGCACCTCAACATCGAGATTCAAATCCAGCCGCAACCGGAGCTGCTCCTCCTTGCCCCCCTTGTCCTGGCCCTGGCCCTGCACCTGCTGCTGGCCACCCCCCAGCACACCGCCCACAGCCTTCCCGGCCGTGTTGCCCACCGAGCTGACAGCCTTCCCCGCGGTATTCTGGACGAGTTCCCCGGCGCCCTGCGTCAGATTGCCGGTGTCGCCCAGCGAGCCCAGCGGGAGGAGGTCCTGGTTGCCGGCGTTGCGCTGGCCGCGGCGGCGTTGTTGGCGGTAGCTCGATGCGGTGGAGGGGTCGCGAGGCGGCGTGGCCGCGGGGCGGCGTCGTTGTTGGCGTTGGCGCTGGCGTTGCGGTTGGGGTTGGGGCTCTGGTTGGAGTTCAGGTTCGGGTTGCGGGGAGCTGGGCGCGCTGAGCTCGTCCATCGAGGAGGCGGACTTGGCGTCTTCGGCCATTGGGTCGAGTTTTGCGGAGGAGTTGGGTTGGTTGGATGGGGTTGGTGAAGTCGGTTGTTTGGAATGCTCTTCCGTTAGAGGTGCTTCTTCAGTGGGCGGGGGTGTCTCGTTTGCAGCGGATTCTGGAGATGGGGGCTGTTCTTCGGGGGATGATGGCTCTTCGGTCGCTGGTTCCTGGGTTGGTGATGAGTTCTCGACTGGGGGTGATTCTTCGGATTTTTCAGGAGAGGGCGATTCGTCCGAGATAGAGAGTTTTTCAATGGGCGGGAGGTCCTCACTGGTAGCAGGTTGTTTCCCACTGCTGGGTTTCTCTGCAGGTTTCTCAGTGCCGGACTCTTCAGATGGCTTCTTCTTCTTCTTCTGCTCCGACGCAGATTCCTCAGTCGGAGGCGGTTTCTCAGCACTAGACGGCTCCTCAGCAGGTGCGGCTTTCTTCTCAGCAGGTGACTCCTCAGCAGCCGGCTGTTTACGTCTGAGTTTCGGCGGTTTGCGCTTCGCAGGTGTTGTATCACTAGGCTTGGTGTTCACATCTAGACTATCCTCAGCGGAATCAGTCATAGTTGCCCTGTCTACCTAGTAGTATCAAAGCAGACTTAAATCCAAGCTCTCAAAGTATACCCGAAGCTAAAGCGAGAAGCACCATATAAACTAAAAAAACCCCCGCCGCCACTAACCGGAGATACAATTCCTACCACTTTTTTCTGTCTGGAATGACCCAGAAATGAGGTCACGATGAGGGAATCTGCGAATCCAATGAAGGGGGTTTGGAACCAAACGATTGGTTCTGTGGAACCATGAACCCGTATTGTTCGGACAACAGAGGAATACGAGAATGGTTGCAGTTGCGGTTGCGGTTTGCGGTTGCGGTTCGCGGCATTAGGGCCGGGGGCTGTCAGCTGATGCAGACCAGAGGAGTGGGCCAAGACGTCATGCATTTTATACTCATACTCGGGGGAGTATACTTTTTCGCCTCCGCCCCCCTTCCTTACACCTTACAATGAATTTAAACCCCTTCCAGTTTGGTGGACAAATATATCAATATATTGCGCCGATCCGATCAATAGTCGACCCTATTATTGCTTCAACAAAATAATCCACGCTGAAGGTATTACTCCTTTGCAACGAAAATGGCTACAACACCACCTCCAGACGAGCCAGCCAGCGCAGCAGAGGAGACCACTGCCCAGGGCCAAACCGCCACATTACCCCGTCGACCGCGCGAGCAACAACACAAGAAAGACATCTTCCAAGCCCAAGAAGCCAATGATACATCCCGCGCCTTGCAGCGACAGCCCCGGCGACAGCGACGACAACAGCAACAGCAAGAACAAGTATCTTCCGCCTCCGATACCGAAACCTCAGTCGACGAATCGATCGGCGGCGCGCGCGAGGACCAGCAGCAACAACAAGCCACGACGACGCTGCGAGGAGGCCATCAGGATTGGTCGCTCGAGCCGGAGCCCGAGAAGGAAGACACCGGACTAAAGCTGCGGCTGGATTTGAACTTGGATGTCGAGGTGGAGCTGAAGGCGAAGATTCACGGGGATATCACTTTGGCGCTTTTGTAAGTTCTTTGCTCCGGCGGATTCATCGTTCTTGCAAGGCTGTATGGGCTGCAGTTGGAAGGCTTAATTCTGGCTACCTGGGAAAGGGCACACAGCTAATGCTTTTAAGGTCCTGATCATAGTGCTTAATCCCATCTGCATGGCTGGAAGATTGAATCTCAAGCTCCGGTCGTCTAACATCGAGTGAAGTTCTGCATGGTGCGAGGTATTCTTCCTCGGTCGCTTCTAGCGCGACTCTGATTCTGTGACCTAGCACACTGACACTTCAAGAGCAAAGCTCACTAGCGTAATGGTGCACTTTGAGTCGCCTTGCATGGCACACCATGTTTGTCTGTACATACATAGTAACTGAACCTAATCAAGAAAGCTCAATCACGAGCGCACGCAACTCCTGGCCTTCGATGACGTCCGTCTTCTCTAATCAAGCTAAAACTCACCGTGCCTTGCAGATAGTCCCAGAGTGCAAGATCCATGGTCCGCTGCACATGAATCATGAGAACCTGACGTAGAGCGAACAAACAAAGAGATTTTTGCCCCCTAAGCTCATAATCATGCCACTGTTCGTCGGGTCTATTCGCTGCTATGCTCTGATTCCATGGTTTGGAAGTATATCGTAAATTGTGCCATGGGTACATGTAGCGCTAGTAAGCGACAGTGCAATTAGTGCCGTGGATGTATGTAGGCTCCTGTACTGTCCACAAGATTCAGCCCTCGTATTCATCGTGTCAATAAGAGTAAGTGACGTATCAATGATGGCTAGTTGGTCTGTCTTGTGATAGCAGTGTCGAAGATATCAAGTTATAAATGCACGGGCAGCGTTGAAATAGTATGAGAACATGAACAGCATGATCCACAAATCTGAGAATCAATCACAGCAAGAAGGTACAACATTCTTCAATTTTCAAACACGAGACACACAGAAGCAAAACACTCATGGAGGTGAAAAAAGCTGCAACGCATCCTGGTACCCAGGGTACCCAGGGGAAAGCCCACCGCAAGATTCAAAAACTGAGCTCCAAGGGCAGTCGCTCTGCGGGGAAAGGCCCGGTTTCGGCAGAGGACAAGGAGCCAAGTCTAAAGGAGATCAGTCCCCACGAGATGGAAGGGAGTACCCACAGCTCTCAGGAACAGAGACAGAGCATGCGGTCCGGCTCAGGTGGGGCCGAGGCTGGGGGATCTAAGACGTCTCCGCGTTCGTCGATGCTGGCCCGGGGTAAGACGGCGGCAGATCGGCTGGGCCGTTCCACTCAGGGCGTGAAATCGATGGGTCACCGGTCTTCTTCGGATACGGCGCAAAAGGCCCAAGATAAGCTCGGCGAAGGTGCCCAACAAGCCAAGGGCGCGGTACCTGCTCAAGAAGACACCGCTGGCTCTGGCTTGGAAGATGTTCAAGGTAGCGTATTCAGCCTAGCGAGTCTAGAGGGGCTCAGTGTCGAGGAAGGAGGCATGATAATGAGTTCGGCGGGGCAGCCGATTGGGGAGGTGGTCGAGGGAGATCCCGACGACCTTGTCGGCCAGACTGTCAGCAAGAATGGAGAGATTTTGGACGAAGATGGGGATCTAATTGGACGTGTTCAGCTTCTGGAGAAGGAGGCAGAACCAGCATCCGGAGAAAACCTCGATGCGGGAACATCTGAGCAGGGTGAAAGCCTTCCAGATATGCCCACTTCCGAAGAGGGGGTCGCTCAAGATCAGATGGGACAAGAAGAAGACCAGGAAGAAATCAAGATGGAGGACGCCACTGCTCCATCCGAGCCCGATCAACCTGTGGAAGAGTCACAGGCAAGCGACGCAGGTCAGTCCTTGGAAGAGCCACCAGCAAGCGAAGTGGACCAAGCCCTACAGGAGCAACAGCCAAGCGAGAAAGAAGAGCTCGCTGAAGAAAGCGGGGCTGAGATCCCCAAGCCTGCGGAAGAAGAAGAGATCACGGGAGATAAAGAAGTGGGAGCAGAAGTCGGAGAAGAAGGGGTGGGCGAAGAAGGGGTGGGCGAAGAAGGAGTAGGCGAAGAAGGAGTGGGCGAAGAAGGAGTGGGCGAAGAAGGAGTGGGCGAAGAAGGAGTGGGCGAAGAAGGAGTAGGCGAAGAAGGAGTGGGTGAAGAAGCAGGAGCGGGAGAAGAGGGAGAGAAAGAAGGAGAGGAAGGAGAAGAAGAAGAGGCTCCAGAACTACCAGACATCTCCACCCTCGAAGGGCTTACCTGCACCAAATTCGGAGGCATCGTTGATTCCAAAGGTGCCCTCGTCGGCGAGCTGGTCGAGGGTGATGCCAAGAAGATCTTCCGTGGGAAGTATCAGCTCGATGACCAAGGCCAGTTCTGGGACCAGCGCGGGAAGGTTGTGGGCAAAGCGAGGCCTCTCCCGGTCGAGGAAGACGAACTTGGTCCGTTCGCCGACCTGGGTGATTTGCATGTAGCCGAGGACGGGTGGGTCGTGAATGAAGAAGGCCGACGGGTAGGCCAGGTGGTCGAAGGGGACGCGCACAAACTTCGCGGCCGTGCAGTCGACGAGGATGGCGATATCCTGGATCGGCGAGGAAATCCGCTGGGCCGTGCAGAGCCGTGGGAAGAGCCAGAAGAGGCCGAGGGTGAGGAGGGTGAGGAGCCAGAGGAAGAAGAAGAAGAGGATTTATCGATGTTGGCCGGTAAGAAGGTGAATAAGCTGGGCAACATTGTCGACGACGCTGGTGTGATATTTGGAAGACTGGTAGCTGGAAATCCACGCAAGCTGGCTGGCAAGTCGGTGGACGAACAAGGTCAAGTGTGGGACTCGGCAGGCCGCGTAGTCGGCCAAGCAGAGCTTCTCCCGGCTGAAGAACGAGATCGGCCTGAGGGACCCTTCTCTGGTCTCGAAGGCTTGGTGGTTGGCAAGGATGGGTTGGTGATCGATGAGAACGGTGATACTGTCGGGCGCTTGGTGAGTGGGGATCCTCAGCGTCTTCGTGGACGTGCCGTCGATGAAGACGGTGAGGTTCTCGACAAGTCGGGCAATGCTATCGGCCAGGCTGAACCGTGGAGCCCTGAAGAGCCAACCCGCGAAGTCAGCCCCATGGCTGGTCGGAAAGTGAACCGTGATGGCGAGGTTCGTGATGAGAATGGCAATGTGATCGGCAAGCTGACCCAAGGCGAACTCTCCAACTTGATCGGTCGGACTGTCGACGAAAACGGTTATGTGGTTGACAATGATGGTAACAAGATCGGTGAATGCACCCTCTTGGAGAACATCCCCCCTGAGCCGGAGCCGGAGTCGGAGCCGGAGCCAGAGCTGTCGCCCGAAGAACGTGAAAAACAGGCCCGTGAAGAAAGGGATCGAGAGCTGGCAAAGAAGATGGCTTCCATTGTTCAGCAGACGCTGGACTCGATTGAGCCCTTGTGCAAACAGATCACTCAGGTAAGCGAAGACTCTTGAACAGATCAGCTTGTAAACCATATGGCTCACTAAACCGGTTTGCTTCGATAGCATATTGAGCGAGCCAACAGCACTCCCAAAGAGGAGCTAGACGAAGAGCAGCTTGTCAAGCAGGTCAAGCCGCTGATCGAAGAGGCCGGCAATGGCTTGCAGGAGTGCAAAGGTGCTCTCCGGGCGTTGGACCCCGATGGTCAGATTGCTGCTCAAGCCAAAGCACGCAGTGCATCGCAAGAAGCTAGCCCCGAGGAGCATCATCTAGCTGAGTTGCTCAAAGACCTGACTCGGGTGGTGGGAGAAACGATTGAGAGAGGAAAGGCTCTGATCGCTGATATGCCCCATGCTAAGAAGAAGATCAATCCGCTGTGGACTTTGTTGTCCGAGCCCTTGGTTCAGATCATCGCCGCGGTGGGCCTCTTGCTGAGTGGTGTGCTCGGGCTAGTCGGCAAACTACTCAACGGGCTCGGACTGGGCAATCTCCTCTCGGGTTTGCTGGGTGGCTTGGGGGTCGACAAGCTGCTGGAAGGGCTGGGCTTGGGAAAGATAACAGAGGGGCTGGGGCTCGGTGGTAAGAAGTGACTGATCGGTCAGAGGCCGAATGAGACTGTTCTGATCATGGCAGGCAAACTCCGCTATCTCACAGTTCACTTGCTTCTTCTCGTTCTGTCATTCTTGTATCTTACCAGTGACATGTTCGCCTCAATTTCAAGCATATGAATTCATGATAACTAAAGATCAAGTTCGTCGTAAGGATCGTGAGCCTAACCATGCCGTCGAGCTATTGCTGCTAGAAAAGCCGCACTCATAGCGGAAAGCACCAGAAACATCAAAAGCAAGAAGGCGCCGCCCCAGAGTGTCCACCATGCTCTAGCATCTCTCCGATCGACCCACAATTGCTTGAGTGTTTTTGGCTGTTGTGCGTCAAGATAGGTTTTGAGTTTTCGCAAGCGGGGACCGAAGTACTCGTAGTGTAAAAAAGCCTGGTTGGGACGGACATCATGCTGGAAGATAGAAGTGATCATGAATTTGATGTCTTCTGGGTAATAGGGCGCGCGAGAATGGATTTCTCGCATCGATGTAGCGGTGATCTTATTTTGGTCAAAAGAGCCAATACCTTTGATACTTGCGGCTGAACCAGCGATGTCAAACGCCGCCTGGATTGTAGGTGGCAGAGAGCAGCGGTGGAAATTCTCCAATATGCGTTTGACCGAGGGCCTTCTCACATCGATCTCGAAAGTTCCAGGTAATTTTGTCTTAGTACCAAGTCGCTCGCTGACTTCGATCCTCCTACCCGGCCAAGGAACTTCTTCGGATTTGTTTACCTTTCTCAACTGCCTCAGGCCTCCATTCGACGAGGGTCTGAACAATAGAGCGTAAGTTTTGGACAGCTCATTGTAAATAGGATCGAGGTAGTCCTTCTTCTGAAGATCTCGGCCGTTGTAGAAGAAAGTAGGATGAGCGAAAACCCGAATCGCATTCCGCCCGGCAAAGATTCTAAGATGATCATCCAGGCAATCCGTCCATTCAATATTCAGTCCACCGAAGTCTTGCAGGTAATGGATTGTGAAAGTTTCCGCTGCAAAGGTTGGGCTGGAGGCTTCATCTAGAGGAAGCTCTTTGACCGGCTCAATGCTTTTCATTACACTGCGATGAGACTCGACCATTTCGAAAATCTTGTAAATTGGCTCGTCTTTGTGTCTGAGGTAGAACGTGAGAGGTAGCGGGTCTCGAATCGCGCGGAACTGGGACTTGAATTCCAACGCCGTCAGGCAATCGTATACAAGATGAAATTGGTACCAGAGGATCGCAGGCTCGTTGACGGCAGACTGTGCTAGTATACGCCGCGTATAGCATCGATCCAAGAGTTCTTGGAGGGTCATTTCATTGGGACCGCCAAGTCTGCAAAGTCGCAGTGTCCGCCCGACTTCGGTCAATACCCGGAGCGTTTGGTCTGCATCAAAGTAGCGACAGTCAACACATACGCCATCTCTGCATTCGAGGGCGTCATTCCGTCGAGCTTCCATGCGAACAAGAATCGAAAGCAGGCGAGGCAAGCGTGAGTATTCGAACGCTGCTCTCGAGGTGTCCAGCGGACCAAATATGCGGTTCATTCTGTGAGGTTCGATGGCGAAGAGCCCTTCCAGAAGCGTGTCACGGTAGCGGGAGAGGACTCTGGCATCGAACAGGATGTCATCGTTTCCATGCCATCCGAGCGTGCGGTAGATGGTCGGAAACTGATCAAACGCCGCTTCGTATGCATTCTCCATGGTTTGCCTTTCTGCTGGGGTGGATTTGTGCTCCTTCCAGAAGTCTAGGCGGGTCAGAGTCTATTTTCATCTGGCGAAGACCAACATACCCGCATATTCCGCCATGTAAGCCTCATTCTCTGCATCAATCTCCTCCGCTGACATCAAATGCACTGGTTTCGATGTGGGAGCATGCTTGGGTCGTCCTTTCTGGATTTCCTCGTTGATTGCACTGAGAATGGGATCACTTTGTCTGATCTGTTCTCGGACTCTGCTCGGATCGCGTCTCTCATTCTCCTGGTCGATCAATTTGATCAGAGCCTTGATCGAGTCTGTCAGGTCCCGCACGGCAGCCATGGCGTCTTCGTCGGATGCGATGGGCTGGCTCGGTTCTAGAATTGATGAATCCATGGTTGTGACCGGGAGGAAGTGGGGGAGGCAGAAAGAAGCATCAGCAGAGCTAACCTAACTTATGATGCAATCGACCTGTTAGCGCTTATCGCCGGCTGTGCAGTACACCAACCCTCTAACGCCCATCTTTACCACTACGATATGCTGAGAGCCATCCATCACCCATATAACCCATAAAACTCGTAACCAACATCCCCTCACTGGTTACTATACACACCTCCACCCTCAATCCTCACCCTCCAAAATCTCCTCATACATCACATCCGTCCTTAACGTATACTTAACCCCCCGCACCACCGGCTCCCCCGCATGCAACAGATCATTCTGCTGAAACACCAACACCGACCCAACCCTCGGAAGCACCTTAACCACCTCATCCTCCTCCCTCTCAACCTCCAACCGCCGCACAAACGAAGTCGCTCCGCCCACCAGATCCCCCTCCCCCTCCCCCTCCCCCTCCCCATTCAAATACACATGCACCGTGAAAAATGACCGCTCCCGCCGATCCGGCGTGGTATACCACGCATCCCAATGCGGCCGGAAGAACTCGCCGCCCTCGTACCGCAGAAAGCGCAGCCGCTCGTTGAGCCGCGTGAGCCGGTAGCGCCGGCGCGTCTGCAGCGTCACGCGCCAGGCATCTTTCTCCAGCGTGTCGATCGCAAACTCATCCCGCAGGAAGGGGAGCAGCCGGTCGCACAGTTTCTGCGCGAGCTCCGGCGCGTCGAGGATGATGCGGCCGCAGTTGCGCGTGTCCGGGCGGAGGATCTGTTCGCCGGCGCCGACGTTGAGCATGGCGCGCTCCCATGTGGGGGTTGGGGAGGTCCCCCGGGTGAGGGTGCTGGCTTCGGCGAGGCGGAGGAGCTCGGTGCATTCGGGTTCGGTGAGGATGTTGTCGATGGTTGCGGCGAAGAGGTGGCGGTAGTGTGGGAGGGGTGGGGTGGTTTGCGTGAAGTCGATGCGGTGGGCGGTTGCGTTGGGGGGTGCGGTCGGGGGGAGGAAGGTGGCCATTTTTGTAGGGCTTTGGGGGTATCGTGTGGGGTTTGGGTCGTATTGTAGCCTTTTGAGCGCGAGTTGGGTGTGTTCGGGATTGATATAGCAGGTAAAAGGGTAAGTATGCGGGCTATATACGGCTGACGAGGCTCGCAAGGCTGAATCTTGCCCCTGCTACCCAATGGCTGTTGACGCAGTGCGTAGTCTGTCGACTGTTATTATATGGGTGGGATGATGTTCAACATGAAGCTAAAAGATATGATCAACGTGGTAGGTCTGGGAAATCAGTGTTTATTGGGCTAGAGGGGCGTCTGTATAAATTGGACAGTGGTATTCTTTAGGTAGGATGGCCATTTCTCATTAGCAGGACAAGTATAAATTTGGTACATAGAGCCAAAACACTGGAGAAAGTATATCCACCAAGCATGTTAGCTCAGGGGAAGAGCGCCGGGCTCATAACCCGGAGGACCCTGGATCGAAACCAGGACATGCTAAGTATTTCTTTTTGTTTTTTTGCCGCCGGCTAGCATAATCCTTTTTTATCGTTTCTCCTTTTTGTGTTATTGTTTGTGTGTAAATACCTTCAATGCTTTATTTGATCTCAGTTTTTCAAGCCGACTGATTATGATCCGGCCTTCGGTCCTTGTGGATTTGGGAAAACTCCGATCGCAGTCGAGCTTGAAAAATTCACCCAACCACAGTTAGATTTATATATTGAGCAACGCCAGCCTCAACATTACAACACCTAAATTGTCAATAGGACACTGATTGAACTCCCCCCCCCTATTATTCATTCTAATCTACCGGCGTATTCAGCTTGTAAATTATTGAATAAACCTAGATATCATGTTCAAAGATATATTAACTGGGCTGAACCCCTCCCAAGTGAGAAGAATGCCACCGCACCCAACGATGACCACCACCAGTCCAAGAAAATCCCTCGCCAGAAACACCCGCTCTCCTATTGTCTTTGCAGGTTATAACTGCTACCTGCAATGCTCAATTCAACAAGTGGCTCCCGTGGCGCAATGGTAGCGCGTTAGACTTCTAATCTAAAGGCTGCGGGTTCGAGACCCGCCGGGAGCTTCTCTTTTTGCGCCTGATGATTTTTGTCCGGTCTGTCTATCTTGGCATCTATTTTCTGTCGCGCAAGCAAAGCTGTTTTCCACGGGGTTGTTGTGCAATCATGTCGGCTTAGCAGACAACGTAGCTGTGCCGGCAGTTGTTCCAGTTTGTTTGATCGATTGTCTCACTATCGGTTTCCAATCCTCTCACATTGTCGCGCATGGTGTTGTCTTATTACATCGGTAAGTACGTAGTGTTTTTGTTTCGTTTGTGCCTAAACCCATGACTGCAGCACAGCACTATTGGCTGGCACAACTTCATTCTGCTCTAGACGGACTTCTACGAAAATGGACCAAGTACCAAATGTATATATATAGAGTAATTGCAGCATATACACATGATTCTGATGCTCTGAGCAATCACCCCCGCACAATGTAGAACCCATTCAACGCCATCTGCTTCTCAACCGCACCGGCATTCGGCCCCCGCACCCCGATCCAATGCAGAGGCACATTCTCCACCATCCTCTGGCCCTGGTACCTGATATTTGTGACCCCATCGCGGGTTCTCTGCACCCAGGTGCCGGCTTGCCCACTCCCTTCGCCACCATCACGCAGACCATGCCCCTCGGCACCCCAAGCAGCATGCCCTAGCACCTCCTGTGCATACGCTACATCACACGCATCAGCTATCATGGCCGCCTCGGCTGCCGCCTCGCGCGCCGCCTGCAGCTCTCTCTGTGTGTTACCGATCGCGGGCGGCAAGTCTGGGCGGAGATAGCTCATGATCCGTACCTGGAGACGTGACTGTGGTGCAAGTGGCGGAGAGTCGTCCAAGAAACGGATGGTGGTCTCCCTGCTCCTCGCGCGCGAGAGGTTCACCCGTGCTTCATGGGCCGGGTTATACGAGAGGATGGAGAGGATTATGCCTTGCCACTGGTGGTCATAAGGAGACGAATTTGTTGTCCCCCCTGGTTGAGGTACCTGCGCAACAGATTGGCAGACTCGCGCCCAGCCGAAGAAAATCCCGTAGTATTGATCCTGGACCATGTCGGGAACTTTGCCCAGCCGGTGCCTGGTTCCATCCCCACCTGCTGCGGGTTCCACGCGCGATGCCGTGAAGTCCACGGGAAATGGTGGCTGTGGACCAAGATCCAAGGAGATAGGCTGGTATTCTCCCGCCACTGAATGATTGCCGGTGGTTGTGGGCCTCGAGCCAACGGACACCAACGAATTCACGCGGTCGCCGGCCCCGCTCATCGAATATGCCGTCTCAGCAGCCGTCTGCGTTTTCCAGCTCGGTTTGTACGGCTGGATTCGATCCTGGACCGCGGCGGTCACGGGGGCGATGACGGCCTCGGCGGCCGTCTGAACGTACATCCCGAGAACCATCGCACCAACCTCCAAGGGCATGGTGGAGAGACTGGCGCCCCGACACGAGCTGGGACTCAGGGACGTGGACAGGACTCGGAAGACCGGACTGTAGCAGAGTACCTTCTTCTTGCCGTTCCCACACAGCACGAGTTGGAAGTAGCCATCACCCGCCTCGGCAGGGATCCTCGCCACGATGGTCTCTCGCAGATGGTGCGTTTCGCGAACTTTAGGTGGTGCCCTTTTACGGAATTTCGCAATGTCGCGCTGCCACGCACGCTCATCCGCGGGCTCCACCTGAGTCGCCTGGACCGCATGGGAGGGCGTCACGTCAACCCAGTCATCGGTAAGCCGCAGAAGGGCCTTGGTGCGCATGCCCGTCTTGCCGGTCCATCCCTTCGATTGCAGATAGAGGGTGCGGTCGGCGGGAAGGGGGGAGTCGGAGAAGATGGAGATGGTCACGGAGGTGGTGCTACCCCGGTAGAAGACCACACCGGAGGAGTGGCGCAGAATACTGACATGTTTGGTACTTTCCGTAGGATGATTGAGCAGTCCGCCTAGAAAGTGACGCGCTTCACCGTAGGCTTTCTGCGCGACCGAAAGATCCGTGGTGGTGCGGGGGAGGCTCGGTGCGGGGGATGTTGCTGGGGCAAGATCATGGATGGTAGTTGCAGCGCGGGTGGGGATGGTCTGTGATGGCTGGGGTCGCGGTGGCCGTGGTGATGGGGATCGCATAGGAGTGTATGGCGGTGGTGGTGTGTCTAGGAGTGGGGGCTTCTCCGAGGGAGTTGGTGTTGGGCATGGCGAGATCCTGATAACACCACGGATAGTGCCATCATCGTCAGCTTGCGGAAGAGGCTTGCGCTTGATTTGGTGCTGGTTCAGCATAGTAGATGTCCATTTGAACAACAATGAAAGGGGCCGCCTGGGGCTCAGATATTGCAACCAAACCCCTGAAGTCCCCTGAAAGGATCGGAGTCGTGATGTCGATCGGAAGCGGCGGAGGTGCTGACTCAGCGCCTAGACGAGGGTGAAAGGATTGTGTCTCGGAAATGTATGAATTGATGTATGGATTGGAACAATGACTCCGGAGATGTTCGATTCTCTTCGATGGTTGATGTCACTGCATTGGGGAACCATGGTTGGCTGACTGCGGCCACATCCCGTAGATCAATTGACAGAACTTAGGCTGATTTGTTCGTAGCATGAACTGCAAACATCTGACGGGGGCTTACATTCGACAATCCCGATCGCAAAACTTGTCGTTTACCGAGGAATACTCGTCTGACATGTAAGTTTATCGATTGTTCGGACACTTGGCATGATAATAAAGCCAGGTCGAATGTTTCGTGCCATTTGGTGTTGAGCTCCTGGTTCAGCAAGCAGCTATGTAGGAAAGAAGAGGGATAGGCGAACCATGCTACAGGTAGCTGAAGGCGCTGCGAGATTGGACTGATGTGATGAGTCTTCATCTAAAGAGTATTAGGCAGCTTGAGAAGAATGAGAAGATATTATGTGTCATGCAAGATGTCCTCAGTGTAATGTTCCAGGTCAACATAGTAGAAGTAGAGAGGAAGTTGATTGTTAGAGCAGGGAAAACATCGGGGAGAGCATCCATCGAGCTTCCATGTGCTTATCGATATCGATAAGCATGAATGACCAGGCATCAAGGCACGGAGGCACGGAGGCACGGAGGCACGAAAGGCACCACAAAGCCACCAGCTATGCGATGATGTATGTGCAGCTGCATTCGGATGGGACTCAAAGCCGGGTTCAACCAGCTGAATCGATCGGAAGGATTTACAGATCCACGTGAAGAGTTTGTTCCTGCTGTGCTGACCCAGTTCCAAGCACATCAACAATGATCTCCGCAATCGCAACGGGCACTTCTCAAGCCGCACGAGGACGATAAGCCAACGGGCGATAAGTGGACAGCCGAAAGGGTGGCTGGCAGTGACGTCTTCCCGTTCCCATGCCTATGCCCACGCCCACTCTCACTCACTGCCTCTTGTTCCTAACCAACCATACCCTCGCACAGTTATCCCCTTTATCTGCAACCCCAACCCCAACCCCAACTCCAACTTCCAGACCTCCCTCTGACCGACAACCCCATCGCCTATACCTACAGTCATACCCATAGCCCAACATGGCCTCGTCACCCCCCGAGACCGAACCCCCGACCCTCGACACCATCGCCCAGGTGCTCCAACACGACACCCGCGTCAAGCTGGCAGGCGTGGACGTCGACGGCATGCTGCGCGGCAAGCTGGTCTCCAAGAAGAAGTTCCTCTCGATCGTCGCCGACGGGTTCGGGTTCTGCTCCGTGATCTTCGGGTGGGACATGCACGACCGCACCTACTTCAAGGAGCTGGCGATCAGCAACAAGGAGAACGGGTACCGCGACCTGGTCGCCGTGCCGGACCTGCGCAGTTTCCGTCGCATCCCCTGGGAGAACAACATCCCCTTCTTCCTGGTCAGCTTCCACGATCCCGACACCAAGGAGCCGGTGTGCGCGTGTCCGCGGGGCCTGTTGCGCACGGCGCTGGGGTCGGTGGAGGCGGCCGGGTATCGCGCGATGGCTGGAGGTATGTCCACCCCACCCCTGCTGTTATGCTAGGGGATGTGCAGCGCTAAGATAGCCGAATAGCGGAGTATGAGTTCTATCATTTCCGCGCGCCCAGCAGTCATGCAGACCCCAAGCAGAACGCCTCCGCGACCGCCACCTTCCTCAAAGAGAACCCCGTCGAAGCGTTGCCGTCGTTGACGGAGGGGATGTTCGGATACAGTCTGACGCGGCCGACGCATAACCAGGAGTATTACTATGGGGTGTTCGATGCGTGCGAGCAGTTCAACTGTGAGATTGAGGGGTGGCATACCGAGAGCGGGCCGGGGGTTTATGAAGCGGTATGGGCCCTGCCCTACTGTTCCGCAGCGGACAGTACCATACGCTTCTCCGCGCTGTGCTGACAATGGCTACTAGGCACTTCAATTCGGCGAAGCCAAAGAAATGGCCGATAAAGCGGGACTCTTCAAGTAGGCC